ATCCACTAAATGTTTACAAGACTCTCCGCCAGTCTCTCTCAGGCCCTATTCGCGATGGTATGATCATAAGACATTGTTTTGACGTTGCCGTGATGCTATTCCCACGGAGTGAAAGCTCGGGATGTTTTACACAGCCCGCGATCGTGTGAACTGATGACGTTGTTCGGTGTATCCGGCAGTGAAGTCGTGATCCCACATTATCCACGTAATACCGACATACCGCTCGCTAATGAAGCCGGCGCCGTGTGCATCACACAGTTGTCTCTAAACTTACGTTATCTATCACGAAGGTAATGTTCTAACGATCATACAGACCGTAGTATTAGACATATACCAAGGTGCCATATTTTTTACAGAATCAACATGACGCTTACACTTATCTTGAAAGTTCATCTGTTTTGGTAGAAGTCATTATGAAAGAAGTTTGAACTGTAATGGCCAACTCAAAAAATTGGATTCATCCAAAATTTTCGACTGTACAACTCCAGGATTTGTCAAGGAATGAGCAATCCACCGCTTTGGTGATGTCACGCAGATAACACACGTGACTCCGTGAGCAGTGGATCGTATGTTGCAGAAAGTCTGTGGCGCCCCCCGTCTCTGTTGAGGGATGGTTGTACTGCCCTGTTGTAGATGGCCTCTTAAATCCCTCGTGCGAAATGACGCTTACACATTTCCGTGGCAACAATATTTACCAATATTTGGGTTTGATAGCAGAGCTTTAGAGCCCAAAATATACGTTCTTTGCATAAAATAGCAAAAAAATACAAATAAACAAATAAATCAATTCTACAAGCCTGAAGAAAATACCTGTGGTGCGGACTGAAATATAACTATTACATAACACGGGCGCGCTGTCTATTTTAAACATATAGCCACGGAAAATACGTATGCACTGCACGTGCTTGAATATAATAGTGACCCAAAGTTAAGATGTTGAAGCTGTTCTATACCAAGTCCGTACCAATCGATGTATAGAATGTCCTGTGGACGTGGGCCGTTGAATATCTTTCAGAAGCAGAAGTTACCCTATATGGTACCTTCGTAGAACCTCCCGTAGCTACAGTAAGGCTATATCTATCGTTACTGGCGTTATCAACATCATGAAAGATTAAGGTAAAAGTCGTGGGAGCCTATGACATTTAGTGCGGTCAAAAGGCCGACCTTCTCCGACAACAAGTAATTGAATCCCCGGTCACAGTAGTGAAAGGATGGCGCCTTCCCGACCGCCCTGACGTTGTCAGGTACGCATTATAGGCTGAGTAAGGCCATGTTGATTTGATTATATGGATGACATCCACACGCGCATGAATTTTCCTCCGTTTCCAAAAAAAAGTTTTCGACCATACTGTAAATCTTACAAAATGAGCGAATATATGTCGTATGTTGCAACAAAATTGCTTGTTTTTTTTCCAAAATCAGACGAAAATTAATGCGCGCGCTGATGTCATCCATGAAAATTACTTGCTGTGGCCTTCTGATGAAGTGGGGCACAGGATGGTCGAATGTCCTAACATCTGTTTCGAATATAAGCATTGATCCTTTTCAATTGCATATAGCTTTTCCATCCAACAAAGATTATCCGTCATCCATATGATATACGGAAATATTCCAATGTAAGCCCTCAACAAATCGCTCCGATTTTCACCAATCGTGTTTAGAGTCCTGGAGCAGGAAATCGTATTGATTTTGTTTCAATATTTCTCAGTGTTATTCGTTTTTGTCACTTCACTTTCTATGACGGATCGTATGGCCCCAGGAAAAACTTGACTCTCTATTAATATCATGATACAGACGACTTGTTTCTATCGGATACCTTCCTCCTTCTAATCTGTTATCGCGGGCTTCCAGTCATGTTCTGTACCGGGATCTTTTTTCACCGGAAATAGGATACATTAGCCGGGCTATTTATCACATGTAAACGGTATTGATAACATCATGATTAGAAATTGTGGAGATTGTGCAGCGGACGATGAAACTATCTACGTACATTACACAGAGATTATTCCTACTGTTAGTACAAATGAGGACGTCGCTAGAATGTATCAAACGAAGGTACGATATTTTAAGTGTAATTCGAGTAGTTCTGATAAAGAAATCAAGGTATGGTAATTTGAATATATTCAATAGTTGTGATAACAATATCAAGATAGGGCCCGTGTATTCTATATAAGTACTGTAGCATAAACAATGGTGTTCAGGCTTTAAAACAACTTTCTTAAACGACTACTAAATACTATTAGCCTTTGTTATATGTCGTTTTTATGAAAATGTTTCAGACGTTTAAAATACATCTAGGTTTCTATCCTAAAATTGAATCCTATATATACCTCAAATCCATGGATATCGTAGGTAAGGGCATCCTGACATTTCCCTATATTCTGACATTTGGAAACAAGGCTACCAGTAAGATGTCAAAATCCCTTTCGCTTAGAATTCTATGCCAAGGCGCATTTGGTGGGCTTTTGTACAAGGGTGAATGATGCAGACAGTTTTATATTGCCTGTCATGCCAGACTGCGCCGTTGTGCTCGTGCCTATAAGTCTAATAACAATGGAAATAGCTGAGACTGTAGGTAACCTTTTCAACTTCCATTTTACAGGCGCCTGGTATTATCGTGTGCGACACAAACTTGAGCCTTCGTGCAACTGTGTAAATGTCATGATGTGAGCAAGTTTTCCTACCAGCGGGAAAATCAATTCTCATATTTCAGAGGTCGTTTGTACGAGTCCCTGAGGGGAGGAATTTTGACGCTCTGGCGTGTGCGGACAGAAATTGATTAAATGCATCTTACAGGAACGCTGCGGATTGGATGTCTGTTGAGAAACGTTCACACAGACGCTTTCTGGAACATCCAGAGAGGGATTAATTGTGATTTTATGTCCCCGAGGACGTGAGAAGGGTTAGTACGGACATTTTATAAGCAGAAATTACATTTACAGCTGGCTGCTGCGCCATTACGCGGCAACACGTATCGACAGGTACAATTAATACTAATGCAGACCTACTACCATGGGGGAGGGCAAACTCGTAAAAGAAGCAATATGTAAGAGTGAAGTAAAAATAACTTTGGCAACTCAACTTTTGGCACCATGTTCGATAACAAATTGCGTTTAAAATCTATACTTTATGTATCTCCCTATAAAAGAGTGGGGTGACTGTCTAATCACGATGACATCTAGGCTACGAGTAAATGACATTATCCTTTGTCATAAAATTTTATATGTTTTACCTTCTCTGATCGTTACTATAAGCATTTGCTGATATGTTTTATGAGGATTACTGATGTAAATACTAGGTACACAGGTAATATGATTTCAGGCAGGTTGCTACAGATTGCAACAACATGAGATAAAAGTAAGCTATATGGCTTGTGATGAAGCACCCTCCTTTCTGCTGCTGATCTAGGAAAAGTCTCATTTGGATACAACACACATACATATATCATAGCAGACAGGCGTCCCGACTCAACTTATGTACAATTCAGCTACTGTCGGAAACCTTAACATTGTTCAATATGCATTTTCAGTAAATGCATACAATTAATCGCATATATTCAGCTTAATTAATACAAAATACCAGCGTCGAACAAAAGACTTAGAACAGGACTATGCTGGCTGAAAAAGCTGAGACTAACGCTTGCCATGCAAATTTGGGCACACATATAAGCTCAGGTCCAATCCTTAGGATTTCGCCTGTGAAGTGTTCATCCCTATCGACCACCCGGCAATCTGTTTCCAAACTTAGTTAGCACCTCTGGGCACTAGCGTAAGCCTCTTAACATATCGGTGTGCTGCAAATCGCTTCAGCCCTGCCGCCTGCCCGTCCCTACCGCTCCAGCTGCTCCATGTCTCATCGATATTCGTTTGTCACGTCCAGGGGCAGGAGGCACCGGGAGGATCCCGGAATAAGCACGCCCCGCGCCTCGTTTGTTGGCAGCAGGGCTTCCCCTAATCGCCGCCAACAGAATTTGTGAGGCGTCAAAACGGAGAGTAATCCAGACGACTGACCCTCGGATCACACCGGTCCTGTGGCCTGAATTTCAATATACAACACCGCAGCTTGTAATATTACACCCGACTCGACTCACTACCGTTTTGAAGCGATCTATTGGTGATGTGAGCTTCCGCTGACAGGTACTCTGAGGTGTAAAGAGAGCATCTGGCACGTGAAGCAATATATGCCCTGTATTGTTTTACCAAGAAAACATTTAGAGTTCCTCCATCTGATGGCATAGACTTCATCAAACCGTTTTCTGCCTTTTGATTGTTAGATACGCTAGAGCTCTAGATCTATGATAATCTTCACGCCCTGATTCCGCTGATCAGGCTAAAATGAAAGAGGCAGAATGAGACGAATGTTGCGAATTTGATCCTGATGTGATGATACCCTCCTTTATTGGGCATGGATTTGTCTATCGTCATAAGTGGTAATCCTGACCATTACTCAAGAGCAAAAAGACCAAAGGTTCGGCTTTTGTGATTTATGAGTTCATTTCTGTAGATGGATTGAGAGGAACGGATCGGCAATCATTTCAAGTAGGTCTGGATATTATAAATCATATACGCGCGGCAGCACTAGATTCTTCAGGACGAAATAACCCTAAGGTAAAGAATATCTTTACCGCCACATTTTCAGTGGAAGACATTACCTCTTTTCTCGAAGCCTTTTCATGTAAGATTAACCCATAGATCAGAATGGCATCTCATTGGCTAAAACATCTAATAAGCTCAATCACATTTAATTCTTGAAATATGGCAGTTTTCATGCAGTATAAAACTGTATTTTCTTTTAATGCCCACGATCATGATAATGATCATTCTGGCTATTCATTAACACCTGAGCGAAGTGAGGAAAGAAGTGTAAAGTGCAATTCCCAAGGGCACAATGTTGGAGACATGGCAGGATTCGAACCCAGGACCTCTTGGTTCTGAGCCGAAAACTGCCTGTGTTGTAAGTATCTATCTGCTAAGGACGTAATTATGTAACTACCGTTTCAGGGCCACTGTTGTACCGTCCAGTGACGAGTGGCACAAGCTTTCAAAGGAGGTCTGCCCGCTGCCAGGTAAGAAAATCTCTGCATAAATGCTACACCTTCATATGTAATCTATAGCATATACAGTAGTTGATGTTTGTAGATACATAATATCTCATACTTCCCTGTAATTCAAGTTCAAACCGGCAAGAACAACGCATCATCACCGATTTATCTATAAACAACTTAACATATTGCAGTGTCTTGTTAGATCTTGACTCCTTTTTGCTAACATTATACTACATTCTACAAAATACATGGTACTAGTTTTGCTGGGTTTGACTTCTTCTTTTGAGGCAATGGAAGACGAATTTACCCACTTCTTCTATACCATGTGGGTTCTTTGATTTTAGTAGTTAAGTTTAATACGTCATACGTGAGACGTTCTACCGGAGCAGGTGGGCTGCTATTAGCGCTCTCCTGCCCAATTATGCCTTGCCATCTCGGGAATGGACCGGAATATTGCAGTCGACGCATTTTCTATCTCTACCAATTTCGCCGAACCATAACTATGTTAAAGGCATCCAATGCGACTTCAGGGCAGCAAAACTGGTAATATATTCTGAATAAGGCAATCTTTGTGATATTGGCACATACTGCTTCACATTAGCACATCAGCATTTCATACTTTGGGCATTTAAAAGTGCAGTTTTGTTTTCTGGGTGGTACCCTAAAAATCAGCCCAGGGCCTTTCCGGTGACCGTTTCCCCTCAGAATTTTGGGAAGTTTTGCTCCGCGAGGGTCAATATACATTGGGATAGTGTGGTTGCAACTCAGTACGTAGACAAATGACTAGAATGTTGACTTTGAAAAATCGGGTTTCCAAGCCCTAAAAAGTCAAATGGATGCCTTTAATGCAGTGACCTGTGGTGTAGAAGATAGCGAAAGCTTGACCAGCCACTGTACCTATAGCCTCCAAGTCGACGACAAGACCATTTTTCTAGTCAGGCTCACTCGGCTTTATTTTATCCTTATTGCTTTGATGCTGGGGTCACGGGGTTAAACACGGGGTATTTGTAGACTGTTGTAATACGTGCCCTGTGAGGTGCACTAGGACCGTATATGATTGCTTTTGCATTCTTCCAATGCCCGAGAGATTATGACCCAGAAACTAGTAACATCGCTCGGGTAATTTGGCGCATTGATTTGTAGTTGATTAATTACAGCTATAGCCGGTGATAAAGTCCAACATAATCCTGAAGTAATTATGTTGCTTGAAATTAAAAAAAATATTGCCCAAATTTCTCAGTCATGCGGATGTGGATTTATGTTATGTTTCCTCAAAATTAAAGTGCTTCATTTTGTTTACAAACACGATTAACAAATACTAATAGCTGTTGCAGTTCTTCGAGCAGATCCTACGGTGGCAAGCAGTAGCCGATCGGGCAAGCAGTGTCCCTTAGCCACCGAAATACAGCCTTGCTACCGTATGAATCTATTTGGAGACTACCACCCCCTCCAGTTTTCCTTAATGATTTTGCATACCATTATTATAACCTTGTAACGCAATACATTATGACATAATTAAGCTATTTCACGTTCAGTATTCAAGTATTATTGAACATTACACACTTGACTGCGAGTTTACTACATCTTTATATGCGGTGCCCCAAATCCTTGGATCCGTGCCGCGACACATTAAACATAACAAACATGCTATGTCTTTTACGGCCAGCTGATACGATGCTGACTCACATACGTCCTGTATGTTGGACACTTTTCTCGTCCGCATTTCATATTCTGTCGCTAGTGCACAGTGTGGAGGGGCACACTACTAATGACAGTTCAGAAGACTTGTTCAGCCCTATACATGCCAAGTTTTTAATGGCGCAGTTGCAGACGAGCTCATTATCATGCCAAAAGTGCTCAATTTAATGGAGGCCCAGGCACCGGCACATGGCAATTAAAGATCTCTTGGAATAGCACAGGAGGGTTATACAGGCTTACGCATGGTTTACCGGAAACTTGTTATTGTCCCGGTGCGTCGTGGGGAATATTCGATGGGCATGCGGATGTACATATGCAGCTCTATGCCGGGCGTCACTCTTGGCCACAGTAAAACTGTGACCAGGGTTTCTCTCAGGATGTGGGGAGGACATCTCAGCACAGTATATACTGACTAACGGTGAACACAGTTATCCAGTTAGTACTGTAAACGCTATGTGTATCGAGTGGCAGATGGCGACTGAGTGAAGTCTCCTCACAACACACGAGAAGTAAATACTAATCTGGGCAGTGTCTGCATGATTGAACGTGGTAATAAAGAAAGCGTACAGTTTATGGCTCCACGCCCACATGGATGTGCTTAGGTCGGGCAAATTCTCTAACATGCTCTCCTCTTTGTATGCAGCTATGGCTATCTTTTAAGGAAAAAATGCTCGAATTACTTGCTGTAGACAGTTGTAGAACTTGCTGAAACTACCTGGCTCTACATAATGTTTACGGTGACAAATTACAGCTGCAGTAGATAAGCTAAAAGGCGAGAGGGAAGTTCTTTATACACATAGAGTTCGCTTATAAGTATAAGATGTATAAATACAACACTTAACACATTTTTTGTTTCGCTGGCACTGCGAGACCATCCAAACTATACAAGAATTCAGTGTAAAATTATATGGTTAGTTCAAATTTCCAAAGCGCAGCACACGAGACTGATCGTAGTTAGATAGGATGTCGCCACTCAGCAGAATGGAATCGCTAATGACTGTATCATCGCAATTTTCCCTACTGCTTGTGATGATATACATCAGGCGGTATTAAGTTCTCCATCATCCTTGGCAGTTTTGACACAAGTGAAAATGGTAAAGGGCGCCCGAATAATTGAAATTTCCGTGGTTCCGAGTCACGGGTAGTTTCTTGTCTAATTGCTGGAATTCGGTGCATGGATTTATGGCGTATGTTCTGTTAACATTGCTGCTATCGGCACGGAAAGTTAACTAACTTACATACATATGATACTGTATGTTGTACTGACGCTCCGTACTGTTATAATTATCCAAGGGCGACATAAACGAAGCTTTCTTATTACACGTCATATACAAACATGAAGAGGGATCACACTGAGGGTGGTAGTAACGCATCATAAACCTTACCACGTAACCGGGAAAGTTTCTAAACGGGTAGAATACATGATCCTTAACTGTAGCTGCTTTCAGATAGGAAGAAGCATACGGAAGCTATGAACCATTGGAAATGACTTCCTGTACACGCCATTGAACATATTCCGCTCACGGCAGCAGATATAATTGTTTGTACTGGGATTTACGTACCTAAAGGCATCATAAACGGAATCACGCTTTAAAAACTACTTCCCTTTGAAGGGCGTATCAAACACTCCCTGTGTGATGATAAACATTAATGGACACGGCGAGCTGAGATGACCTCGATAACTTTGACATCATTGAGTCTGATTATCATTCCAGGTCCAGATGTCACGACCTGGGACCGTACCCTCATTTCGGCAAAAGACTTCACAGACATTTAATTGATGTCTCTATCATTGAGACGTTTGAATCCGGCCCAATTTCTCTACCATAACAACAATAACGATTTTGACTCAAGTCCTTCTTCTGTGGTGTGCAAATTACATGCCGTAAGACTCAAAGACTGTAGGGACGAAAGCATTTTGACAACTTTACCACAACATGTGTAGGATAGGTCAGTGCGTCGCATTTGTCGCCGACAGGAAGTACATTGAGAAGAAACATACAGATTAGCTAGTGAAAGAAATACAATACGAGTCATTTGTAGTAATCTTACATGTCGTCTTTTACAGCCTCTAACTCCCAGAGCAAATGCGGAAATGGGTGGTCCCAACATGGCGTCCATTGCTACCTGGTCGGGCTGCAGATGAGCACATGGGATGAGGCACGCTGGGATTGCAAAGCCAGAGGGGGGACTCTGACGAGCATAGCCAGCGACCTGGAGGAGAGTTTCGTGTCAGACAGTATACTTCAAAGGTGGGTGTACCATTGTATCATAGCAAAAGAACGCCATGACATGACCAAGATAGTTGAAGATCCTCGTCATGCTACCATGAGCAACCTACTTCTGGCCTTTGCACACTCAAGTGATAACACGCTTGTTGCCTGCCCTCCCTCACAGCGAAAGTTACAACAGTGCACATGCATTTTGGATCGGGGGCCACGACAGACGGACGGAAGCCAACTACATGTGGGTAGACGGATCGCAGTTCAGGCATTTCAGTAAGCACCTTCCGTTTTCCCTTTTCCCATTTCTAAACAAAGAAAGTACATGAAGTATTGAACTGCTACTGGTATGGCAAAAAAAACTTAAACGGTGATGATGTACGTTCTGACTGTTTTGGATGACTGAATGAAAGTGATTGGATGACTGAAATTCATCTTGATTAAATCAAAACATCGAAACAAAGCATGGGTTACTAATCCTAGTATCCTCCCAAAGACTGGTTTTCTGGATGGCCAAACCACCACAACTACGCCTCCCAGCCCAGCGATGACGGCCTGGGCAACGAGGACTGCATCGCTATCAGACAGTCCTTCCCCATCCCATCAGGAGGTCTTCAAAGCAGCAATAAACTGTACTGGAACGACGAACACTGCCAAAACCGCAATAGATATGTATGTCGTAAGGAAATCTCTTCAGGTATGCATCTATGATTGCAATGTCGTTAAGTACCTAACTCCCTGCCGCTACGTTCGTCCTTAATGACATACTCGTGATTTCTGGGTGGCTTTTACTAGCATTTATGCACTAAAATTGACGGCCACATCATACACTTGCTAGTTCGTAACACGTGTTTTATTGGTGTCTGTCTCCTATAGTCTATCTAGGAGTTGTTCCTGCCACCCCATCGTGCAACAGGACACTATCAGGGACTTCGGGAACTTTCTCCAGCCAAAACTTCCCTCGTAACTATCCCCTGGACGTTGTGTGCTTCATCACCATAAACGCACCGGAGGGCCACAGGATAGCGATAGACTTCCTATCGTTTAAGCTGGAGGAGAGTGACGGCTGCGTGGCTGACTACGTTGAAGTGAGGTCTCCTGGGATAGCTCCCGTGAGGCACTGCGGGGACTGGACCAGGCGAGTGAAGCTGCTGCGGTACATCACCAATCAGCACGTGGTGACGGTCAAGTTCGTCAGCGACTATGCCGTGACATCTTCCGGGTTTGCCGCTAGATTCTCCACGGAAAGAGGTGAGGGTCGTACCTAACTCTCTGTGGGGGTGATTAGTGGCCTGCATGTGGCTGGGTGATAATTAACAAGCACGGCTGCTGCAATTTAGAATAGAATACATCATCGTGGGGTAAAAATTTTTGAGACAAGGAAAGCACTACGCGATCGATTTGAAATTACATAACTTGCCTATAATAACTTAGAGCAGGTTTTTGTAATCAATCCAAAGTACATGTGCACTACCATTGTGCTATAGATCACCATTTGGTGTATTGACGTAACTTTATCTTTAGATAGATGAAATGATTCATGATGGAATGCAAGTACAAAACATAAAATTAGGTGAGCACTTTGTGCATTACAGAGCACTTTATCTATCTATTATTCTATGTACAAACTGCTAATGATCAGCGCAATACTAATTATGTAGCACCAGACCAATTGCCCACACCATCGCAAAGTTGTAGACAGTTGTAAAGTGGTAAACTGAATACAAATCTCCAACATCTTATTCGAGTCAAATCCTATCGACCACTTGAGAAATCAAACTCCATCCGCAGCTTTGCTGAATTACGGCGTTCTCAGCCAGCCGACTCACAGACCAACTAACCAAAGCCTGCGGATACCTACCGACCTTCCCCTTATCCGCTGGTCATAAACAGTAAACTTTCTCTGACGCAATTCCAGCTCCCTTTGCCATTTCGGTAACAGGCTGATCTTTTGATGTCTGCCGGCAACTTTATTACGCGAAGGTCTGTCGTATACCTCCCCGCAGCCTGTCTATATTTCAATGCTTACCTCACTGGTTACAGCAGGATTATCTTATCTCCTATCACGTACAAGAAGGAAAAGTAATTTTATGCTTGAAAAATCCATGCTGGGAGATATCTATTGCCCAATAAATCAGACATTACATGTAATGGCAAAACGCGTCGGGATGTCTCCCGGAATTCGGGGGACACTTTTCCAGACGTAACCCGGAGATTCCGTTCCTACTCACGGGTGGCAGAATTTATCGCGACGGGGAGACAAGATTTATGTCAGTTATTACACGGGTGAAAAATATCCGCAGGAAATACTGATACCGGCTTTCCACAGTCTGAGCTTTGAGCACATTAGAGGATAAACTCCACCTCTATCTAGCTTTGAACATGAGGATAATATTTTGAGTACATGATGCAACTAAGTGCACAGCTTTTGGCTTAGCTTACTACTGTTTTATTCGATAAAATTGAATATAAAAATTACGTATAGATAAACTTGCTGGGAATAATAAAAATGGAATAAAAGCCTAGCAATGTCAGACCGAACAAATTTGAGAAGAAAGTTACTGAACCGAAATAAAAGGCTGGAGGACGGAGGTGCTTTTAGCTGACGTCAAACAAATAAAAGCCTAGCTGCCGGAGAAAAAAAAACTCACGTTCCGCTGGGTTTAAAAACAAACTCTTGCAAATTCTAGTCACGTCCGCTTCCAAACCTTAATTCCCAGTAAGGATTTCAAACTCATCCCAAATATTTGTTGGTAAAATCCCTCTCTCGTTCATTAAGTATTATTGTCCCTGTGCACAAGGCAAGGACAGAACTAATGGATGGACCCGTTGATAAGATAGTAACGCTGGAATATGTTATCAAACGACAGCTAGATAACGCAACAACCACTACTGCTATTAAAACGTTCGCTCACTCTGTCAAATGGGCTTTTATCTGGGTCTTTCGTCCAATGTAAAAGCTGCAATTTACAGCCGAGGATTATGTATCGGGTACTACATAAAGCCCCGCCCAAAGTCCCATACGGTGGATGAGCAGCAGGACCTACACTATGCATATGGAAGATGTCTGCTACGGTAGCATTTCTTGCATATTCTTAGCGAAGGGTATATTCAAACCCAAGTTGGTTTGGTTTTTCTTTTAATTATAATGCATACCTCATGATAATGATCATTCTGGCATACTCATTAAAACCTGAGTGAGGAAAGTCGTGTTAAGTGCCTTTCCCAAGGGCACAAAGTTGGCGTATACCTAATTGGTGACAAGGCAGGATTCCGAATGCTCTGCCGTTACCTCACACGACCCCACGACAGTGTCTGTATAATCAACGAGCATAAGAGTCATTCATTGCTTAATTATTAGACACCAGTCTCACATGAACTTAGTGATGGCTACTGGTTCGAACACATTTGCCCTGCATATCTATGTGAAAGCATAAATGTATAAGTATAATGTAGAATAATAGTCTTCCCTTTCAAATTCTTGCTTCAAATCTGCTATAAGCCCATGAGGTATACAAGACAGCACACGGTGCGTTCAATTATATATGTTAAACGTTGTATACATGAATGCACACATTAAAACAAAATCGTCTACTAATACATGAAAGCATGCAATTCTAGATTAATATTCTTCCCTTTCAAATTCTTACTTCAAACCTGCTATAAACCCATAGGGTATACAAGACAGAACACTGTGCATTCGATTATATATGTTTAACGTTGTATACATGAATGCACGCATTAAAACAAAATCGTCTACTAATACATGATCGAAAGCATATTTCTAGATTAATATTCTTCCCTTTCAAATTCTTGCTTCAAATCTGCTATAAACCTATAGGGTATACACGACAGCACACGGTGCATTCAATTATATACGTTTAACGCTGTATACATGAATGCACGCATTAAAACAAAATCGTCTACGCGAAAGCGCGCATTAATACAAAAGGCAACTGTTACAGAAGATAATCTACTCCAAATCGATGCAGTTGTTACAAACTGATAAGTTACAGACTGATAAAAACACCCTTTCGCATCAATTGATGATCTCGCCCGTTAAAAGCCTGAAGGCATCGAAGTAAACAGATGACTCTGTGTTTTCAATACGCCGCTCAATCTGGCGGATTGCTCGCTGAAGCGGTGAGAACCTCATCAGAACATACGGCGGTGCAGATTTCAGTAATCTCATCTATTCCGCCAAACACCGCACTGCAGCGGAATAAGTACTTGAGTCTTTAGGTACTCGAAATAGAGATGGTGGAAGTATACACAGTCGACGGCTCTCAAGATTTCTCTCAGGCCCGACGTGAGAGTGATCGATTTATTCCAAGGACACGCGCTCACCGCTGTACTTCTTAATGACTTTACTTCTTAGAGATATTTTTGGCAACACGATTTGCCAGGAAAAGGCCTCAATCCATCAGTTTTCTTGACGGGATTTACTTTCAATTCCACATACTAATGTGAACTGGTCCACAATCTCAGAAAATGCTGACAGAGAGAAGAGAAGAGCGCTAAGAAAATGAACTGTATATGAAGGAGTGAATGGCAAAACGGTTGAACACAGATTCGAGTATGCAAAATCTTCCCCCAGGTCCATGTATCTTCTGCATTTTACTTAATAAGGGCCTACAGCTCGACTGTAGCGAGGGAGTGCGCTTTGAGTGTAATAAGTACTCTTCTAATGTAAATTCCATGTCCATAATGGCGTTCATTAGCGTTATGTTAAAATTCATGGCATCGCCCACATATCTTCTCGCCTGAGATGAAAATTTGCTGATTTATGGCTTTGTCTTGGCGGAATGAATAAAGCTGTGTTAGAAAATCCGCTTACTTTCTTCAATAACCATGAGGCTCTTCGTCAAAGGTTTTCTCTAAAGCGTTACTTGATTTCCCAAGTGTGACAGTTTTATACCGTGTACTCTTTATTATGAGTATGCATCAACTACTGTACAAAGCGTCAGTTTGACAGTTATAAGTATGTACATCAAATATGATATGACTAATGAAAAATTTAGACTATCCTGCATGCACAAGAAGCGTTTGAGTGGAACATTTCAAATTCTGCACAGTACTCAATGCTCATTTGATTCATCACAATATAAGCATCCCCAGACATCAAATAGTGATTATACATTCAGAAGCTATTATCACAACTCAGCCCATTCAATTTCACTCAAGTTCTATCTCATAATCCTCTGAATGTAGCTGAGGGATAGTCTTGGGATTTCCTCTTATGTTGGATTCTTTTGATGCTCCAATACTTCACCTTGAGTTGATATTACATCTGTACTTCGTACGTCCATAAGAGGCAATTGGCGAACATCTGAAGAATAGTTCCCCGGCTTGTGGAAGGGAAAACAACGTTTGCAAATTGCGCGCGAGCGGTTGGAGATGATTATGATGAAAAACCTTGTGGGACAAGTGAGTACTAGTCATACATACAAATCGCACTACCAAGGTCTAGTACCGAATGTGCATCACGCAAAACTAGCATAAAACCGGTACCCCGCAAAGTTGATGTTACATATCAAGTCATTGATCAGTCACCATCGACGGCGTTTCCCTTTTCAGGGCGTGCTTGAATTGCCCAATAAAGGTCGGACATCATTCACAATATACCCTTGACCCAAACGAAAACGAACCGATGAACGTACAGTGAGCACGTCCCATTAACATCTTTTGTATCTTAAAAGTACAGATGCTGTATCTAGTTCCTCATTGATTAATTCTGAAGATGTTGAAAAGAAAACCGATCTAGACTGTTCAATACTAATCTGTATTCTCAGTCTGTACAAAGTTGCATTAGCTGTTGTTTTTTTTGTGTGGAAAACACCTCTTGAAAGTTCGCCATCTGTCTGCTTTGGGGCATAAATGTGAAGACATCTGGGAAGGCGAAACACCTAACTAGGCTGGAGAATTGAGACCTTCTGAACCCTCTGAGGCAGGTTCACGTTGGCTGCTGCACCGTCATGATTTGCAGAAGGTGAAAAGCAATTGATGATTGGAACAGTCGTAATGGGCAAGCGAAGTGTGGCATTGAATAAACTACACACAAAAAAAACAACTCACATTTCCAGAACGGTAGATGAATGTTCTCAACTGCTCAGGCCTGGGAAAAATGTTGTGTTTCCTGTCTATCGACCGACCCTACAAAAAACTGCCGCCGACCCTACCCTTTTTGGATGGACCTCTGTAAGGGACATAAATTTTTCGAGCTGATCGACCATTTCTAGCTGAATGATCTGACACCTGAGTAACGTTGTACAATCCGTTTTCCAGCATTGACATTGAAAATATAAGTGTCCTCATTCAAGTTTTACTTTGTTAAACTGTATTGTGTAAGTTGGATCGCAAAGTATAATAAAAAAATAGAGAAAAAAAGATAATACCTACCGACCCTAACTTTTTCAGGACTGAAACAGGAAACACAACAAGGTTTTTGCTATGCCTTATTGCTGCGGCGAAGGGGGAGGGGGTAGCATTGAACAACTCGGTTGGACAAGAAGCAATGTTCCAGGTCTCACTGGCTTAACCTCTCGTGTATCAACTACAAGCTTATCATGTACCAGGTATTGGCGTCATTAACATTAGATACATCATGGGACATTCTATCCATGGTTGTATCAGGTTTCCGTGCAGACTAATCAACAACAGGTCAATGGCGATATTGACTTTAGCAAGTCCCATTCTTCAACTGTTGACACCGTAACATGAAGTAGCATGTCACAACGTAGAGCATCGATATATTCACTTCGGGAAATTTTCTACCATCTACCAGGCTTCGGGGGGTAGAAATTGTCCAAATAAAATGCCAGGGGAGTTGGTCCGCTCAAGGCGTATAGGAGGCAGCAAATACTTCTTTAGCTGAGCAACTCCAGTGGCATGTCATCTTTTAATTTTGCCAATTTCTACTCTTTACAGCCGCTTCCGAGGCCTGGCAGAGGCTAGACACATCATTTTCAACTTCGGATACAGTAAAATGTAGGGTTCTTCTGAAGTAAAACGTTTCATCTCACAAAGTTGTAAAACCTCACAGAGAGGACGTGGATGGTGTGTGAACGAGTCGCATGTAGATCCCAATCTACAGACTAAGAAATTCTCCGACTTACATGAACATTACCGATACAACATGTGACGTACTTGGGATCTGCCAGCCATTTCTCATATATGCGCAGTCATGCCTTCATTCATTAAGCCTAGTACGAAGTTGCATGCTGCTTTTCGTCATAAAATTTGTTTTGATGGTATGTCTTGATCAAACGCGTTCAACGTATACTTTTAGTACCAGCTAGGACCCTATTGTGTCATGTACGTAAAGCCAAGTACAATACAAGATTATCATACTATAACATACCCGTACTTTAGCACTAACATGTTTACGATGTGTGGCTTTGTACTCAAAATTGAGCACCTGGCGTCTGGCCCTCTCTGACTTCCCCCGAGTTTCCTCCGAGCCCGTGTATAATGAACAATCACTGGTGACTCTTGGGGGCGCCCGGGAGTCTGAGAGGTAGTTTTGTGTCTCATCCGCTCTCGTTATTGAAAAGTTTACTGTCTATCATAGACTGTTTAACACTGTAGGCACGCAGGGATCTTCGTCATATGAACACAAAACAGAGGAGCCCCTGTTGGATTCTTTTTTTTTTTACTTTTTAGAGGGACATTTGTTTGATGGGTACAAGTCATGCGAATGAAAACCTTATTTGCATAGTTAATAGAAAATACTATGATACAACGTTGGGGAATCTCATACTTGCGGCACTCAGAAGTTACGTGAGAGTGAACATGGTTGAATAGAGAATATGCAAATGAGGAAATAATTTGCATAATCCCCACGTCATCGGTGTGTTTAACACCACTCTATATTTCTTCATAAGCTATCTTGCACTGCTATGCCTCGTAGTGCCTAAAGCAGACCTAAAAGTGCTACTCTGTCCACCGTCACAAAGGAAAATTAGTTATAGCCTTGACATACATAGATCAAACAACCCCACGGTGTTCATTCTAGTATATTTCTATGAAAATGATTTAATGATATTGTAGTTTTAGTTGTCCCCTGGGAACCAGAACGACCACAGCTCTAATTTCGGTCGATGAAAATTTTTCGCCGTTTGCCCATTCCGCCATCTTGTATCGATCTCTGTAATTAGGACAGATTGACCTGAAACAGTCGTAATGGCAGGGATGACAGCTGATATAATGTGAGGGAATCATGAAACTGTTAAACAGTGTTGTTTGCGGGACATGATAAATGTCTTCGTCGCACGGTTAAGTATACAGAGATTACCTCTAAAATTACCCAGGGTGGGTCAATGCAGACCAACCTACTAGTGACGTTGATCTTAATTTCACGTGAAAGCTTTATCCTGTAAAGTTTATACGTACGTACGACGTTTTAATGCAAGCAGTATCTTATGCCATTTACTGCCTTAGCTACAACAATAGAATATGGCACACCGGTAGGTCAAGGTAGAAGTTCATTTGGTGCTACGGAAATACACTGCGCCCGTCGACGTCGATTGGTATTATTACTATGCCACATTTCTTTTTATCAGTTTCTCTAAATAAAATGATATATCGATGACAAAACAGACACGAAGACTTCTAATACCGCTGTCTATTTAGCTAAGTAGCTACGAAATGCACTCAATTTTTGGATAATTTTGTCATGTAGGTAATTTTGTTATCCGATCAGTATACATATTATATCCCTCAAATAAGTCATAAGTTACGAGCTACATTTATAGACTATGCAATGTTTATCATCATGCATATACCAATTGCAACGGTATTGGTCATATCAATTAATGTGGGAGCTATTTATGTATTCTTAAATCCTATAACATATATGACATTTGGAGGGCCGTCAGTGATGTTAAAGAGTCTATCGTTTGTTTGGAACTTTGCCATCATCGGTACGATTACGGATTGGCTCTTGTGTCTGTCCCTAGAGAGAGTGCCAACGTCCCGTACTTATTGGCAGTGTCAGCCACAGACATATTGCAGTTAATTATGTAGAAAATGCATCAATGCTCAAGTCTACGGACTTGATGATATTCCATCATCGATTAAAACTTTGCCGATATTTTTTGTCACATCCTCTCGTATTCATATCACGTTCCCGTAACGTTGTGCCGCCGACTTTGCATAAAGCTCCACTCTCTATTCCTAGGATTTAGAGCTATTAGCTAGGGATCGATTTGGTTCCAAGGATGTTTTGGCAGCTTGCATGAAGTCTGAAGATAAAAGCGATCACCTCCGTGAATAGTTTCATCAGGTTGGTAAGACACTAAGTAAAAATACTCTTTTTACACAACCAAGTCTTTTATTCAGCCGACGTTTCGGTGACCGTCTGTCACCTTCTTCAGGGTAATTCTGACTGGTTCACATTGCACTGCAGCACAGGTGTCGCTGCTATAAATGAATTCTCTGTGCTGCAGTGCAATGTGAACCAGTCAGAATTGCCCTGAGGAAGGTGACAGACGGTCACCGAAACGTCGGCTGAATAAAAGACTTGGTTGTGTAAAAAGATTCCCTTTTTACCTCCATGAAATTACCTCCATGAAAAATGGAGGTATTGTTTTTGGCGTGTCTGTCTGTATGTCTGTGTGTGTGTGTGTGTGTGTCTGTCTGTGTGTGTGTGTGTGTGTTTCCGCAACTTTGTAGTCAGCATAACTTCAGAGCGGGATTGTGATGATATTTGGTATGATGGTAAGTCTTGAAAAGACAAAGGTCAAGGTCAAGTATGGGCCTCCTGGTGGATGACCTTAGTACTGCAGCAGAACTTCCGGTTTTTGTGGTCTTGATTTTTTGGTGACAGATAGCTTGTCCTGTCAGGAATAAGTGGCGTAAGTTTGGTCCCCCTAGCAGTTTGTTCTGAAACTGCAGGTTAGTTTCTGGTAAAAACTTTCAAAGCCAATAAGTCCAGATTTGAACAACGTATTTTCATCATTTTTGGTGTGTAGGTACCTGAGAGACAGTTGTACATGATTAAATGCAAATTATGCAAATGAGGACTTCATTTGCATAATTAATGAGGGAATTCTATAATTACAGTGTTTCATATAATGGTACTGCTATACATGTAATCTATTTAATGTGTGGCAGGCGGAACATCAACAGATACCAATTATGCAAATGATGACCTATTTTGCATAATTAATGTGAAAATTCTGTGAATCCTTATTGGTGAATGATGGGAATTTTATACCTGTAACATGTGTAAGTTACTTAAAGGTTTGCATCGCTATGCATATATTATGTTAATGTAGAGGTTATTTGCATAATTAATGAGGACATAATTAACAAAGCAAGCCCATATTTCATGGAGGTATGAGATCTCGGAACTCTTGTGTCAATAGTGACCACCTGTGCAGGACTATGAAAAGTTACGGGTTTTCAGTCTTCCAGGATATAACCAACCAGACAATTTAGTCCCAGACTACCATAAAAGTTATTACCTTTGTCGGATAAAGATGATGTGGGTATGATTACTACAGGGGATCTCTTCACTCGTCAGGGAAGGCTTAACTTAATAGTACACACTGGCTGAGTTATCTAGATATGACTCTTCTTAGTTACGCAATGAATGCAACACAACCATTAATGTTACAAAGCGTAACACTATGCAATGAATCTTTATATAGCTAGCGCCCTGGGATATTGATGGTATCAAGAACTTAGACTAACGGAGCAACTGACTTTGACAAAAGAGGTAATTTTGCGGAAAGAGATAGGGAAGCAAATAGGGCAGTGTAGAATCAGCTCCGGATTTCTGCGGCATACATATTTCCGCTTCTGGCGAGGAGACCTACGGATCACACATACAGAGTACTCATTTTAAATCCTACTGAACTCTATCGGTGTGAGTGAAAGAATGCGTGACGTCAGTTAACATGTGTCACGTCTTAGGAATTAAATCAGCGCTATGACATCAGTGCCTGACATGCTGCCATACCTCGGAACATATGATAAGCAAGACAAAATAACATTTGCAAAGCATAATGTTTACATGATCAAGCCTAACAAAATCTAGCACATGATTAACAAAATAATTGATTCATTTTGTATATAATACATGTATATAGTGCGCAGCAGCCTCCAACTCTGTTCTGCTACAAAATGTAACCCGACACCACATACAGGATATCTGCTACAGCACTAGTTACCATGGTGACAGACGTCTGGTCCAGGTCATTTGGAGAAGAAGAAGAGGAGGAGGAAGAAACAAAGCAAAAAAAAACAAACAAACGATATAATAACTTACAAGTTCCCTATATCGTTACTTTTGCTGGAGTTTCTGGAATCGCAGAAAGCAAGACACAGTATTGATCAGTGTAGTATCTCTGTATAACCAACAGCCTTGATACAATGCAAAGTAGATAACATTTTTATCAAACTCAATGAAAGTGCCTCTATCGATCAATGCAGACTATCATAATACTTGGTAAGAACATCGCACTTGTCTCTTGCAGAGCGCAGTGACTGTCAGGAGCCGGGCTGGCTGCAGTACCGGACCCACTGTTACCGGGTGATCGCCTCCCCGCTGGTGTCCTGGCAGACTGCGAGCGCGACCTGTCAGGACCTCGCCGCCAGGTTAACCAGCGTGTTCGACGCGACGGAAGGGCGCTTTCTGGTAGACCTATTGATGCAGGTATGGTAAAACCAAGCTCCTTGGTAAAATAACAGTTTAAAAAGAACTTTATTGACCCAGCAAAAGTACAGCGACTTTCGTAAGGTCTATAACTAGACATAGAGACATACACATGGGTACAAAAAAAATTGGCCTACGTACAAGACTAGATGAATCATATTATACTACTTGTTCTAAGGTCTAAACACTCTTTGATATATTTACCTATCTGTACACATGTACAGTAAGGGTTACCTTCTAAAATGAAATTGAATTTATCTATAGCATGAAATTTAATAAGCAAGCGGAAAGAAGGTTGAACAACTTTGTGCGTTTATCATCATATAGTGGACAACCCATAATAAAATGCCGTTCATCTTTAAATGAGAGACTTTATTTACCACATATGGAACGACAACTATCCCGATTGTGGTGCAGGGATGTTTCCAATGTTGAAACTCCCTGCAAAAAGTTCTGTCTTTTGAAAGAAAAGAATCGAATTACTGTTAAGACGCACAGACAGTAACTTCAAAGCAAATGTTTTCTTTGCCGACTTCTTTTCTTCACGCCCCAACGACTACCGCAGAGGGAAGACTTCGATCCAAAAATCCTTTACTGGCTGGGCGCCAGGCGGCATCCAGGGCGGGAAGAGTGGCACTGGACGGACGGGTCTGACTTCAGATTCAGAGGTGATATATGTGCTCCTACCTGTGTATCAATTCTCCATCAGGAAAGATTTTCGGTAGAAGACATTGGGTAGTCTTAGGTGCCAGAAAGCTCCTGAGAGAACGTAAGAGAATCCAAAGGAAAATGCTCTGTATTATAAAGTGAAGCAATCATGCGCTACTTGATGATGATAATGCGTCTGCTAGCTTTTACAATCAATCAGTAGCGTTGTAGACGGGGTAGGTTACTAAGGACAGGGGTCAGGAAATCAATTTTCCATTGCGCTTTGTTTTCCCGCAGACTGGATCCCGGGTCGGAACGTGACAAGCCATAACTCACAGCGGGCTCCGCGGGAGGAGTGCCTGGCTCTTCAGTACGGGCCCGGGGGGAACGACGGCGGCCAGGCGGGCCTGGAGGACCGGCTGTACTGGAACGGAATCAGCTGCTCGAGCAAAGCTCGATACGTCTGCAAGAAAGACGCTTCAGGTAGACTCCGCTCCGGGGAACAGACTTGCTACATTGGTGCCTAATAACCTGCGTGTCCATTAATTACAAATTGTCTCCCGATACTGCAGTAATGGCTCTGACAAAATCACATTAAACTCTGCCTGAACATCATTCATGAGCAATGATAAAGTTAACACGTACAGCACTCTCTCTCAACTTCACGGGGGACAATGGTATATTATACGAGACCAATATTCACCCTATTTGAAAGCCATCTACCATTCACCACACCACTCGCTGCTTTTTGAGACATTCTGATACAAAAAAAATGTTCTAGACCACAAGTTATGCATACAGTCGTCCAAAGACCACGGCATCATACCATTTCCACCCAGCGTGGCGCTACCAGTACGGTGACTTGGTGAACCATTATGCCGACGTCTGACAAATTAAAGCCTTCATCGCCCTAACAGTTCGGGTATATTGCGGCATACTTTAGTGTAATCAGATCCCAGCGGTGTAAGTCATGAAAACTCAGCGGCAATTCGTCTCCGGGAAAAGGTTATCGCGGTTCATGATCCAAGTAAATTCCCCATTATCGTTTATCAGACTAATGCAGGAGAAGAGAGGAGGTTTCTCATGAGGATGAGCACTTAGAGTAAAGCTCATGTCAATAACTCAGGCTTGGTTTAATATTATTTGTCTATCGCCATGAGCGGCGTCGCGCGATCGTCAATGTCGTCTCAGGAAGGTGCAAATATATTGGGTTGTGGTAAATAGATTCCCCTCAGTTGTACGTGGCAACCCCGTTGTGAAACTTGTTCTATAGATCTGCTCTTGGAATGACGTCTATTAAATGGATTACACTCTAGGTATAGATACAAGGTGCTCTTGTAATCGTGTTAGTATAAAAGCTGTTCACCTCGGAGTAACAATGCCTGTCTTGTTTTCTTTTACATTTTTACAGCACAAACAAATCAGCGGATACCACACGCAAGCAACGTCATCATAAGGGGGTTGAATGGGACGATTCGCAGCCCAAACTTTCCCCATTTTTATCCCAAGAACTCCAACTACACCGTAACCATGACGGCACCCAGAGGATACAGACTGGCTTTGCGCTTTACAAGTTTTTGTGTAGAATATCAAGAAAACTGCCTGTATGACTACGTCGTTATTCAAGATGGCGACGATGGGCCAACAACAAAGAATTGCGGAAACTACACCTCTAACCTCCAGGATCTTCAAAGAGTTTCCCTGGGCGATACGCTCCGTATTACACTGATATCTGACCACTCCAACTCATGCAGTGGGTTTGAAGCGTCCTTCAAAGCTATAAATGTGGAACTGTGTAAGAACGAGACACACACGTCATCTAATGGTACCCTGGAAAGTTTATCATTCTGGGGAAGCTACTTCAACAACGTGGACTGCACGACAACGGTGACAGCTCCCGAGGGCTACCGGGTGTTCTTTGAATTCACGTCGTTCCATCTGCAGTACTCTCGGGATTGTCGGCGGGATTTTCTACAGATGTTTCTGGACGGAGACGACATTGCCGTGACACTGTGCGGAGATAGGACTAGAGACCTGCAGCGTATGAAGTACATCACATACGGGAGCCTGCTGAGGTTACGGTTCCATTCGGACGGCCAGGGAAGCTATCCTGGGTACATAGCGGCGTACACTACAGGTAAGGGTGCCTCACTGCTGCTTTCACAGCCCAACGAATATGATGTTCAGATGTCTTGATGTTCAGAATTTGTAGATAAATATAGTTTTCTATCTATTCTAAAATGTATGATTAGGGATATACTAATAATTCCCTTTTACAGTAGATGCCAGTTTTATTTGCAAAACGCTTTGTAGCAAAAACCTGCCAACTGCAAAGGATTATGAAAACCCAAACTGTTTCCCATTTATAAAAACGGCATCTTTATGAACCCTTTGATGGGTAGGACTTCCCAGGCCAACTGTATGATATAGCACAAAGGGAAGACCTCATATGGTCAATCTGTTGCAACTCTGTCATTCTTACAACTTTTCAGTCCAAGAAGTGTCCGGGGCGGTGGAACTAGACGCGCGCCACGCAGGGACTATGCAATCTCCCAACTTCCCCTACCCCTACCCCAGCGGACTGGACTACCATTACGTCCTCCACGCGCCGAAGGGCCACAAGGTCATGCTGTCCTTCTCCACCTTCGACATTCTGAAGTCCAACAACTGCACACAGGACCACGTGGTGCTGGTCGGGGTGGAGAGAGGAGGCGAGGTGGTGCTGTGTGGGGAGATCACCGACAGGTACGTGAAACACAGGTGGGGTCGTGTGGCGTAACAACAGACCGTTCGGCTCGGAACCAAGAGGTCCCGGGTTCGAATCCTGCCATGCCACCGATCTTGTACCCTTGGGAAAAGCACTTTCTTCACTATACATGTCTGTTGTCCGTTTGTCTGCGTTGGTGGCGGCATAAAGATAAATTGAAAAAAAACTTGGGCGTACCGTCGCCATGTCTTGTAATAAATTTTGGAATAGAAAAAAAGGTATGTGAAACACATTTCCGTCTTGGATGTAGCGGGAAAATGACTGAGTCTGTGGGAGGTTAAGAATGACAAACGACAACATTCCAAACCACCACAGCACACTGTATAGTCTTGTGCTATCGAAGACGTACATTTTTCAGCTTATGCTGAAACATAGAAACCAAAGCAAGAGACCCCGACGTGCCCCCAAAATACGACCACGCCTAAGAGCCCCAGACTATACCTTTCTGAACTATTATTCTTTCTGCTAGGTATGCCCCAGACACCATGCGTGAACCAATACACCATTTCCAAATGAATCCCCTGACTGTCTGTTAATTTTCCCCCTGTCCTTTTCATGCCCTAGGCAGTTTGAGATATGGAAGCTTATCGCAATATTCCAGGTGACTCGTGAACTACGCGGCACATTGTTGATTGAATACTGAATACTGCCACACCGATGATACAATGATGCTATCAAAGCTAATTCAGAGCTTGAAATTAATGGTGTCCCGATGGCCACTGATAACTGAAATTTAGGCCGGGACAACTAAAAAGTCTCTTTGGGACAGTTTTGGGACAACGGAAAAATAATCAACATTAGAATGTCAGCCCTTCTTTAGCCCCGGAAAAGCCCCCAAAATTTCTCCCTAAACTCTGCAAAAATATACTAGTAGAGTGCCTGGAAGTCATATATTAAGCAAAATAAAGTTTTTGTCATACCGAAAAATAGGTTGGTACAATTCATCCTCAGAAATTTATTTTCGGGACAATGCTGGGGCATTGGGGAAAAGTTTATTTTGAGGCCTGTGATTTTTGACAATGGTTGGTCAGAGTTGCCGCGGTGTGCTTGATGAGCCCACATCACCAGTGGCAGTCTGTCTACCATCACACAATGAAATCGATTTCCAGCCGCGCTGTATACTGTAGAGTCCACGACACTTGCGTTATTTACCGAGGACCCTCTCAGCTTCCCATGATAGAGGAAGATGCATGTCTGGAGAGAATGAACCCTTCATTTCTACCAAGGCAGCATTATCCCGAAGTGCCTCCCAGCGCTACTAGTGGTATCAGTTAGATGGATACAGACTTGAGTGACCCGGGGCTATAACTTTCCCAATGACATGTCTTTCTGTTTTATTCCGCTAGAGGGACGTTACAGTACACGTCCATCAGCCGTACCCTGGTGGTTCGGTTCGTTGCCGGGAATGCCACCAATGCTGGGACCGGAGCTGGGTTCATCGCCGACTATTTCAGCGTTCCAAGTAAGGAAGTTTTCATTCTAAAATATGCCAAAGGAGACAATTGCGACAATAAAGGAGGCATTTGTGATCTGAAAATTAAAAGAAATTAGCTTATACGTATTTTAATTTGTCTAAAAAAAAGTTTCTCCTAACCAATGTGTCACAAATAGTCATGGGTTGCACAGCTAAATACACTTCATGGTCTGGTCATTTTTACATTCGTCTAGTATAGTACATAACATGACGCTAATGCCAAGCCTCAGCAATGTTTTATGGACACAGCTCTTCCACTTTATGAACAAATGGCTCCTGTACTAAAATGTTGATTCCTCGTAATCCTCGTCACATTCGACCGTCCATGCAATTGTACATCGTTACGTTACATTGTAAATTCGATAAGGCGGTAAAAACTCAGCATGTTAGTGGACATTGTACCATTTATTCCTTTTATGTATTTTTTTCTCCACCTCTTTCCACAGAGAACAGGACGGTGGTATCTAACACGGCCGTGTGTCCTGGCGCGCTCCCGGGGTACTACTGCACGTGTCAGCCGACTAGAACAGGTGCGCTTTTGGCGACGCCTCTGGGCCTAGCCAAATAGTGTAGATTATATGCTCGATTGCGTGAATTTCCCGCGTTACAGTGTCACTGTCCCCTACCCCACCTAACGGGGACTTTTGAAATCCCCATATAAATCATGCGAGCCGGACCATGTCCACGTATGTGTATCAAAGAACTAAGCTATACATTCCTTCCTCCAAGTGATCTTTCAGAAAGTCTTGACATTGGCACTGACACAGTGCTGGCAACCGACGACAAGCGATCAACTGAAAACCTAGATTTCTCATGTTTAACGTTGGGCAATTTCCAAAACAGCGTCAGTTCCTGTTTTACGTAGCTGATCAGGCTGAAGGGCGCAGGATACAGACACCAGGGCTCCTCAACCTAAGCCCCATGGCGCCTGGACCGTTAGCCAGTCAATAATACAGGCTTATGCTCCACCACAAAGTGATAAACTTTTCTATTGATTTTAATTAACCCTGAGTACTCATATAAGCTAGGCGCTGAAAACTGGTTAAAGAGAAATCACTGATGCCAGCCTGTGTGATTGCGTTGTCAATCATTTTTAGACCGATTTTAGTTTTATATGCTGGCAACAAATATTATAGAATGATGACTATAACTAAAATCTTATCAGCAGTAATTACTGGAGCCACTCGTCTGACTGGCACAACAGTTAAATTACAAACCGACAGCTAGTGAAAGCAATTCGATCGGAAGAATCAATTTTCACTAACAAGCTTGCTAAGGAAGGGTTTTAGCGCTGAATTTCCCGATCTTAGATCCACCAGTCTACTAAATGTGAGGATAACCTTGCTCCAAATCCAGTGAAGCTGAAATGATCGCGGAAGCCTAACTATTAGAGCAGACTGAATTTTGGCTTCCTTTATCTGTGTAAAGCGTATTGTGAGCTGAGCTGGCCATGCTGGGCGATAACTGTAGTATGGTCGTTAGTACAGCTTAGCCGTCACAGATGCCTGCGATTTAAGTTGGCACTACTAGTACAGGCTGAGGTCAACCAATCATTTGAGTAAAATATAATTTCACCGTGTTAAGCTAAGCTAATGTATAGAGAGATGGAGGGGGGATATATCTTTTGGCCTCTCTATGCCCCTTATCAGATATAAGCACAAGACAAAATGACCGTTAAGTACAGCCTTGTAGAAAAGATCATTATCGATGGAATTGACAAAAATAATCTAATCGACATTTCGCTAAAGCTGATTTCTTTCTACATTGGGGGCAACAGTCAAAGTCAACTAATGTACAAACTATTCGCATTTATTTCTACAGAGTGCATCAAAATAGAGGACACTGTCCGGGACACCACGCCGATCCGTTCTACAGGAGGAGGGAGCGGGGGAGGGGTGTACATAGCTGACTCCTTCTGGGCAGGCATCTGTATCATCATCCTCATGCCGCTGACGGTCTGGGTGGTGGTGTGTGTACAGAAGAACCGCGCGGACTGTCGCAGGGACCCGGAAAAGGCGGCCAAGAGGTACAACATTGGAGAAGACTCAGGTAAACACATGGTTTTGTTCAGAGTCAAGCAATTGTAAGCATAATTATGTAACCGTGGTGCTGAGCAGCATTCTATCTTCATGTTTGGATTTTAAAATTTTGATCCAACAGAAAGACGTTCTATCGCCTAGAGCTTTCGACCATTCACTCTGGTCTTCCTCAGTAGACTGACCCAGTGAGACTTGTCACGTGGCTTCTTTGAAGTGTGACGTCAACACTGGGTCAAAGGTATCTGGTACACGATGTCGGCCCCCGTCACTGGGTCTGTCTACTGACTCAGATGAAGACCAGGGTGACTGGTGGAAATCTCAAGATGAGACAACCCCTTTGTGTTGGATCAAAAGTTCTAAATTCAAACATGTATACCAACACAGATGAGCTTTCATGATATTCTTCATCTTCATCTTTTTTTCATTGCGTTTCTGTGATAAAGATTGCCATAACTATTCCTACGCTTCCTTGCAGAGGCGGCTGACCCCATCGCAACGACAGAAGCGTCTCTAGCCAAGAAGAAACTGAACAAGAAATGCCCGGACAGACGGAAACAGGCGAAAGATAAAGACAAAACGTCGTGCAGATTATTTTGCTGCAGACCAAGGTTTCTTTCACTTCCTTGTTCCATTTTTCTTCGACTTAAATGTGATAGCGATAGCAATGTGATAGATGGGAGAGAAAGGACAGAACAATACGGTTGCATATTAGCTATAGTTGTACCCGATTTTGTACAGATGATACACAGAGGACGACACCATCAATTGTCCCTGGCAAGGCCTTAAACAATCAATAAAATGTGAGCTGCGCCACCTTTTGGTTGACCCCTCAGATGACACAGTAAGCATTTTTCTATAGAAGGGCTTACCTCTCCCTCTCAACATACCTTATCGGCTAAACATGCACACGGTTTTATTGATTGTGTGGGCACAAAAAGTATTGACTGCTTTGTTAGAAAGTAAGACATGAATACATACAAACTAGAAAAGCTGTTGTATGTGAAGTTGAATATGTTTTAGTTTTATAGAAATAAAAGGTGCTAAAGTGTACTTAGGTTGTAATGAAGAATGATGCAACTGGTGATACGTGATATGTACTTTTTTTGCATTCTGTTCTGTGATTTGGAAACTTGCAAGTCTAGACCTAATCCAATGGTATATGCAAATTGCATGCTGCCAAACATCTTACATTCAATTTGAAAAATACATGAAAAATTACTAGTAAATAGAGTCAATAGAAACACAAAGTTAGCTCTTAAACAACATCATACTGACACCATTGAACCCCTAGCCTGTTTTTATTCAGTCTGCAAAATGCAGGTTGCTTGTCTTCCTGCAATATTGAAAATGTCTCTGCAAAATACAGACTGCAGAGGGGCATTTCTAACACTGAAGTGTGTATTGTTCCAGCGGCTGCTGTAAGCCCAGTGGGTGCTGTGCGTGCTGCTGCTGCCAGCGGCGGGACCTGGAGAGGGACGGCAGCAGCATCAGGAAAAGTGTGGAGGATGACGACACCACGGGGGAGGAGTCAGAGGAAGACTCACTGGAGAAGGTCAAATTGAGAAAGTAGGTAATGCGGAGCTCATCATCTGTTATCATTTATAGATGTATGCAAGGACAGCAAGACTGACAATGAAAACATACATTGCCATGGCGACGGTGGTTGTTGTAAGGGTTATTGTTTACATGGCACTGTCATAATTTTATGATTTTGGGGAAAGTAGATCATCCCTGCAGAAAGTTTCATTTTCCCAAGGGTTTGCAGGAATTTTACTGAGTAGGATTGTGGGCATGGATGTGTGTCAGCAAAATTCCAGAGCTGGGAGACATTCCTGTGGACATTCCATGCCTGTGGATAAAATTCCTGTACAATTCCAAGAATTCTTGCAAACTGCACACGATACTGTACCATTAGGCTCCTCCCTGAGGCGTCGCCAAAAATCAAAATACCGTTCTAGTGTTGTGATGTTACAAGGGAAAATAATATTTCTTTAATCCTACCATCTGTTTAATGACCCCCACAGATTCTACTTTGTAGAATCCTGGTGCGTTAAAACGACTCTGCAGAAACGAGATAACAAACAAAAGAACGCGCTTTCGCGCACACGTTTTCTATGGAGAGGATTAACTTGGTGCCTTCACTGCGTGATGAGAAAAGATCACGCATCTGAATAATGTCATTAGTGCATGGTGCCCGTCGGGAACTACTCGTCAGCACAGTACAGTTCTTTTAGCCATACTTATCACATTTTGTTAATGACAGTAAATATAGCGAGGGATGACATTCGCCTCTAGCCTGAGTGTCAGCCTTGTTAGCTTTCGTCCGCTACCCAAGGTCCGCTCCCCGCCCGTTGGCGGGGAGCGGACCTTGGGTAGCGGACGAAAGCTAACAAGGCTGACACTCAGGCTAATTCGCCTCCACATGGTAGACACTTCCCTGTTAGTATATAGAACTATTGCAACAAGAGCAAAAACCAAGTTGAAATACAGAGGGGTACTATAATTCTGGCGTTAATGCCCAGCGAACCCATCTAACTTAAAGCTGAACCAGACTCATCTGTACCAGGCATGGTTCTCTATTTCTGTTACGTAAGTTTTTCATTGCCACCTTTTTTTCTGTATGTGTTATGTGTTGTTTTTTAGGATAAGCAAAGACTACTTGACCGTGGACAGGTACTTCAGCGACGACCAGATTAGGAAGTACAACGGCGGGCGTTACGATCCCGCCGAGGACGCCATGAGGAATGGACTGATAAATGTGGACTACACGCCTTCATACATCCCACAGAGGTGAGACAGAAGGTAACGTGGTGTCTACAACCTGATGTAGTAACTAACAACCTACATGTACGATATTGGCATTGGTTTGGGGGCGATAGTACAATTACACCAAATTATACTACCAGGTATATACATCCACCAGACTCCTTGGCATGCTGAATAAATAGTAGAAATTTATTTAGCCTGCAAAAGAGTCTGGTAGAGACTGTACATATGTGACCTAGCTTCATGTGCTTTTTATGCATGGAAAACTGAGAACCTGTGCTGCAATGTGTCTACAATGAAAATATAGGAAACCTTTATTGTAAATTTCCCGGGAATGGGCATCACGAAATCAGTTTTCGTCAGACTGAAAAAAACACAACATGTTAGGTACAACAATAATTTTTGTTGAATTAATTCATATTTCCATCCCATGAGCATGACCGTGAATCCACAGACCACACATTATCAAAGATAAAACTCGCACACGTGGATTCATGGTATTCACAGTATCAATGATAACATTAATCTATTTCTATATTGTGTATTCTCTACCTTCAGGAAGGACAGCAGGACAATGGAAGAAGAAGAAATGAGAAAAATCAAAGTACAACTGGTAGATGAGGAAGAAAACAAGGCTGGCATTGCCGTACAAGTCACACAACTGTAAAATGACAAAATGAAAAAAACACAATATTGATCTCATACAAATAAATGGTTACATAATATGTACAATATCTCACAAGAACAGTAATATTCCATGATACTACTTGTTGATCAGTCAGGTCTGTTTGAAAGTGATAACGTCCAAAACAACTCAGATAATATGATGAAACAGATAAATGTAGAATGGAGTAAGAAAATCCAATGGCATACACTAATCTCCAAACAGATCTTTTGGTGGCTGTATCAAATTGGCCAGGCAGTATCCAATATGCAACCAGTGGTAGTATCCAATGGATTGTCAACGCTACATTATGGAGCATCGTTTGTGATTGAATATACATCCTGCTGTTTCATGACAGTACCTAGAACTTTTAACCAAGGCGGTTATATACAAGGAGGTGATATAACTTAAAAGGTTATATATGACACACAAATGGCTATACATGTGTAGCAGGATATCAAACTGGAACACTAATATATGTGTCCATTCACAATATCTGATGAATATTTCCTATGGTGAACTATGACAAGTTGATAATTTCATCTACAAAGATGTTATGACCAAGCACATGGCTTTCATGAGTTTTATATGTATATATCTCTGGGGTTGAAAAAAACAACAGGAACTTCTAAGACATTACTGACAATCTGCCTTGAGTCGGAATGGAGCCAAGGACATTTTACATGGACTGAAAACTGATTTTTGCTGAAATAGTTCCTTTTGTACGTGTAAAATAATGTAAAATAGGACGTCATGATAGTAGACTAGACATGTACAATATCAATATCATCGCTGGAGCACCTGTCCCATCCAATAATATGTACGTCTGCTTGTCTAGCATTGCTTTTGTACCAACGCTGAAGTCTTGTATTGTAGCGTATGTTAAGTGCCAAGATTATGGACTGTTGTCCTCAAATTCCATGTAAATTAAAGTCAGAACCTGTAACCTTTCTATGGTTCATTCATTTTTCATTTCCAGATGCCTTCTGCCTGTTTAAGATATAACTTAATTGAAAATCCATCCGAGAGAGCCTATTGAATTCAAACCAAGTACAATATGTGCTGGTAAATAGCGTGGGTATATGCCTAACAAAGAGAGGACTAAATTAAATGTATTAAAAACATTAAGTGGCATTACAACGTATGCCGTAAATTATTCTAAATCTACTTCTGCTCTATAGCTGTCTACTAGTATAAGCCTTGACAAAAAATGAAACCTTCGAGTTCTTTTCTTCACTTAACTATGCCCTACATTTTGGTTGGTAGGTAAATTTGATGGCAGTATCCACTTTCATCTACGTTGACCACTTTGGATTGTAAAATGTCACCAGGGAAAAGAGAAACTGCAGAACTGCCACATTACCTTACTTCAAAAACATTGTAAGGTCTTCTGAAGCAGATGTTGTTAGCCTATGCCGTCATATCAGTTAGTGAAAAGTCAAATGGTTTCCGGCTTTCCATTGGTTTCCAGAGGGACCCAGGTGTTGTGCCCATCTTTAATTGCCGGATCACTCCTCGGTTCAAAACGACTTACGCGCATCAAAGATGAAACCATCCCTGAAAGGGTATTTCATTTCCTGCTTGTCTTAGATCTGGATGAAGGGATCAACCTTTCACACTCATCAACCTAGCCTCTACCAGACTTCGGGAGGCGGCTGGAAAGAACAGAAATTGTCCAAAGAGAGAGTTGGTCCACTAGAGAGTACAGTTTGCCACCTCACGCAGCAAACTGAACTCTCTAGCGGACCAACTCCCCGGCATGTTATCTCTCTATTTGGCCGATTTCTACTCTTTCCAACTGCTGGCCGTGTGGCAATCCGCTAGCTTTACTTAATGGCTGAGCTCCAAGTCAGCCGAAATGTTAGTCAAAAGTGAAACGACGCATTTGCAAAACAGATTTTTGCTGTGAGCTGTCTATTAGGGCTCACGCAGGAGCTTATGTCTTACTGATGGGTAGTTTTGACGTTTTTCAGAAAAAAAAGTGACTGTAAGCAGCACTAGAACATAGGGGAAGAGCATAGACCACATGCACTACAAATCGTATATATTAATAAGGAGCTTCACATCAGATGCCCTAGTACACAATAAAGTAACCCATTTGAAAAGCAAATTTAGTTTTGAGGTGGCTAGAACAAGACTCATAATACTTAAAATCATGTTTATGGTTAGAGATATGTAGCCTGGGTGCCATCCAGATTTTCGCTCCGCAGCGCTCGAAAAAATCATGGTACCGGATATATAAAGCAACCAATGATTGAAAAAAGAAGATACTGGTATACAAAATAGCTCCCTTTTATTGTGTGCTTTCCTTATAACCTTCTGCAGTGACAAAAACCTGGAAACCCTCAAAACATTGATACATGTTATTATATAAATACATGCAAACATTTCAAAAACAAATACAACATGCTTTGTATAAAACAATGCTACTAATAATGCCTTAGTCCTAAAACTAAATTCTGAGTTAGAAGTCTAACCCAGACATACAGTATATTTCTGTTGTGCACATGTATTTGCAAAATGTATACACACCCTGTGCATTGTATTTGGCTTGCTAATCAGAACCATCAAAGTTCGAAACTCATTATATACAATCTATAATGATCGTAAAATAGAAAAAAGTGCATATCATCACATCAGCATAAAAACAATGGCAAGGGCTAAAATGTGGTGTTTCTATAATAAGTCTCCACCCTGACATAACCTGCATTCCGGTATATGTATGGTCAAAGTTATGGAACTGATTCAATGACTGCAGAAGCTAGTTTGCATTGTAATGTTGCAGGCTGTTGCACTTCTCCCTTACCCCTTGTTTTGTTATAGGAAATACAACTGTAAATACTACCGGTATTCTACATGTAGCTTAACCTTTTGCAGACTGACTGAATCCATATATATATATATTTATTGACGTATACCTTCTCTGTATCTGTATAGCCAGTATAACCGCACTTCACCTGTAGAGTTATATTCTGAGACAATACCCCTGTGTTTTATCTCAAGATGGCAATAGTATCAAACTATATATGCATGGGCTATCAGCCCCACTAACTACATGGCTTTTACACAATAAGCGCAACATTTACTCCAACACAACGTTTCTTTGCAAAGTTAAACTTAGGTAATGAACACTAATTTAAAGAAGAATAAAAAGTTAAATAGCAGCAGTAGCACTTTTTCAGTCATTTCAACAAAACACATATATATTTCTCAATGTATATGCACTGCAAATAACCTTAAAAAGCAAGCAAAGCAAGAAAATATCATATAGTAAAAACTGCAATGTGCACAGCAATGTACAAAGCCTTGCTGAAAACAAGAGACTTCTTTTTCTCATTGTCTCAATTCTTTTATGGAATAGAAGTCTGAGAATAGCTGTAGTAATATATAGTGAAGCCTGTATATTGTACTCTTTGAGCCTTGCTGCCCATGTAGCAGCTTATTGCTTTGTAGAAACTTGTAAAGTTTTCCTAAATTTTTACCGCAGTGTGGCAACATCTAAGGGACAAAATATTGCCCCAGTACACCAGTGACTATGACACATGTCAAGCATCCTTCTTGCCTTCCAACGCACTTCCCGACACTTCCAAATTACTGCTATCCTCTTCAAGATTTTCCATCTCTTCTTCAACACTTGCTAGTTCTTCTTCACGCTTCAGATCCTGGTAGGTCTTAAACAGACCAGCATACTCAGGATGGACTTTGGAAAAAGCTTCAAACTCATCTAAAGTGGGAAAAGATGGAAAGAAATTCAGAATTTCAGCAATCTCAGTAATACAAATGTGTGTCCACTGTATCTTAACTTTCTTATTTTGCTACATGTACTTTAAATCTTTTCCTGCTTTAATTTAAAATAGAAAATTAGCACATTGTTAATAACTTTAGACTGCAGAAATATAAAAGTTTACACAAGTCATAAATACATCAGTTGGTACTTACCATAAGTAATAAACCCATCCCCATTTGTGTCCACTGCTCTGAAGAGATCGGAAATGTCCATCTTCTCCATGTTGAATGCACTGCGCAAAATCGCTGCCAGGCTTTCTTCTGTGATCTTACCATTGCCTTCTGTGTCAAACAGCTAAGAAGAACAGAGGTCATCTTCAGATAATAGACGACTCTGATATTTCTATTAATCTACTTCACTTCACTGTAACCATCTCATTAAAAAAAATCATGCTACTTCTGCATTTCATATTTGAATGTATATACGCCATAAAAACTTACAAAACGTAAGTCGGGCAAGACTACTACTCAAGTACCTCAAACTTAAAGAATTGTACATTAGGCCATTTCATGTAACTAGTGCAAGTACATGTAGTGTTTTTCTATCAATACTGCTACCTTTTATAGTGCACAGTAGTTCTATCATCCTCAAACACAATTGACCGGTCAATAAAGTAATATCTAAACTGCACACCCATGCATGTCATACCAACAGCACCATCACAATCAAAAACACTACAAACAGATATTATTTTTATTGTCCACTTGTGAATTGGAATCATTACCTTAAAAGCCATCTGTAAGGTTTCATCTGTGTTAGCGGGTTGGGACACCACTGACAGGCCAATGACATACTCCCTGAAGTCAATCTTTCCTGTGCCATCCTGTCAAAAAATACAATGTAATACAGGAAACAGCAATGATTACATGCATCATGGTGGAGGTCTGGAGACTGGGGTGAATTGTCTTCAAACTTCTCCCATACCTGAAACACAATTCTGCAAGTGGCAAAAGGATTTACCAAATTCATTGTTAGCTTGAAAGTTCACCTGTCATTCCAAAGCATTATTATAATAGGATTATAATTTCCAACAGGAAAATAGGACTTCAGCAAATCATAGAACTAGAAAATCACTCATTCCCTGACAAAAATGTTCCTTTAAATTTATGGTGTTTACAGTTTAATCCTGCATGATTCATACAAAATTCATTGCCTCCTCAGTATGAACATGTACATCACTGTCAAGTTGTCAACAGACGACAAGTGATACATGCATTTATCATGTAACTTTACACTTCAAATGGGCACATCAGTGCACCAATTTTGCATTTGGTTATAACTTATATTCTGTAAGCCATTACAGAAAGTAAAGTACATTATTGTATTTATCATTTTGTTCAAATATTAAATTTGACCCAGGCTTTAAAAAGATCACTATTCAAAGCACACCATATGGTAACATGTACAGTTGCTGCAATCCAGGTACTTGTACTAGTATATGTACCTTATATGCATAAAATGTTTGCCAACACAAAAGTAAACGGTAATTGGAAACCAGTTAATTACTTCTGCCATATACAAATTAATGTAGCAGTGTTAGCTTACTTTTAGCCAGAGGAGTTTTCATTTAGAAGAAAACCTTCATGTTTGGACGAAGCTTTGCAAAGCAAAGCCCAACTGTGGAATAATGTTAACATCTAGTACAATGGATGGAGCTAGGTAAGTTATCTGATCAAATGTTTTCAAGAATGCCTTCAAATTCTATTTAGGATACCAGTAATTCTGTGATGTCACAACAAACTAGAATATCCTTCAAAATTGCTACCCAGTATCTCCCTCCAAGCAATATAGGAGGTTTCCTTCATCATAGGATTACAGGCTTGTAAACTGTAAAAAGATCGTACTACTTTTTTTTTTTACAAGTACTAGTATGCTGTAGTACAGTGAATATAACATAACATAACATAACATACTATAAGGTACAACTGTAGAAAACTTGAAGAGCTGGTTAGTTTTCTCTTCCTGGAGAACAAAGACACCACTGTTACAATAATTACTTCTTTTGTTCTTACCCCGGTAATCAGATGGCAGTCAATACTTGGGGACATCTGAGCAGACAAATTAATTGATAATCTACATGTAAATCACCTCTCTATGACTACATGTAGACTACATTACTACTGGAAGCTGGGTGCACAATGTCATACCACCAAGGATTCCAGGATTGACACAGTAATTGTGGTCACATTTCAAAGAAAGGTTGCCATGTAAGATGCAGTTTACAAAACCATTTACTGGAAATGAATATCCTGTGATCACCCAGCCAGCCAGCTGCTGCCACTTCCAGCAGGATTACTCCTTCAAAGATAATCCTTCATCATCATGCAGAAGCACATTATGTATGTGTGCTGTGACATCACACTGACGCCAGCCAGCCTGTATAAAACAGGATCAGGCCTGATCAGCACCTCATAATTTGTAGGATTTCTGGCTTTGCCTGCTAGTCTGCAGCAAAACACACATTTTATCCAGGCTTTGAATGTGACAATCAGCTTCTGCACAGCTCAACTGTCCCTTGACAGGGAACATAGAATTCCAGTCAACATCTTGACCAAGAGGCGGTGTAACTACATTTGTGGGGCAGCTGAGTGCTACTGTGTGCCCACAGGCTGACAATTGCTCAGAGACGGAGACAACACCTGGACAGGAAGGAGGCAGGGGCAACTGATTTTTTATGCATTCTTAATGTGTTGACATGGAATCAACATGTAAGCAGCGGTGGTGAAGCAGTGTAGCAGCTAAAATTACAGGTGAGATCTAGATATGCAACTAATTCACTTTTCCTGTACATGTAAATTAGAATCATCAATATCATTACTATTACTATTAGCGTCAAAGGCAAAGCAGCAGAATTAGATTCTTGAGAAAATTGAAAAGGGAATACTTCCACTACTTACCTAGTAACCCTGACAAGCATTTTTAGTCTTAAAAGTAGCTGTCTTTATCATACAAAGTTAATGAAAATAAGGGTACCTGGTATCCCAGTACAAACCTAAAATCTGGCCTTCATCAGGGCATTAGGAACTCCTTGCTATGCCTTGGTGCAATGCCATCACCTGTCAGATCTGATCACATTTAAAAGGCAGAATAATAAGTCTGACTAAACCTTCTGGACTGTCTTTACAGCTTTACACTGAGCACAACTGTCACACAAGGTATGGCGTCTGCAGTGGTCTTCAACATGTCAACAGACAATGGCACAAATACTAGTACAGTCCCTCCTGCCTCTGAGTCTATGCCTGCAGTGCTTGGGACAGTGGGAACTATTATCATAATCCTTTTCCTTCTCTTCGGAGTTTTTGGAAATGCTGTGACGATCTTAGTCTCCTGGAAACTGAACAAGCAAAAAAAGCAGTGGACTCACGCATTTGTCATCAGTGTGGCCGTCATAGACTTAGCATTCAGCTTGTTTGAGATGTCCCTGAGTGCTGACACATATATTAACCTTGGATGGAACACTTCAACTGTACTGTGTCGGATCCATGCCTACATTCCAAGCATTGCTATCACCATACAGGTGACTCACACTTTATACATTATCTTCCTGAAGCACCTGATTGTAGTTCACAATGTCAAGAACATCCCAGAAGGAAAGACAAACTACTTAGTGATTGTGCTCCTCTGGGTACTGCCAGCCTTGTTTGTCTTGTTTGGTGTCTTCTGCCTTGAGGAGAACAATGTTGAGTATAGTCCGAAGCTGCTTCGATGCGCTGTTAAGCTCTGTCGGCATTCAAAAATGGGGATGGGAGCTCTAGGCATTATGTTTGTTACCATCATTTACAGCCAAGGTCGGATTTACTGGTATGTGAAAAAGAGTCATAACAACATACAGGACTGTAACCTGGCACCAACTGTCAACGATATCAATCGGATCCACCGACAGAAAGAAGCCACACTGGCTAGAACATTCACCATCACTTTTATGGCAGTCATGTTGGCATACACACCAATGACTGTCCTGAAAGCTGTGGACAGAGACATGGAACAGCCACCTGCGCTGTCCTTCTTCTGCTCAGCAATGTTTTGGACAGCAGCGTTTGTAAACCCAATGGTGTATTTCATGACAAATAAACAGTTCAGAAAAACCTGTCTGAACTTGTTTGTGCCTGGTAAACACCAGCCACAGGTCCAACCAATCAACAAACAGATCCATCTATTAGAGAAAATGGGACAACCAATGGGAGCACAAGGGCAACCAATGGGGGCACCTGGGCAGCCAATGACAGCACAGGGACAACAAGAAGTGGTACAGGGGCAAACAATGGAGGTAAAGGGACAGCCAATAGGAGCACAAGGACAACTGCAAGAGGCACAGGGACAATCAAAGGCAAAGGGGCAACCAATGGAGGAAAATGTAGAAGCACAAGAGCAACCATCAGATTCAGAGGCACAGGAGCAAACACCAGAGGCAGAAGGGCAGTCACAGGCTAGCAAACCTGATCTAATATCAACAACAAAAGATTTTTCAAAGGCCACAATTTCATCTCAAAACATTCAATGGACAAGCATAAAAACTTCTCAGACTGAAGAACATAACCTGTCACAAGAAAGTTAACTTCTAAATCCTAAAGACCTATATTATAATGTTAGCTACTAACTAGCTGGTACGCTCCACCTAAGTTTAATCATATGAAGGATTTAACCTCCTTGTTCAGACCAACTTGCAAGTGGGTCCTAGCCTATACATATAGAATACAACACAGGGTATTCCGTATCGCCCGAGGTATCGGCCCGACCGCGGGTCGGATCGCCCGACGGCCACAGGCCGGAGGGCAATCCGACTCGGCGGGAGGGCCGGGACCGAGGGCGATGCGGAATACACCGTGTTGTATTTTATTTGTATCATACCCACCCAAGAAAATGCGCCTTTCAATGCAATATGAGCCAAAAGTTGGTGCCCCCAAACCCTCAAATGCAACAACATCAGTTCCAACGTCCGGATTCTGTATTCGAATTTTCGAAAGCGGCACACACGGTTAGGGAGAAACGCGTTCGAATAGTTTTATGGAAGCCACGGAAGCGTTCGATAACGGGTTCCGGACCGGGCCGTACCGTAAAGTACGGCCCGGTCCAGAACCCGTTATCGAACGTTATCGCGGCCCGGGTATGATATAAAGACATGTATATACAATGTATGTTAAATGTATTACTATTAGGTGTCAATAAATTTCAACTTATTTATGAGACATAAGAGCTACATTGTGTACTTTCATCCCCATGTTACAGACTGTTAAGAACATTTGCAATAAAATATGTGGCACTGATAGATAGTTACCACTGCATATCATGTTACAACATTCAATGTTTATACTTGTATGTTATATTGTATGTGTATTGTTGAGGTAAAAACTGTGAGTGCATGTATGCTGCTGCTTATAGAAGATAATGTAGGAAGGGAAAGAACTATTAACAGAATGCAATATGTATCAAAATTCCATTCTATCATATTTCAAGTGATAATCTATGGCCAAAACACAACCAACACATTATGTGAACTAATGTACTTGTAGTCCAGTACTCTGGACCAAAATAAAGATTATTTGTATGTTTTCTACCCATTTGCTCTTTTGTACTCTAGACAAATACATTGTGATTGATTAAATGTAGATTCAACTTACATTGTATCATTGACTTTTGAATTTGAAGTGTTTCTACAACAGGGGCCTATAAGATTGTTATGATTGATGTGTTCTTAAGGTCATCGTGACTTCTCCGTGTAAAAGTACACAAATTTATCATTATCATGTAAATCAGTTTCAATCTTGCAAAGCTGGTTTGTTCTCAAGGGAACACAGACAAAAACACACTAACTACCACTTCTTTTGTCTTTAATCTGAGGGCAGCTCCCTGCTTGTGCCGGAAACGGATCTAGAAAACGTTGAGTAGACAAGTATGATGATCAGAGTTAGCAGAGCTTTCCTCCCCAACACTATATATATATATACCCTGGGTTTCTAAGAAGCTAAACGGGCCTCAGGTGCATGATTACGTAGCAAGGATTGGGCTTGACATACATGGTACGTACTGTTGGTGCATTACAATGAAAGGTTGCCAGGGAAGTGTCACTATGCGGTGTCTAGTCCACAGATTCATTTCCTGTGGAAGAGCATGTTTTGATCATCCAGTCACCTGTTACATTTTGCAGTAGGATTACTCCATTGCAAGTAATCCTTAAAGCAAATCGGCCGTGACGCCATACTGACGTCAACAAGGATTCTGGATCGGAAAGACAATTTGGCTAAGACAGGATTATTCCTCATGACTAATGTAGGGTTCTCGGCAGTAACCCAGCCATTCTGTTCACCTCTCAACGTGCCTGAGACAATCAAATTCTGCCCAGCCCAACTGCCTTTGCAGAGAGAATTCTAGTCTTTGTATTCACCAAGGCATTATGGAAATGGATCACTACATTGCAGCCAGGGGATAAATCCAGCACTGTCAGCACTGAATGCCAGCTTATCGTGCAGTGTAAGCCTTTGAGCTGGCAGCATAAGGAAAACCACAGTATCAAGTTGATCAACAGTTGCTGTCATTCAGAGTCTGAGCTGAAGAATTACAGGTGAGATTTAGCCATAATTTGACTCAATGCACACTCCCTGTGCAAGTATATATCCTCATCAGGTCATGTGTAAAATGTGCTGACAAATTCACATGGGCTCATCTCAAATTCCTTGATAATTCTGTTTTGACCATCTCATAGTCCATCTTCATATATATTTCCATTGTCTTCCTATTTTCTACATAAAATTAAAGAAAGGAACAATGAGTTTGTTGTCATAACAATTACAAAAGTAATGTTAGTGTAGTACATATTGGTAATGCATTGATTAGCTGTATTTTTCATTTCATATGCCAATTGCAAGAACTAGATTATTCATAAGCCTGAGCTAAGTCCTTGGTACTGTCATTTCAGCAATTACATGACAGCAACCATCATACAAGGTATGGCGTCTGCAGTGGTCTCCAACATGTCAACAGACAATGGCACAGTTACAGTCCCTCCTGCCTCTATGCCTGCAGTGTTTGGGCCAGTGGGAACTGCCACGGCCATCCTTTTCATGTTCTTTGGAGTTTTTGGAAACATCGTAACCATCATAGTCTCCTGGAAACTGAACAAGCAAAAAAGCAGTGGACTCATGCACTTGTCATCAGCGTAGCTGCTGTAGACTTAGCATTCAGCCTGATTGAGATGCCCCTGAATATTGATAGGTACATTAACAACCTTGCTAGGAACACTGTGCTGTGTCAAATCCATGCTTATATCCCAGGTACTCTTGTTGCCATACAGGTAACTCACAATACATACATTATCTTCCTGAAGTACCTGATTGTAGTTCACAACGTCAAGAACTTTCCGGAAGGAAAGACAAACCTCTTAGTGATTGTGCTCCTCTGGGTACTGCCTGCCCTGTTTGCCCTCTTCACTGTGTACTGTCTTGGCAACAGTGACCATTTTCCACAGACTCTCCAATGTACCATTTTGAACTGCCGCAATTCAAAAGTAGGGGTCGTGGCTCTAGTCTTAGTGTTAGTTATTACCACTTACAGCCAAGGTAGAATTTTTTGGTATGTGAAGAAGAGTCATAACAACATAAAAGACGTCATGATCACTACAGCTGTCAACATTAACAGGATTCATGAACAGAAGGAAGCAAGACTAGCTAAAACATTCACCATCTCTTCCATGGCCCTTTTGTTAGTGTACACACCAATGACTGTCCTCAAGGCCGTGGACAAAGAAGTGAAACAACCATATGAGCTGTACTTCTTTTGTTGGGTGTTGATTTGGACAGCAGCATTTCTGAACCCAGCAGTGTATCTTCTGACAAATAAGCAGTTCAGAACAGCTTGCTGGAAGTTGTTTGTGAAACAGACTCAAGTACAAGCAAAGATGACACAAAGGCAACCAATGGAGGCAGGGGTGCAACCAATGGAGGCAGGGGTGCAACCAATGGAGGCACAGGAGAATCTGATGGAGACAAGAATGCAAGAGGAAAAGGGGAAACCAATGGAAGAAAAGGGACAACCAATGGAGGAAAAGAAGCAACTGAGACAAGAACAGGGCCAAACTTCACATTGCCAATGTCAAGCTGAACTAACCTCACCTTCACATCATTTCTCAAATGTCTCAAAATCTCTAAACATTCCGGTGTTAAGCACACACGTTTCCATGCACAGTGTGTCTTCAGGAGTTAATGATTAACCAATCAGTTGGATCCATCAGTTAACCTGCTTGTATGCTATTCATGGCCAGACTTTAGTTAGCCTTTTATTCCTATTTATTCCTACTTTTGTCAGGCTCTGAGTTGTATGTTACTTATACTGTACATATCAATGGAAACAAATGTAAATTCATCTGTATAATAATGTAACGTTACATGCATCTGAGGCAAGAGCAGGTTTCACTTTGTATGTTTGAGATACCAATAAGGTACACGTACATTATCAATAACCTTATCTGTAAAGTAAGTTAGCTGTGACCTGGCCATGGCCATGACATTGTAACCTCCAGGACACTGCCATATCTCACGGGACACAAAGATGCCTAGGCTTACATATAGACTCCATTTACATTGGGCTTAGCAGCACATGTAAGCTGTTAAGAGGATTATAAAGAGGATTTTGCTTACAAAACATGTTTCTTAGGGAAACTGAGGAACTATGACTCACTATCCAGTTTATCGTCTGCTAAGATATAATCTGCTGACAGGTGATTGGTGGTTGTAACTGACAAGCAACTGGAAGACAACCGCATTTAATTAAGGGTTTTTGAGTTTAAATTATCAATGCTTAATGTCTGTGACATATTGGTCTATAAGTGTTATACACTTGAGAATGTTTAATATGTGATTTAGTGTTTGAAAGTACCGTAGTACCGGTGGTGTTTCTTTCATGAATATTACTGCTATACATGTTTTGTCTCCACAATGTCTGTACTTTTGTAATAGAATATTAAAAAAGTAACCTTACTCTAATGTGCACTAAATTCATATTGGCTACACAAGAAATTTTTCTGGCAACAAAAGAAACACAAGCAACAATGTACAATGTAAATGTACATCTGGGAAGGATCATAAGTTCACACGTACACACGTATACTGAAACAAGGATGCAAATTAAATTTTTCTCTTTCCATCTTTCTAGATTTCTAAATACAAATCATCATTTTCTTTCATGATTTGGAAAATTCTTTCTATTTTCTGACTTATGCCATGATCCTTCCAGTATAGTTGACCACACTTACCACCAGATTACTTACCCTGTCATACATGGCAAACAACTCCTTCAGAGGCTCTGTGACAGGCAGGTTCAAGTGCTTGGCAAAGTCATCAATGCCGATCACCCCACACTCCTTGCCAGCAATGCTGCTGTACTTCTTCAGTAGTTGGCGCATGTCCTCCAGTTTAAGGCTGGTCACAAAAGGGAACAAAATATCTTCAAAATCTGGACCTTGTCAAATTTTTTGGGAAGAGTTTAAATAGTCAAGAGTACAAGAGTACACGTATGTCTTAGTTCATAATCTTGGAAATGGTCAAATTTATTGTTAGTTGATGCCACTTGGCTTTAATTTGTGTAAGAAGTAATAAAAAAGGTTTAACTGTTAATTATTCAACTTTTACAACATTTTATTTTCAAATTTCTAACAGGTAGCATTGATTCTGCTGATTGCACTAAGCTGATCATATCATGAAATTCATGAATCATTTTATTACTATTAATACATAAGAGTATAAGAGTTTGCAAGCATACTTTGTGGCTTTTAAAACAGTAAAAAGAATCAATCTGATGCAATTCCAAAAAATTAAATCTATGGTTATCGCAATTTAGGCAAGCAGGGTTTGACAATTTTCTTTTCGATGTTGGATTCTGTTTATCTTATTTTTCAACATTCAAAAAAGATTGAGCTAATCTTTGAGTGCAAAATGACTTAAGATGCAAACAGTAGGGGAGTCACTGTATTAGAAAATTTGATGAAATGCACATGCATGTTAATTCAATCCAAGCCGTGCTACATGTAGTTAGTATAGTTTTTGAATCAATCAAATTTCAAGGAGTGAGGAAAAATGAAAGGAGCCAAATGTCCCAGCACCTTTGAGGACCTTGGGGTTGGGCACTTGGTACAAGTACCTTGCTGTTAAAACAAAGAGCAGGGTTTATCAGATTCAAGAAAGATAACATCAAAATAAAGTAAAACTATAAAACTATGAAAAAAATCACATTAAGTTTCTTTATTCTCTGACCAAAATAATCCTCCAACTGGAAGGTTCAAACAGAAAAGCCTTTTGGGCTCTAACACTTTTTGCAAAGTCTTTGATCCTAATGGCTAAGGTACATGACCTGCTTGTATTGTTATAAAGTACTGTAAAATGATCCTCATTATAATCTAAAATTGTACAAGACTTAGTCATGTTATTAATGTTGATATTCAATTGTTAGAGTAAAGAAGAAAATTTGTTTTGCCTCTTTTAGTTCCTGCAAAATGAGTTAAGTACAAGCTATTATTCTAGCCAATTGAACCATCCAGCAAATTTTATGATATCAAGAGAGCCTAATTTCACCCCATAGCAACTTACCCCAGCTTCTCTTTGAGTTTCTGGAACTCCACCAGCCCTGCGTCCATGGGCATGTCACTCTTCCCTGCTGCCACCATCAGCATGCAGTCATCAAACGTGTGGTCAGTGATGGGGATATCCAGCACACTGGGGGAAATCATTACAACATGATCAGGACTCCAAATTCTTTTTTTATCTACATACCTGCACTGGTGCAGGTAACATTGAAAATAACAGTCAACAATCAACAGTCAACAATAACAGGCAATACAGGAACTAAAAATCCACATACACCTACAAAAACATATGAACTCAGTACATGGACCAGTGCAGTTTAGGTGCAGATAAACATAAGAAATACCCGCACAGCCCCAATTTTACCTGCACTAATTATAAGGTACATATGGACTAATAAGTCTTTAGAGCCCTGATGATCATTACCATGCACCCTACCAACATTCTGTATGTGTAGAAAGAACACCTTTGTTGACTCAAACCTGAATTAGTTGTCAGTATGTAGATAGGACAGTGTATATTGAGATATTGAGAGTTTCCTGGCACTTACGCTGCAATTTTAGCCCGCACGTTGATGGCATATAGCCTGGCATTCTTTTTCTCCTCTTCACTTGGATAATACACAGGCAAAAACTGCAAAATTAAAAGGATGAAGTTTAGTCAAAATCTCCTTCTTTCATGCCATGTGAACCTTTCTTTTAATTCTTAAAAATTGATACACACTGTACATGTGACTAAACATACATTGTGAACACATATTACAGCAGACATGGAAAAATACATGTACATACCTCCACTTCCAGTCTGTTGTGGAACTGACATAATGTATACCAAAGGATTGTCAATCTATAATGAAAGAAGTGAGAAAAATCAGAATGTATCTGTACATGTACAATTTACTACAACAATGTACAATAGTTAGAAAGTAATAGGGCTAATAAATGCAGCAGATGCCATATCACCATGAAGTATTTGGTTTGCATATGAATTTCAATATTATATCATGTTTAAGTTTAACAGCATATACTCACCCTCCAGGCCCTTGCCAAGTCCATGTAACTGTGTCCTGGAACGTCCCAAATCATTTTCACAACATGACAAGAATGCTTTTCATGAGCATTTGGTTTTTCTGAAAATCTGACTCCAATAAGAAGGTCGAGGTGACCTCTCCATGGAAAATGATGATGATGGAAAATGAGGGTGTAAACAACAAATTTGTCATGTAAATAAATCAGCCTCATGCTTGCAAAGCTGGTTTGGTCTCAAGAGAATGTAGACAACACAATCTGTAATTGTTACCTTTGTCTTAATCATAAGGCACATGTTCTTGCCATGAAAATATATGTTGTAATGTATCGTACTTGAAAGTAAATTTTTGGCTGGTGAAATGAGATGAACACAGAATATACTAGTAATAGTATATAGAATGTTATTGGAAGGAATCAAAATAGAAACATTATTACACTCACCAGTTTGTTTGGGTATTTGATGGCTACTGGCTGAACAGGCATACCTGGGAAGAATGCTCCTATAAAGAAGAATACATGCGTAGATTATTTACCTTTGTGCTGTAGATCTACATTTTGTTTAATACAAGGCAACTTATTTAAAGTCTTAGCTTTTGAATATGAACTTGTAACCTTAATCATACATATCTGACCCTTTAATGATCTCAGCGTTACATCATCTAAATTCTAGGAACATAAAAAAACTATAAAGTACAATGTATTTGATCTTCAGAACAGCAAAGAAAAATTTGCATCTAAGTATAGCAATGTTCTCATAAAATACCTACACATGGCAGCACTATGTAATTTTATAAGGTACCTTGTTTGAAGTTGATAAGACAGGACCGGTTCGTACAGGTGCCTTCAGGAAAGATGATGACCTGCGGCCATGCACCTCCAGACTGTGCCCTTCTCTTGATCTCCCCAATGGTGTTTCTTCTGGAGTTTGGATCTTCCCTGTCAACCAACACTGGCTGGGTGGATGTTGTCAGGGCTGGAAATGCCACGGTTGGAAAACAACAATTATCCAGAAGGCAGAACGATTTAGAGACTTTGGTACCATTTCTACACTTCACATTGACTGATTTTAATAAATTGCTAGTATGGGAATGGGAGTTATTTCTACAATTGGGGGACGTGCCTTTGAGCCCTAGCATGTACTGTGAGCTAGCTTTTGGTGCTAAGAAATAATTGCAGTGTATGGAAAGTGAAGAACATGCTTCCAACACTGAATAAAGTCACACAGGCTTTCTTATTCATACAATTTAGACATAGAAATGGAGGACCCTCATGAGACTTTGTTGTGTTAGAGGTTTTGAAAATCTTGTTGGCTGCCTGATACAGGTATTAACTTGCTTCTGTTAACAGACTGTCTTTCACCATTAAAGTATATAAAAATTTACCTCCTATCAAAGGTATGGTAGAATTCTCTTTCCGTGACACACCACTGGCCAATCCCTCTCCGATAAAGATGGTGATGATGTCAAAGTAGGTGGAATGTGGAGCACAAGTCATGAGGGGGGCCTCTGAAGACGGGGCAGGCTTCCCCCGGATTTTAATATTGTGAAAGCCCATGAAGAAAAACATAATGCGACCCATAAGAGCGAGTACCCTCTTGCAAAACCTGGTAAAAAAAATACAGAAAAAAATTAAGCAAACCTTGAAAATTTGTTACAATTCCTTGGCTATCTTTGTCAGGAATACAACTTCTCAAATGTTGTAGCATTTTTTTAAAGTAGTTTTTAACATTGATGCTGGACAAAATGGAACATTAAACACACCCAAATTTGTTACGTACTACTTGTACATTTTTCTTTTGACCCGTGTTATGCCTTGAGGCAGTGTACAAAACTCTTAACAAAGAATCACTCTACAATGTATAATGTAATGTTACACATAAACATCAGAAAAGGAAGTTTTTACTAAATCTCCAGCCAGTCATGGGTTTGGATGTGTCCATGCCGGCAGTTGCAATGATTGCTATCAGCCATGACAGTACCAGAAGTAGCAACAGGAACAGGAAACGTATTGGGGCTATTGTCACACTTCCAACTGCAATCTGTAACAAAGCCAAAAACAATACAAACATGTAAAAAATTAGAAAATGACTGATATACAATGTAAATCAACATTTTTTTGACAGCTAAATGTAAGTTCTAAGTTGTAACATGTAAAGGACAAGCTGCTCTGTTTTACACAGCCCCCTATCACCTTTTTATTTGACCAGCATTATAGTAGATTAGTGGTTACAAGTCAACAAGGGAATTAGCTACCAGGTTTGTTCATCTAATTACTCAGTTGTCAAGGGAATAATTGTCTAGGGCATCACAACATAAAATGGACAACTGGTTCCTTCATTCAATGATGCTGCCATCAACAAAGATATAAAAACTTTCTTGTTCTTTTTCTGATTAAAAAAACTACCATGCATAATAAATTTTATCTGTAACTAACGTTAATCTGTCTCTTGACTCTCTTCATATTAAAACAATGTAGGATTATGAAGATTTTTAATTTATTTGGTAATTCCATACACATAAGTGAAGCAGTTGTCGTCCTCTGATCCTTAAGCAAATGTAATCTTACATTGTTGCCGTAATACATTGTATATATCTGGATTCTGGACCTTGAAAAATTCCGGCGCTGTGGGAGGGGGGCGGTGCTTACCTGGATCTTGTCCCATGTTGAAAGACGAAGGTCATGTATGAACGGATTTCTGATCATAGGCGCGATCAGAGACTTCTGTCGTGGGAGCTGGAATTTTCCAGGCATGTTGAAGCTATGTTAACACGACTGTGTGCATTCAGAAATTGGAAAGTCGATGTTTAAACTGCACTAGCTTTGGTAAAATCGGGTTTACGGAAAACCCTGGGCTGTCTACCTTACCAGGCTACCTTACCAGTCTACCTTGCCTGTCTAGGACGTCAGGCTACTGAACTCCCCCCATCCACAGCCTCACGAATGGCAAGACTTCCAAGCAGCTGCGCCCCCTGGCGGAATGTATCAGAATTGCACCCACTACTTTGGCACATGCGTGTGCACAAACCTTAGGCCTGACTAATCGCGCTCCTGGCGGCCGGTCGCCCCGAAATGGGTGGGGGGCATTAACCTCCGGCCGAGTTATTATAAACAAGAAATCTACTAAGGCGAATGAAATATAAAACTGAACAAGATACTATATTTTATTTTAATTTTTCTTCTGAAGGGTAATCAACAGTAACAGGGAAACGGATCTCGTGGTTACCAGTACTTTGAGAGCGCGCGCGGGTCGGAGTGTCCAATGTCCTTGGTATTGTATCAGAACAGGGTGAACTTTTGACCTTTTGTGCGGGGGCAGCATTGTCCGTGACGCACATCTGTAGATAATCTTGGGACTGTACGATATTTACCGGGGGGAGGGCTGGTGCACTGGGGGGGGGGCATTGAAATTTTTTTTTTGGCCTGGGAGGAGGCCCATGGAAAAATATTTTAACCGAGGGGAGGACCATCGAAAAAAAATCGGCCTGGAGGGGGGAGGGCCACCGAAAAAGTTTTGTAAAATGTATGGCGTTGCGTAGTACAGAATTACAAGAAATACGCCTTAAATTCCAGAATATAGTACGCACTTTTTAAATTTTTAAAAATCCCAAAAGTGTCTCGGGCCGTTGCCAAAGTCCGGATGCGTACTTTGTTTGAGATTTCCCCCCACAAATCCAAGGACGACCCAGGAATATAGCGGAACATCGGCACGGAGAGCGACTTCGATCGTCCATAGCATTTTTAGATAAGAATATTGACGAGTGGAAATAAAGTTAAACTTCAATAAATGAACATATTTCCTCTGACTATTGCCAATATTGACACTAAGGGCCACTAAGTTGCGGTAAAAGAAGAAGTCAAGTCACCCATGGTAAGAAAATGTAGGTCACTGGCAATGACGCCCGGCGCTTTGTCATGCCGACAGGATCGTTCCCCAGCCAGCCGGCGCCGATCTCAGTGGAACCCCGGCCGAAAAAATAACCTCCCGTAAGTACATATACAATTGTAAAAGGGTTATGAGTGGTAATATTTGAAATGGTCCGCAAGCCGCGTGAACGTTCTTGTTCGTCGTAACGCAACAGTCGTGCCTCGACTGATGGTCAGTTAAATGCACTTCCGGCTTGAGTTGAACTTCAACAAATATTATGCCCATGCCGTTTCAAAGGTTCAGTTGACAGAAGTTATTATCCATGTTTCACTTCATATCACAAATATTTTTAAATCTTGATAAATGCAACAGGAGATTACTTTGTAGCGGGCTATACCAGCCAGTACGAGGTGAAAATTCCAGCTAGATGTACTCCTACGGGACCCGACTGTTCGGCAAGCTACAATGATAGGGGCGGAGTTAAAATCTTACCGCCCGGCCGGTGGGTGGGGTGTTTGACGAGCCGACACCTACAGCTGAAGAAGACAGAGCCGTGGCAGCACTGAGGACAGCCCCGAGAATCGAAGGAAGTCTTTCTTTCCTCTGTACAGACTGTACTTATACGTTTTACGGAGTACAAATTAATATTCCCTTGGAGTGTTTATTCCTTTGATTTTGTGACAAAAACATCTATCACATAACGAGATTACTAGTACTTGAAACGCAGTCAAACTTTTCACTTTCTCCTGTTCGGAATCGCCAGTAGTCTTTAGTTGTTGTGTAATAAGTATTGGTTTCGGTGTGAAATTTTAAATTCGGTAGCACCTCTACACCCAAATACTCCGCCCAGTTATCCGCCCGTTTGATTGTTTCTCTCCATGGGTCGATCGGGCGGGCGCTATTAAAGAAGTGTTCGGCGCATTTCGTATTCTAAAAACAACAAAGCTACGTACTTGTACAGCAGCATTGAACTACCCCCCGTTACAGATAGAATCAATATTTAAATATTGTCTTTTTTTTTCACAAATCTTTATTGACTATTGCTTGCTTGATCACCAACACTCTCCGGGATCCAAAGCTTTACGTTCCGCCGGACTTGCCTTACCTCGCGGTGGCGACGTCTTGCAAGTCGGCTGCGGCCAGCGGTGAAAACAAGGCCGAAGCGTTTCCCGCTAAGTTACCATACAATCACGTAGTACACGGCATAAATCTAGTTTTTAAGAATTTTTTTTTGGAACTACATGTCCACAGTGGTACCGCCCGTGCGTACGTTTCAGACATGAATGATATTTGTCTCCCACCAGCCCCAAATCGGGGGGTGCGTACTTAGATCAGGATGTGTACTGTATTCGGGAATTTTCGGAAGGAGAAAGAGAAAGAGACAATCATATGGAAAATTACCGAAAAATTGTTTGGGTTGGGGGGAGGGCCATTGAAAAAAAATTGAGCAGGGGGGAGCTCGAGGGCCATGGAGAAATGTTTTTCCCTTTTTGCACCAGCCCTCCTCCCCCGGTAAATATCGTACAGTCCCAAGATTATCTACAGATGTGCGTCACGGACAATGCTGCCCCCGCACAAAAGGTCAAAAGTTCACCCTGTTCTGATACAATACACACTCTGACCCGCGCGCTCTCAACGTAACCACGAGATCCGTTTCCCTCTTAATGTTGATTACCTTTTGCTCATTAAAACTCCAGAAGAAAAAATTAAAATAAGATATAATATCTTGTTCAGTTTTATATTTCTATTCGCCTTAGTAGATTTCTTGTTTATAATAACTCGGCCGGAGGTTAATGCCCCCCACCCACTTCGGGGCGACCGGCCGTCAGGCCTAAGGTTTGTGCACACGCATGTGCCAAAGTAGTGGGTGCAATTCTGATACATTCCGCCAGGGGGCGCAGCTGCTTGGAAGTCTTGCCATTCGTGAGGCTGTGGATGGGGGGAGTTCAGTAGCCTGACGTCCTAGACAGGCAAGGTAGACTGGTAAGGTAGCCTGGTAAGGTAGACAGCCCAGGGTTTTCCGTAAACCCGGTAAAATCGGGCCTGGCTTCCGTGACCGACGAATGTTGTCCGAATGGCATGACGGGTAATCAAGAAAAGGCGGGAAAGTGAAACTTGACTTGTCTTTCGACCATTGATCACGTGTAATCAAGGAGGTTAAATACTTGTATTTTGATAACCTCCTTGGTGTAAGAATTGACGGATCCGGAGTGCTGCTAATCATTCGAAGGTTATCATAAAGTTACGTTTCTTCAGTCAGAGGAGTATTGAGTGCAGTAATAACTTTGGTAACCACCTTTAATAGGTCCTAGTTCCTCCTCCCTCAACTACAAACATGTCCAATAATTTTTTCAGCGCATTACTAACTCCCATTTTCAGCTGGGTTTAATACTATTCTTCTCAATCTGCTCTCTCCACCTCCCTCCTGAGATCCTCTGTTGGTCCCTTTCTCTTGCAATCTCTCCATGGCCCTCCATGATTGACCAAGTGGATGAACCATTGTGCTGACAAGTTTTACTGGATAATTTATATTACCGACTAATGAGCAGTGACAAAGTGATCCTGGCATATAGAAGCAAGTTGAGCAGTATTTAATGCAGCATTTATACTGGTTTATTTGAAATAATATCTTAAAATCATTACTGAATTCCAATGTCATTTTGATTTTAGTCTACGGTCCTTGAAAATGTTTGCTGGATACTTTTGTGTACAACTAACTATACCCTGTTAATGTTGTAAACAACATGTATTCTTGTAATACAGACAAAACAGAACCTGCCTGCCTGCCTACGTGCACAGGCCAGGTAAAAAAACAGAACTACAATGTTTATTCTTCAACAGGTAACGTTACATTAGCACAATGGCTAGATAAATATCAAATAGAGTTGAACACAATAATTCAAGATATAAAAAAAAGTGGTGCTAAAACAGTGTCAGCTTTTGAAATCATTGCATTTCTCTGCATCAACATTTCCATTTTGTGTGACTTTGTGAGCAGCCTTTAAAGTATGTTGGACATCTTCAGTTGTCTTTGCCTCAGCATCTGTCTGTATTTCTGATTCACCTCTTGTCTTTACCTCAGGTTCATTGTCATTACAAGCATCCGCCTTTTCTCCTGTCTCAGCCTCTTCTGTCCTGCACTTCTTTCTCTGTGGACTATCTACAGATGGGCTCTTCCCATGAGCCTCTGCATGTCTCTTCCCATCATCCTTTGCTTCCATGGTATTGCCCTGTAACTTTCCATCATGTAGACCAAGTGTTTTCAAGCAGACGCTGGCAGCAGCCTGTTCAGCAAGCTTCTTGGCCTTGTGCCTGTGGTGTAATCACAAAAGTACTGGTGTTACAGTTCAACAAATCATTTCAAGTGCCAATGTCTAAAAAAATTGGTTGACAGTATACATGCAAAGAAGGAAAGGGAGGAAGGGAGGGGAGTTCATGTAAATACAACATAATAGTAGATGTAGTTGAAGTTTTATGCAAAATGACAACTCACCAAAAACTGGATGCATATTTCTTATCACCCACCGTGACAACAGAGTGGAATTTTGTATCAGATCGGTGCTTTTCCTGCAAATATCATCATACAATAATAAACATTCCCCAAAAACGATATGTTTAAATATAATTTGGGTGCCAAAATGTAAGATACATATTTAATTTGCACAAACGGTTCCTAAAGCAAGGTTCACTGAAAAAAAAATGTTCCTCACTGTTAGATAAGTAGGCTGAGGCAGATATTCCCTCCTGCTCCAGTCCAGTAGAATTGTCTTGGGGCTGACTGCAGAAGGGTACTCTTTCCTGGACAAGAAAAAACATGACATACATACAATAAACATATGACTAGCATAGGTTGACTAAACATTTCTATGATAATACAGCCGAGAGATTTGCAAAATGTAGTCATTAGTTAAAAACTTAGCTACCTACTTTTTGTGGGTACATGTAGAAGGTTGAAAGAGGTCCAAAATCCTTTATGTTTTTCAACATACATGTACATGTATTCTATCACACTTGTCTTCACCAACTGTCACACCTAACCTACATTAACTATTTCTCACCATATTGAATATGAGAAGGGCAAATATCTGTACCTGATGTACTCTACATGCATGGTGTAGATGCCATCCACCAGTCTGGGTTCATGTCGAGACAGACCCTTTTTCCTTTCCAACTCTTCCCTCCTAGACTGTCTCCTCACTTGAACTTCATCATAGTAGTCTACTACATCCCACAAGGCACTGTAAATAAGGAAGGAAAATATATTAGTCTACGTACAGCTTTAAAACATCAAGTTACAATCATGTAAAATTAATCATATTGAAAGAAACTACTAGAGTAAGCTGTTGTACACTCTTCAGTGTTGTCCAAAGGGTAAAAGAATGATTTTATGATACTGGAACCTGCTAACAGCCTGGGTACTATCCTGGCTAGTGGGAGCAGACATAAAAGAGTAAAAGAATGATTTTATGATACTGGAACCTGCTAACAGCCTGGGTACTATCCTGGCTAGTGGGAGCAGACATAAAAGGGTAAAAGAATGATTTTATGATACTGGAACCTGCTAACAGCCTGGGTACTATCCTGGCTAGTGGGAGCAGACATAAACTGTGGGAGTGGACATAAACTAACCAGGATGGTACCCAGGCTAACCAACTACAGGCAACATTCATCATTACCATCTTCACTGCATTTCAGTGTTTTACAAGATGATGATAGGCATATGCAAGGTGAACATAGACAACATAAGCAACACCTCGAGCACTTCATTTGTCACTACATGTAGTTTGTCCTATGTGTGAAGGGTTTGCCCTGACCACATCTCCCTGAGTGACTGTGTGGCCAGTAGTTTCTGTCCCCGTGGTGACTGCTGCTCAGCCTGTAGGATCTGCTGCAGGACGTACTTGGAGTTAAGGGCCACGTTGTCGTAGTCTACAGCCTGTGGGAAATTATGAGGTAAGAAGACTCAACTCACAGCAATGCATAACCAAAAAAACCTGCAAGATCTGAAATTGCTAAACTACTGGATACAGCAGATACATTCCATTAGCTACCCAGTGTTGCAGTAGTTACAGACTAACTACAAGAGATAGAAAAGTCAATGTACAATGTACATAAGTTAACATTCCTGTCATATTAAACATTGTTCTGCTACTACATAATCTACATATTGAAAATGATTGCACCTTAACTAAATTACTATATTGCAGACTATATTATTACCTTTACAGATGTTTCATTATCACCAAAAATGTATAGAGCTTGATGACTTGCTAAAGAAAATATACATACAGCTGTATGTGACAGCTTTCCAACCCCCAACTCATAGTGGGATTGACCAAGTAAATACATTATAGGTAACTCACATATCTGAGATAGTCCCTGATAACATCGTCCACAGGAAGCATGCCGTCTGGTCTGAAGATGGAGAAGTTCCACTGGGCAGCCCGCGCCACCATGACAGACGAGGCGCCCGTGTCCTCACGAAACCTCTCAAGGTCCTCATACCGCTTGATCTGGTCCCCTGATCCACCACTATACATGTGGAGATAACAGATAAAGTCTCAGGTTCTTTTGGTACAAGTGGGGATAAGGTAGCTATTCTTCTGCATGCTACAAAGTTAATAGGACATGTTATTTTGATCTTGAACAATGGCTGCAGTGTGATAGAATTTGAATTATCTTCCAATGATGATGAACGATAATACAAAAAATGAGTACAAGACAAGTTTTCCTTACTTTGCAATGACAGGTATAGACACAGTTTCTGCAATGGCTTTAATGGCATCAGGATGGACAGGATGCCTCGGCCTCTCTTCTTTGTATCTACAATTACAGACAAAAAATCTTATCAATAAACAATACAATTGACCTGTTTAAATTATTCACCATACAAGTTACAAAGGACATCTTGCTTATATCTTACAACAAAAGAAAACAGTCGCTGAGCTTGTATACTAGTATACATAACCTTACACACCTGCCATGGACTGCTACAGCTGCCACACCCGTACTCTCTATCAGTTTCACCAAGGACAGGGTATCCTCCAGCTGTAGGGGATACAAGTAATAGGGAAACTGGTTGACCAAACTATGAGAATGAATGACTAATAAAACTATATATTTGTAAACTATCACTATTGATTGTATGCTTCAAGATTGTGGGGTTTCTACAAAACAATCGTCTCCATGCTTCTTGATTGGTCAAAGAAAGTAGCAAGCCTCACCTTAGGGAGGATGCGGATCTTGCAGGTAACAGGTATGGACACACCATTCACCAGAGTTGTCAGAATCTACAACAGTTAAGGGAAAGGCACACAGTCAACAAATGCATGGTGTCCAATAATAAACATGGGTTGATTGGTTAAAATCAAGAGAGCAGCCATCCCATATGTGTGTAAAATTTTTAACTTGTTTCTCCATTGTTGAAGTGTATATAAATAGACAGATGGAATGAAATGAAATTGAAATGATTTCAGCAGAAAATTTCATCACCTGTCTAATTTTCTCTGGGTTGGACAAAAGAGCAGCTCCCATGCCTCCCTGTAAAATGTTAGAATGAGCATTATAAGACAACGTCAGTAAGTCAAAACATCATGAACAGTATCAAAAGGAAGTCAGCAATCTGAAATTTACTGTCAAAATTATGCACCTTTGTGGAGTACTCTTTTGGACACCCCATGTTCACATCAATACCAGCTACATCATTTTCCCTGTAACAAAAAAAGAGTGGCTGTTAACAGAATGAAATCTTTTAATGTTGATGGTGTGTTCAGTATTTCTGTCTGTTATTGTGGTGGTTCTATAACTGATAAAGCCTTCTTGATGTTACATGCACATTATTACTTACACGAGTTTTGCCACTTTCAGAGCTCTCTCTGGATCTGCTGTCCCCTATAGAAACAAGGATAATAAATATTTTACAAAGGATAACTTACTTGGCAGTGGACTAAATTCTGACCAATTATAAACGTGATATTTACATAGGATAACTTACTTGACAATGGACTAACTTCTGACCAATTATAAATGTGATATAAGGAGAAATAGGAGAAATTCTAACCATTTGAAAGACAACCCTGTCCTTCTCCTTGGCACACGTCCTGAACACAGGGTGGTGGGCCTGCTCCTTGATGAAGTCTATGGTGTCCAAGAGTTCTAACAAAAGGAAATAAGAACAATCTACTTAAAAAAAAATAATTAAAAACGGAGTCTGAAATTATGTCATAGGATATTGATCATCATAAGACTTCATTTACAAATGCAATAGTATGCAATAGCTATGTTCTGAATGACTAAATGTGTGATAATGTTAACATTACATATTAGTGGTTACTAGGACAAACTTACGATTCTCAACTCTTTGGCACTGGAGCATACTGTGGTCAATCAGTTCCTGCAAACCACAGGAAAGGAAGGCGTAAATTAGAACACAAGTTTTCTTTCATAGCAAATTGTGAAGCAAGTATTTTCATTGCACAAAATTTGTTGCTACTACTTTATACCATGTTAAAAGTTTTTCAGCATCATTTCGTTTCATACAACAAAATTGAAACACACCGTACACGTACACGCATGTTTAACGCGTTAAAGTTCCTATGTCTACCAAGTAACATGTAGCAAATTATTTGTCCAACCTCGCAGTAAACCACATCAGCGCCGTACTCCAGAGCCAGCAGCCGGGCAGGTAACGTGCCTATCCTCACCATGGGAGCCAACATCACTTTGTTGGCGTAGTTCAGTCGGCTGCTCGCACCGCCCATGGTAGAAGTCATCTTACACACTTTCAAAGGTGGGAGGGGGGCGCCAACAAATTTGGGGAGATCTTCGGTAAAATACAAAAAAATTACCCAGCAGAGCAATTCAGATATATGCACTTGTACTTTGGTACCAACAGTGTCAATTATTCAAGTAATTTACACTAGTTTTGGCAAGCTATTCGGCAAAATAAGTCGGAATTCCTTCTCTGCGTCGCACAATTTTGTCCAGAAGTAGCCATTTTGGAAAGTACACTTGGAGAATGGGGGTGGTGGGATTCTTCAAATAAAACTTTAACTATTAAAATGTCTACGGTGATAAGACTTACATTTTCATCAACTTTAAAAATCAAAATGTTTTATTATGATGAAAATGTGGGATACTATACGAAATAATACGGAAATCAAAAAGGACTCGGGACACCTTGAAATAGTGGGCTAGTCCAATATTACTTCCGGTTTTACATGTGGTTGTGCAATACCCTACGTCATCAACTATCAGAGCCGGATGAATGCTCATTGGCTATCACAAATCCTAAAGAATAATTCCAACCAATCATATACTAGACTAAAAATAGAAGTTGCGTCATGTTGATGATAACGTCACCAAAATCATGAATATAAACACGGGTACTTCAAATCTTAGGCAACTTTTTTCCAACCAGTGAGAAGAAAACGACCGATACCGCGAGCAGACTGACTATCAACTGATCACTTCAACTTTAATACAAGGAATTTTGTCTTTTACTACTTTGGTCCATTACATCTAGGTAAGTTAAGAAAATTTCTTTGATATGCCACTAGCAATCCCTTTTACCTTGGTAAAACTTAATTTTAAGTCTATCACACAGTTGAACAATGTACGTAAGCCCCATAATAACGTAAAATATTATACTCTGAAAGTAACTATTATGTATAAAGAAGTTCAATTTACGGCTAATGCTTTGCTGACGAGTAACCAGACCACTCTACTGTATTATAACGAACAGGCATTTACCAGCTTTGCTTTCATTTGATGTAGATATGGCCGACAACTTTAAAGAGAACGCTCGTAACAACTACTCCCGGAAGTACAAGCTTGCCCACCGGGACAACGTCAAGAACCGGCCCAAACCGCCTGCCGTGCTGGAGAACAGTCGCTGTCGGGACTGTCTCGGTGCTTACGACAAGAAGGCTCTGTATGAGGGCGCATGTGTGTGTCATAGTGGCTTTCTAGGTAAGATATTGATGTTGTTCAAACCTTTATTAACGTTACGATAAGTACATGATATATAATATATTGTCTTTGACATGGGTGCTTGTGCGCGCCAAAGACATTGCTATTTCTTTTATCCTCTGCAAGAGGGTGTACTATCTCTCATTAACTTGTTTTGTCTCCGAAGCGCGTGTAAGAGTTGTTTACGTTCCACTGTTTCGTTCAGCTGGTGCCGTGACGTAGATCCAAAATAGAGTATTACATACAGTTGCGCAATCATTGATATGGTTCAGAAAAAAGCGCCTCCTAGTGAGACTTTGTAATACTTCATTTTCAGTATGTTCATTTATGATATACCCAAGGGAGATTCTTCTTGTAGGAATATTGACAAGTATTATCGCTTCTGTTTAAGATTTAAACTTATGTTATTAGTTTAGATGCATTTGGATTGGTCTGGAATATATATAAGTACAATGTGTTAACGTTTGTGACAAACATCAAACGTGCCTGTTTGTTTTGTTATAGTCGCTCTAAGAGGAACCTCGTACTCCAGATGGACATGCTGTAACGTGGTGTCTGACGCCAGCACGCCCTCATACCAGGAACACAAGGATACAGGGTAGGTTTCACATTTAACGACATAACTGTGAGAAGCTAAATGTGGATCCCAATAAAGTCAAAGTCAAAGAAGTAAAACCGGGTTTAACGTGAAACTGAGTTTTAGAGCAAGACAACATTTCATATTCTAAAGTTTACGTATTCTGACTGTATCGTTCCCAAGACGAAGCAAAGTGGTGATGAAGCTGAAGTCTTAACGAATTACTAGTACTAGTTAAGCAGTCTAAATCAGTCTCTGTCGCAGTGTTTGGAAAAGTATCAATACGTGTTATATATTAAACAGGTGCAGCACAGGCAGACACTTCTGGCAGCCACACAGGAAGACCGGCGCTGGTCATCGACGGACACACAAGAGGCGAGCACTAGCTGAGGAGATAAGAGACGCTCGGTGAACAGCTGAGAACAGTACCAACATGTGTCGCTATGGTTCGCTTTGGACATGTATTCAGGACTCACGGCAAGGCGCCCAGAATAGAGATAAATTAAATGTAGTCTCCACCAGACTCCTTTGCAGGCGAAATGAATAATAGAAATTGGCCTAGAAAGAATGTACCTGGCCAGGGGAGTTGGCAGGCATGCAGGCAAATTAGAGACTCTATGGCCGGCCAAACTCCTCTGGCCAGTTACACACCAATCTCTACTATTTGAATGCCTGCAAAGGAGTCTGGTGGAGAATAGAATTGAGAGCTCTGAAAACAATAACAGTGGTTTGATAATATAGCCACTAACCTATATTTATAATGTGTACAGATCTGGTTTTTACTGCGACCAGATGCTTGTATTACTGTAATAGGAATTGTAAACAGACTTGAAAGATTGGAAAACCATTAGATGTATATCATATATGTATTTACATATGTTATGAATAAAAATGAAACACCCGACACACAATGTATACTTGTTATCTTTGGTATATGAATAGCACTGCAAACAATTACTTATACTTTTGAACACCACATTCCACACCAAAAAGCCTTTCTATTTTTCTTTACAATAGATAGAAAAAGGATAGGTTCTGAGTAAACAATCATACCATATACGATATTTGTTCCAGCTTTAACCGTTTACATTTATCTTATTTAGGTTTTACAAGTCACTACGTACGTGCCAGATACACACATTACACAGTAACGCGCTGACAGTCATCCATAAGTCTTGTACAGCAATATTGTAATCAAACTCACTACAAAGTTAACAGTTCGCGACGAACTGGCAGTGGTGCTAGCTCTAGATACAAAAGCATAATGATAAGATTTGTAGGCTAACCAATATTTACAAGATAAATATTATACATGTACTTCATCTATTTAGTCACGACACACATCACACATCACAATTAACACGACTCAACGTTCTATTTTTACCTTTTCACAGTAAGCATCAGATATAGTTACAGGTACTACAGTTCACTTCAAACATAAAGAAACTCCTTTAACGCTATGTTGTAAGATGATCTGCTACGAGTGTCTTTACAATGTGTTGTGTGCTGCACATCCATTACTGCGAATGGTACCGGTACTCTCTTTTGAAAATGCTTCAACCAGGCTTAGATATATATAACTTATTTTTATCACAGTTCAGAAGCTTTGTTTACTTTACGTTCCCTGTTCAACAACCAGCGACAAAGTTGACACATAACGTTTATTTTTTACTGATTGAGTTAGCTCAGTAGATAACTAGCTTGTACAAGAGGCAGTTACTTCTCAGAAACCGTTTAAGATCTGAGACACATCTGGGTTGGATTCAGCAAATACGTTCAGAATGAATTTCGGCTTTAACCTGCCAAATCTCATTGATGATTTCGTTTTGTAGTTTAATCACTGTGCACCGAGTGTGGACAGCGTTTAAAAACGTCATGAAATGTCCCCATTTTCCTGTCACAATCCCCTTGATGTGTTAACGTGCTTATACATCAGGTGGACGAAGATATGAGCTCAGGGCAATACTTCTATTAGGGAAGACTATCAGGCGAAGAATTACTGTTATAAAGAAGTACTGTCGGGTGGCAGTGATGATCCTTAGGCCCTGAGTCTTCAAATAGCCAGCCAGTGACGAAGCTGTTGAACAATCATACAGAGAAATACGTTACGGATATTGAATAAAGAAACTGTTCAACATACAGGTTAAACTAGTTGAAAAGCCCTGAGTGCGCTGGCTTTTAAGGTCCTAATGCAACATGGAGTGATGACTTTGTCATGTACACGTGTACTTGATTATCCCATGTTTTCGCAGGCAGTGTCAAGTGTCAGAACGTAGGTGGTCTGAACTTGAACTCACGGATTGTTATGATTTACAAGTTCAAAAGGGACAAGCTAAAGTTGGCTGCCATCAATTGTGTGTATTATTCTCTCACCTGGAAACGTTTGACCTCTCCCTTGTCTCTGATCTCCTCGTGTTCGAATTCCGGTGTTATGGCGTAAGCTAAACGCTGTAGGAAAGGAAAAGTTGGCGGTGAGTGATGTTGTCAAAAAACTGTGTTTAGGATATGTCTAGGAGAACTCACATGTAAGTGTGTCAAAAGTGAATATCTGAAGAAACCATTGGGAGGACGTAGGAGCAGTAGTCATGTGTTATACCTCTTGTTTTCTTATATATCACTGCGACAACCATATCGTCTTATGACCTGTTATAAATCTTGTACAGGTATGGATGCTCAACATTACATTACAATTCATATGTATGGTCAAAGTTTTTGGTGGGTATGATACTGCTCATATATATAGTGTTCGGCGTCGTGTGGCGTAGCGGCAGAGACTCGGAACCAAGAGGTCCCGGGTTCAAATCCTGACATGCCACCGTACCGATCTTGTGCCCTTGGAAAAGGCACTTTACACGACTTTCCTCACTTGACTGTATATCTGTAAGAAAAACACCTGCCGACTTTTGCGGTCACACATAGCAGGATCTCCTCGTCGTGATCATCATATGCATCAGCATGGATCTTTTGCTTACCTCTCGGAAAGGTCCTTGTAACTTGAGGAGTTTAAAGACGGCGTATCCCGGGATGAAGATCATGGAGGACAGACTGAGGCACCAGGCCAGACCCACGCCCCAGGGCGGGTACACGTACTCCTCATACGCCAGGGGCCTGTACTGCACTATGCTGAAGATCGTGATGAACTGCACAGAGGGGAAGAATTGTTTTGGTGTAGCATGACAGTTCATCTGTGTTGGTACACGTCATTATGAAATAAACACTAAACTTAACCGCCAACACTGCAATGAATTGGGACTTACCCCAAATTTTCGGCTGACTCCGTCAACCTTGTTCGCGGAATGGATCCGTCTACTCTTGGAACGTAACGTCAGAAACACGTGATCGTAGTAGCGGGTCATATATACGTGCCAGATAACCTGTGTCGCCCCCCGTCTCTGTTCAGGGCAGGTCTGTTTAGTTACTAACATAATTACCTCAAGTTGCAATGGCCAAGTGGGTAGAGTGTTCGCATTGCATTCGGTAGGTCGTGGAATCAATCCCAGGCCGAGCCATACAAGAGACTTACCAGCAAGAAGAGCGGACTGACGAACTTCCAACAGAAGCGCCACCACAGGCCGGGAGTGAAGTGCAGCATCTCCTCAACGTCCTGCTTGAACTGCGTCATACCTAGGTAAAACAGATGTATTCTTAAACATGGGCATTAGTGGATACCAGTCTCCTAGATGCCAGAACGTTTCAAATGAATAGTTTCTGAAATAAGCCCAAAACTCTACACCAACCTTGACAAATTTATAAGACGATTGATCGGATGATAAGACACAAGCACAGCACTTACTGTCATGTCTTTTTTTAGATCTTAACGAAAAGAAACTTCAAATTGTATAGCTTCCTAAGTTATCTTGTAGACTTGAACAGACACCAGGGTGAGGAGTAAAAAGCCGTCTTACCGTACAGCCAGGACACGCCTATAGCCTCAAACAGCACCGCAAACAGGATAGACGTCCCAGCGGCGTACTGGTCCAGCATGTGGAACATGTACATGCCGCCCTGGAGCAGTACAGAGAGGTAAGTTTTATGTGTGGGTCACTAGGTCAGCAAGGATGGGATCTTTACGTCAATGTAAAAAGTCCACTTAGTGTTATTGAATCAAAGCTCTGAATATCCGATTACAAATTGTTACACATACACGTGGCATGCAGCATGGTGCCCAGTCTACCGCGGTTGGGGCGGGTTCTCTTCGGGGCTGCAGGAGCTCTTCCCCGCCCGACTTAGCTAGGTTCCCCAGTAGGTTTTGCACGACCGGAGTTAAATCAACTCCTGGTATGCAAAACTCTGTTGAGCTGGACGGGGAAATACTATTAGAGCCCCGAAGACAGCCTGTCCCAGCAACGATAGACTGGATAACCGACTACGTGGTATTACATGTATGTGTTAGCATTTTATCTGTACCTGACTGACGTTGATCAGCGCCAGGGAGAACTCTACGAACAAAATGACGCCCGTGAAGAGTTCCCGCTTTCTGGTGAGGATTGGGAACTCGTCACTCAAACCCGTCAGGATGGCCTCCGTCCCTCCCATCTGCAAGATGGAACAGAAAATTTAGCGATCAATTCAATTCGCGCGGTAACAAAATTTCACGGTCTGAGGAAAAATGTAAAAAAAATGTCCGCGGAACTATATGTTCGCGGTGGCGAAAGGTGCAGGAGAAAGAAATTTCGCGGTGATGATAATTTCGCGGCACAGAAGTGACCGCAAAATCCGCGAATATAAAAGCACTGCGAATACGTAGTAGTTTGTCATGGATAGGACGTCGATAGAACTTGAATAAAGAATTATGCACATAATAGATAAAACATAGACATGTTAGAAAGTAGTACGTTACCGAGCTGTCTAGTCCCAGTGTGATGAGCATGAGGAAGAATATGATGGCCCAAGCTGTGGAACCCGGCAAGGTCGCGATGGCTTCTGGGTAGACCACAAACACCAATCCCGGTCCTAGATAGGTGGGAGGTAAGGAGAACAATTATCTGATATACCACTATTACGCACACAAGTGTAATGTCAATTTCTTTTATTCCTTCTTTATGTAACGTTTATATGCCCAGGGACACCTGGAAAACAGGCCATGGATCTGTGAGTGATCTACTGGTATAATAGATAAAAATGAATCATAATTGTAACGCTTGCGTGTCCTAGATGTACTACTATAACAGACAGAAACGCTAGGAAGTGAACATATAGGTTCTTTTCTGAAAGTACATTCATAGAATTCCGGATCAAGACATGAGTTACAGCTACGCGTCGCTGAACGCTGAAGGCGGGCTTTTATAAAAAGGACACTTTATTACTTTTAGGTAGTTTTACAACCATTTATCACGACCCTCCCCTTTAAATGGCCGCTGCACTCCACATTTTGGGAAATTCTCTTATTATAAACACACTTAACGTTACATGTAAGTTGGAACTACAGGCGATGAAAACCTCCCTCGCTCTACAGAGTGTTTGCATGGACTATTGCACACACTCGTGAGAAGCCAGGACCCAGCTCGTCTTTCGTCTTGAAGCACTTATGGCAGGTGCAAAGAGCTTGTTTATACCGGCACGACTTAAGCCTAGTCAGCCACCCGTGATGTAGACAAAACACGCTTGTTCTTACAGTATGTTGGACTGCACAGAAGTTGACCGGTACGCTAAGAACTCGTTGACACGACGAGGCAATGCGCTGATGCCATCGTCTTTTCTTTTAGTCAATACATTACCCATATAACATTACCAGTGTCCTGGTTCAAAAGCCTACCACTCATCTGGGTAAAAATGTGTGACTATGTAAACAGTACGTTTTCTCACAGTTTTCGGGTTTATCTCCAAGAGTATCTGCCGTGGGTGATCAACTTCTGGGTAACATCACGACCTTTGTGGTTTCTTTTATAAACGTAGAGTCAATCCGTCATTCTTTTGCGGTTAAAAGTGATCTAGACGTAGTGGTCTCTTCCTACGTGTTGAAACTATTCACGTACTCCTCTACTTTGAATTCAAGAGTTAAAACATGGTTATGTGATTTCTTACATACTTGAAAATTCCATCTGCGGTAGGTGTTATGTTGTGGGTACTTTGTGGGTGTTGTTTGTGTTTCGCTATCGAACGTCAGACCAAATGCTGCTAACCAACCTTCGGTCGCAACTTTGTCGATGGGCACGCCGCGTTTCTGTGACATGTACCCCAGCACGGAGAAGATGGCAAACCCGGAGAAGAAGCTGGTCATACAGTTCACAGAACTGGTCACGAGGGCGTCTCTGTATATCGGTGTAAATGTGGTGTTCGGTGGCATTCAGTATTACTCAGTACAAATGTCAATTATTTTCAAATGGAGAGAGAGAAAAAATCAAACATCAAATCACGTCTCTACATGCATACACTAGTACCGTGTAAAGTGAGATGTCAGATATTCTGCCAACATAAACATTCAATGCTGCACGCCAGAGCTAACGTACCTGTAACAGTTGTTGTGGAACTTGTTATAACTGGACAGCGCGATCAGCACACCAAAGCCCGCACCGAGAGAGTAGAAAATTTGTTGTGCAGCGTCTATCCATACCTGAACAAAATCAAAACAATTTCTTTCACATTTAATAAAAATATACAATATTTTAGATATGTTGACTACCTGGTTGACGAAATAGCTCTGTCGTTTGACTGTACATTCTTTACATCTTTTTACCTCCTATCTAGTTTCCCATCCATACCTGTGAGTCCATGAGTCTGTCGAAGTTTGGAGTCAGGTAGTACTTAATCCCCTCCAGGGCGCCAGGCAGGGTCGCGCCCCGGATTAACAAGATGGTCAGGACGATATAGGGCATGGTGGCTGTCACCCACACTACCTGTAACGCAGAAAACAGGATCAGTTCTTCCGTCTAACGCACCAATACCGTACATACGGGGGATGCGAAGAGCATCTTATTTTTATTCACAAAAAAACTACCATATTCATCTTATCTGGAGACACATGGAACACGTACAGTTCTTTTTTATTCCAACATGTAATCACACGACGTTGTGGCGGCCGGCACATTCAAGTTTTTTCAACTTATTTGTATGCCGTCACCAACACAGAGGACAATACAATACGTGAGGAAAGTCGTGTAAAGTGCATTTGCCAAGGGCACAAGGTTGGTGGCACGGTAGGTTTCGAACCCGGGACCTCTTGGTTCCGAGACGAACAGTCTACCGTTATGCCACACGACCCCATCTGGTACATATAGACCATACTCGGTTGGGAATTTAACTGTCACCTTTCCAGACGATCGGACACCCTTCCACAGGCTGAGGTACAGCAGTATGAATACTCCCAGCATACACAGCGCCAGCTTCCATTGCAGATCCCCGAAGTCTCCGATACCTTCACTTTTGTAGAGCTGCAGCACTTCGCGTCTGGACAGTAAGTTGAACGTCCAAAAAAAAAACACGTTACAATGATTATCATTAAAGACATTTCTGTTTTGTTGTCTTTTATATCGTACTTTTCGTTCCCAAAAGCTGCCCGGTCGGCGCGGGCCCCGTGTGGGAATTGTGACCTCAACATAACACTGGGTAATGCTGAGGTCATATTTCCAAACCGGGGCCCGGCTGGGCAGTCGTATGGAACGAAAAGTATTAGATAAAAGACAACAAAGCAGAAGAAATTAACAATGGGGAACTATTTGAGTATATAATTGATATAAATTAAAGATTTTTCGTTAATCGAATCAGCCCGGCCGGACCCGGTTTGGAAATGTGACCTTAGCATAAGTTTTACGTACTCGTAATACTGCGCAGCTGGTGAGATACCGCGCCGCGTGTCGTTGACCGTGGAGTTGAAGCCGTCGGTGCCGTTGACGAAATCGTCGGTGAGCTGGTCGATGCAGTCGGGCGTGTTCCACTCGTTGTCGCACGACGTCCATGGCAGTTTGGACGTGAAGCTGGCGAACAGGTAGAAGAAGGACCAGGTGATGATGACGTTGTAGTACAAGTCGACGAAGAAGGCGATGAGGATGACGGCGTACCCCACACCTGCGGACGGGAACGGGTCTTAGCCTACCTCGCAGACGTGTGCGGCGGCCGTAGCCTGGTTACCATACTCAGCGGGTCGGCTTTGGGGGTGTTCCGGCCGGGCAGAGGTTCTTCGGCACCCCGGGGTTTCTAATTTCTGCCACCCCGTCTTCGACCTGTTGAGTATGGTAACCAGGCTACGTCGGCGGCAGCGGCGGCGTTAATTTTTTTCGGCGGCAAAAAACTCCCTTCGCGGCAAAACACCCTCCGGGGAAAACTCCATTCGATCGCTGCGTAACTCGCGTCGCTCCCCGAAAAAATTAACGAAGGGCGCTATCAGGGTCTGGCACAAATTTGTATCAATAAATTTGTATCAACGCTTTTATTATCTAAAATGGTTGGGAGTGATCGGGAGACCACATGTGAAACTTCGGGGGACTGAATCGTCATCACCCTCCCTCACACATACAAAAGTTGATTTGCCTGCAATGACAACACGTTTGCCTTCGGTCCTGAAAGCACTCCAAAACGACAGCAATACAGATCGGAGAAGTACTGATGAATTACTGACTGAATGACTGAATGACTGACTGTACCTTTCAGTATGGGACAGACGTGTTCCCACACGCTGATGGCTCCCGTCCTGTTGAACTGACCCAGAATCAGTTCCATATAGAACAGCGGCAACCCGCCAATCAGGAAGAACGTCAGATAAGGAATCAGGAATGCACCTGCAATAGTCGTAACCAATCAAGTGTTATATTACAACATGCAATAAATACAAAACCTCTGAAATCAGTACGGTGCCCCAAGCATTCCATTATGGTACAATATGTGAGAAGCATTCGAATGCAAAAATGTATTTTTTCGTACAAAGTTTCCAAATGTTTTGACACTTCATAACGCATGTGTCCTCATAACTGATCACAAGTAAAAAGGTGATTGCATGATGACATTGTTTACGTAGAACCTACAAAGAGGCCGGTGTAGTTGTTTCAGCCTGTTGTTTTTAGGCAGCTGGTTCGAATTGACGTATACTGCGGTCAGAAAAGGCAAAGCCCCTGTCACACATACAGGACCTTCCCCGACATTGCCCCCGAACACCAGCCGACCAAGGTCGGTTCAAGTTCGGGAGCGGTCTGGCCAGATTTAGGCCACGCCTACCTTTGTACACAAATTAAAACGAATTTGAGTTAAGTTTGACCCCCGAACACCTCCCGGACATTGCTGACTTACTCCCGAATAGTTGGCTGGTGTTCTTCAGAGTGATTTTGAGTCAAGGTTCCATCGCTAAAAAATGAAAAGTTCAGGGACAATCTTCAAATGAGGACCGACGTCTATTCTAGAGTAATCCTGATCAGTGAATAATGTTAAAATAACATTTCAAATATTTATCCATTTTACAACTTTCCAAGTGTTTCTGTCAAAAGTAATAGTTTTGATATATCAAGAATCGTTTGGAAAGGAAGTTTTTCTCACCTCCTCCGTTCTTGTAACACAAGTACGGGAACCTCCACACGTTCGCCAGGTCCACTGCGAAGCCGATCACAGACAGGAGAAAGTCCGTTTTCTTGTCCCACGTCCCTCTGGTCTTGTCTCCGGCGGGATCGACCGACACCATCCCCGTCTCCGCGTCCAACCTCTCCTCGCCGTCCGCCGGCGCCGTGCTCACCGTGTACCCGCCGGTCGAGCTCGCCACCACCACCGAGGACTTCTGGCGGAACCTTGCCGGCCCTTCCTCCGAACGGATGGTCTGCAGCTCCATGTTTTTCACCACGATTAGCTGGAGGGACAGGCCTCCCACCGACTGGACAAGTGCCTTACCTAGCCCGGAACATCTGTAAGACCAAACGAATTAACTTTGTTGAAGATCGCTCAACCCACAAGCATGTGTTCCCAGCCCTGCCAAGGTTGGCAATGTCTCGCCAGACGGCAAACAACACTGACTGACTATCTGCAATGTCAGACTGCGCGAATAATGTCTGACTGATATTAATTCCTTCAACATTTCACACGCCACTTCTAGCAATGTTTACATACTCTCAAACATACATACAAAGTGAGCGGTCACTCAAAGAAAGGTTAGGACCCTTGGTAGTAAGTCACTTGTTGACCGTCTCCAGTCTCAAAACAATCTGTGTTTGCCTGTTCGATTCTCTAAATCCCACTCATTCGCGGCTTTTCTGTTCCATATCCCATACTCTGAAGTAAAAGAGCCTTTTAGAGAAGATTTTTGACGAATCCAAATCCAAACATGGTTTCACGGTCATGCAATTACAAGCCGAGTGCATACATGCTCAAAGGATCGCGTTATTCTTAGTGGACTAAAGTTCTCATCTTGGACAAACGCCTACCTGTGTCCGCAAGAACACCCACGAAAACTTCCCTCCTGGTCTTGATCCAAAACCTCAAATGAAATGACTACACTTCTTACGTCAAACACTTGTGATACGGAGGGAACATGGAGTGAACTTTGAACGTGAAGGTTAACTCAGCCGCCCCCATGTGGCGACCTGTCATCAACTAACGATATGATTGGTCACGACGGGCGGCGTAAACTGTCGACACCTTCGGAAACGTTCGTCGGAAGGTGAAAGGTCACCAATCTCTGGGACATGGCAGAACCCGGGGCACATCTTGTCAATCACTCTATCAAAGCAAGCCATTTCCGTGCCAAAAGTACTCTAGTTTACAGAATTATCATGAATACTGAGTAGTTGATTTTCTCAGCATAAGGTGGACTTTTATTCAGAACAATATCCTAATCTAACGTAGTATCTACTAGATAGATCAACACCAACGGTTAAATAATATTAAGGATGCGGAAGTTTTAATGAAGTCCTATCCTAGTAGTGTTTATAGATGGTGAGGACGCGGGATCTAGAAGGTTGGTCCTTTACATTGTAGACGAGTGTGTTGTGCTGAAAGGTCCGGTCACAGATACAAGACCGAAAGCGCTGTCGCAAGAAAAGAACGGAATCAGCCTTTTCCATCTATCTAAAATGCTCTTTTAGTCTAGACTAGTTTCCCCATCTGCAATTGTTTGATGCGTTGATCCTTGTCCTGGACTGCCCTGTGATGACGATGACGTACGTGACTCATACATTAGGAGGTTGGACTCACTTCTAAAACCACCCTTTTAGTGCTGACCCTGCGGGCTCCAGGCCTTGACCCCGCCGCAGGTGACCGCACATTTTCCCGGGCAGTGAGAGGTGCTTTCCCCGCACCTGGTTTATCTTGTAACATAATCTTAAACTCCCGCTGGTCGCGCGGACATTTCTTCGTGTCAAAAATGATGGATGACCTCTGGAGGATGAAACAAAAATTTACAAACATGTCCTTCCGCGCGACTTCTGTAATCGTCTGTTTTTAGCCCTGACGAGGGTCATCTGAGGAAACGTTTAGCGCCGCCAGGGTGTTGAAAGGAGCATCTGGCGAAAGTTCAAATGACCCGCGTTTCTTTTGGGCAGCCGAAAGAACTGTTGAGCTTGTGTGATGTCTACTGCGAGGAAAAAGAGCCATGCGTATATGGTTCAACGCATTTTTCTCTGTTTCCATGAGAAAGTCAATGATTCTACATAGACGTGAACCCTATACCACTCTATCGTCGGGATAATGTATGTGAGGTATAGAGGATGAAAATGTTAAAAGAAAAATTTGATCTTACCTTATAAAATTTGATCTTACCTTATAAAATTTGATCTTACCTTATAAAATTCATTCATTCATATCTACAAAGCTATTGAGGTGAGGGAAAGGTCCTCGTTGACTGTATGATTTGGCAATCATATCGCATTTGGACAACGAGAATTGTACAAAAATGAGCCCGCCCTGGCACACGGAAAGTTTTCCTCAGTTCACTGTTCAAGTACATGCCGGCCACGTGCAACCTTCGTACCCCGGACAAGGTTACGTCTTCTCCCCCATCCAACATGTCCTAACGGTAAGACACATCATCACTGACAGTTTATCACAGATGGACAGCCCGTCTTTGATCTGCCCGGACCGCGATGACAGCTCTATCGCCGCCGGCCAACAGATGACCCTACTCCGACCTTCGCGTGGCCTTTGGCCGTTTTTACAAAGTTTAGCAACATGTCAAATCATCGGGGTCGGTAATGGTTAATCTATGTGACTCTTGGGGACGCGCAGTGTTACTAAGTACCTAAAGTTTGACATGTAACAAGATAATGAGACAGTAGATTGATGTAAGGAATATTTGTTGTCACATTTATCGACTTCAATTTTTCGACGCACGTTTTATATCAAAATAGTTGCACTAGACTATCCTTGCCCATTTGAATTAAAAAAAAGATATTTCATCTATTCTCAAAGAGTAGCTTGAACACAAATCTTTTGCAGAACAGCCGAATTCTAGAGGAATTACCAAGGAGTTGTTTTCAGTATGTCTGCAGCAAGCCAAAATGTGGTCACTGCACTGTTTGTTATCTTTAACCGTTCTGTACACATTCGTTTGTAGTTGTCAACAGCCGGATTCAGTTTGTGGGACTAATACACTCTTTCACAAGAACGAAACAGATCGTACCACATGATTTTCCCACATGTAAGCCGCCGCCTTAAATCAGGATTAACAGAGCGGTGATGTCTACTTCAGTTTGCCTGTGCGAGTCTCAAGAAACTGCACAGCACACCAGTAATTCTCCTCCTTAGTCTCGCTAATGAAGACATTTGCCAGTACATCGCACACAGAGATAAAGTTTCGGCAGCGGTACCGGTACTAAATTCATGACAGGACTTCTTGCTAGAGTAACCACCTGTGTTAGCAGTGTGTGTTCGCCAGGGGGCGCCCCCATGGGACCGGCGGAATAAACAGAAGGGCTCTCGACCGCCCTCTGTCGCGACCTTGGCTTCGCCGCGGAGTTTTCAGACCACCAAGTGACGTGAAATTGCATTGAGTGTCACGAACAGTCGCTTAGCGATGTCCGTTGAAATAGGAAATACAGCTGTCCTTCTTTGTCTAACGGAACATGACTGCCTCCCATTTGGTTCTGAAGGTGCCGCGCGGAGCACTACCAAGCTGTCAGGTCACCCACTGAATAAAACTAAGATCTCCTACAAGTCTTGGTGATGAAGTCTCTATTAGGAGAAGATAGTGAGTAGATTCACCGACTGTCTTGACACTAGTTGGAATGTCGGTCCACCACTACAAGAAACATTTGTGAAAACGAAGTTTTAGCACCCGTGTGTGTAGTGCTTTTCCAGGCACTCCGACCTTGTACCATACAGGAGTCACAGATGTGACCGAAGTTCACAACTGTGACAAACATTCGGACTATCAACATTCCCTTTGATACACAATAGCCTTAACATTGTCGCAGAAATGGGGCCGCTATCTTATTATTCAAGTTATTCAACCCAGAATTGTGACATTAGTCTTCACACAACATTTTGGGTTTTTACATTCCAAGTCAATCTGTGTCGTGGTCGCGATAGAAAACAAGATAGTTTGAAGTACGTAGATTGTGGGTCGACAGTTTTTCAAATTCGGTACTACGTATACACTAGAAGGAAAGAGGCCAGAACTAGCAAAAGTCAGTCTACAACGACTAGAAAGAAAGACAGTCCACTTACCCGTAGTTGACTGAAAGAACTAGTTCTGTCTAAGGCTTTTGTAACAGAATCTGCCAACGACGTCTGTTGGGCTGGGACCTCGAACATTTTGTCACAACACCTGGATTTTCGCTTCCAAACATTCCTGTTACAGCTAGAGAGCTACGTTAGATTCTGCTCAACGGAATTTACAGGACTCCTCCCCCAAATAGTTCAAATCGTCGATTGCCATACAATCACTCGACACTCACTTATACATTGACCCTTGAAATGTAAAGCAAAAACGGGCTTTTACCAATTGAAATGTGGTTTAAAACAAATCGATAAAATAAATGACCCCAATTGTCTATTTGAAAGAGCAATGACTACTTGATGCAGGTCATTGCCAACTTACACACTTCTACACAAGATTCCAATGTCATTTCCTTTGTATCGCTCGTCATATAGCGACAGGACAATATTTAACTAGGTACATAAAGCCAAGACAATTAGTATTTTATTCGAAGAAATTTCAGAACTGCCAGCAGTAAATAAGCTGAATAGCAGTGAAAGTTGTGGCAACGATTTGCCCGATGTTGAGTGACGCATGTGGTAGGAATCCTAAGCAGTCAACAGGGAAACTCCAGGCCAAGGAGACTACCCTGGCATGTAAGGAGCGCCATCTTGGAATTCTGTCAGAAATTGCACCTCCAGCAACTTTACGTAGTCTACAGGACTGACCTGTGACACTTATATATAGAACGTCTAAATAAACGGATCCAGATTGACCAATAACACACAGTAGGAAAATCCTTGCGTAACACGCAGAAGCAAATATTTACTACTACCCATTCTCTCCCTCAACTTTGCCATGGATCGTCTTCAATGATCGTCTTCAATTTGCTACTCGTATATGTACATGTAACTCAAGGTCAAAGACAGTCAGCCAATGCCAGCGTCATTAGGAAGTGATTACGCAAGGGGACAATTTTCGTGTTTGTTCAGAACTAGTGTATTACCATGGTCCGTGTGACCTTACTAAGTATACGAGAGGGAAGCACAGAAGCGTATAGAAAATGATGACAAGTCACGAAATGCACGTAGAGTTAAACTGAGGAATTCCGGTGTAGTCTGACTGTACTGTCTGTTCATTTGTCGCGTTAGACGTTGTGTCACCGTTACCAATAAGTGAAAAGGGAAAAAAAGGGAAAAAATAACTACTTTCTGGAGTATCAAAGGCTATATAAACAACTAGTTGTGGTGCAACGTGGCTCTAGATAACAACGAAACGCTAGTGCGGCAGCCAGTAAGTGATCGTATGTATGGCATCCGTTTACGTTTCCCCGTCCTTGGTGCTGACCTGTATTCCGCCGGTGCCTAAATATAACTAAGTTCCCCCAAACATGCCAAGCTACGTTTTCCCGTCCTTGAGGATAATATGTTTTCCATCCACAGTGCTAAAACTACGTTTCCCCAGGCCGTCATTGATGCTGAACTCTGCTAACCTACCCATGCTGCGGACTATGTTTCCCTGTCCTTGGTGCTGAAACGTGTTTTTATAACGTATCATCCTGGTGGTTAGTCTACCCCGTTAGTGTATGGGATAACAGGATCACACAGACTTCTGCCTCAATGTTTCGGTGGTCCTAACAGTTTCAAATATCAACTAACATCGACTTGGCATGCACAAGCACTACAAGAGGTAAACCCGATGCGAAGCTAGTATGTCCTTATCTAAGGTCACCTTTGAAAATGGAGATACAGAATTGACAATTAACATTTGACATTTAAACACACAGAATGAAAGCTACTCACGTTTTCAAGTGCTCTTGAGGCTCCATCTCTTTCTTAATAGACCCTGGCATCTCTAGATCTGTAGATGTTCTTTTGTAGTCCACGGAGAAGTTCTGCTGGTGTCTCCTAGCTTACTTCTGCTTACGTAAGCTACTGAGAATCCAAGGAATAGAGCTGTTTTTTTTTTTTAGCTTAAGGTTAGCCTAAGACAAGTCACCATGCACCATCTTCCATTCTACTGACCAGTGCGACACAACGGTACAATCCAAAGTGCGGGGGCCGGGCGACGTCTCCGCTAGCCATAGAAACAGGATTGATTCGTGGGAATTTCTACTAATGACCAGTCATTACGTAATTGTATAGATCTCCAACTAGGCACTGTCACGGAGCCCCTGTAAATAGGCTGGTGGTATCTAATAATAACATATCTGTCCCTCCTAATCAAACCGATGCTTTTAATGAAGAACAAAATTGTTCTGCATGGAATTTACAAAATTACTTGTTTGAGGTTCATTTTTAGAAAGACATCTTGAAAAGCACAGGAAGCTTTAATAATCTTAATTTCATCAACGTTCACATAGAAAATCATAACATATTAGATGATTTCCAATAATTTGCGTCTTGAAGTGAACTTGCAGACAATTTAGAGTTTGGAAATTAAGTTACTTTGTAAGGAAGACTAGTGACAAAACGTATGTATGTGACGAATTGTATTATAAACTTGGAACTTGTGATATTGTGCACATGTGGTGCCTTTACACCATGTTATACTTTGCTCTCTGGGTGGAATAAAATGAACAACAAACACACATGTTCATCCTTATACCAGATTGAACCAGAAAGGTTGAACCAGATAACCAGATGTGGAAATGTAAAATTCGTTTTTATACGCCCATTTTTGGAACCTTGAAACATGATGGCAGCTCTTGAGTATAGTTCCGTCATGCATCATTCTGCCGTGTGTACCGGATGTCAGTCTCCTCAAGCCAGTCGTGAATTCTTCGTCTCTTGCTCGCTGTAGTATCGTGGCCGAGGCATTCCGTACTCTTCTCAACACTTTCAACTGTTGATGCCGCACGCTTCCTGCTTTGGGTGAATATAGACGTTTGCCGTCCACACCCGTCATACTTTGCGTGATTGTGCCCTGATGGAGCTGGTATCGACTCCACCGTTGAGTACGATATGAGGCTCTCGTGCGCAGGGTTAGTAGTGTGTGTCGCTTTTCCAGACGGCGGACGTGTATCATACTGACATGATGCTGCCGTCTCTACGTTAAGAAAACCTCCCTTGTTTCTCGCACTGGCACTGCTTGTCTGTAAGCCGTCCCTGTGGGGAGCCAAGTGGGGATGAAGACCCAACGTTGTCACAGGACAAGACCAAGTTTTCTCGCTCGGAAAAGCAGCTGCGAGACTGGGCTTGGTGACGTCACTTGGACGTTTCTTCACCGCAAATATGGATGATGCTGAAGAGCCAGCGAATTCTGTGGCAAGAATTGCATTGGTCAAGGGACGAACACGTGGTTTGTCATATACCGTTGGAATGTCTAGGAAAGACATCGGAGACGGTGTGGTAACAGGCTGTGCAGCATCGACCATTCCAGATAGGGCCTGTTGGAATGCCCCAGAGACTTTGTTTTGTTCTGATGTCGAGCGTAAACTTTCTGTAATAAGTTGTGCTGATTTTGAATCATGACCAGCCAAGGACGTGTTGGTATCCGGACCAATCTCCATGGTCCTGTAGCAACCTAGGCTGTCTGACAACTCTCCACCAGCATCTGAATCTCCAGACAGGTCATCAGCAGACGTGTCTTCTCTGCCGGAGCTGCAGCTAGACTCACCGCTGGAAGAACTTCCATCGTCCGGTGTTTCCGGGCTCGAGAAGGGCAGGCGACTGAGAAAACGGCAGGGGCGGTTGTTCTGGAAGATAGATGATGTCGAGATGTTCAATTTATGTCTGACAGTAAATGGCATATGCCAAATTGAGTATCTCTTCGTAGATCATGATTCAGTTCGATGCAACAGTGAGTAAATCGTCTTTCTTAAAGAGAATTTTCTAGGTTTTGCTTGGGATAGGTACTTTATTGACTAATGGCAAGGGCAAAAAGGAGAAAGCGATGGAAACTGACATGAAATGATGCTATCTCACGTCTTCTGGGTTCACCAAATTCATTAAAACACTTTAGAGTATCAGTAGCACAAAAACAGAATTACTTACAGGTCTGCGCCTCAGGTCCTGCAGCCAGGATGACGGCGTGTAGTCGTGGTCGTGAAGACCCTCAATCCGCATCTTCCACATCACCTTAGGCGGCACTCTGCAGCGGAACTCTGAGAGAACACATGTGGATACGAAAAGGCTCTTGGTATAAACTTTCCTATAAGAAGCCACATCACCCTAAGATTTGGGATCTGCGATAACGGTTAATTCAGGGAACCGTAAAGGAGAGTACTAGTAGTATGGCTCCGTACGCGTACTCACCTGGCACGCACATCAACAAATCTGCTTGGCGCAGAGAAGTTTCAGGTGTAAGGCTTTCCGGCATCGTCACGGTTGCACCACGGTTATAAAGGTTTGTGTGACTTGACGGTTTTCTTGCGTTCTTTGATATTTGTTTTATAAGATTCTCTAAGAGCAAACGCCGGGCGTTGGTTTCTAAGACAAGCTTTTGTAACTATGGGGAATAATGTTCTAGAAGGATCTGACTGATACATTCTATTATATAGTTAGCTATTCTGGAACAACAGATCTAGTTGGGTCTGGATAAGGTCGAGTTCAACCATCAAAGACAAAGAATCTGATTCGTGTAAGCGCATAGAGAAAGATATAACACTCAAATAGTAGGGGCTAGAAGAAAATACACTTGTGCTACTTACAGCCCCAATTAGTGAATTAGCCAACAAATGCGGAGTTATTGTCAGACCTGTGTAAACAATCATCTATCTTAAAGGGCGCCAATTCTTTAAGCTAACCCTGCCTGAACAATAGAAAAGGGGCGTGCAACAGTAATTTCACTACCCCTATTGACTGGGAACAAGCAGTGCCTTGTCCCGAACTGCAATGTAAACAATACATAATCCATTAAAACACGCACAGGTGAGACCACCACACCTACAGAAATGGGCATTTCTGTATGTTTTAATACTCTCTGTGTTTACTCGTTAATATATACAGGAGTGATAAATGGAACACATTGGTGGAACTTGGAACTTAAGCTATTTATAATAGAAAATCTACGCTATCTACTCTGACGCCCTTTTTGTACATGCAAAGTTTGACGTTGCGTATGTTTACTCTTGAGGTGGAAGTGATATTGTGTACACTTGAATGCATCAAAATGAAAACGTTTGGATCCAAAAAGTTCTTAAAGATACGTATAAGTATTGTTTAAAAATTCCGATTAATGATATCACATTCAATATAATATGTAAGTTACTCCCACATTTTCGTACCGAAGATGTTACAAGTTCTGACTGGTTAGTACATTTGCTTGCTTTCCTAGTCCATTCGGATACACGATTCAAAATGTCAGGAAGTGAGAAGGACGAGAAAGCGCCGAGCACGTGGGACAAGTACGGCGTGAAAATTGTCCTGGCGATCTGTGTGGTGCTGTTGTGCATCGGTCTCATCGTAGTCATCGTGTTTGAGACCCAGAGACCCGGTCCCGAGCCCAAACCCTGGCAGAAGGTGGGTTTCACTACGTTTGTTACCAAGGCCATGTTTGCACACTGCAATACAAATGTCTTTGCAATGGACGAAACAAGTCACGAGCAAGTTACAGATTTTGAATCTGCTTACTAGTACGTACTAGTTGTTTTGATGCACATTCGAACGTTCATATTTCCAAAGCGTTGTCGCATATATGTGACAGACTAATAGCCATCCATATGTAGAAGCAGTGAAAGTTCTTTACATACACACACAAACACGACCTGTACATAGTGCTAAAAATATGTCCTGTTGATGATTTTTGCAACCGCTAGACCAGCATATCAAAACGCTTTTAAACATAACATAGTAATAGACAACTATGCACTGTTACCCATTTGGAAATTATGTATTAGAAATGACTGCATGCAAGAGAGTAATAGTAAAAACCACGTATTCCTCCCTTGTATCCTCAACTTAGACAGTGATATATTACCGTGCAATATCAATATTGTAGTACCGTGATGGGTAAAGCTGAAGTACAGTGGTTCTAAATCTACAAAGCCGCATTCTCCTCGCCCACTTGGCGTGTGTATCGTAGGGAGTGTTAAGATGTTGGCCTTTATCAAACACAGAATAAGTGCTAGAATCAATATGCAGAAGACTATATTGACTTCTTACTACGGGCTATATAAAAGGAACTTTGCGTGTTGGCGATAAGACAAACATAGAAGATGTCGCGAACCGTTACTGCAGTATATCATGTAGTTTTCTAAGACAGGTCAAAGTGCCGATCATGAGTTCGCATGTGATGGAGAAATTGGTAAGAAGCCGCCGGTCGGAGTTCTTGCATCATGCGGTAGTTATGCGGATGTTGATAAACCATGTTATGCAACTGTGGGTTGGTTAGCCATTAACCAACTACTGCGTTTGACCTGTAATACACTTAGATGTGAACTCATTCATAAACTGATAAAAAAGTTCGCGTTTTCTTTGTGTGGGGCCAGTGTTGACGTGATCGTGGCCTGGTCTAACAAAGAGCCGTTAGTCGTGTTTACCACGGCCGTCGTTTGGCTCACTTGCTATGTACAATAAGAGGCGTGTTCAAAGACAGGGTGCTTTACATGTATACATAAGGTAGCGTCTGTAGCGTCTATAGATTAAAATCACATATGGACACCCCATACGACTTCTCAATAGACTGTCGAGCAACATTTTAAAGAGAAGTCACAACATTTGTCTTCCAAATTTCATTTTTTTAAGTTTCGCTTGCCGGACACGTTGATTCCCGTCCACTACGATGTGGAAGTACGAGGTGACCTGTCGACCTTCGCCCTGACTGGCCGGGTGGACATCTCTGTCAGGTGTGCCACGCCCACCAAATACGTCATCCTCCACAGTTCGGAGCAGGAGATTGACAGGAGTTCTCCGCCAACCGTACAAGGGAGCGGGGACACGCCCTCTGTGACGTCATGGTTTCTTTATCCTGGTGGGTTTCTTATCAAAATAGATAAACTTGGACTTTTTTTAGAAAATGGAAGGACATGGATTAGTGCTTCTTGCCACAATTTTGAAATACTCAAATATGATAGGCCTATAGGAAGCACGCTTGCAGTCCAGTCGTACTTTACACATTGTAATTATTAATTTGTCGATGGTAACGATAATATGTTCAAACACAAAATGTCTATAATACTGTGATCTTAAGTACTTTTACAATTTTCCTCGCCAGAGAATGAATTCCTCGTCTTGGAGCTGAGCGAAAGTTTGAGAGAGGGTGCAGTCTACACCGTCACCATCAACTTCCGCGGTACAATACGGACTGTGCTAAACGGCTTCTACAGGTCATCCTATGTCAACGAACAGGGGCAAAGAAGGTGTGCTTTTTCACAATCTTTATTACAACTTTTCTCATATTATGACAGCTTCAAGAGAAATGGGAGGAAGACATGAGGTCCTAAAACCCATGTGAGACTGTTTACAATCTTAGCCTGGAGTCCAGCCTTGTTAGCTTTGGTCCGCTCTCCAAGATCCGCTACCCGCCAAGCGGATCTTGGCGAGCGGACCAAAGCTAACAGGCTAATACAGTGTTATCGTACTGTTCATTCGCAGGTACCTTGGGATAACGGACTTCCAGCCCCAGGATGCCAGGAAGGCCTACCCGTGTTTTGATGAACCATCTTTCAAGGCCACCTTTACTGTGACTGTGGTCCATCAACAGGAGTACACAGCCCTGTCCAACATGCCCCTTGAATCCTCCGAAAGCAGGTATTAGATGTATTTTGTATAGCCCGCATGGCAGAGATTTGGTAATGGCTCTGGTGGTAAAAAAAGTTGTATTGAGTTATCGAATGTGAATTTTTAAGTTTCGCAGCCTTGACATAGAGTTATTAGCGTCAGCCTTTTTAGCTTCGTCCGCTCCCCACGATGCGCTACGCGTGCGACATCAGTCTTTTTGGCCGGTAGCGGATCGTGGGGAGCGGATGGACGAAAACTAAAAAGGCTGAGACTTAGCTATCGTCAAAAGCCAATTCTGTCGGCTGAACTGTTTACAGAGGAGGCGGCTGGGTCGCTGACCGGTTCCAGAAGATGATCAGGATGCCGACATATCTCCTGGCATTCGGTATATGTGATTTTGACTCTATCAACGCCACCACATCAACAGGGATAGCAGTAAGTATGGCGATATCTAGTTTCTTTTAACCCGCGTTTTATGGCACATTCATGTAAGTTTGTGTCTGTTAACTGTATTTGTTCATCTTTTTTGTTGTAGCCCGCATAGCCTGTGCTTAGCCAAGTGTGGCAAAAATGTGCAATAAAGGTCGTCATTCATGAGTTAATAGCATATAGAAGTGATCTTGTATCGCACACGTACAGACTGGTATCTGGGCCCGTCCTGAGTACATCGCTGCCGGGATGGGTGATTTCGCCCTGGACGTGGCTAACAGGGTCGTGGTGTACTTCGAAGACTACTTCGGCGTGCCCTTCCCTCTACCTAAGATCGGTGAGTACTTCACATAGTGTTTAGTGATTAAGAACACGTGTACGTCTGGTTGTAGCTGTACCTTTAGCTATTTCGCAATTTACTTTTCATTGCGTCTACGTAATGGCATTCAATGTACAGTACAACATAACACTTTTTAAACACAGTTACGGGTTACTATGCAACTAGGTTATCTGTTCTATTATTTGTATGTCTTTTCAATATACATTAGAGTTTTGTTATTATTTTATGTACTAGTATTGTTTGATGGATACTTGCGTTTTACCTGAAATAAAGAAAATAGAAAGAAAGAAAACTTGGACACGTAAAAATTGGTTTTGATCTTTTTACGTATTCTTTTAAAACATCTGAACCCAAGACCACATCGCCCTTCCTGACTTCAACTCTGGAGCCATGGAAAACTGGGGCCTGATCACGTACCGAGAGACCAGACTGCTGTACGACACCAACTCACCGTCAGCTACTGTCAGGAAGGCCACAGCGCGCATCATCGCTCATGAGCTGGCTCACATGGTGAGGAAATCAAACATTATCGGTTAGAAAATGTTGATTCGCGTTCAGTGTTACATTCAACTTTTCCGGTAATTTTTAACATTGGGCATCATACGAGTTTCACTTCACTGCCATGCATTTCAGACTGATGCAAAATGAAAAAAAAATCAAGTTTATCAATTAATTTGCTTGTTGAATAGCATTGTGGAATCAATTGATTAAGTTTTTCCACTTGAAAACTCTGCCGTAGTATTAAGTGACAAGCAAATGAACTTTGTCCCAGTTTCCTGACTATCGGAACTGTCCTTGGTGCTGAACGCCATCCATACACAGGGTACCACCATAACTAGCCTACGTAAAGGCAAAAAGTGTGGCTGCCATGTGTCACGGCCCACTTCAACCACATGGTACTGGCTATATTGATAAGGAGATTTCTGATCGTTTTGTTCATGTTATGATGATCTTTCAATCTTGTCACTCATATAAAAAAGAGCCATACACCCTTACCATGTTGCATGTTCTGTTTTCCCTCCCATAAAAGTGGTTTGGCAACTTGGTGACCATGGCATGGTGGGACGGAACGTGGCTGAACGAGGGCTTCGCCAGTTATATCCAGTACAAGGGTTTGGACTTCGTAGATCCGGCGATGAATGTGGTGAGATATATTTCGAATTCCTCTCTTATGAATCTATCATTTGCGTGAAGTCTTTTACACTCTGTTGGCTATTATGTTCTCTGGAATTGTCTTGTTTGGTTAAGTTTGTCAAGTAAAGTCATTTTAACGTTTTTTTTTTTCAGATGGAGCACTTCGCTTATGACAGATCCCAGGCCGTCATGGTCGACGACGCTCTGACGTCATCTAATCCAGTTTACCGACCAGTCAACACCGCGGAAGACGTCACGCAAATATTCGGCAGTATTATATACAGCAAGGTAATGTCCTTCATATTTTTCAGTATGGTTATAGTATCAAGACACAGAACCATCATATTATGTCCTTTCACTGAAAAGTAGTATCCTTTAGCCAAATAGTTAACTGCTTAACTGACATCGCTACTCTTCCGCATGATACGTCAAATTTGCATATACCCATATTTGACGGTCCGAGTATGTTTTGGATCCCGTAGCGATCTGCAATGTACTAGTATACTGTCAGCTTATATACAAAGGAAAACTTATTAACTTTTTATTGGAAATGTATGAAAGCCACTGTACGTACGTTTACCACAGGGAGCTTCTATCTTGAGAATGCTGGAGAACTTCATAGGAGAAGACACCTTCAAGAAGGCTTTGAAGGTATTTGTTTCAAGCAACCTACAACATATGGTATTATGAGCTTTTTTCTTCATTCTGTAAACGTACTGAAAGCACTGTTATAGTATGCCGCTTTAGAAAACTGACATTACATTCTCCTCTGACAGAACTATCTCAGCAAAAACGCGTACGGAAATGCAGTGCAGGATCAACTGTGGGCGGAGCTCACTACGGTAAAAATTTTACTGTGTGATACCCATAAGTAGGCTAGTGTCTGTTTACTATTTCACTCATGATTACCCCTACTTGATTGTATATTATATTATACTAGCACTTGATGTTTTAGTAACTAGGATGTTAAGTTTATTTTTGTACTATGGTCAATAGCCGTTGCCATACATTGTGCCGTGCACATCTGTCGTGCAATAATTAAAGTTCTTCTTTGATCCTGTAGCGTTAGATCTGGTGACCAACAATTACATGTACATGCCTGCTTGTGATCTGACTTCAAGCATAAAAGCCCCGTGTCTTAATTTTGGCTGATGATCTCCCATTATGTTAAGGGTTTTCCTTCATGAGCCATTCATATCAGTCGTCACTACATTTTGATTGACCAACATGTGTTCTGTTTATTTTATCTGAACTGTCGTTCGGCAGGCCGCCAGAGAGGACGGCCAGACCGACCTGGACGTGAAAGCTGTGATGGACACCTGGACAATACAGATGGGTTATCCTGTGGTCACCATGACCAGGGACTACACAAGAGGGACGGCGGAAGTGACGCAACGGCACTTCCTGGTCGACTCGGCTTCTGTTGTCACCGTGACGTCAGAGCTCGGGTAAGCTGACCCCAAACTTCAATGATGAAATGTTTACTTGTAACGTAAGCTAGGACTCCTGTTTGATGTTGCCACTTATTGGGGGGGATCGCGTATTGATGGAAAGCTCATATGTATGTTTTCGTCTGAAAGATTGTAGTTCAATGATAAATGTGCACTGATTTTACAGATACCGATGGTACATACCTCTGACCTACTTAACCCAAGCAAACCTTGCAAACACGCCGGTACTGACGTGGATGGCACCTAATGAAGGTATGCTTTAGTTTCACCGTAGTCATTATGACTCATAATGTTACGTTTTCGTTAAGCTATCGGCCTCAAACCTGTTTACTACCTACTGTAACGATATGTTAACTAGGGAAAGTATAACCTGAGCATTCAGTTTTGTAGACACACATTTTTACGTATATTGACGTTCATTCGTTATTTCCTGGCCTAGGCACTAAGACGATAACTCTACAGGGCGCCGCTGCAAGCCAGTTTGTCCTCGCCAACATCAACCATGCAGGCTTCTACAGGGTCAACTACGACCCGACCAACTGGCAACTCCTGGCCAACCATCTCAACAGCGATACCTTCCAGGTACATGAAAAAAATACTAGATCCGATGAAACGTTTGCCATTTGGACACAAGCGAGTCATAGTGTTGCACACAAGATACTTACAGTTTTACGTTGAACTTGAAGGTCTTTATACTGTAATGACACGTGCAAAATTATTTCAGGATATCCCTGCCGACAACAGAGGAACACTTGTTGACGATGCCTTTAACCTTGCAAGGTAGGTAATTAAACGTTTTAAAAAAGGTCACAAAAGGGCCTGAAGGCCACTTCTACGTACTATATCTCATAGACTGAAGAAAAAAATTCGCCAAACAAGTGTACGAGTAAAATGCTTATGTACGAGTAACATGCTTATTCTAGACACGTAATCTACGACAGCAGAGCTAACAGTAAACTCTCGAACAAGTAGCAGAACATCTTACCGCACGTCTGTACCTACAGGGCCGGTATGTTGGACCTGACCACGGCTATGAGCATGACGCAGTACCTGGTCAAGGATAGACACTTCATACCGTGGAGCATGGCGCTACGGGCTACAGGGTACATCGAGACTGTGGTGGGCTCTGTACCTGAGATCTCCAACCTATGGCAGGTAGGTGATAATAAACAGGATATGAGCGTAGCTAGCGGTACCTTTTGTTTGTGTTGATTTGTCTGATTCTATTCCTTTTAGTTCATTTACGGTGGATTGATTTTTTTTAAATTTATAGAGGTCATGTTCTCAGACGAGATTAAAACTACAGGGTCGTTGCTGTAATAGGAGAATACATTGCTCTCTTGTGTTGCTTTCCAGCCCTACATGCGACAACTCATCACCCCATTCTACGAGGAGGTCGGCTGGACTCTCTTACCAGGCGACTATAACACAGAGTGAGATTATATTCTTAAATGCACTGATCAAGTTTCCGCCTTGCGTAAGAGTGTAATCAACAAGATCAACTCGCACTTTTGCATGATAAGTAATATATATGTATTGTAATGAAACAGGCATGTTTCCCAAAAGTTCCATCAAAACTATTTGACTATAAAGTGTCTCCTATCTAAAGCATAGCAGTCATAGATTATGCTGTCTGTTTTTGACCAGGGTTGGCCAAGTCATGGCGATCTCTACTGCATGTGAGTACGGCAACAGCGGATGCGTGAACAACGCCACTATGATGTTTGATCAGTGGATCAACACCAACAACAATAGGTAAGATGCACTATTATCTAACGTAGGGTAGTCCTATAACACGCTTATCGGCTTGCATCCGGCGTTATAATGGTTAGTTACCCCGTGTGTGGATGGCGTTCAGCACCAAGGACAGTTCCGTTTGTCAGCAAACTGTGGCAAATGTTTTGCTTCAGCACAAAGTTGTTCACGATACTTTGCTGAAGTAGTCTTAATACCTATCCATTCTACATGGTTAGTTACCCCGTGTGTAAATGGCGTTCAGCACCAAGGACAGTTCCGTTCTTCAGCAAACTGTGGCTAATGTTTTTGCTTCAGCACATATTTTGTTCACGATACTTCGCTGAAGTAGTCTTAATACCTAGCCATTCTAGATGGCATTGAAGCCAGTTGTATTCTTGTGTTTGTTGAACAGTCACATCCCTGAGAGGCTGGAGAGTACGGTGTACTGCACGGCCATCCAGCATGGCGGCAGTCGGGAATGGGACTTCGCCTGGCAGCAGTACTTGACAGCCGAAGCCTCTGAACAGACTCTCCTGCTGCCTGCCCTGGGCTGCACTCAGGACACCGATACATTAAACACGTACGTATGGCGTCTCTAACATTGTACAAATTGATATCCTTGATTGAATTACGTGTTGTTTATTTGCAACATCAATTAATGATATGTATATCCCTTGCAATAGTCAGCATAGATTATGCAATGCTTTATTTGCTTTCACAGCAACGTTGTTTCAAGAAGAAGGTACCTGCAATATGATAGACAAAATTTTTGCTTCCAAGGATAGTATCATACGCTACAAAAGGGATACACGTCTTTTAGTTGCAAACAATACGCTGGGAATAAAGTAGCCTGAGTGTCAGCCTTTTATCTTTCGTCCGCTCCCCACGATCCGCTATTTTTGACTGGTAGCGGATTGTGGGGTGGGGACGAAAGCTAAAAGGGCTGACACTCAGGCTAGTGAATAAAGTACCAGTATAACAAGTTTTTTGTGACCCCAGCTACATGGAGAGAAGTAAGGACGACAGTCTGATACGGAGACAGAATGCCCCGCTGGTGGTGAGGTACGTCGGCAGGAACAGTGTCGGCAAGTCTTTGGCCTGGAACTTCCTCAGGGACAACTGGGACTTCTACTTTGAGAAGTGAGAACAGTGCTCTTGATACTTACCGTTAGGCCTAGGGAACAAATGTTGTGTTTCCTGTTTCCCGACCGAACCCAGAACAAACTGCCGACCATAGCCTTTGGGGGGGGGGGACCATGAAAGGACATATTTTCTCGAGCTGATCAAGTTTTTCTTGCTCCATGATCTGACACCTGAGTGATAAAACGTTGTACAATCGGTTTTCCAACTTTGACATTGAAACCTTGGTAAACTGTATTGCATAAGTTGGATCACTAGAGATCGCAAAAGTCTAATAAAAAAGAAAGAAAGATAATCCCTACCTACCGACCCCATTTTTTAGAACTGAAACAGGAAACAGTACACAGTAAGTCCCAGTTTACATACGGCTTGGTTTAGATAGGACTAGTGCATGTTCTGGAGGGATGGTTAACTGTTGTTTTGATTTGATCACCTGTAGCTATGACGGCACTTCCTTCACTATGACTGGTGTTGTGGAGGACGTCACACGGCAGTTCAGCACCCAGGAGGACCTAGATCAGGTGAGACCATGATCTGTTTCAAATTACAAGACGTTTATCAAGAAACTTTGACATCTTAATATGTAAATTCATTGTGATATTAAGATATACTTAATAGAGAAAATTGGTAGGGGAAAGATTCTGTTAATTCATGTGTTATGAAAGATATAAGAGTGAATCTAATGTTGAACTGTAGAACTTGGACAAGTGATTACGACACCCTTGGAGAGATACAATCAACATGCGATTTATGTTATTTTACGAAACAACTTTCACATGAAACCGGATTCACGTGTTTTACATATTGAATTGTATGAGTATAATTTTGATGAACAGTTAAGAATTGGCGTTTTGTTCCACCCGGTCACCCAGCTGGAGACCTTCTTGGCGGCCCATCCCAACCAGGGCACGGCTACCCAGGCCTTCTCCCAGGCCGTGGAGGGAACACGGGCCAACATACGGTGGCGCCGGGACAACGAGGCCGAGCTCCGGACGTGGCTCACACAGGCACAGGGCTGAGTGAGAGATGGCGGCTCGGGGGATCGGGAGTGCGGATGAAGCTAGCCTCTGCCAGGCTTCGAAAGGCGACTGAAAAGAGTAGAAAACAGTGTAACAGTGCATACTTATAGGCGCTACCAACTGATACGTCTGACTGGTCTAGACATTTTAGCCGAATGGTTAGAGCGTCGGGGTGTGAACTCTTGCCCAGGTTTGGCGTGGGTTCGATCCCCCATCTTTCTGTTTCTACTCGCCTCTAGTTTCTTACAACAGTTTACTCTATAGCGGACCAACTCCCCCGGCATGTTATCCCTGTATTATACATATATAGTGGCCAATTTCTACTCTTTCCAGCCGCCTCCCGAAGCCTGGTAGAGGTCAGGGGTGAAGGGAACCATCTTCAACGTGTTTCTCGAGATATTCTAGTTTTCCACTCTAATGGTTTTAATGTAAAGAGTAGTAGGATTTGCTTGAAATTGCCTTTTTCTTATAATTTTCCCCCAGAGTATGAGCCATTACTACAGATTGAATGCTAGAATGAGCACTTTGCACTTGGAACTGTTTGAGAGTCAAAAGAGGACTGGGTTTTCAAAGTTGTTTCGTTTTTTTATTACAGTTTGATGTGCCTTTTCAAGTGGGATAAAATATCTACTCAGTTGATATGGTGAACGTGCCAAAACAAATATTGATGTTAAGCACAGTTTTAATGATTATGTCATTTGTTAATCAACTGTATCCGCACAGTACAAAATGACACTGCATGTTCCACACAAAGCAAGTCGTGATAGACCATATACTAGCCGCACATAAGTTTAAAGAGTCCAACATTCGGTGCTGGACACAATGTGTGTTGTGTGAATATAACGTGGCACTCTGTTAGGCCTTGGTCTGTAGTCTCTTTCAATACCAAGTTTTTTAAGCGAAATCGTGTGAACCGTGAAAGACGGCGTGTGTGTGTGTGTGTGTGTGTGCGTGCGTGCGTGCGTGCGTGTGTGTGTGTGTGTGTGTGTGTGTGTGTGTGTGTGTCACGGTGCGCGTGTGTTTGTGTCAGTGCATTGCGTATGTCACGGCGTGTACATGTGTGCGACACGATCATGTCTCATTAACATCGTATTAGTGACACTCAGGTCACCAATTGCCAACTAGTTTTGAATGATGAAATTGAGTAAAAACTGCTTGGAATTGATAACGGAGAAGAGGACAAGATACGGGCATGGCTACACACAACCCCACAATGATCCTTCCTAGCTGTCAAACCAAGCCATTTCTGAGAAGCCATTGATGGCATTTGATCCATCGCTGGGGGCTGAGTCAGTCTGCGGGTTTTGCTTTCAGTTTCTCAGCTCTTCAGCCATGTCGAAGTCAGCCAAGCGTCCAAGGTTGAAACATAATTTCACTGAAGTACATATTGTACCATAGGTTATTGCTGCCCTTGAAATATTGAAAAGCTTTCCGTATTATAGACACTAACTCACTCACTTTCCGTATTATAGACACTGTGAGACGTGACTGATTAGACGGCTGTATAAACCTAACCCTACACGGGACAGCATGACCCATTTTAATCTCCTCCCGTGGGACAGACGACCCGCCCGCCGAGTGAATGGCATGCCAAAATTAGCATGTCATTAGTAATCTCTTGATGCACGCCGAACGGCATCTTGGGAAAAGTGGACTATACCAATACTATCGAAACTGTTTTTTGGCTTTTCTTAAATGCATGATCAGACCGCCAATGAATATGTATTGCCACTAAACGTATTTCTATCATGTCTAATTTGTAAGCTACATTGAATACATCATCATAAGTTGATTTAAACCGTGCTGGCGCTCATCCAACGTTTTGGACCACCCCTACAGTGCTGTTTCAGTGACCTATGGCCTAGCGGCTTGCAACTTCCGGGTTTATTGCCGAGTAAGACGAGAGGGAAGAGACTTGCAGATCGAGTCGTCTGGTGAGAATCTAGAAAATGTCTGACCCGATATCAGTTCTATCTACCATCTTTAACATTTACAAGACTATAGCGAAGGTCGTGGAGGAGGTAAAATGTAACAAGAAACGCTGTAAGCGGCTACAGGCGAGACTGGACAGTATCGTGCCTGTTGTCAGTGACGTGTACACCCAGATCGCAGACGAGAAAGTTAAAAAGTCGTACGTGAACGCCCTGGAACAGCTCCTGAGCTGTCTGAGGTCTGCCGATACCTACATCCAGACCTTTCGGGAGAAGATGGGGACCATTAAGAAGGTGTGGACACGGGACCAGGTGAAGGAAGACTTCGACGCCTTGAACCAGAGGTTGAGCGACCTCGTACCTGTCCTGACTATGGGTATGCAGGTAAGAAACTGGGTTGTGTGATTCTTTCGTACAAAAGTTTGAAATGAGAAGTAATACTTGTAATGTAAGATGACAAGGATGAAAAGTACTGGTGCCGTGTATGAAAATGAGAAAGGTGACTGGGCACTTGGGGATTTACATATAACCAGCGTCAGTAAATTGTACCGTGCCGGTGACCCAGTCTTGTAAACGGGTTGCCATAGTGTTTTATCTCTTTGTGTTCTATGGTAAAATGTTTTAAGTCAGTAAACGATGCATTGAATTCGCACACTACGTAGGGTAAATGTGTGATCACCTTCCGTGTGTCCAGAAATGTACTTAATGGTATCTCCCAAACTTATAATGATTCACTTCCGGTGTTCTGACGTGTACGTTAAGTTGTTACAATCGTTAAAAATTAACCCTGGCGAAAGTGAGGGCATCGTTGTCGACTGGGTGTCCTATCACGGAAGCCTACATGTACAGAGTCTACAGTTAGGTTACTACAGCGAAAAAAAAAGACACTACATTTGATGAAGTTAGAAACACCCTCAGGCTCGTTCCTTTGAAAGTGAAACAAGTTTTCTACTGTAAGTTGTGATTACAAAGCCATCAATTTCCGGGTAAGGAGCTGTGACGTATTTCCGCCATCTACTTTATAATCATAACGCTTTCAATATATACTTAGCGTGACAGTTAATTAAGGTTAAAAAAGATATTTACTTATTACCGATAACAAAGTTAAACAGCAGGGCGTACGTAATTAGTTCTACTTTTGACCCAAACTCCAAATACACCTAAAAATTAAGCTGTCGAATTTACTGCATTTCCTTCTCCCAGGCCGAAACCAGAGGGAACGTTGACGCCATGTTTAACGAAGAGACGAGAGGGAAAGAGGATAAGGAAGATGAAAACGATGACTGGAATGAGATGCTGGTTCTCTTGAAGAAGATGCAGACAGGTAACTTGTTATGCCAATAGTGGCTTATCTGTTGATAATTAAGGTACATGTTTGGCAAAGTCGACCACCATCGAGGGAGCGGGTTTATAGTAGATATCATAAACAAACGTCAATGCATTTTCAAACGTAATTCGAAGGTATATATTAGTTCTCTCAACAATATTGTCTAAGAAGGTTATGAACTGTTAAGTCCCTTCTATGTAAACAAGGTTTCTTTCAACTAAGTTCTCCGTATATATTTCGGTTTGAGGAACTTTGTTACCGACTTTCTTTTTTTTTCGTCGTGATATAACGTATTTACTTAACAAGGTCCTTTATGCCTCATTGCTAATTAACGGTTTCATTTTCAAAAGAAGTGAAGGTAACAGTTAATAAACAATACCAACAGATGGGGAAGCCATGAAGCAGGAAATGGACACCAGCTTTGAGGGGGTACGGGATAAACTGGACGAACTGGACAACAAAATGGAAGCGAAAACTGAAAAGACTGATGAGGCATTGGAAGAAATTCGCAAGGGAGTTCAAAGACTTCTCGTTACAGGTGGGTAGAGATACATTTAAATTCTAGCCGTCAAATTGTTCACGTTATAAAGGAGAGGGCTGTTATCTCTCTATTTGGCCAACTTCTACTCTTTCCTGCCATCTCCTGACGTCTGGTAGAGGCTATCAGGTTACATCTTAAAAAAACATTTTTACACACGCGTTGTTAAAGTATGGAGAAAAGTAAATGCCTGGAAGTAGTATGGAAGAGTATGGAAATACCTTTACCACCGTTTTTATTTTTAAATTTCGTGACATAGATTCGGGCAAACCGAACACCCACCCAGTGGACGATCTGAAGCTCATTACCAAGGACGAGTTGATGAATTTCAAGCTCATCGAAAAGGGAAGCATCGACACGGTGTACAAGGCGCAGTATCAGAAGTGCGAAGTCGCTGTCAAGAAACTTAAAGTTCCAGACAACAGCGCCGAATCGTAAGTACTAGTACCTTTTAATTGGATTGTATCTGTAGTTTTTAGTTGAAAAGCTACTGAATTATGATGTATTTTAGAAGTGCAAACGTGACAACTGTTATTCAAAATTATTTAAAAAATATATGTCTGCCCTTCAGTGAGAGGAACATGAGCCTTGTTGTCGCACGGGAGCTCCGTAAGGAGGCGGAGATCATGAAGAAGGTGGAAACAGAGAACGTCGTCCGACTGTACGGGATCTGTACCGACCCAGGTCAGTATAGCTGTGGGTACAATCGATGTTACAGACTACATGGCAATCATGCTAGCATTTACAAGTTACGGACAGCAACCGTTAAGGCTATTGAAGTGGTCGAGATGTAGATGAAGACTGTCCAAATAAAGATCGATAAGAACGAATATCTCAGCACCACAGAAGGACAGTATCTTCTAGTGAACGTAAAAGTGGTAAAATTGGGAGGAGGATGTGACCTAGTCTAAGACATTCATCGCTGACATATTATCCCTCCCACAGGTAACTACCTCATCATTATGGAGTACATGATGATGGGTTCCCTGAAGACCGTGCTGAAGAACACCGGCCTGCAGCTGCCCTGGAAGCGGCGGATCCGCATGGCTCTGGAGGCGGCGCGCGGTCTGTACGCCATCCACAACGCCAAGCCGCCCATGCTGCACATGAACATCTGCTCACAGACGTTCCTCGTCGACGAAGACCTCCATGTCAAGGTGTCACAACTTGGAAACATTGTAAATATGTTCGGTTAACTTCCGTTGATGAAGTTAACTAGTTGGTTTATTGTAGTCAAGCCGTAGCCTCTACCAGGCTTCGGGAGGCGACTGGAAAGAGTAAAAATTGGCCAAATAGAGAGATAACATACCAGCCTACCAGGGGAATTGGTCCGCTAGAGAGTATAGTTTGCCGCACCCGGCATGTTATCTTTCGTTTTGGCCAATTTATACTCTTTCCAGCCGCCTCTCGAAGCCGCGTAGAGGCTAGCTATATAGTCAAGCCAGCGTAAGTGCCAGGAGACTCAGAAAACATACCTGTCTACCCATCCTGTTGGACAAAAAAAGAACACACTGTTGCATATATGCAATGCAAGACCGCACCTACATGTATTTTTCTACTGTTCTGATTGCACTAACATAGTAACATCCTATGTTTCCAGGTGTCTGACTTCGGGTTCACCAAAACCCTGTCGTCGGCTGGCAGGTCAGGCCGCCGGAGGAGCACGCTTCAGTACGTCGCACCCGAGCAGCTGGCTGACATCAACCACCCCACGGACTACAGATGCGAGATCTTCGCGTAAGTTTGTAATATTTCTGACGATTATTATATGTCCGTTTGCAATTAGCCCTCGGGCATGAACTTGCAATAAAGAACTCTATATATATTACTAGGAGAGAAGTTTTTTTCATCGGCTAATGATTTCAGGGTCAAAGAACACAAAATAATTGTTTTCTTCATCGTTTTTGATGCTGGATAATGTTTTCGTTGAAAGTCATACTCTTACAACCGTAACTCGTAATCTTTTTTAATGACTTCACCTCACACTTCCAAGTTTGGTTCATGTCTTTGCAGGTTGGGAATCGTGATGTGGGAAATCGCCACGCGGGCGGAGCCCTATGCAGGTAGACATATTCAAAATACTAGTACTGTCGTCCGCTTTTTAGTCAAGTATTTTAATTGATTAACAACATGCAGAAATACCTATGGCTTCCGACTAATAATTAAATGATGTATGTCTATGAATGTTTGGAAAACGTATGTTGAGCAGCCCCACCCCTATCACCCCAACGTTTTTGCATCGATTGATGTTGTACCTGTTATATTTCGTCTCTTCAATAGGTATGGATGACAGAACCATCATGAAGTACGTCATGAGAAACGGAACAGAACCAGTCCCGGAGGGAGCCGGATGCCCCAGTCAGTACGGGGACATCATCGGCGACTGCAAGCAGCACGACCCGCTTCTCCGGCCTCTCACAGGCGGTAAGTTTGTTCCCAGACTAGAAGTAATAGTCAAGCTTAGGGACTGATCTCTTTCTAAATTAAAGAACGGAAGTTTAAACAATTTTTTTGAAGGAGAAAGTGACTTAAATCCAAAGAAATTAGAACACGTACTACAGAAGTTCAACAGGAAACGTCCCCAATGTGTCGTTTGCAGTAGATATTGATTGTTGAGGTAAGTATTCAATACTGATGTAAATATAACGTCCACCTTTTCTCTTTCAGATATCATTGACAGGCTTCAGATGCTGTACAGCTTCATGTGATGTCTCCAATACGCGCATGTGTCTTTGTAAAGCATATTTTAAAAATCATGTGGAGAGATTGCATCAGAGGAACAAAATACATGCATTACGACCCCTGCCAGGGTCGAAAAAATGACCAAAACTTGTTACAGCATTATTTACAGCATCCATGTAAAGAAAGTAATAAACAGCACGTAATGAAAAGATCAGGTTTTGCCTTAATTACTAAATTGGAAATATTTCGGCAACATCTAGATTGAACAATCAAAGTATCAACACGTTAACGGACTCGCTCCTGGATTTGGTCGCCGGACAGTGCCTTGGCAGCCGCACACCATCCGGACAGAGCTGCTTCACTGTGTTTAGACATTTAACATGGTCACAGCATCCTTGTAAAGAAAACTTTATTCCACACATTATAAGTGCCAGATATATATTCACGCAGACGATATCAATTAGATATGAGATTACATCTTCAAAATCATGGAAGTTAACGAAAACAGCAGCAAGTATGATACATAGTATGAGTCTAACTAAGCCATATAGAAATCTCACTGCTACAGCAACACTTGATTAGTTTCCTTTGATGTTATGGTAGTGTAAACATTCTGATTGTGTGAAACGTCATATGGAATATTACATGCTGAGATGCAAGTAGCCAAGGAAATATAGTTAGACTTAAAAGGCTATGTACAATGAAAAGTACTGACAGATTCAGAACGCCATAAAGTGAGGTATATCAATAACATTAAAATATGAATTCCTAATGTAGACGTTTACGAGTTTTTAATGACAGCAACGCATATTTTACAAAGCAGGCTAAGAAACCACGGGGCAAGTCTATTGTATTTCCCGAACGCTTCATGTATACACATATGTACGTAAAGGGAAATCTGCTGCTAAAATTTTGAATTTGAAATGGTCCTTTTTTATTACAAAGGGTCATCATCATATGGAAAACTTTTACTCTCCAAGCAGAGGTTGTGGGGAATGATCGTTAGCTTTTTATATATGGCCGTGTTTTTTTTTTGTCACTACCCCCACGAGTCGTCTTTGACGAGTACTGAGTTGATCAGGCTGAGTCTGGTGGCAAGGCGAGAGACGGAACGCTTGTTGACTGTAGCTCTTTCAGATAGAGGATTCATTTCCCCAGATAAACGCTCTATGCCAGTCCAAAAAACCATTATCACAGTACTAGAAGTCAATTCACTCTCCGCACACAACCCTGGTGTAGTCCAAATTGAATACAGTCTCAGGCACTATACGCTTGTTACAGTTTTCTTCCAGTCCAGTGTTCCAAACCCACCGAAACCATGACCCGGAAATACGGGACCTGCCCTCTAATGTCTTGAGATTGGAACCAACAATACAAAACTGATCAGGTGGTAACGTCAAAAGCAAAGGGTAAATAATTAGCACTTTTCTTGCTCATATACAGAGCCGTATCTGATCATCACCAGTCCTTTAAAAACACAAGTTGGCGTAAAAAAACAAGATTTTTTTGCGACTTTTAAATTCAATACTATTCACAAATAAGTTACATTCGTGGCCATTTTCGATAATTTCAACTTATACTCAAGCATGAAGCTTCATTCAGTCAAATTTATTTTCAAAGACAGAAAGAATCCTCATGTAGGTTTTAAATAGTTACCTAACATACAGAGATTAAGTTTAATCTACTTAAGTGCTTTGGGCCAGCAGAGCTTAATTTAAATGCAATGTACTGTATGTCTAAACTACTTACTCATACCGTTATCCTAGAACTCATGATATATAATATAATGGACTGGTATTGTTAACGTTAATCACAAAACCTCAGTGGGAAACCTTTAAAATTTATATAGAGGTGTATCCATCTAAATCCCAGTGTACTTGGTGAGATCCAAGAACTAAATCAAATATATCTATATTCTGTCAATCAAGTAACCTTATACATATGCATCAGTAAAAATTATGTTTAGCTAATCTTGAATGCAATACATCTTTGCATTTTCATCACGTTTCACATCGAGCAGTTTAACACCGTCCAGTCCCTTAACACAGGACATATCTAATATTCTTTATACATTGCAAAATGTTTTCCTTGAAACAGAAGTAATCATGCCAAGAGAAGTGCAGTTTATGGACAATACTTGCAACACCTTGGTCCCAGGTAAGTTATCATCAGAGATAAAAAGTTATGATTCACCCCTGACATGACTACAGAGCTGACTATAAGGCTATTCTAACCACATCTTGGGCAGTATAAGTCTGCATTTCAAACATAATTTTCATGACAACAGGCAGTACTTTGCCTTAGCTGACAGTCAAGTTTCATTTTAAAAATACTTTTTTTTTCAGAAATCTGAAAAATGTTGCAACTAAACACTACCACCACTAACACTTAACATCTTAACATAGAATATCAGTAAAAGTGTCAAACAGTCTTATTGAATTATCTTCATTCTGAGAAAGAAGAAACACCAACATACAGACATAATCACAAACTATCACTGACCTGACAATGTAGAGTGCTTTAACAAAGTATTACTGGTCTAAAGTTTTATTTCTGTCTTAAGTATTGAATTTCAGGACGCCATATGCTGGGGACAAAATGGCAGCAAGAGCCCAGAAATTATTGTAATTTGCTGCTGTAGGAATCCATCAAATCCTGTCTGATTTTGCAAACTCAGAGAAGGATTTACAACAGCAGCATATGCACTGTTACATGTATTATCATTGATAAAATTTTTGTGATGTAGAAAATACAATATCTTGCAAGTACCAGAAATTTGTAACATTATCATAAAACACACTCATGTACACATTTTCCCTTTGACAAATTCTTTGGTCATTACTTACATAATAAAAAAATCAATGCTCCTTTCTTTGTATCTATCTGCTCCTTCATTAGTCTGTTCTTAAGCCTTCCACCAACCATATACCCATTTGTCACAGAATTTAGCATGAATTCATTAATGAACAGTGAAATGCTTAGTCTTTCAGCAGAGCTGCCACATCAGCTTTCCCAATGGAACATAAGGCATCAGCCAATGCCTTCACTGTGGCATCTTTCCCCCACTCCATACTCCACTTCCTCAGCATCTGGTACACCTATAGAAAAAGAACGGCAAGCAAATGACAACAAATTATATGATATACATGATGTGTGCACTGCACAACAATGTTACAAATGTTAGCTTTCTATCAATCAATCAATCAATTGTTACCAGTATGTTATGTTATGTTCAAATCTATGTGCCTATAAGAGCATTTAATAACAAATAACTAATAGTGGTCACCAACCTTTTCATCAAGTCCATCTCTGTCAAAGTCATGGTCAAAACTATCAATTTTGCCTTCCAGGAAACCAAGTTTCCTTGCCAGTACCTTCCAATGCTTTCCAATTCCTTCCTGCACTGCTTGGATGTCTCTGGTTTCTACTTTCCTAGTAGACTCTGTATTCACAAAGTGAAAAAAATAGTATCATTGTAATGCTTTTTCTTCAGATATGATAAGGTTTACCGGTATTTTACAATATTTTCTAATTTTTATATTGAATATCTTCATCAGCATATCATGATTAAAGAAAATTTTCACAAAATCATTTGATGTAATTACAAGATACATGTACTTTTTTCAAAAGAGATCCTTTGTGAAATTAACATTGACACCTTATTGGATATCTATAACTATATATATAACCAGACACACAAAATGTAATTCTTTATACATGTACTGCATGTATACGTACACCAATAGGCTGCTGTACAGTCTGATTATCTTCCCTTACACCTTATGTGTACCCTGTCTTAAACCAGAGTATTGAATCATCTTTCCTGACACTACAAATACACAGGAATGAGTACTGGACTTCTTAGATATAACATTAGCCAATGTCAATCTTACCTGTGATCTTGCCCCTGTATGTAATGTTGCCCTGGCGGACCGGGTGATGCCTACCTCCTGATCGTGGACCCTGGGCTCCACCCACATACATCACGTTCTTGTCACCAATCTGCACCCCTTCTACATTACTCATGGTCATTGTCACTGTGGTGCTGCCGTCAGAGCCTAGGGTATTCAATTTGATTTGATTTGGATTGTGACAACATAATACACATGGAACACAGTCAGCGACTGCTGGCATCATGCATCACACATACTACATGACACATACTCATCATGTTATTTAAGAAAAAAAGCTTCTATTTAATTGGATGATTCTGACAATATGATAACATTTCTTACTTTGTTTCTGATAGAAAATGGGGGCATTCTGTCCCTGTCCACCTCCCTGCAGTAATGAAAAGACATGAGTTTTGTTACAGTTAATTATATTTTAATGATTAAAAATCTGTTCATTAGGTCAGGTGTACAAAATCCATTTTCAATGTTCCATGATATAAGTATAGAACAAGCAGTTCTAAACATCATATATCTGAGTGCACAAATACACATGTGGCTAACCTGTTGTGGCCATGAGGGCATAGGAAACCCTTGTGGGATGAACGTTGGCTGCATACCAGGTGCAGGTGTGTACCAGTACCCACCTGGGGCCGGCAGGTAGGCAGGCTGGTACTGACCATGACCAGGTGGTCCACTTGCAGTAGCGTAGAAAGGTCCAGCTGTAAGAAAAAAGTGAGTAATGTTTGAAATATTTGCATAACAATCCTCTTTTGACACTCCCATTTTTGTATACCCCCTTATGTTGTTACACATAATACATGTACTTGTCTGCTTTTTAAATGTGCATGTAATTGTTTTCAAAGGTACTTTTACAGTAGTATTCAATACCCATCGACAATTCATTTGTTTAGACATTGTTTCTTTTGTCTGAAACAAAAACATCTAACTTTGACAACATTCTGCTGTAATACTGACCTTGTGGCCTAGGGGGCATTGCATACTGCTGTGCAGTTGGAATGGAGGTGTTCTTCTCTGATGACTCCACAGGACTGGTGAACTGTACGTGTTCTGTTATAGGTTTTGCACCCTTTCCTCTGCTAGTCAACAGGGGATGCTGGGGCCCTTCTTCCTGTGCACTGGCCCCCTTACAGTCCTGGGCCTCTCCCTTATTGGCGTATTTAGAAGACTCCTGCAGATTGAACCTGATGTCATGCTGATCTGTGGCCCTGACAGGTGTAGCACCTGTTGCACCTGTAGCAGGCCTCTCTTTTCTGTCACCTGAGAAAAGACATCACTGTCGTCATTAGAAACTGGACATGCATTGAAAATGACTGATAAATCTTGTAAAAAAACAGAGGTATTCATCATCACCTAAATTTGTATCCTATGATATGAAATGGCTTTTTCTTCTTTCTGAATTATCATGCAATTTGAAGTTTATAAATTAAACGTACATTTTTAATAAGTCAACAGGAGGTGTTTAATCATCTTATTTCACAACATGAACCCATAATGGTCATCAACTGTATCTATCAATGGTCATCAACTGCTTTATATAGACCAAAGTTTTGGCATCATACCAGCTGGGAAAGACTTCTTCTCATCAGTTGGGGGAGGTGAGGGAGTTCCAAGTTCTGCATCAACCGTTAGAGATGAGTCAGATTCAGAGGGGCTGTGGGCCAGACTCAAGTCTGCCACAGCCTCGTTCAGCTGCCCCTGCCCCTCAGCCTCTACAGTCTGGGAGATGGTAGGAGGCTCTCCATCTTGTGCATCTGGCTCAGTTGGTGGGGGCTGGTCCACTGTAGTCTCCATGGATGGTAGAGGGTCCTGTTGTGCCGAATCCTGAGCATAAACCCCCCTTCCAGGATGATGAACAAGTTTGTCCATCTTTTGCTGTTGAGGGAATAAAATGTTACAACACATATCAACTACAACATACAAAGCATGTGGGTACCTAACAAATTTTCCACTTACTCAAACAAAGTTACTGTAATTATAGAGAGACAGTTGGACTCCTGATATCTTTAATGGATGACATCCATGAACGTTTCAGGATGAGTCGAAGTTAATATCATTATTACTATGTATGCATGTAAGTATGCTTAAATAAGCACATTCAAATTGATATAGCAGTAAACCTTTAATTTCTTTATTAGCTTGTGGCAAGATTATTTTTATCACATGCACATGTATCTGTAAGTATTCATCGTACAAACCAGTACAATAGTGAAGAAAAAGAAGTCTGACAATGATGCAAAGGGTTATCACTTACACAAAAACAAAATAATCATTATATCTTGATTTCAACTTTAAAAATATAAGGCCTTACAAGTTCTTGCTTGGTCCAGATGACAGCACTGTCCACATCAGGCTCATAGCTTGTGTCATAAACAGGTTCAATAGCCTGCTTGCATCCTAAAAGAAAATAAAGTGATTCAGTTTTGAAACATGGTAGATTGATGGTCCAGTCATTTCTACTAACTTCAAGGACTGTGGAAGGTCTTTGCTTTATGGCCCGAACTAAATCAGATTCAAAGACTGTCATCAACACATTATTCAATCATTGGTACCCCTTTGGAAGAAACCAAATATACTAAATTGTGGTGAATTATCTAGAATTACCTGTAAAGTCTGGTCTACGGTCTGGCTCCTGGTCCCAACACTTTTTCATCAGTTCAACCAACTCACTTGGACTACCAGGTGGAATGAGCTGGAGGTCTGGACGCTTCCCTGATACAATACCGAAGGCTAGGGTCGTAGAGTTCAGTGCATCTGTTCAGAACAATCCACAATAAGCTTAATGTATTTACAAGTATGCTGCAACTGAAGCTCTGTTAATCAGTAACTTAACTTTTGACTCTAAGGTGAATCTGCATGATGCAATTTCCCAATGATGAATACTTTAAAGCATTGCAGTTCATGTTAATTCAAAAGAGGATATTCTTGTCTTCAATGTGCCTTTTTTGAATTACACAAATTATGATTTACAAAAATTTTGAGTTAGATGTGAAGATTGACACAGTTGACTTGGCATTCTGTTAACTAGTTGTATCATACTAGTTCATGTACATGCAAAGTCATAGAATTTTCTATTTCAGAACAAGCTTTTATATAATAACATTGAAGAAAGCTTCCTCACTTCCAAAGACCCGCTGTCTTGACAGAATCTCCCACAGAACAATCCCAAAGCTGCATACAAAGGAATACAAACATGTTACCGTAATGAAGTTAGTTTGAAAGTGAAACATATGTCTCAACCCATTGGAGGTTCAACCTTGTTGCTTACGAAAGTGTTGCTCAGTGCTGCATTAATGCTCAAAGTTTTAATGCTAGATTGGGGCGTCATTGACGCCTACTGCCACCGGTAATTTCATGGTACACATCACATGTAACTATGGTACACATGTAATTCTGGCTTTTGAAGTATTCTCTGTCTAAACTGTCAACCCAGCAAAGTCTTGAACCAATTAGTCATGGTAGTGCAGCATTGATGCCTTTTCCTGTAACAGTAATTATTCAGTGGCCACACTTCACCTTTTAGATTAACCCCCTGTCCCCACTCCTTCAGTTGTGTGGTCTTCTCAGTTGAACTGGAACAGTACTCTGGTTTCAAAGAAAGTTTGTTTTGTTACCTGAAAGGAACTTTATAGGATGTTTGATTATTCATACCTGTAGACATCACTCTTCTCATTTTGCTTGCGGTTGGGATCTTGCAAACATTCAGGAGCCACATGAGAAATGGTGCCGATACGCTGTCTCTCGTGTTGTGGTTGTTCACCCCTCTGTCTACTTTCCAGCTTGGACAGGCTTCTCCAGGTCTTCCATGTAGACAGTCCCAGGTCTGCAATCTTTGGAACACAGCAAAGGGACAAAATATTGTTACAGTATCAAACAAAGACGTAACAATAATTTCCTTTAAAAATAATCAATTTACATAAGTGGATCATAAAATTCTATGACATTCAACTATGGAAACAAATGTAAAAATAAGAAGATACAAATCACCAAACAACAGTAACATCATGAAAGTAAATTGTCACCTACACCATTACCAATGACCACTAAATGTAGCAGTCATACACAAGAAATGATAGTCAGTAAAACATATGGTATATGTATAACAAAATCTTTTGAGCTAATTACCTTGACATTAATTGCATCATCAACCAGTACGTTGTCTGCCTTCAGGTCCCTGTGAATGACAGGGGGTGTCATGTGGTGTAAGTAGTTCATCCCTTGGATAATCTGGAAGGACATCCGGAACCTCAAGGGCCATGGGATGTCCATTTTGGTCAGGAAGTCAGCCAGCCCACCGTACCTCATGTACTGAACCACAAGGCAGTAGTTTCCTGGTTCCAGGACGATCCCCAGAAGTCGAACAACATGGTCACAGTTCAGTTGGTTCATCATGGTTACCTCCTGTCTCAGAACCAGCTCATTTCTAGGCAGAGGCAGAATTGAAAGAATGTAAAGCATCTCTGAAACCTATAGTAAACTGCTACAAAGCTCTGTATCTATGATTGGAAGAATGTTTTTGATGTCTGCTGACAACAAGACAATCATAGATTAGAAATAGCATTCAAATCAAAATGCATACTTATTAATAATAAGTGTATGACTTCAATTAATTTTTTTAAAAATCAGAAACTTATATGGGCTATTAAAATGTACCAAAACAATACTGTAACATTGTTCTTACCTTCCATCCAGGTCACTCCTGGAATAAACAAGTTTGACTGCCACAACCCCCAAGTGCTTGTGCTTAGCTTTGAACACAGTGCCAAATGCTCCTCTGCCCAGAGTCTCCCCAACAGTGAGAGACTTGAATTCAAGTACATTCACGTCTTGTGATGTGTTTGGCATTGTTATGTTATTGTGTTTTCATCAATTACTTGGAAGGCAAGACTAGTATGGATGATATCACTGTAAACTTGTCATGAATCCCACTGTCACTGTGCTTTTTTCACGTTTGGACTTATAGCCACTTGATCATGGGAGAATACACGTAGGACTTTCTTGGTTGACTCCAAATCTCTTTTCAGTTGACAATCTGTAGGAAATACATTACACACTATATATATAGTATATTACACAAATCAAAATGTAACACAAGCTCAAAACTGATGTTAAATCATTTGATTACTTACTAAAATATTAAACTACATGAAGACAGAATTTCTTAATTTTAACTTCATGTGTAAGTTACATCCTCGTTCATCAAATACAACATACATTTAATCTATTTTCTCTCCTGTTTCTGACAAATCACCAAATGCGGTCGAAAATGCCGGAACAACTTAATTACATCAAGATGAACATTATACATGTATAATGTCCTTGATTACATTCACATTTTCCGGGCCCTTCTTAGCTTTAATATAGTCCATCATCATCAAACGTCATCATGTTTAACTCTATTGGACAAGTAACCATTGTCTAAAGACGTTAAAGATACAAAGAGAATCATTGACGTACCTGAAGTGAAAGTAGATAGAAGACTGTACTGTACTAGACTTGAAGATCTAGATACTGTATAATTATAAAACTGCTATTATTATATGCTCAGAGACTTCCCCTAGCCTAAGTCTGCAGAAGCCACACTGGGCGCGCGCGACGATTACAACCCAAGGATCAAAGGATAGGTGTAGAACAACATCTTACACATATTTTACCGGCGGAAATTAGGGTGAACAACACGCTGTGCCCAGAAATATTCACACTGCTGCAAATAAAATATGGATCCTGGAAAGTCCCAGCTAGGGGAATCCCCGCTTTAGCTCAGCCTGCTCTCGTGACTCAAAACATGAGTCATCACACGGACTTGTGTTTTACCTAAAAGGCTAACTTGAACAGACGTACCTCATAGATATGATAAATAACGTTGAGAAATTCGTGTAATGTTTTCCCACACCAAAATGGTCTAGTTTCGTTGGAGAAACAAACTAGTTTCGATTGCTGTGACCAAACCCGGAAGTGCTCGTCCCCATCTCGGGCGAAAACGAGGCAGACGATACTACATGATCGCGTGATTTATTATTGTGGATATGGTGTCAATCTGTCATAATCTGATGTAAAAAAATTTTGCAATATTAAAAATTACTTTGTTATTCTTGTACATTTTATGCTTTTATGTCCCTTTCTTATCGTTTATATTAGTCATCATCTAATAGACCACCCATTGAAGTAGTGGTTTGTTCTAAAGAATAGTTCAATATTTTCAAGGGGTGTTTTTCAGTAAACTGCGATACAACAGTCATATTTAACTGTATACGTCAAATAATTATAGTTGACCAAGACTTTTGTGCATGTAGAATTATTATTTGGATTGTATGTGTGAGTTTATTAGTAGTCGGGTTTTTTTATGTGAAACCATACCCTCTCCCTTCAAATAAATGAGAAAGTCTTCATTACCAAAATGGCTTCCAACGCGGCAAAGGTGAACGCAACGCATTCTCTCAAACCAGATCGTGCACTCATCGACGCCAATTTTGATGGCTACAAGTTATCTCTGGACCCTCTTCCCCAGTATGCTGTTAATCTAGACACAGGTACCGTTAATCGTTTAGATCCCTATCCAGTACGACGGTCCAAAAGTTTTTAATACGTTGTGTGCAAGAGAGTAGAAGTAGAAGTAGGCCTAGGACTTAGGTGTAAATATCAGGGTTTGAATCCATACCATAAAGGTACATGGTAGAAAATGGAGTTGGTGATTTGTTCAAGACTATTTTCTTCATCAGTCCATTTCTTAGTAACAGATTAAAAGAGCAGAAATGGCTAAATATTTGTAATTTTACAAAACACTAACATGTAACATTACTGGTATGAAGACTCTTTAATTCTTTACTTGAATAGGGATTGACGATGTCAAACTCAATGAGGAGGAGTACACCTACCAGCACATCAGGGCCTTTGGGATACACAACCACCTGACTCTGGACCAGTGGAACCCTGATTCTGTGTACTATGTGGACAACAGACACACTGTGCAGCAGATCAAAATCATCCTGGTGAGAACTAGATGTAAAACAATAAACACATATTTAGATACAGAACGGACAATTTACAATTATATATGATTGTGACATCTACATTCAAGACTAGCTAATGATGCAATTATTCAATTTTATTTATTTTTTATGTGTGAAGGACACCCAGATCAACCCTCCCAGACCAGTACTGAAGATTCCATGTGATGAACCACAAGGCACGAGACATAACGTCACCCTACACTTCCCCTCTCGTGGCTGGTGTGTCCTCGCTGATGGTGCCGGGAAACTCCTGGTCATTCAAACCCACAACAGGGGCACACCGGAGGAAGAACCATGGAAGGTAAAACTGTATTAAACACTTCTGCCACGAACAATAATAGTAGACAGTTTTAAGTCAAAATCCCAGCTCAAGAGCACTCTGGTGATCCCTAACACTCACATTGCCAGACAAAGGAGAATTTTTCTTCCAACAACAGTAGGATTATAGAGCAAACTTCCAGAGGCAATAGGTACCATTAGACATAGACAGAAGTGCAAATGTGAACTTCATTCTTTTCTCGGTGCCCACTGACAGCCTTCTGACAACGATCGGCAGTCTAGCTGCTAATACTGTATGAAAGGTGATACACAATGTATAAAAAAGATGTCTTTCTGTTTGTAGTGATTATTATAATCTCCATTCTTTACATCCCACAGATAGTGTTCTCAGAGGAGCTGTGTGATAAGCAACCTTTCACCCTTCTGCACTCGCTGGTTGACATTTCCCACAATGTGCTGCACATCGAGGCCCTGCTGCTACACATGGACAAAGTGCCACAGGAACACAAGACTGACTTCACGGTGGTGCTGGAGTGGGTTACACTGGCCAAACAGGATGGTAAATGTCGTAAATGTCTGGTTTTGCACTGCACTGCACTATAGGTTACAGGAAAAAGCATAATGCTTCACCTCAGTTCACTGAAAGGATATCTTGACTGTGAAACATCATCAAATCTTATCACTTGGTTTATATTTGATTTCGTACCCATGCTTGCCACAGGGACATCTGGTGGGTTCAAAGTTGAGCGGGTGAGGCAGGTACAGGGGAAGACTTCTCCCCAGTATGCAGCTATAGAGCGTGGAGGCAGGGGGCTCTTCATCGCAAGTGACAGGCCATTCAGGATGGTGTCAGACACAGCCAAGGACGTGGAGATGGAAGAAGACAGCTCAAATGGAGAATCTGAAGCAGGTATTGCAATCTTGTACTTATCTCAAGACTTTGAGAAATATTCCCTATATTACAGACAAGAGATACAAAAGGATTGACATTGTCTGCTTTTCAAGATAGAGATAACACAAGTTCATGAATGCTGTTAATACACCCTTGTAAAGTGAATTGTGGATGGTATTTGCTAGCGAAAGACAGTTTGTAAAGTTGCTAAGAATGAAAAGTTGTAAGCTCTAAACATTTTTACATTCTTACACCTCACTTCAGCCAAGCAACCAGCCTACATCTGGGGTCAGACATCAGAAGATGTGAGTGTGAAGTTCACAGTTGATGAGGGGACCACAAAGTCAGACATAGAGTTGATATTGGAGACCAAGAGGATAAAGCTTGGTGTGAAGAACAGGGAACCCTTGTTGGATGGTGAACTGTGTGGTGCTGTAGATGTTGAAGCTTGCACATGGACTCTTGATGGAAAAGAGTGAGTGTGAGATTTTTGAGTTTTCTGTGTTATTTGTATATTGACTCTGCTTTCAGGAAAAGACTATTTGCATCCTGTCATTTCCCTATTAATGAAGAATCAGATAAAATATGTATGCTATAACATGTTGCAGGCTGGAGCTTCTACTGCAGAAAAGGGAAGAGGGACCAATGTGGCCTGCAGTTGTAGTGGGGGACACTAGGGGCCAGCTCACACTTGACCCTGATCAGGCAGCAGAGATGAATGAGAGGCTGAGTGGGCTAACATCTGATCAGTTGGTAAGAGATCATAGCATGTTAGAAAATCAGCATCATATGCTTTTGCTGTCATTGTTAAATATGTGTTATATGAGATTATATAACACATGATAGATTGAACTACAGTTCAATATTTTGTCAGGTATGACAAGCACATACTCCTTCATTTTTACCAGAATGCCAGCCCTGACCCAGACAAGAAGCCATACAACACGCAGGAGTTGGAGGAGTGTGATGCCTTCCCCGAGGACTCTGCCATGCTGGTGCGACTGGATGGTGAAACCCACAGGAATACATATGCTGTAAGATTGCTCTGATGGATTCTACAAAATTCTTTTAATGTTTGCTGAACTTTTAGACAAGACAAATAAGATATAACCCAATGGGTCATTCTAACTTCATGTTTTTAAAATAATATCAAAATGATTTAGCATTTTGCTCACTGCCTTATTTTTCTCTCTGCAGGCAAGTTTGTCCAGTCATCAGTCCCTGTTTAATGTACAGATAGAGGCAGGAGAGGCACCATGTCTCTGTCTGAGGCATGATGTTGACGCCCTCATCTGGCAGCCCAAGTCTTCCTCAGACAACTCAGACATCCCCTTTGCACATGTAGCTACTTTTAATGCACTAGGCTATGTCCAGGCTTCTAAGCGAGACATGAAGTTTGCCATGTGTGCGCCTAACTTTTCCTATGCCTCACTGTGTGACTGCGTGAGGCACGTGTATGTGTACCGCCAGCCCACCCCAACAGCCAGCCCTGTGCGAAACAGGAAAAGTGGGAGGGTCATAGGGCAGATTGCCAAGCAGCAAGTGGTTGCCATAGATTCAGCTGAGAATATTATGGGATTCCAGGTTTCAAATGAGCGGTTGTTTATTTTGACTGGCAGCAAACTGATAACAGTGAGAGTAAATACAGAAGACTAAGGGCTTTTCCAGAACTATCTGCATTGCAAACTATCCATGGATTAATAGAACAGCAGAGCAATATGAGGAAGAGGGATTTGCATATCAGGATTTAATTTCAGCTTGCCATATACTGCAATTACTTTTTACCAATCACTACACAAAAACCAAACATAGAGAACTCAATATTCCTGTTTTGAGATTTATTTGTTGCTACTACATTGTATTGATGGGGATGACAAAAAATTGCTGTAAACTTACTTTTGACAATACATGTACTTGATTTGGGTGTCATTGAATATAAGTGTAACTGAGAACAGATATTACAGTATGCTTTCTGACTGCTTCCTGAGAAAAATGTAAGCATATCAGATATGTACATTTGGAAGATGTAGCATTGAAACCAGAATGTAAAGCTTGTTAAGGCAGTGTTAGCTCCCACATACTTGTACCTGTCAATTAACCAATAAAATTGTCCTTGGTTTAAGAATAATATTTTGTAGTGAAATGGTCTTTCCTTATACTTTAGTTGTTCACATACTGTAGGTATCATATTGACTCATTCTTGTGTTTTTGTTTAGATTTCTGTAACAATTGTTTTCCCTTTGGCTTGAGTCGTCTCCTTTCTTTCTCTGCAACCTTTTCAGCCTCTTGTTCTATCTTCTGTAGATAACCCTGCTTCCCCTCTTCAACCTCCTCCAGAAGACTAACTATTCTGGCCTGGAAAAGATTTAACATAATATTCAGCCTTATATAAAATGATAAACTGTACTCCAATAGAGTGATACTTAAAGTATCCATTACCAAAATCAGGAGTGACTTGATATCGTACTACATATGTGAAGAATACATGACTTGCAAACTAAACTTGTAAGTAATTGTGTGTTGGAAGCCATTTACTTAAAATATGGTAACAATTAGATTATTGGGATGAGCTTACAGCAAGTTCTTTTCGCTCCTTCAACCGTTTCAGCTGTCTCGTGCCCATGGGTGCTGGTCTGCCATCTGTGAAATGACATCAGGGATAGGTCATGAAACAAAGAGTTGTTTTGATTTTTCTGCAATCAAACATGTAAGATGGACTACTCTTTTAGACTTCGTATTGCTGATCATTATGTTGCTGTTTTTGTTCAGGATCTAAAAGTAGATAAGAATACCTGGTATTACCAGTAGTAACATCAATGTTCTTACCAGCAAATGTCCAGTCTGGCAAGTCAGTGAGTGGCCCATACTCGTTCTTCTGAGGTGGTAAACCATAGCTGAAAGAGACAGAAACAAATTGGACTTCTCTAAATGATACTGCAACTTGGCAACAATTATGAGGAAAACAACACAAAAGTATCAATATTAACTACATGCGCTTAAGATTATTTTAGAAAGTGCCTTCAGCATAACTGTAACTTTCTTTTCATGACAAACCCAAGGCAGTAGGAATTAGTTTTCCACTGATAACGGTAGAATAAATTATAGTAATACACTTACCTCTGTCTCCAGGTTTCTCCTGAACACAGGTGAGCTGAGGTGGAGAGGCACCTGTTTATGTGTGGTGACTGTGCTCCGAATGTCCAGCTCTCTGTTTGGACAAAAAAACAGTGCACAGTATTTCTTCCACAATGAACACTGATCAAGGAGGTTCATAACCAGCTTGGTGAGATGTCAGATCAGTGGAGGCTCATCAGTGACCTCGTAGCATGCAGGGTGTCAGGTACCATGCAGAAAACACGAAGAATACGTGCAAATAATATGCTTTATGGATATTAAATCTAACGTGTGCAACACGTTTAACATCCAAACCACTCGAAAAGTCAGGAAATCATTCACTGGGATGACAAACCTCGCATTTTTGCTCGAAGGACGCATGCCACACTTCTCCAGGCAGCCATTTTGGATCGCAATGTCTCTTGGGCTCTTCTGGACGATACCACAAATTTTCCGTACAGAGGTGAGTTATATATCTCTTTAGTTAGAAAGATATCAGTTACCTTAATATTGGAACACTATATGTCATCGCAAGTAAAACATAATGTAATTTGTAAGCCAATAAGTTACAAAAATTATCTGTAAGTAACTAACTACAATGTACAAGCAATCTAAGTATTGACTTCCAATACACAAGTACCCCCTATAATGGTTTAGCAGAGTCCAAGGATCTTTACTTACTTCCGCGTGTAGCGATCAGTGGTGGTAGATGATGTGTTGGAGAGTTTTCGACAGTTACCATTGATGAGGGGTAAAACTGACTTTTCTCCCGGTATCTACAATTCTGATTGTTTCGAGGAGCACCACAGGACTGGGAAGGTGACCATGATTTTGAAATAATGACCATGAAATAATAAGGGGGGTAAAATCTAAACCTCCCTGGTCCAACTTTTTACTTTCACTTTTTGGGTTGTAATAACCATGGAGGTAGAATATTCACTTCTACCTCCTGTAATAACTAATATACCTAGTCAAGTGCCATTGCCTGTGTTTGGATTTTACTTCTTCGAATGTTGCACATTTAGGATCATGGACTTTTTAAGCCTTTTTGATGTCTCATGAAGTTGTAATCATGACATTCTTCTGTAAATATTAATTCGCTACACCCTAACGTTACATAGATGTTACAAAGTCATGAGTAGAGTATCAGTGATAATTTTGTCCTCACCATACAGCTAAAGTAAACAGACACTACATTTCATCAGATCTTCTCTGTAAAGACTGAAAATTGTCCTTGCTGCCCATGATCCAAAAGAAGTTTACTTTGTAGAATATTACATCATGACTGACATATTACAATACTCTATCTTCAGCAGAATGGACCCACAGAGCCGTTTCAGTGTGATAAGTAAAGACAAGCTGAAGATTTACGACAGTAGTCTCCTGGGAAGCGGAGGCTTCGGCTTCGTTGTAAAAGCCAAGCATGTTGACTGGAGCATGGATGTCGCAGTCAAGTGCATTTGCTCCAAGCAGACTATGACTGAAAAGTAAGTTTGTTTCTTTCATCAACAGAAACTCACAGTGGAATGAAAAATATCATTATCAGAAAACTGTATATTGACGTTATAAAGTACAATTTGTTATGAAAAGGATAATGACTACTACATGTACTTAGGAAGGAAATTTTGATGGTCTGACTCTGAGAGATGTGAATACTACTTTTTTTTCATCTGTCATTTTATGTGTTCAGAAACAAGTTGCCAAACTTTTTCAATGTGAACTCTTGTTTTTTAGGCAACAGAAAGATTTGTACCTTGAAGCAGAAAAACTGGAGGCTGCAAGATTCAGATACGTCATCCACTTCTATGGGATGTGTATTGAGCCTACATTCTACTGCCTCATCATGGATATGGCCGAGAATGGCAGTCTGAAGTCACTGTTGGGAGTAGACATCCCATGGGCACTCAGGTGGAGAATAGCCTTCGAGACGGCAATAGGGATGAACTACCTACACAACCTGGCACCCAGGATTCTGCACTGTGATCTCAAGTCTGAGAACATCTGCTTGGATGAAGAATATCACGTTAAGGTGATACTAGTAAAAACACTAATGATTATCATTGTGTAGGCCACCATTGTTAAATTCACCACAATGGAAGTTGTTGTAATTTTCAATGGTAACAGACAAAAGAACATGTTCATTACAGTAATTGTTTACCAATATTTCTCAGAAAGTTTTGGAACTACTTTGTTTATGTTTAGATTTTTGGTTTTAGATGTAGATTCTATTTCTTGTGCAGATTACAGATTTTGGACTTTCCAAGTGGAAGAGCATCACTGGTGCGACATCTATAGGTAATCAGGGTGAGGTGGGGGGCACAGCCACACACATTCCCCCAGAGTCCTGGGAAGATGTCAACTGTAAACCTGACACTCCTTGGGATGTTTACAGGTGTGTATCATCATCTTTCATTGTGGTCTGAATTTAGAATAGTTTATCTAGTTGTGTGTAACTTTCACGGAGGACATCATATTCATAACATTTAGTGTTGTTGTTTTTTCACACAAAAAGGACTTGATATTCTACCAGAAGGTATGTTTTGGTCTAAAGAAAGAAATTTAAGTTATGCCATGTAACTAGCATATTGTAGGACATATATCTTCTGCAGTAAACCTCATGTATGCTCCTTATTGCGTTTGACAAGAGCCATCTTTGCTCTGTTACAGCTATGGTATTGTCCTCTGGGAGATCCTGACAAGGAGACAACCATTTGAGCGTAAGTTTTTTCCTTTTTGTCTTTTCTAAGATAAAGAAGGCCAAGAAGGTTTCATTGCCAAAATCCCAAATGTACCAGATACTAGTACATGTATTGAATTTTTCATGCTGGTGTACCAATTCATTAAAGGTGTGTTTGTTATTCAGGTTCATTCAGTAGTAGACATTATGTGTCTTTCAGATGCACATAACTCAGCCCATATTGAGATTGCTGTGAGGGGAAACCAAAGGCCTGATCAGAAGCTGATTCCAACAGAACCCCAAGAATGTGCCGACTTCAGCCGCCTGATGAGGCAATGCTGGTCACAGAAGCCTGACGACAGACCTAGCTTCAAAGGTGCATCCCTAAACTATGATTGAAAATGCTGGCAAATACTTGCCTTAGGTTAATGCATGATAGAACACTTTCAACATTATACTGTGAGGTACATGTACATGTATACTTCATAGGTGAAAGACTTCAGCATACAATGTACTATCACTAATTGATTTGAGTTATTGTCACTTAATGTCTCATTACAGTTTCTTAGTACACACCACACATTATAGTTCATGTAGAAGACTTTGAAAAGTCCATCAGATGGCTTGATGTGCATTTTGTATGTGTATTGCTGCAGATTGTGTAGATAGAATAGACCCAATCTACCGTAACTACAAGCAAGAGGTTCCTGCTGCCATCGCTGCCTTACAGAGTGGTTCATCAAGCAATAATACAGCTGTAAGTACTGTAACAGTTCTCCTCCAATTGTCTAACATCTACATAATGTTGCTGAAACAGTAGATGTACATGTACAATGTATGTTACAAGATAACGTGAAGGCTCTATTTGTTTGGAGTTTTTTTTCCTGAAATGCGGATGATTGTCTGTTGCTGTTAATTTTCTACAGGGGTCGAGGTCGAGTGTGTCCTCCATACAGGGTAAACTAGGAGACCTGAAGCTGGAGGATGTGGTCAGACACTACACTGGTAGGGCGGCACCTCAACTTGATGAAGCTGTGCCCATCCAAGTACAGTCTGCACAGGGGGGTCAGCAACACCAGGTTCCGCAGTCTGCACAGGGGGGTCAGTACCAGCCAACCCAGGATCCCCAGGGGGGTCAGTACCAGCCAACACAGGATCCCCAGGGGGGTCAGTACCAGCCAACACAGGATCCCCAGGGGGGTCAGAAGTACCAGGCACCACCAGCAGGGGGAGCATGGGGAGGTGGTCAACCCCCGTGGGGCCACAATATTCCAGGTAATGGTCTCAACAAACAATTCTATCAGAAGACAAGTTTTGGTAATTTTTGCAACATGTAGTTATGCTGATAAATATAAGAAATTAGTGGAAATTTTAAGTGATAAAAATGGGATTTTTATAAAAAAAACAAGTAAAAAATAGTCTTGGTATTGTCACAGACATACATAAGTGAAGTTGTCATTTTTTTGTTCTTGAGCAAATGGTCTAATGTAACACATGTAGTAATTGAATATCTGTTGTTGTTTCCATGAAATGTATGCCCTGTAATTTTTCATGTCCATGAAAGAAGATAACTGACAGTACCGGTAACACTACATTTTTGTTGTACAGGTTTAGGTGCAGGAGCTAACTTCAATCTGCAGGACTGCCAGAATGTCATCATTGGGAACAATAATGTTATCACTGTCAACAATGCCCCAACCCAGCCTTCCAGTGCTAAAAGGAAAAACCCTCCAGCACAAAAAACCTCAGCACCTAAAGTTTCAGGTACATGTATGGTCATACATGCATGTAAAAGTGATAAAAGACACTTTTAACTATCATTCATCTCTTTTTTGTATTTTTGCCTTTGACAAATATCTGCTTTAACTTTTCAGCATGGTGTAAATGTACTACAAAGGGTAAATTCTTAAAATATAGATGTTCATGCCATCCTTTATTGTCAACTAAAAGCAGTGGTTGTTAGAAAGTCTTGTGCAAATTGTCATATAGCATGCATGCTGGCAATTTCATGACATTGTTGTCCTCATTTCTGAGTTCAAACTAAAGAAAGAAACAGGTAAATAGCATCATGCAAAATCTCATGAGAGTTGAGGGTTTCTTTAATTGCTTGTCCCTCCAGAACCAGGAAGACAAGTCACCAATAAGATGCTGCAGGTGGTTGCTTCCCACATCGGCAGGGACTGGAAAAAGCTGGCGCGTGAACTGGACATGACCGAACCACAGATTGATCAGGTTGGACACACATTATTGTGCTTCATGGTATTTCTATTATATTTCAGGCATCCAGAGCAGTTTTTATGGCTTGGAAATCCAATTTTTCAAAGCCAATATTCTAGTCATTTATCTACATACATGTACTGAGTTGAAGCCACACTATCCCAATGTATGTTGACCCTCAAAAGTCTCAAAATTCTGACAGAAAAAATGGTTACTGGAAGGGCCCTGGGCTGATTTTTAGGGTACCACCCAGAAAATAAAGGACTCATATTGGAAATGTTTCTGCAGTTTGAAATGTCCAAAGTATAAAATACTGACAATGTAATAATGTGTTAGCAGTATGTGTCAATATCATAAAGATTACCTTTATGATATATTATCAGTTTTGCTGCCCTGAAATCATATTGGATGCCTTTAAACTTACAGTAGTTCGGATCAAACCTTTTTTTCTTGAAAAATGACATCTTGTACTTGAACCTTGAAATTTGAGTTTGAAACTTTACTTCTGTACAGATACAATATGACTACCACCATGAGGGTCTGCAGGAAATCACCTACCAGATGATGATAAAGTGGAAACAACAGAACGGCAAGCGAGCCACAGTCGGCAAACTGGCACAGGCCTTCAGCAACATCGACAAAGGTTACCTTGCCAAGCATCTGTAGCACAGTCACAGTACAGATAACAGCAAAGTAAGTTTATGTAGTATGAATTGCAAACCTGCAGTATTGAGGTTTGCTGATAGGTGGTACCCATGACAAGGGTAACATTGCTGCCTTACCATCCATTTACTGTATTATAAGGCTGCTGGCGTTTTTGGGGAAGCAAGATGTGATATAGCATAATATTACATTTGTGTACTACGTCTTTCCAACAATATGTAGTACTACATATTTTTGAACTTCTTCAGACTAATTTAATGTTTGCCATTGACTGTCATAATTTTAAGTTTTCTCTCCATTGTTTTCTTGTATCAAAATTGCAAACAATCTGAGCCACATTGATGAGTCAAGGAAGGCCATAATTCGAGAGGAAAATTTTTTGTTTGTTTTGTGTACAAGATATAAATAGTTTGATTGTTACCAAGCACAGTTTGAAAAGACAAGAATGACTTTCCCAGCCTACTGTGGCATGGATGCTAGATTGAATCTCAATGACCCACGAAGCGCTCATGTTAGATTAAAACCATAAAACTAATTACCGGTGCAAGCAGTAACCAATGGTGTTTGACGAGCTCAGGATTGAGGTTGGATGGCACCATTTTTCATGTAAATGTGTGTTGAATAGGTACAGAGGGTACATAATAAACAGGGGAATGGGTTGTGCTCTAACTTGCAATTTTGCTGGTATACATGTATGGACCAGCAGTACATTATGGTACTCATATGTAAAGTTCCAATATTATATTGTAGAAAGTCATTTGCTCTGTCAATCAAATTAATGTCTGAAATTCAAAGAAATCTGTAATATGATACAAACATTGTATCATGGTTTCCTGATGGAATAAGTCACATACTACAGGATTTCAAGATGCTCTTGTGTATATGAATTTTAGAGATTTATGATAGATCACTCCAAAATTTTGAATAGCCTCACATAGTACATTAATCATTTATTTACAGCTAGAAAATGTATGTATTTGAATACTTGTATGAGTCGGAGCAATAGAAATAAAGAGGGGTTGGAAACAAGATGTAATGTAGTCTCGGCCCTCCTGCCATGCATATGCATGTGGTAGAATATTCTTCAATGTTATCACCAATCCTGGCACTATTCTTGCGACACCACAGCTCTTAGACTGTTTAACAGGTGGGCTGAATGATAAGGCATAAAATGAAGAACCTTTTAGTACATTATGTACCTTCATGTACATCTAGAAATACAGGTTATTAAGTGTGAAATACTGCTCATGATCAAAACGTATTGAAGCTTCACTTTAAAAATGTGCATCTAGAATATTCCCTGACTTTGAAGGGAAATTCTAATTTATGCTTATGAAAATTATGCACAGGTATATAAATTTGCCTGCCTTTTATAAGCTTTGTCCAGATGATTACGATGGCTTACATGAGACAATAAATGTCTGCCCATTTTAATAGATACTGGTGAGAGAACGGTTCCAGCCAATCCAATCCTTTCTGCTAGGTCATGGGTAAAGTTATGGCATGATAATCTACATGTATTGATTTTTGCACTACAAGGATGCGAGTTGTGGGTCATGGCCACACAGTGATCGTTAATCATTGGTTTTAGGTCAAGAATCATTTTGCCAATAACAGGAAAACACCTCATGTTACCATGTGGCCTCTGTACATTTGTACATCTGATGTGAAAGCATTTATTAACCATATTTTCATTGATCCTTTCCTTTTAATGCCAAACCAGAAATTTGCTTATTTTAGCTATTTTAGTGCATATAATTCTTCTAGTACATATATGATACTGTATAAGGATGAAATTGATGGTTTTCAGATATCATTTCATGCAAGCCACAGTGCTGTGCCATTGAGCCACTTCTTACCTTGACCTGTTTTTTTTTTGCATAGCAACAACACAGCCTGCCCAGCCCTGCCAATCACCCAGCCTACCTGCCATTTTTGGACTTTTCTTTTTAAGGCCTCAGACCAATCAGTCAAACCGTCAGGGAGATATTTGTACTCCCCAATCAGCTTTTAACCTACTTATGGTTCAGTCAGGGCTTTTGTAAAGCCATAGAAACTCGTTTACTGAAAAATTTGCTAGAAAGCATCAGGCCCCGATAGCAGTAAGTGACGTCTATAATCGAAATTGTTGTCTACGTGATCGCAGCCACAGTGATGTATAGTTAGGACGAACGATTGTGGAGGTAAAATGGCTTGCCGCGAGGTAGTCCAATCTGTATGCAGAGGCAGTTTTAGGGGTGGGCATTAATGTTTCATGGTGGTCGGTGCTTGGTAGAACAGCCAGGAGGCTACTTAGGCAGAATTGAGGGGAATGGTGCTGCATAGTTCATGGCAGGGTCAGGTAAAACCATGACCTACCAGGTGATTTTAGGGGCAAACCATTGCTCACAGAGTGGAACATCAAAGAAAGAAGAAAAGATGATGGACATTATATGTCAGAAAATAATCTTATATGAAGGACGTTAATTTTTTTTTTCTTTTATAAAAGTTGATTTCTGGTTGTCTGTTTTAATTGGATAAAAAATGAGCAACTGTTTCTAGTATGCCATTTCTATCACAGATGTGGGTCTCCATATATACCTTAGTTTGGCATAGATAAGACAGTGAGGGGCAAATCTCTCAGTCCCCATGCTGATATGTTGTTATGGCTATTTCTTATGTTTTGGCTCATTTCATTTTTCTCTAACTTGCTTCACCATATGACTTTAAAAACATGCCATGTACACCCAAAAGACAGAAAATGCCAAATTTATACCTCTATTTGGAGATTTACAAATCTCCTGTAGGTATCACATGCATGGGTTTAAAATTCTGGCTCCAGTCTACATGTTTTGCTGTACTGCTGTGCATATGTAACTGATAGTATATAACAGGTATGTTTCACTGAGCATGTCATGTAAACACAGTGTAGTGTTTAAGTCAGGATTTTGCAGTGAGCATTTGACCTTGTAGATATGCATCTACAGCCTAAACAAGGCTGAATTTTCAGCATGGAAGGTGATGGTAACTTCCAAACCCTGTCCTGCCCTTGATATTTGAAGAATTGACAGAGGTTAATTCTGACCTGTCAGCAAGAGACTGTAGAGTTGCTACATGTAACCTTACTGTTGCTTTTGAAAAGAAGTGGCACAGGTGTTTGCATTTGTGTTTGTCCAAAACATGGATACAGTTCTGTGATTTTTTTTCCTTTCCATTTCCTTCCTGCTGTTTCTGCATGGATGATACTGTTTTGAACACATCTTCCACAAATTCCATAGAAAACCTTATTTGTTTGTGTATGTCTGATAAAATGTCCTTGGTATAGTCTAAATAACCAGCCATGCTTGTTTGACATGCTAGTATTTCAGATTTTAACATTATACATGTGAATGATGATGTAAGATACTGGTAATACTGGCTATATGTTGTACAAACATGTGCAATACAGATATCATTGTCATTTTTTGATGACCAATTTTCCTCTGAAGCAGAGGTTCCCATTCTACATGTAGCCATATGGTACACTGGCGCTCAGAACATGCTTCCCCCTCTGTCTACTGGACACTCCCCATCAATGAACACTACTAAAGATTGCTGGAATCCCCCATGGACATTGGGCATTAATATGGATACCACCCAATGTAAGGCACTCTGCATAATAAATCAAATTGAGTGTTTTATTACATCAAGGCAGGCAGTAAAAACTCAAAATCTTTTTTAAAAAAGGTATGATTTTCTTGTTTAGTGTGTTATTCTCTCACATGCTATCTTCTGTTTGATTGTATTATTTTGTTTTCTTTCCCACTCTCGTGTATTTTTATATCATCTATCAACAGTTGGTCACTTAAGAGAACTGGTAAATGATGAATTTTTTTCAACAGTGTGTGTATTGTGGAAGAAATGTTCAGTTTTAAACAGTACCTGTATTAAATATAAACTGCCTTATTAGTATTCTAGTTGTGTCTTTAGCCAAGGGGCACTGCCAATTCCAAGACTTATTTCCATTTCTTGTTCACATGTGTGTAGCCAATAGTCAATGTATTTCATTATTTTTCCTCCATACAAAACTACAGTATAACATTATATATTTTAACAATAACGTGTCAGCCTTTTCCTTCTAGGAGATAAACAGGCATGAGGGGTAAAACTGGCCATGATGGTTGCAAATGTTTGAAATTTCACAGGTTCTGCATGACCAATTGGAACTCTTTGCATTCCTGACAGTCAATAATTCTAGTCTTTCCATTCACCTGTTGTTGGCCCCAAAGATATACAGACTTGCCAATTCACAGGGAAAACCTTCTGCCAGCAGAACAAGGCAATTTATGTTACACTTTTACCTCAAAGCCAGAACAATTAGTTTGAGTGAGAGCACGATTCCTCACCAGGTTTTCCAATAAAGATCTACCAATGATCCTCCTTTTAATCGCTAAATTCCCTGATAAGCAGATATTTGAGGCAAGGAATGTTATCAAAAGGTGACATGTACAACTGTAAGACACGTTTCTGATCAATTTTAAATTATCTGCGTAGAACACAAAGCCAGTTTGGTATTCACCAGGACTTACACTTGAATGTCAACTTGCCTCTCAGTGTGACAAATATTACAGTAGAACCGAAGTTATTAATTTAAAAGGGAGATCAGTATGTATTTGCCTGTTGCAAGTAATTTGTACGTTATGGCTTCTATGCAGGGACACTCAGACAATACATCTTTTTTACATATAAGGGCATACGGAAATAACAGATTGTTTAGTATCATCTTTATCCTGCAGAAATGCATGAGAGGTGCAGCTATATACATGGATGAATTTTTTATCAGTCTTTTTTCACGGACAGGATAAGGTTCATTTTGCATCTGCTACTGAAAAGGTTGTTTCAAATATGAGAAACATGCTAATACATTATTTTGGCCCGAGCTGGGTCATTTTGGCTAACAGAAATCTCCTGTCAGTGATGAATTGCCCCCATTTTCATCTTCAATCTGTCCATGTACAGCCCAGCCCACAGGCAATCAAATATCACAACATTAGAAGTCAGATCTTGTTTTGGCAGACGTACATTTGCTCTGCATATGAAATTTCGCATACACTTAATACTGGCATGTTAGATTGCCTGTCGCAAGCATGGTAAATAATGAGGTTTTGTAGAGAGGTACTGTATCACATTTAAACGTAATTAGCTTTACTCTTGGGGGACATGCAGTACTTACATGTCATGCAATGTAGGTATGTTATTGTCTCTTCATCGATACTAGTACAGTAAGATGAATTTTATCCACCATGGAATTTTGTCCTGCATGATACTAAAGGATTTCTCCACAAACCATGAAGTATGTTCAGACACGATCGTACAGTCAAGATATACAAGATGTGTCTCAAGAAAGAGCAAGTGTACAGATTGTCTTATTTCTTCCATTTCGAAATAAGTCCCAAAATATGCTGATGCATAAAGTTGTTTACAGCTATTGATGATTCACTGTGCTCTGTGGCATCTTACCTCAATAAAAGCTGATAAATTTTTGATAACCCTCTAAATTGATACAAGACACCAGACAAACCAGATTGTATGATAATTATGTGTAAGTACAATGCATAGGGCTAGGTAAGCCAGGATAATAGTAATATCTGTAAGTATTGTTCATTTTATAATTGCTTAATATTCAATCAGGATTTTTGTGCTTCATATGTTAAAGTGTCACTAATCATTGAGGCCACTGTATCTAGAGCTATAGTCACTGTTTATATCTCAATTCATTTTGGTTTTATCATCTTAGAAGTTACCTCAATAAAGAGAACTTACTGAGAACTAAGGAAGTCAACTGCAGTGGTCCAACATTAGAGTAACCTCTTGAATCTTGAAAAAAGTACCGTATCGCAAAATCCTGTTTACATGTTTATTATAATAATACAAAAATCCTGATTCATATGTCACAAACACAGCCAGAGTATTGGCACACAAAGCGACACTGTAGCAATTTACATGACTGATGTTGTCCCCCTGGTGCTTATGCTAATGATAAGATCATGATCCTCCCTCCCCATTTAGAATATTGTCTATCCACCCAGGGTGTCCACACCATGTGTCACAATGATTTGTTACAGTTGTTCCTTGAGAAGGGCCAGACTGCTCTGGGATTGAGAGCAGGGCAGCCTTTGTGTAGAACCAATCAATAACTTACTCAGTGTCCTGGGATTGAGATGAAGACATGTCTTGATATATCAGAAATTGAGTCTTAGGAATGTTAAAGAAACTAATGAAGTTTTTATATTTGTCCTTTGGATGGCTTCCCGTGCATTCAGGATAAAAATGATGTGGTTATAATGATTTTTAAGGTAATAAATGGAAAGTGGATAAAATAGCAGTGTGTTGCCTGTTCTATTGGAAAACCATTTGTTCCAGCTTGAATATGTCTGGACCAAATGGTTTTCTGTCCAGCGGTGTGAGCACAATAAAGTTTTGATAAATGGAGTGGATCCTCCTTGTCCCTGTGTACATTTGTACTATAGTAATGGTAAGAAATGACAGGATTTGGCAACTTTGACTATTCAGCACAATTTTATCGTAATAGACTTGAGTTATGACTTATTTCTGGAAGCTAGTTGGCCAATTAGATGTATTTTGGCACAACCACCATTTTCTTTTTTAGTTTTTTTTTTAGAGTTGCATCAATGTTGCATGTAGCACATAAGACAATATAAAGAAATTCACCACATATATTGGCTTGAAGATGATACATCAGTGTATTTATCAGCATCTTTGAGATTTATAGACTTACTGCAGTTGAAGGACAGGCAAGTTACTGCATCTTTGTTGTTGCCATCAGCATTTTCATTTTCATCAGAGTGATTCTGCCACTGCCTGGTGACAGGTTTAGGGTAGGAGAGGGTCTGGGTGAACCCTGGAGACTTCAGGAAATGTGAGTCAGTTTTCCCAGGCTCCATTAAGACAATGATAGTTATCTTTGTTTTTTTTAATCTCTTTCAGGTCATCACTGTCTATCTACCACATATACAAAGAAGAATTTTCCAGATAGGACGTTGAAATAGCCAACTTGTTCCTACCAACAGTATGACTACTCTTTCTAGTATTTTGTGCTAGCTGCTATCTCAATGGTGCACAAGTACACTATTGCTAGCAGGCTTCTCAGAAAAACACCATTGGCTAAGAGCAAAGTTTATTGCATATGCTGTGGGCTGTAATTTCGAACTGATAGAGAATATTTTTTCACTGACATTTGCAACAGAAGATTGCGAAGATATAACTTCCTGACAATTTAATCCAATGAGAAAGGTGATATATGAATAAGTCATTTACTGCGAGCTTTGATGGCACTCCGCAGGTTTTGTAAGAGCATCGTTCTTCAATACACTGTGATAAATGTAAATTAAGAGCTTTATGGCAATTTGGAACAGTGATTACCAGTAGGGTATGTATAATATGTCAGTTTCATTTTTAGATTTTTAGAGACAATAACATGCTAAAAAGTATTTTAGGCATTCTGGTAGCAATGGTAAGACAAGGCTCATGAGTTTGATAACAGGTCAGTTTTTCAGAGGAATATACATTTTGTATAATGGATGTTTGGCAATCAAGTTTTTTGGAACAGTCTCAAAATGTAGAAGACATATGTACATAAGATTACTGTTTTGGCAGCCATAAAACATGGGCTTCTGAAAAATTGCTTGGACAAGCAGTTCCGTCTGGTTTAGAGTCTCTTGGTGGGCTTGCAACCGAGCCTGGCCAATGGCAATGAAATAAAGAATAGATCAAACAATCATGAGTTTATCAACATCACAGTGAGGATCAGATATGTGCTACCATTATTGGGGGTAGCTGTATTGTCCTATTGACATGTCTGGAAGAAACATGTTTACAGTAATATTCTGTAAAGATAAGTGAAAATTCAATTGACTTCATTGGAAATTTTACCAAATATGCCAAAATCAATTCAGACAATGCCATCGGTAAATCAGAATCTGTATGCTGTGATCAATCAATCATGCAAAATTTCTACTTTTATGTATTGATTTTGAAATTCATAAAGGATTTCAGCTCACCCTAAAGACTGTGTAGAGTGATAACATCAAATAAGTTATATTTCAGGGATTGCATCTCTGACTCAGAACACTTTCCCCAGCCTGAGGTATTACCAAGGCATATAGGGTCATCTTGATTTAGATTCCCCAAAGAGTCCTCTCCATGGAAACCTGTGTTTTGATGTATGGAATGTTAGGAATTTTGGAGATTGGCAACGTTCCATAGATTTGTATCTTTCCCTTTGTCAGGAATAGTTGCTATGAGGAATGCCTACCTAATGCCCAAGTATGGTAATTACTTTTTCAAAGCTACTATTTAAAAAAATCTGTGCATCTAAAACCAAATTGAAGAAAATGTTTGAACATGGAGCTAAAAGACGTTTTGTTCCTCCATGGTTTGAAGTTTTCATCAAGGCTAACTAAAGTTTCTCAGTCATTGACCAACAACATTCCTTTTTACTTGTCACATGAGCCACATGAGTGTATATTGAAACAAATGTGTTTGGTGGAAAGATTTTCGACAAAAAAATTAGAGTAATATAAAGTCGGGGAAAGGAAACTGAAGTCATGAATGTGTAAAAAAAGTGAGACAAGACAGTAGTGTTACATACATACATACATACATGTACATGTATGCCATTTATTTATCACAGCAAATTAGGTGCTATCATAGACTGATATGAAGTAGCCATCTGGTATGCCTCACACATATGCAACCTTCCAACCCAGTGTCCATCCATCTAGGAAATGTATTGTTGTCAATCACATGTATTAATGACCAGATGACACTTTGGATTGGTTTGCCGATCTATCATGATCAAGTGTCATCCAAACAAAACAGTTTGACAGGGAGGGCAGCTAGTGTCCACTGCTATTGTATCTAATCAGCATCTCTGTGAAAGTCTGTGGATATCGGGGATCTGTTTTTCTGGGCCCTTTCCAGATAAGCATTTAGCCACAACAGATGTGGATTACTTTTGTACATTGTATCTGAGACAAAGACTAATTGATAAGGCTTTTGATGAAGCCTCCAAATCTACCGTTCTCATGCAAAATACTTTTGTATTGCAAAGCTGAAGAATAGGATCATCATTATAGGTAGTGCTTATCTTGGTAACAATAGAACTAATTCTTTTAACTAATTGCTGGACTGTGAAGTTATCATGAATATTTTATCCCAGGGAGTTCATCAATCACTAATTAAACTGCCTCCACTCATGGTACGTTGGCTAATGGACACTCCTCTGGCCAATGGATACTGCCTTGCTACCGTATGATCTGCTTGGAGATTACACCAATGGTGCTTTTGTAGTCTTGTACCAAGTCATTATTTGCTGAAATTATTTCTATGTAAACAATCATTTATTAGTACATGTAGTATAACAGTTGTGCTATTGTTACCCAAGCACATTCAGACACACATTCATATATATGGTCAGACAGAAGTCTAAATCCCTCCTGCTATAAAATTGCAACATGATTTAACGCAACACTAGTTACCATGGTAACAGACAGTCTGGTTCAGGTCATTGACCTTATTTGTTTGAAGAAGAAAAGGAAGCAGAAACAGCAAAAACATTATGTTTTCCTTTTTTAAGGTAAACATGAATTGTGTGCTGTCAAGAAGAGAATGCTAAATAGTGTGTAAATACTTGTGTTTACAAATATGTTCTCATTTTACCACTATTATGAATAATACCACTATTATGAATAATGAAATGTATATAATCGGTGAACACAAGTATGTCAAGTTTGTAAAGTACATCTTGCATGCCTACATAATAACGTTTGTTGGATCTTGTGATGCTAAACAGCTGTTTTTATTGAATGAAATAAAAATTTGCTGGATTTAGCTTGTTCATCTGCATAGACTCAATGATTACGTCTCAATTCCTTCCTTATACATTTGTATATGTAAATTTCTCCCCGTAATCATAGTAAGGCACTAAGGTGTCCATACGTACACCCTCAATCTTTGAAATAGATGTGTAGCTCAAAAAATTTAGAGTCAAATTTTATGTTGGAAGCAATAATTCAGTTTCCCAGAGATGATCCCAATTGATAACCCCAATTGATAACCCCAACATCCAGATGGAAATCGTGGACGTTCTAACCTGATTACAATAGCCTTCTTTGCAGGCGTTCCGTGGGCAAGTTTTCTGATATCGGAGGTAGGTCGCACATGCTTAGAACTCTGGCCGCCTTCCCTAGTACGTCTTCCCAGGGAAGGAACTACATAAGGCGACTAGGGTAGTTCTAAGCATAAGCGTGTGCGACCTACGTGCGATCAGAAAAGTTACCCCGAAACGCCTGCAAAGGAGGCTATATACATCCAGTCGTCATCCATCACTAACCACGCCCACTATCTGACCTGACACCGTATCAATCTCCCTTCTGGCTTTTTTCCGTCCTCTCGGATCCCCCAGACGAAAACTACTGGGATCATCATACACTGCCCGAAGATGTTACAGTTAAACTCAAGTGGCGTGACGGTCTGTGATAAGATGCTGACATGATCTTAAAAGTTCATCCTTGGGCTAACGTCCCAGGCCACAGTAGTGTCGTTTCTTACGGAATGTTTCTTACGCTGTTAACTTTGCCTCTGCTTGCCTGAAGTTTTTTTTGTTTTTTTCACCCATGTTGTAAATCGATGGTTGTATCTGAGACACAGAGTTACTGATGGCACAATGACAGACAGTTACGTTCCTGATGCGGAACGCTTCTATCCGCCTTACCATCTCCAGGGCTGACCGGGCCACTTCAGCGGCCGGAGACTGATCAATGTATAGGCTTCAGGCAAGGATGCATTCTTAATGGACAAACCTAAAAGATGCCGGGCTAGCGGAAAGCTTGTTTCTAACTGTCGGCTACAACTGTCATCTCCTCAGACGCACGGTTCGGGCAGGGTAATCTATCCGTGCAGGCGAAACCGGCAAAATAAGAACTTCGCAACTTCCTAGGCCTATCCTCAGCTTGCATACAGTATTCAATGGGAGTTAACGACATGTTTGCAGAGTTGCGTTAGTTCCCGAGCTACAACACATACGCGTCCTGCTGATTTTGATCCCGATGTAAAATATAACTTTGAATATCGATGAATAGGTTTAAGAATTGTTTTAGTGTTTACACTTCAAGTTTCATAGAGCAAATAGTGCTAGTTTAAAAGATGCGCGAGAAAAATTTGGAACTTCAATAGTCCTATGGATATTTTCGTTTAAGTTGAGTAGATTTTCCAATTTCCAGATGCCCTTTCAATCGTCATGTCGGATGATGGCTGGGGCAGAGTTGACGGCAGTAACCAGGCATGACCGACGGCATTCACGGCTGCTTCGATATGTACACAGAAACCGGCGCAGTCCATTGATCTTCCATTGATTGCCGAGCTGCCAGCATGGCACCAAGTATGTCAGGCATCCCTGCAGACCGACTTCTTGACAAGGTGCTAGGGAATAACACGCGGACGGTCAAAACAGCGCGAGGATCATAATAGCCAGCGGCTCTTGCTGTGGTATGGCGAGGCGTGTAGCGAGAACACTGCTCCTCTGACACATGACAAGCCAATAGAATACAAAAACAAAAGTATGGAACTTGAGGAAAAGCCTGTGCGGAAGAATGATATATAGAAACAGGAGAACCCTCAATATTGCTGTGGACTGCCCATTGCCAACCAGAAAGGAGATGAATTGTGCGCCCCCCTTAACATGTAGTGATCAATCCCTACGTGCATGACTCCTCAACCGACCAAGCCGACAGAAGATAGTAATATTTGGCTACTTGCTTTATTTGGCTACTTGCTTTCTGTGCATCAGTGTTTATCAATTAGGCGTATATATTTCTGAAGTCTACTTGCATACTTCACGCAACGTTCCGGCTTTTCGCGAACGAAGATGAATGTTTTCCGCAGGTCCCATATCGTTCTCCAGGGTCCTGCAGCTCTCTTATTACAAACGTGCACGCAATGAGCTATCACGTTTGTTTCTAATACCGTAGCCGATTGGTGATTATTCTTGTTTGTATTATTCATTCCATGATGTATTTTGTTGTTTTTGTAACGGCAATGAGTCTCGCTCAAGCAAATCCACGCGAAGGCCACCGTGTCAACCCTCCTCACTCAGGTGTAGGGACTAACACGGTCATCATAGTCGGAAAATCTGTATCTGTACATGAATCTGCATCTGTGCATGAATGTGTGTCTGTACATGAATCTGTATCTGATTGCAAATAAAGATCTCGAGTGATTGCCATAGCAGTCTCACTTTTAAGCCCTCCATTGCCGTGTACTGCTGAATGTGTTTTTGTGCAACCAGAGCGGTCCTGGCGATTTTGTATGCGCTTCACGTCCAGTCGGTGCAAGAGCTCTTTTATATCCCCACAGTAAATCGACAGAGCGGCATGATGAACAAAACCTCATCATAACAATCTTTACAGCACATGGTCCGGGGAAAGGTTTTACTGGCGGCATCCGACGATATGAAACACTGCGATAAATTAACCAAATGGTAACACAAGTTGTCTCTTTAGTATGTAATCCTGGGTGATTATAGCGTCCGAGAGGATTATTTATATTATTCATTACAAATCCGTACAGCAATACCATACGTGCTAGTCCTTACAGTTTAATATGACCGCAAGAAATCACAAGCAACCAACATAATGCAAGTCCCTATTTGGCGTGAAGATTTTTTTTCCAGAAAAATACTTGATTTAATGAGCTATTCTATCGTTGAAACGAACGGCTGGAAAGCAGACGACATATCGTGACAATATTCTGGACGGGTTGGTGCCCTGAATACTGGCCATTAAGGGATTCGTGTAATAGCACCGGCGCTCCCATACGCTTTGACCCAGGGGTCTCTGGGAATACACAAATCTTCCTTCGTCACATCAAATCAACGGGCCAGGCGCCTGATTATTCATGTCTGTTGCCTTTGCTTCTGTTTCGCCGAGCGGCGTACAGTCGGTCTGGTCTATGGTTCTCGTTTCAGAGAAGACTTCTAAAGCGACAAATCCAACAGCGCCTTTCAATCAGACTAATGGTGCAGTGATGGATATTATTGTACATGCTGACAGTAGCTTTGATGTGACATTACCGACAGTTTGCCGTGCACCTTTTAACTCTGATTGCTACCCCTGGCGCGACATAAATCAAATGTCTATTCAACTACAGTATTTTCTTGATCTTTCTTCTTTCGTTGAAAAACATACAACACAGCCTTGTAATTGCTAACCCATCACAGCAGCTTCGGTGTGGCGCCGGCGTTTTGGCATTGTGATTTTTTTTGGTTCAAACCTACAATTTCCTGTTTGTTGTTTTGTCCTAATTGCTACCATTTTATCGCGTCATTTTCCACTGAACGTTGGAAATACAAAAATGTATATGGCAATTTTAACACCCTTTTATGAACGGTAAAACAACCAGTGCAAAACAAAAAAGGCAATGTTAGAAGGCCGCTCGGAGTCTTCAGAGGCGAAACTCATGCCACCTGTTAATTAATACAGAGATACCTGTTGCCACGCCACAGACTTTGGGCAATTTCCTCGGGGAATGATTAGATTGTGTCCATATATCTTCTTCCTTTTCTTGGATACCGTCCAACAACCTGTATGCTGGGTATGGTCTATATGTCCGCCTGCATCCCCAATGTCATTTCATGGACGATCCCCTTCCTAAAATCGTATACATTACACCGAGCTTATTTCCATGCTGATTGTGTTATGCCGGTCACTCGGGAAGGTAAATTCCGTTAGTTTTGGTCTTATTGCCCTGGGGCTTTCGCGGAGTCCACAATCTGCCTATGCGTAATTAGGAATTCTACCCCCGGGTGTAGTCTCCGACGGAGGAAATTAAATTCCTGCATCACATTGTCATCTGAGCCCCGTGTTGTATTATGCACAACGACTCAAAAACATAAGTCGTCTCACGTATACTGCCCCATCCATATGTGTTGTGTAAATGGCTGAAAAAAGACAGTATGTTTCAATATAGACACGCACACGGATTTCTTTGTTATGAATACAAAATAAAAAGGAGCACTTTAATTAATTCACAGTACAGGTAAAAAAATTCCCTCTGGAATCAGGATGCGAGGGAAAATTTGTCATTCCACATTCATCGTTTGTTTCTGTAATGTGTAATATTGTCGAGCGTCTGAAATGTACAGTCTTCTCTGACTTAGCACACAGACATCTACGGCTAACTTGATGTTGAAAATTTTAAAAGCCATTCATTACCCATTGTTGGCATACACACTTTTTGACAATACAAAGGCTTTCACTGATTAAATGTCAATAGTGATTATTTTATACAGTTAAGTCGGTTGGCAAGATCCATAGCTGATGTAAGAAAAGTCGACGTACCAAAACCCCATATATATCGCTAAATCGTCGGGAATACGTGCCCTCTTTTTTGTCTAGTCTATATCAAGATTTTCCCCACATTCAAGATGGAAAAGACATTATCAAAGGCGTTCACCAGTGTCCATGTCGTGTAAATGACGATATAGGAAAGAGTAACTAGTACAGTACAAGAATTGGCCCTGTGCCTTAAACGGGGCCGCTGCAAAAATCCACTCAGATAAAAGGCCGTTCGATGCTGATCAAATTAGATCGGGCGCGCCAGACCACTTTCTGCAAGTGAAACCCTTGAGTAACAGGGAAGCCGGGAACATGTTGTTACTCTACTGACGGAGGCTGGCGAGTGAGAAACGTACACAGCCTTTCATCTAGAGGCCCTGCTTGGGAGTTTTCTGTACCCACAGTTGCCTTTTCTCCGCTAAAAGAGATGTTTTTCAAAAGGTGGACAATGAACAAAAGACACGGATTAACATGAGTGAAAAAATAATAATAGTCGATGTTGTTTTTGCTATGAAGAACGAAGTATAGATGGGAAAGTCTTATGACCATGGAATGACGGTTTGTTGAAGGTGGCCCCTCGACGTCAACTGCATCTCGGAGTTACAACATGACCTACTTTTTCAGGAAAAGCGGAATAAATTTCGCACCGAATCCAAGATGATGCTAAGCGGCAGTTTACGATCCGCCTACTCGTTTGGAATCTAGGATAAATTTGCCTTATGGAAGGAAATTGTTTCGTTTTTAAGAAGTCGTCATTTTGTGTAGCTCTGCGCCAAAACATAGCCTTGTACATACAGGCCAGGAGACAGTCCCTAATGATAAACATTATTTTCAGCCGTTTGATGGCAAGTTGTGAAAAACAAAACAATATTCAATTAAATTCTCCCCTGTGAAAATTGAAGTCGTTAATTGTCTACATAAATCAACTACGTCAATATTACGCACGAATTTTGTTAGCGCTATGAAAGAAGAGATTTACATTTACATGGGGCCCAGTGGGGTACCTGAACCTGAGAATGTATGCAAAATCAGGCAACAATATGTATTGCAACACTTTTGTTAAAGGTACAAAGTATCCATCTATTTTTTCAAAACCATTCGGAGTTCCCAACAATTGTCCAGGCTGAACATTGTTCCTCCCTTACTAAGAACATTCCCTTTGCTGGATTATGATAGATTAGGAAAACATGGCGCTAAGCATGTTCAACAAACTGAGCACAAGACGTCGCTCACATCTCGGTTGTAAACATAGAGAAAGTACCGCCATTTTTGCTTGTTGCTGCTTGCGTTGTCGGTATGTACAGGTTCAATTATCCGTGTTTGTCGTCAAGGTGTTCCGTGGCAGCCCAGTGAGCGCTACGGTGTGAAGGACCGCTGGTCCCGGGCAGGTATCGGCGAAGTTTGTCTACGTGCGCTGGACTTCCTCCGTGGCCGGTGCCTCGGCGTTGGCGGCGGGCTCTGCTGCTGCTGCGGCGGCTGCTGCAGGTTTCTTGGGAACTGGCAGCGTCCCTCCGAGCTGCTTGTATTCCTGGATCATCGCACAGCAAGGGTTGGTCAAATGGATGAGGAAGTTGGAGACGAAGTCGGCTGGTAGGCCTTCCTTCTCCTGGACCTTAGCGCGGACGTAGGCCCGGGAGTACGCCCCTGCCGGCTCGATGCAGGTCAGGGCACCGTAGAACAGGCAGTTTTCCCCGACGGCCTGAGCGTTCTTCCCCGCGACATAGCACGGGCAACAAAAGGTGAGCGCACAGATGCCGAAGTTGTCGAAGCAGGACAGCATGTGATGCTTCCAGCCGCTCATTCCGGACAGAGCGATCGCGTTGTCGGGTGTGTTAGACATGGTTTCGGCGTTGAAGGGTTCTTCCGAACGCAAAACAGGAGCAGTTCTCAAGAGGAGGAAGTAGCTGTTGTCGTTTGTGAAGCGAGCGGTGGGGCGGCGTCCCTTCCTGGGGCTGGCTGCGTCTCAAGTGACGCAGGGAGTGCGCTGATTTGAATAGCGGTGCGAGTCGAAATAAATAACGCTGGGGCAGGCTGGGAAGCATTGTGCTCCTCTTGAATATCAATAGCTTTGTGCGGCCTATTGGACCACATGGAACAACAAGCTTAAGGCAGGCAATAAAAATCATTGCCATGACGACGATTGGATGATTATTATTGTAAGTGATAACAGTAATCTTCATTACAATGCTTCTGAGTAAAACAGATGCTCAGATTTACAGGATGGGTGGAGGACGCGCGGGGCTACCCTCCAAGCAGAGGGGCTACCCTCCGAGCTCTGGGAACCCTGAAACTGATCGATGCGAGCGTGCGAATAAAAAAGGTTTTGCAAAAAAAAAAGAAGTTTCTTTCATCATGAAATCTACGTACGTGGTCGTGAAGGTTGAACAAATGACACAGTGTGGTATGGCGAATAATCTACTCTTCAAATTAGTTTCTTTACATTTTCGTCTTTTTCGGTTGATTTTGGAATTCTACGACATTGGTATCGTTTTCAAATATATTTTTTGCAACTTACGGTATATATTTGAAAATTGTGCAACGTTTTGTACGATTTACAATATGGTTGAAAACTTTGGGTTTTTTTTTAAACTGCCGAAAATTCGTGGATGTCATCCATATAATCAAATCAACATTGCCTTATGGCACATTAAGTACTACATGTAGTATACGTGTGTGTAGTTCTGATATTAGTCGCTAGAAGCGCGTTTGTGACAGAGGTTTGGGCTTCGGCTTATCTTTATATGCGTTTTTATCCGGCCTTATGATTTGTACCGGTATCCTGTTTTGCGCCCGAGATGTCCTTACCCATAACTGTTTGTGAGTACACCGATGTCTGTATGTAATCTGTCCAAGTTTATTGGCTTAGTATACACGTATCCGTCGGCATTTCACAAAACAAAAAGATTCTCAATGTTCTTACCAGTTAAATCCACTAGAAGCTACGCCAATGTAAACAGACCTACCGCTAAACATGTACTTGTACGCTATCATACATGAACACATACTGGGTACATATTATACGTCCATCATGTACCTACCATTCCTGACGTCACTTCCGCCGGATGTGCAGGTAGGAGTTGGTTTGTGTGACGTCACGAAGCCTCTAGATGGTTGTTATCACTTCCCTGTTCTTCTCCGCGATGTTTGAAAAGTTTTAAACTAAGGCCATGTTGATTTGATTATATGGATGACATCCGCGCGCGCATGAATTTTCGGCCGTTTCCAAAAAAAAAAGTTTTCAACCATACTGTAAATCGTACAAAACAGTTGCAAAATGAGCAAAAATATACCATAAGTTACAAAAAAAATTAATAAAAACTATACCAATGTCGTAGAATGCCAAAATCAAACGAAAAAAGACGAAATTGTAAAGAAATGAACTTGAAGACTAGATTATTCGCCAAACCACATTCTGTGCCATTTGCTCAACCCTCATGACCACGTAGATTTCATAATGAAAAGAACTTTTTTTTTTCAAAACTTTTTTTATTCGCACGCGCGCATCAGTTTTGGGGCTCCCGGAGGATGTCATCTATATAATCAAATCAACATGGCCTAAGAGGCAGATAAACAAAACATGAATCCGAGTGCATTTTTCATATGTCACTGATGTTCAAAAGGTCAAGTTCATGTTCAAAAGGTCAAGTTCAAGTTTATTTGATCACTCATCAGTCGCAGAACGAAAACAAGGTGATGACAAAGAAGTTCACTTGTAACAGGAATTTGCCGGAGACAAACTTGGTAGAAGCCCCGGCACCGCGTCAAGGTGTTGCCTCCATTGCCGAGGTAAATTTGGACGCCATCCTGACAACAACCACTCACAGTCCCGACAACATTACAACAACCACTCACAGTCCCGACAAAGTTACAACAAGGCAAGGAGTTTCACTCAGTTCAAAGTAAGTTTGTAATAAAAGATTACGACGGAATGTGTCACAATTAACGAAAGTGAACAGCCAGAAGCGATGAAGGCATGTTTTTATTTGTGCCCTGTCTTGCTATGTTTTATTTAAACTTTTCATCCCTGCCTGTCTAGATATTTTAATTGTCCTACTCTAAGAGTCTACAGTTTGGTTTCATTTGTTTGTTTGTTATACATTTAGACTGGCTATTTGTTTAGTCTTATTAAGCCTCATTCCTCCTTAGCTGTTCACTATCTTCAGAAACTAACTATTTTTCTTTGATACCGATTTGAACTGAGTTAACTCCATACATACAAACATTCAGAAAAAAGTTAAAACATTCTGGAACCATAAGCGGAAGTGTCAGGATGAGCGTCGGTTTGCCAATAATAATTGTGCGCCAATTTCCCATGGCAAAGCGCCTGGGACCAAAGTTATTTTAACATACAGTCCTAGTCTGTCTTACCCAACCCAACCCAGCCCATATACCGTCCTTGTCAACAAAAACGTAACAAATACATCAAAACCTTCATATGAACAGAATTATTAATTAACATTTGATAGAGAAAAAATGTACATGTGTTCCATGTTGGTCCTGATGTTGACCGGTGGTCTTCTTCCTGCAAAACACTTATTATTAAACGGTGGCCTCATATCAAACAAACAAAAACAAGAAGCAAGTAAACAAAAGGATATGTCAGCTGCGGCCTCCTGTAGTTTTTGGTTGGTTGTGGTCACCAGATTTACCTCCCTTCACCAGTCAGGCATCAGTCTTTAATGAGGTAGCTAACTGCTTCAGCTAGAAAGTCCAGTCTTCCAGCTGTATTGTAGGAAAAGAAAGAGCAAGAAGGTACATGTTAATGCCATATAACATGCCTTACAATTGTTCCTGCCCTGTACTGGGAAGGTAAATGAGAACATGTACTTTAAACTAGCAGCACTAAGCAACTTCATTTATCCGTGTTTTCTCATCCAGCCAGGCCTTCATAGCCACGGGAAGCAGGAAATATGTCAGTCTTTTGGGGGACGGTTTCGGAGTGCTTCGGAAGGTCCAGCATTCCAGCGGTGGATCTGTATGGTAAGGAAAGAAGGAAAAGGCACACGTTAATGTCAGATATGCATTAGGAGTACTACACAAATTCATTTAACCGTTTTTCTCGAACACTGCTACAGCCTGGTCTCCAGAGCCTTCCTGCGACCAACCAGTCTTTATGGAGGCGTCTTTGCGTTGTAGAAAATTCTCATTCAGTCGCCCAATACGTGGTGTAACTGCAGTGTCGGTAGAAATAAAAAAAATGTTACTACAAAGTATAAGTTTCAATAGACTACTACTATGTACCACAATGTACTCGTTATAATTATGATTAAACAGTGAATAAATAAATAACTTATCACAGATACAGGGGTTTCAAACCTCAGGTCTGGTTTACAAAACCAATTGTGTGTGCGAAGAAAAAGACAGTGAAAGATCACACAACACTTTAGATTTTGTATTGTAAAACACTTTATTAAGTGGACTAGTCATTGCTACGTACATAGTCAAGAAATACCATTCCATCAAATTCACACCTTTTAAACCTCAAAAGTAATCTACTAAGTATTTGTGTGTGCGAAGAAAAGACAATCAAAGATCATACAACACTTCAGATTTTGTATTGTAAACCACTTTATTAAGTGGACTAGTCATTACTTCATACACAGTCATGAAATACCGTTCCATAGATCCACACCTTTCAAACCTCAAAACTAATTTACTAAGTATTTGTGTGTGCAAAGAACAAAGAACGAGCAACACTTCAAATATTTGTATCGCAGAACACTTTTATTCAATGTACTCGTTACAATAACACAGTCAAGAAATAAGTACAGAAAAGAACACAATAAGTATAGCGTAAAGATATATATACATTCAGTAGAAAGATGCGATATAGACATGGGGGGGAGGCGCTAAAAAAAGGAGAAGCACTAACAAATTACACCCATAAGGCACCCGGGGGTTCGGTACGAGCCTAACAGACTTTATATAATTATTTACAAACTACTGCTTAACATGTATTACCCCAAAGCTACCCACCCTTCCCAGATGGGGCAAACAAAACGCAAAGCCATGGTTTGGGCCTAAAACCCCAGAACCTGAAACTACGTAAGCGAGTCAGACCCCCCTATTTATTAGGCATGGGGAAGAAAAGTATAGGTTAATAAATGGAATTCTAACTAAATTCCTAATTCGTATAATCCATCTAATTCCTTAGAGTAGGTCTTTCTATGGAATTCTATGGATTTTAGCGGTGTCAATTCACGTGGGTTCTAACTTCTAACACACATATAGACTTCTATCGTATTTGTGTACGTGTGTGCGAGTGCTTGCAAAAGAACGACACCGTGGTTGTAGTGTAACATTTTTGTGTGTTGTAAAATATCTTAATCAAACCGCGCTGCATGTGGGCATCGTAGTTGGAGTCTCCAGGGTTTTCGCGACTTATTTTTTTTATAAAACGAGTTAAAACTAGACAACGTTTATATCTATACCACGCACGTTTTACAGCTATAACAACGTCGCGAGATGCCCCTTTTCGTTGCTAACTGAGTAACTCAAAACTCACTTCCCAACGAAAAGCTGATTTGATGTGAACCTTGCTGTACAAGATTCACTTCCGCGCATGGCAAGCAATCAATATATATATATACAAGCATAAAACAATACCACGTGAAATGTCACCGCTAACATTCTACCCTACTGGCTACAACATTCAATGTTCACCCATCCAATTCCGAAGAATTCGTCTTGGGAATTCTATGGATGTTGACATGGCATGTGACATAACATATTCATACAACAAATCAAGAAACATTTTCGAATTACGGTGCACCGTTATACAACGTTAGCGCGCAAATTACAGTTATGCAACGCACGAATTATTACTAGTATAAATTGAACGCACGTGTTACGTCTATACAACGCACGCATCTTTTCTTTGGTAAGGCACAATTTTCTGCCTTCCCAACAGAAAGATTGTTGATGTAAGACTTGCTGTAGAGCATCTTTACATCCGCGCATCCCAAGCCAGCGCCAGTTGCGACATAAAAAGCAACTCTTTACACGAGGTAGGAAAATAAGAGAAACGCAAACTCACCCCCGCCACCTTGGAAGAAAACTGTACAGGAACATCTGATTTACACAACTATATAGGCTGACTTCGGACTGTTCCATTGGTTTTTAGAGGTAAATGCTTGCGTCACATCGAAAAAAGTAAGGTTGCTAAAATTCCGAAACGGTGACAAAAAGAAATATAGGATTGGTGAACGTTAGGATTTTCTTGAAAACATTTATTCATCGTTATTATGGCAAAACTACACTTGTTACTTTGGTGACGAAGAAGTTGTGAAATTTTAACCCCCGATTTTGACGAAAACTATGGTCTCATCCACAATTGTCACACCTGTGTGTCTCACCTGTGCGGAACAATTGCCGCCAATGTCATTTGACCAATCAGAGGCTGAGGAAAAGAAAGAATGATTGAATGAATTTCTTCGTAACTGGAAGCCCAGCACAAAAACATCTCAATTGATGAGATTGACAGAGTGCATCTCGAAAGCTCCCCAAAGTAGGTAATTTTTGTTGTGTGTATCGTTTGAATGATATTCATCTCAACACTTTTCAGTGAAATATTTGATTCGGCCTCCAATCTTCAGAAACGTATATTTGATGTACATTCTTATTTACATACTGCAGAATTGTGGAGAAACATTGAGAATTACAGAGAAACCTATAGAATCGTGGACGGGGAAATTAGAGAGAATCTATCATGGAGAAACATGTAGAATCATGTAGAAACATGTAGAAACATGGGTATTAGTATACAGTGCAATTTTACTTGTAAACTAGTAAACTTGCATTGTATACTAATACGATTGCACTGTATTCCGTAAAATTGCACTGTATACTAGTAAAATTGCACTGTATACTAGTAAAATTGCACTGTATACTCTGGCACCCCTGCGAATCTAGAACGTTTCGTGTTTAACTCAGTTGATGAATGTTGTACAAAATTTGAATGTTCGACTAGTTTTCGCTGTTGTCTTGGAACAGAGTAACACGTACTCGTACTCCTTAATAGAATGTTTACCACCCCTATGTTAGATTTGTGGACTAGGAATCTGACTAGTTTCATTGGTCCAGATGACGTATTTTGGAATTTCCTCTCCATGGCAACAGCATAAATTATCGCTTTGCGACTTATTAGCCCAGACTTGGAGAAAAGAAAACTACAGGGAAGCGACGACGGAAAATCCTTCGTCAGTTCGACGCACGGTAGAGATAGCTAGGACGACATGGCAAAGAATGTGAGTATGGAAGTTTTAGATACAGAAGTGATGGGGAATTCGGAAGATGAAGGCGGAAATACCTTCAAACTACAGGCAAGAGTGGAGAAGAAACCGCAGGAACTCTTACCGCAGAGGGAGAGCAAGGAAAGCGCAGAGGCGTCGGCACAGACGGATGTACCGAGTGAAGGTGACGAGTTGGCGGAACTTTACGAGAGTAGGAAAGCAGCAGGTACGCCACAACTGTATCTAACGTTATATTTTCTGTAGAACATACAGTTGATTGTTGCACTTTTTTTATCAGACATGCTTGCTGTCGGCCACACAGCCGCACCAAAGTGAGTCTGCATGTTCACGGGTTTAAAATTTCGGCGTCACTCTGTCAGCCACCTATGGCAGAAATTCTTGAGCGCCACCGTGCATGACAATGTCGCCGAATTTCAAACTTGCGTATCGAGCATGTTTTCGAGTATGTTTTTCGCCTGAATATTTCCCTGTTACATTTCACGGACTCGGCGATCTCAGCGAAGATTGGCCGGTCTCTGCAAATCTACAAATCGAGCGGTGATCAATAGAATACCGGCCGCATTCCGGCAGAAAATATGCATTTGTGCTCGCAGATTTGTCCCGCGAGCTATTTTTTCTGTGACGCCGAGTCAATATTCTTTTTTTTTTATTCAGAGAAACATTAGTACAAATGAATGGACAAAGACAAAGTGAGAATCAGAACAGAGCTAGCAAACTACCAGTTAAAGTTGCTTTTAAAAGTTGTTTTAAATTTGTTTTTTTTTTTTATTAAAACGCAATATTTCGACCTTAGCTACTCGTAGCGAAGAAATTCTGATCTAAACCCGACAGTACAGGATAGAGGACACGTAGCAGGTACAGTAGCTAGAACCAGCCTACGATACAAAACAGACAACCGTTTTCGCTACTTGTTAATTACTAGTCCATGTATTTTTGCCTCCGGCTTTAAAATGGAAATGCACATGATGGTGTGGGTCGACCGTACGAAAGACCAAAGGTACAATGCGACAATACTTCATTGGGTCAGTTCTCTTCGTTCAAAACCCATTTCTCTTCGTTCAAAACCCATTTGTGAAATGAAATGAGTTTTGAACGAAGATAAATTAGTTTTGAACAAAGAGAAAAGGGAGTTTGAACTAAGAGAATCATCTCTTCTTATTCTATTTCTGTCTCAAAAACAGCTATGTATCTAAATATCGATCATTACCAAAAGTAATGATATAAGCAGGGTGCATCTAAATTCACTTTTTTAGCATTGCGACAATTCAAGTCACCAAGGTGACCAATTATTTCAGTCATTAATAGTGCACACCCATGCTACCCAACTAGCTATTCCATATTGGCCTCCGGTAAGCTTTTTCTAAAAGCTTTCTTTTTCCTCTAGTCATTTTGTTCCCTTTACTGACAGTGCCTCCACCTCCTGTGGTCCGACCGAAGGAACCCCGACCTCAGCCGGCCGATGCCCTGGCCTGCCGCCCGCCGGACCCGCTGTACGTCAGGCGGGTTGGGCAGAGGTTCTGGTCGACCAGACGGATCCTGGACTGGCAGAGACAGGCGCTGCGTGCAAGGGGGGACCCGGAAGCAGTCCTAAAGCCTGTCCAAGAATATGGCGAAGATTCTGCCCCGAGGAATTTAGAAATTGGAGAGGCGGGAGTTGAAGGATGTCTACCGGCAGAGCAAGATTTTGCTAAAGGGGCTGCACTTACAAGCAGCAATCACGCTCTTTGCAGAGGGAAAGGTGAAGCGACCAGTCAACTGGGCCGACCAGACTTCTCCACTCATATTAACACGGAATTCCAGACAAAGCATGGCAACAATAAACGCACGATACTCGGACCGAGAGAACATTACGACAACCACAAAGGACCCGCGGATCACGAAAAAGATAGAGAACACGCACAATACGAGAACGACGAAGAACATGCACATTACGAAGATAGAGAACAGGGGCATTATGAGAATGACGAAGAACACAAATATTACCAGTACGATAAAAATCACGCACGCAACGAGAACGACCAAGAACATCGACATTACGAAAATGACGGGGAACAAGGGCATTATGAGAACGACGAAGAACAGAAACATTACGAGAACGACGAAGAACACGCGCTTTACGAAAACGACGAGGACCATTCGAACTTATCTACTCACGTTTATGCCGATTTGGACCCCGACTTTCTGGCAGCACAAGATGCGATCAAAAATGCCACAGCTCAGCCATTCTATGAGATGGACATCACCCCTACCAATGATGAACAGGAGCAACCATTTTACAAGATGGACGTCACCGCTGCCGAAGAAACGGGGAAACAAGAACAGCCCTTTTACGAGATGAATGTCGCCTCAGCTGATGAGAACAGTGAACAAGTATTCTACAGGATGGACGCCGATCAACTGGCCCAGCCGACTCCGTCAGAGAACGCGTACGAAGATTTAGATGCCGATTTTCTGGCGGCACAAGACGTGGTGGACAGGAGGCACGGTGTAGGGGAACCGAGCAGGGGTGAGTAATCTGCTCCACGTTTGTGTGCTTAGACAATTCACATTGAACAGTAAAGGATGTAAAGGGTACGTTTCAACTGCCCAGTTGTTTTGTATAACGTTACCAGGTATACATGGGGATGTGGGATCGTGTGGCGTGTTCGGCTTAGAACCCAGGGGTCCTGCCATGTCACCGATCTTGTGTCCTTGGGAAAGGCACTTTACATGACTTCCCTCACTCCACCCAGGTGTAAAACGGGTACCTGACTTCGGTTGGAGAGGTAAAAGGCGGTGGAAGGAGAGAGATGGGCACTGCCTTCCAAGTACCGTGCCCTAGACAATTCCACTGCCCCTACGGCCTAAAAAAGGCTATGGGACCTTACATGGGATGTATATCAAAGAAAGTCTAGATGTGGTGGGGAATTCCTTCAATGATTGTGAAAGCCCATTTCCATCCCATACTAGACACATATTATTGTATTAGCTTTATAATTGTTAATTTTTATGTACCAGTAGATGCCAACATGCTTTATACCCTGTACAATTGTTGTGTGACATGTTATATTTGTATATGTTAAGTTTTCAAGCGTCAGTTGAAAGAAGCACACATCGATAATGGTTTTATGACAGGAGCTGGTTTGTTGCTCCACAGAAGCTGAGAGCGGTAACTCGAGGTGCAGTCAGAACTGCAGTAAGTTCTGCAGGTCTCGTCCTGGGCGCATGGTGGCGCTTTGTGTTGGCGTCATCATTGCTGGTATTGCTGCAACTATAGTCGCCGTAATTATCAACCAACACAAAGTACTGAGTGTCCACCCTGAGGAAAACATGGTGGTACGTTAGGTTATATTACTTTTCAGCAATATTTCGTTTGCACAGATTTAATTTTTAAATATCTCATGACTTTGTAAGCATACTTTGTTTACGTATTCAGTTATGCTGTTCTGGACACCCAATTACAGCCAACAAGTCGTATCTGCGGATTTATTTACTTCTAATGGCCCCAAAATGCTGTGTTTGGCGTTTGTTTACCTTGATAATATGGACGTGATGTGTCGCCGATGTTGGACTGTGCTCCCTATATCTCGATTTAATTTTAAGACCTGCCGATTATTTCTGGCTTCGGATGACCCTTGGATAGTCCGCCACCTGATAGGCCTAGTTAGAAAAGCAGTCGCTGTCTCTATATAACGCCAGAAGAGGAAATTGTGGAGGACCTACCTTGCTGTGGGTGTTTCAACGGTCACTGGAAGCAGCTGGGAGACATCTGATAGCGCCGTCCCACGGCTGAAATATCCGCGCGCGCGGCTGATAGGTCCGCGTGACGTCGAATTGGTCTGCGCGATGCGGCTGATTGGTCTGCGCGGGCGGCTGATTTCTCCGCCCCGCGTCGAAAGGGTCTGCGCGTCGCGGCTGATAGATCCTTCCCACCACCGAATGTGTCTGGCCATCCCGTGACGTAGGTTGTACCCCGTGGTATTATATGTACATGTACAAGTATTTTACATGTGGGGTTTCTTGTTTAAATTTGCAGTACCGTGGCATGATATTAGTATGACTTATGTGCTTATATGTCTGGTGTGTTTCTAGTTTTTTTTGTTTCTTTTATCACCAAACTAGACTGTAAGTGTAAACCAGACAACACGTCCAACGACCACAGCAGCGTCTACACTTCTGCCTGTGACGTCACAAGCTGCTTCTGAGACAACGACTGCCACAGGTGGATCAGTAGCCACAGTTATCTCCAAGCAGATGTTTCAGTGGCCGCTAGACAATATCAAATTGGCCAGGGAGTATCCATTACCCTTCAGTGGCAAATGGATACTGTCTGGCTAATGGATACCTCCTGGCCAATTTGATACTGCCTAATTTCTACCCAAACATCTGCTTGGAAATTATAGCCACAGCTTTCACAGCATTCAGGTCTGTTCCCCGGGACAATGTGCTGATAGTCTGATGCTGTAGTTTGGTACCTACAGCTGAACCTAAGACCATATGTTGATTTGATTATATGGATGACATCCTCTGGGAACCCCAAAATTGATGCGAGTGTGCGAATAAAAAAAAAGTTTGTAAAAAAAGTTGCCTTCATTATGATCTAGGTGGTCATGAAGGTTGAACGAATGACTAAACACACGGAGTAATATTTTATTGGCATGGTGAATAATAGACTCTTCATTTTCATTCCTTCACATTTTGTTTCACAAGTATCGTTTTCCAATAATTTTTTTCCAATTTAGGCCATGTTGATTTGATTATATGAATGAATGAATTTTCGGCCGTTTCAAAAAAAAAACGTTTTCAACCATACTGTAAATCGTACAAAACAGTTGAAAAATGAGCAAAAATATACCGTAAGTTACAAAAAAAAACATACCAATGTCGTAGAATGCCAAAATCAAACGAAAAAAGACGAAATTGTACGAAGAAATGAACTTGAAGACTAGATTATTCGCCAAACCATATTCTGTCCCATTTGTTCAACCCTCATGACCACGTAGATTTCATAATGAAAACAACTTTTTTTTTTGCAAAACTTTTTTTTATTCGCACGCGCGCATCAATTTTGGGGTTCCCGGAGGATGTCATCTATATAATCAAATCAACATGGCCTTACGGCATACATTTGCTCATTTTGCAGAAACCTTTTTTTTTTGTTAGAAACGGACGAAAATTCATGCCCGCGGATGTCATCCATATAATCAAATCAACATGGCCTAACCTATTATTACGAAAATAGTTCCATCTGGAAAGTAAAGCGTAGGTAAATGGTATAGACGCTCACCTTTCTTATGTTTCGGTGTCTTTCGGACATCTTCCTCGGAACTTCTGGCTTCTCGCCACTATGTAGCCGATGTAGGTGGCGCTTTTGCGGCGAGAAGACATACTCCAGTCAGACGCTCTGAGGAAGGTGTCTGATAGCAGCAGCAACTTAAACGTAAGCAGGTGACAGTCTATCCCTAATGTGTAAAAGAAACCCTGATACCCTAGTCTGAACCTATCGGTCATTATTTCTTGCAGATTGGTGGAGAGAGTGGACCCTCTACGTGAGAGCGTACCAGTACTTCCAGCAAAACAAGGACACCGCCGCGGGTTTGGAAGAACGTTATCCCGGCAATGAGGTTGTGATGGTCCTACTGGAAGACAGGTTCTTTTGGCCCATTGTGTGTCGGCATTGGGAAATTTACCGCGACCTGCCGAAAACCTTAGACACGGCTGTAGGCTACGGCATTGAGTACGGAATTTCACGTGAGTACAGGATGGCACACGGCCTGTCAGCATACAGCGAGTTCTTCTCTTCCATGTTGAACGCGTTGGAGGCACTGCGGAACAAGACGAAGGCACTGCCAAATAGGTATGGCGAGATGAGGTTGTCACTAAGCGGGCATGCATTGTTGGACACTGACGTTGAGGCCTTGGTAAACCTTTTCCCATACCTGGAAGGAACGACAGAGCTCTATCTCTTCAACTGCAGAATTTCTGCTGACGCCGCAACGCTATTGGCTGGACAGCTGCACCTGCTGCATACGCTGACTAAGTTACTTCTTAGCCACAATGAAATAGGAGATGAAGGAGTGGCAGCAATTGCAGACACCTTTCCTCACTTGAAAGAGCTCCAAGTTTTATACCTTGCAAAGACCTCAATAACAAACGCGGGAGGACGAGCCATTGCCAGAAGGCTGGTTCACCTACAGCAGCTACAAGAACTCCGGCTACAGGAAAATGAGCTAGCGCTCAGTGTCTCTGCGCTGGCAAGGGCGTTCGCCAATATGACACGCCTAGAGTACGTCAGGATGTGGCCCGTCACATGCAGTGCCGCGTCTCTCCACATGGCGACGCAACAAGTACGAGACGCTGTCCACACGCTGGCAGGGCAGTTGGTGGCATACCGCTGGGGCACTCAGCTGTATGACGGCTCTAGTAGCAAAGCTGTTGCACAGGGACTGGACACAGCATGGCGACAAGTTAAAGATAAACTAACAACAGGAGTAGCCATATCAAGCAGAAAGTTGAAGATAGAATTCAAACTGTTGGTCCCTGATGCTGGAGACCCTCCACCCAGAGGCTAATACACGCGTTGTCCTGATTCCCGAAAACGGACCGAAATTTGGCAACTTGGCGGTTGTTGTGATCGGTACCCTGACAATATGAACTATGCAAGCATTGAATATAGAGAAACCTTGGATCTAGGAATAAATTTTCTGCTTGGATTTTGGGTATGTTTTTTTGCCCTGGGTGTTTTTCTACCCTACATGTATTAAACCCCCTTTCCAAAACAAATACTACTCACCTGCATGGCAATGATAACGTTTTACGATCATCAGTTTGTCCACGGCCAGGCAGGAATGCCAGCATTACATCATTCGCAGACTGTTGGCCAAATGACTTTACTCGTAGCTTAGTTGTAAACAGTCATTATTTCGGTATGACTTCGGTAAGTTGGACTTTGTACCCTTCAGTAATGTCTTCTACAGGTCACAATATCAGAACACAGTCATAACACAAAGACGAGATGCCGTTACGGTACTAATCTCTGAGCCGAGTAAATGTTAAGATGGATCGTATCGTTTTTTAGTTACCCAACTTAGTCCTTGGTTTATATGCACGTGTAACATGCACCGATCTCAACAATACTTGAAACTGTTTGTTTAGCACACAGTAAAAGGGTGGAGTCGGGACTGAACGCAGAGATTTGTTTTCAATCACCCCTCAGTCTACGATAAAAAGGCTCTGATGACGTAAGCTCTGCGCATGCCAGTTTTACTATTTTTCAACCGAATCGTTCGGTTATGTTTGAACGAAAATGGTCCCGGTGTTGCCAGGTACACATTCGGACCGCCGCACGCCCCAGGGCCTGAGTTACAGCACCCTGCCTCATATCATTAACGCAGGCGGACAGTATCTGTACTGTAGGACATGGGAGGCCGGGCAGAACCCAAGGTAGGTATCAAATACAAACGTCACTAGTAGGCTGCATGAGCACTAGGTGGTGCCAGTTGTGTGGTAACTTGATCTATTGAAAATTTCACCAAAAACTCTAGCTATGGCCATCTAACGACGTTTGGTTATATACCCTGTTGGTTTCCAGATTATAATAGTAAAATTCTGTGGAATCAACATTTTGTGCGGCCTCGCCAGTCTCGATTGGAAAATTTTAATACTGTAGATCGCTGACCTCCATAATTCTTAGGTCTTGGAATTCCGGAAATACCGCGGTGTCATGAGATTTGTTTGTCGTCCCCCATTTCCCTTTTGACACCTTACCTAATGAAAAGAACTACTGGTATCTTGATCAAAAGAGTTGTTGCACTGCTATTCATGACTTATTACAACAAGTAATATATGCGATTTTACAAACGTGAGAGTACTGTGGCCATGTGGGTCAGGGTCACCGTGAGGAGGGTCAAAGGTCAGAGCATTCGGAGACCTGATTACACACATCTGAGCAAAGACAGACATCTCATCAGCCTACATGTTTGCATAACTTAAACGTTCACATTCTGTCATGTACATGTTCTAAGGAAAGGTTTTATCAGCAGACTTGAGATTTTCAGTATCACGTATGTGTACTTCCAGCTGCAGTCCGCTTTCATAGCCTCCACCAGGCTTCGAAAGCGGCTGGAAAGAGTAGAAATTGGCCCAATCAGACATAACATGCGAGGGGAGTTGAACCGCTAAGTAGTACATTTGCCGCGTACTTGGAGGTACGGTATCCACTGCTTGACATGTGTATCATGTAAAGGAAAATATCTTTTCTAGGGCTCTACTGTTTGTTTCACATGGGCTAGGCAGCCACTGTGGAGTTCTTGGTCCCATACTGGCCCAGCTTCTCAACAGTCACGGGTTCTTAGTCTTCTCACATGACCACGGTAAGTTTTCTGTACATTCTACATTTTTCCCTAAAAGTCTTGTCAACACTGAATTGTCTTGCCGAAAACGACACGGTGATACTTCGAACAGTATCATATTTTTCTAACTTCCACTGATGTGTATCCAGTCGGCCATGGTCAGAGTGAAGGGAAGAGGGTGTATGTGGAAGACTTTCGTCCCCTCGCCAGGGACCTCCTTCAGCATGTGGATATGATGGTAGACAAGTATCCGGGCGTCCCTGTCTTCCTGTTCGGGCATTCAATGGTGAGATAGATGTTGACAGATCGACACAGCTAAAGGTACCTGTCCTTGGTGCTGAACACACCATTCCCACATCTGTTCCTGGTGGTCCATATGGTCTTTCGCATTGACAAAAGGTGTTTGCAACCGTTTCCAGAGTTTTTTTCGTTCTCCTGCCATTTAACGAATGCTAGTCTGGTGCCTATCTATTTTGACTCTCATATGTACTTAATTGCTAATTCCGGGTGTCTGCCAGAACATTTACTGTTACACCGTAACGACATACGATAAGATTTGTTCTGGCTCCAGAAGGAAATGTGTGTTAATGATAACTTTTGATTATTATTGCATATATTTAGTGATACGGTACGGGCACTTTAGACCACTCAACTATGGTATTCTCTTTCTCTGCCGCAGGGGGGCGCTGTGGCGTTTACAGCGTCCTGCCAACGTCCCGGCTTCTTCCGCGGTATGGTGTTGACCGCGCCCTGTATTGAAAACAGCTACACCAAAGCAGATATTCTACGTGTATGTAGTTACCAGTGACAGCATACTAATCGTACTGTACTTCTTGTGATTTCTGGTTTTCATACTTAAGCAATAGAAAAATCTGTTTGAAAATTCGCCATGTTCGGAAACCGAAAAATAGTGCAAAAGGTATCAAATTTGGCAAAGTATGAATTAAACTTGGTCTTGATAAGTCATATACAATGTAATATCATTAACTATTCCTTCCTCGCAAAAGTGGACCTTGATGTGGACGGTGGCATACATATTGCCCAATATGAGTATAGGACCGAGTCATACAGCCGGGCTTACAAAGGACATTGGGAAGGTAGGGCAGCATTGATGCATAATGTACCTTGGATAGCAATGTTAACTTAAAAAACATGATGAAAATACACGTTGCCTTAAAGTGTCATTGTGTTTCTAATGCCACACATCATGATGAAGTATAAATGTCTAGTGTTAGCTGTAGTGTACCTTTTTTTTAAAAAACGCTGAGGACATCATATTTGTCATGGACATTTCCAGGCCAAGAAATATGCAGAGGACCCGTTGGTGTTTCAAGAAGACTATAGGCTGTACTCATCATGCCTGTTTCTGCACGGTATGGATATACTCCGTCATGGCTCATGCAAGATATACATATATAGAAAAACACATCAAAATGATCACATTAGAATATTGTCCATTTCAAGTCTTGACACATGAACTTCTATACTTAAATGTACCATTTATTTCTCGACACTTCATCAGTAGCCCTGAGGCTCCCTGAAGCTGTACTTACTTCTATAGGACTTTGTTTTGCCCCTGCTGTGTTGTAGCTGTACGGACTTGCGAAGGTCTGCTCCCCTCGGTCGACTGTCCCTTCCTTGTGATGCACGGGGAAGACGATGGGCACTGTGACATCTCGGGATCATGGAAATTATATCAACAGGCCAGGGGCACGGACAAGGAACTCAAGGTACGATCTCTACCCGTCCATCTTTTCTATTAATTTCCAACATTTATTACAAGACATGGTGGGGGCATATTCAATGACTCGGGTTTTTTTCAACTTATTTTCGTGCCGCCACCAACGCAGACAACGACCCCGCGCGCCGATTTCTAGGACACGGCATGGCACAGACGTTAGATTGAGAACTCATTGAATATAGTGCGCCCACGCACCCGAATATTAGAACTGCGACAGACGCCAGCCGCCGGTGTTATGTAGCACTATTCTACGATTTATTGTGTATTATGAGTATTGTCAATTATACATAATATCGCTGATTGTTTTTCTCATTTTCTGTGCAGACGTACCCCAACTGTCGCCATGTCCTGTTACTGGAGACGCCTGAAGACGTGGAAAAGATCAAACAAGACATACTGGACTGGTACCTGGCCAGAGTAGATCCTGATAAAAGCGTGACATAAGAAACATTTACTAAGCTCGCCACAATGACATGTGAACCACGGTATGATGTCCTATATAATTCAGGTAAACGGCACAAATAATGTACCTTATATAAGAAGGTAAAAAATAAGAGTACATTCCCTCATTACTACATGTATTCCAAGTTTCACGTCATTTGACCTAAAAATGAACGTATGACGCACATGGTGGTATTTGTGCGTCTTCAGATGTGGCAAGAATAAATATTCAACAGGAACTATAGTATTTTAGGGCTTGACTACTTTGCATCTTATGCATATTCGATCATCAAGTATGGCTACGATCACGTTTTCGACACGTGGTGCTGCTAGATAGACAATTCTATTCTCCACAATGTACTAATTATGTGGAATATCACAACTGTAGCTTATGTTTGGATGACAAGTTATTTTGACTCCCAGTTTGCCGTTAACTCGACAATCCTCCATGTTGATAGAAATTTAAGGCGTTTCATCTACACCTTTTCCCCTCCTTTGACCGAGTAAATTTTATGTTGTCTTAGACTACAGCTGATCTATGTGGAGTTTCCTTTGTAGAACTTTAACGGATATAATCACATATGGCACATTGAAAACACGGTATTTCATCTACATCTTTATCGGTGATACTCATTGGTTTCCTCGTAGATTAAAGATTTGGCATACCATTTCTCTCTGCCCTCTGAAAACAAATTTGGGTTGTATTTTGGACAAAATGTAACGAGCCACACAAACATGATGATTAGGACCTGTAATTAGTCTGGCTAGTTCTGACAGTCTCCAACCATATGTCCTTACTGAATATTTGTACCTTTAACTAGGCTAACTTAGATTCAGACTCATTTCCTCTATACCTACAACTACTAGTATATCATTTCCTCCTTGTACGTCAGCGAAAGCTGTTAGTAATGAATTTCTAAATATACACACTGTATTGTAACAGAGACTAGCTCAATGAAACGCATTCAAAATAACAATGCAATGAGATAGAGTTCTGACAATTCAAATATTTTTTATTTATCATCCTTAAACACCGTGACACATACACGTGTCATTTGACAATTGTATTGTGTTTATCGCACATCAAAAATATAACAAATACTAGTTCTGCTCAAAAAGCGTCGTCAATTTTAACAATAAATCCATTACGTTAGAATATATTTATTTCTAAGTTCTCGAAATCCTCATTCATCCAAGATCGATTCTACCTCTACTGAATCTTCCTCGTCAGTACCAGAAATACTCTGAGAGTGTTCGTCAGTACCAGAAATACTCTGAGAGTGTTCGTCAGTACCAAAAATATTCTGAGAGTGTTCGTCAGCACCAGAAATACTCTGAGAGTGTTCTTCCGTATCGTCACCGTTCTCAGTATCGTCAGTTGCGACATTACCCTGTGTTGCAGGTGTGCAGATGTATGTGTCATTAGACGTTTCTGTACAGTCAGTCATGCCATAAGTCGTCTGCCCCTGATCGGCGGACTTCGTGGGAGAACATCTCTCTAATCTACACTTCACAGAAGCTACCGACCTTGTGCCTATCTTGTAAAGTACTGAGTTGTCACTTACATCGTCAATCACGGACAACCGTACTTCATCTATAACAGTAAAGGGGTTCATGTCCTCATAGCTTTCTGGCCGGGGAGAGGTTTGTCCAGCGTAAGAAGTCAGGGAGTCGTTCTCAAAGTTCTCGCTTTGTGAGTCCTGTTCAACATACATGTAGGAGGCTAAAGAGTCGTCATCGTCGTTTTCGTAGGTCCCGTTCATTGTGGATTGTCCAGCGACATTGTTAAAGTGATCCTCCTCGATTTCGTGAAATTTGCGTGGACAAACCGACTTAAACACGGATCTGCCGGCATTTCTGATATCCTCATCCTTTATTTCACTGTAGTAGTGACCCGAAGGATCGTATACTTCATCTTCATTTATTTCGTTATACGTGTTGCCGTTTTGCTGATCACTATGTAGTACTGCTGTTCTGCCACCGCCTGTGTCCTGGTCCTTTATTTCACTGTAGTAGTGGCCCGACGGATCGTATACTTCATCGTCATTTATTTCATTGTACGTGTTGTCTGTTTGGTTAGCCTGTATACTCCCTGACTGGGAGGTTCCATGTGGATACATCGGATTGCCCTGTAAGGCACTAGTGGAAAATGGGAGGTCCTGTCTATTGTGTCCCAAATTTTGGTCATTTCTACCTCTATTTATGAAGAAAAACAAAGCATGACAGCCTATTACAATGAACACGCCTGCCAATACAGCGATCACTACTAGAGGAATGAATAAATCTGTATCGTGAACTACATCACGGACCTGTGTTCGTATGGCCCGTTCTTCGTTTGATGCATGGCGGGTCTTTTGCTCTTTCGACCTGTCCGTTTCGTCTTCCATGTTACCTCGACCTGTTACTGTTGTATTGACAAACGTTGTATTCGCTTCTACAATTTTGTCTTCGTTTGATACAGCTTTCCTTGCTAAACATTTTGCGTCCTCAACATGTTTCCTCATCTTTGTCTGCCCGTGATAGAGGGAATGTTCTTTGCCGTGGAATAAGACAGCAACACAGTCTACCTTTGGCACAAACTGGTCTCTGTTGTCTCCGGTATCTGTTTGTTTTTTCTGCCTAGTCACCACCATGCTAAAATCACCTGTCCCAGGTGGCACTGAATTACCACTCGTTTGTACATCGATCGGGAAGAACCGCAAGCTAGACTCACCCTTCAACCCTATACTCATACCGCCAGCTTCCGACCACGCCTCTGAACAAACGCTCGATAAAGACTCCTTTATGTTTCCTATGTTGTGTCTTTTTACTATGACGACAAAAGGATGGAAAAATCTAGAAAGACCTAACTTATATTTATCGGAAAAATAATCACAGGGTTTGGCACTGTTCGGTTCGCCCTGAATCTTAAACCAATCGATAGTGAATGTTTCGTCAAAGGCATCATAATTGATGTGTAACACTGTGCCGTCGACATGCAACTGTATCCACTGTTTTGCGAATAGGTTACAACTTATCAACTTGACGCCCCATGTCATGTTATGCGCAGTATTTGATTTGGAAACGGCAAGACTATTTCCACTAAGCTCGACACTTTCAAGACTCTCCGGGGTCCAGAATGATTCCCTGTGCAAACACTTGAAGTCGTTGTTTCTTAAGTCCAGGAACTTTAACTGTCGCAAGAATTTAAACGCGTTGGGTGGAATTGTTTCTAATTTGTTTTCACTTAAATACAGTACTTCAAGCTTGTCCAAACCAATAAACCAGTCACTATGTAATTCTTCCAATACGTTGCTCCGTAGGTTCAGATACTGAAGGTTCTTTAAGTTTTGAAAACATGCGGGTTCTAAGATGGAGATGTTATTGTGCGAAATTGAAAGGTTCTTAAGGCAGTAGTTGTGGGATGAGTGCGAAGCGCTGTGCCAATGTCTTGGAATTGACTTCAACATGTTATTGTCTAGGTCAAGTGTTTCCAGGCTCACGAAGTCTTTGAATGTGGCATTGCCTATTTTTTCTATCTTTACGCCAACAAGGAAAAGACGAAGGAGAGAAGAAGGGTCCATGCCAGCTAGTTTTTGGGACGTTAATATGCCGAAATGAAATCCACTTAGTGCGAGCCATTCCACACCTGCAACACACTTTCCTGTTTTACCATTTGCGTTTTCGACAAAATCTTTCTGACCATCGCCACATGATAGACACATCGTCTTATGATTAGGTGCTAAAGTGCGGATGTTGGCCGTACCTCCATTGTTGTCCGTCATTTTGCTGACGGGCAAACAAGAAGCCAGCGGTCTTTTCTGGCACGAGGGATCGGGAAGCAGGTTTGACTTGCCGAAAGGTGAGATATCGCCGAGAAGGTAAGAACGAGAAAGACGAAGGCCCTGTGTGTAGATACCGGATTCATCTTGACGGAGGACCTTCTTTTTGTCACAAAATGTTTCAGTGTCTTTTCTCCAGCGCAGCCCGCGCCGAGCCACAAAATGGCTTATATACGTCTAGACAGGTTAGCACAGGACGAGTAACAAAGCCTCTTTACCTGACCTGTATGTGTTGAAATGTTCCAAAGTGCTGAGTGTACGAACGCTGGATTCCTCAGCTCAGAAACTATGGCCTCGGGGCTGTGTGAATTCGGGCTGCAGCAGGCAAGGTTTGCTGGAGTCCGCAGGCGATGTCAGTATCTCCCCACGTCTCTCCGAATCGGCGTCTTTTGACACCGGGCAGTCGTTGAAGAATATTTCATTCATGAAAGGCAGACTAATTTCAGAATTCTAACTGGAACACGAACAATATTTGCTCCCGGTTACCATGGCTACTAGCCACAACTGCCTGGTTATATAAGGAATTAAGACACCAGTCTGGGACATGGTAGTTCATTCACCCATTTTATTAGGTCACAGCAAGAAATTTTATGGATGACATCAGCGAGCGCATTGATTTTGGGGGGGAAAACAAGAAATTTTGTTGTCCTCACATGCATCCGAAAATGGACAAAATGCTCTTGCTCGTGTTTGATGGCAAGTGTTGACAGTCTACAAGGACAGGTGATACTGTTAGATACCGGAATAAAGACCTGTTGGTTTTGTTTTGTACGCCTCAATTGTTGTTTGACAAGGTTTGTAATATCAAAAGTTGAAAATGAAGAAATCTTGTTTCTTGGGGGCCCGCCTTGTTTTTTCTTCGCCCTATCGCATTAAATTGGAAGTCTGAGGAGGATTCCATCCACAAAATTTACTTGCTGTGGCCTTAACACAAAAGCACCGTGAAAACACTATATAACAGCAAATATGAGCAAGCTATGATTCTACCAAAGTCACGTGAAATTGACCCACTTTACAGTAGACCTGTTTGGAGAAATTATATGAACGTGACAATACCATGTAAAATCTGTCACCTATCTGGAGTCATCATCTGACATTTGGGGCATATCTAATTAACCGTACAGGAAGTCAGTAGTATTACTTACTATGTCCGGTATTGTATATTCATGTCCGTTGCCTTATGTAAGCGAGTAGAGAAAATGCATCTACAAAATGCTCGATTTCTTGCTTTTTATTGCATTGATATCATTAACTCTGCCTTTGCCGGTTTAAAAACACTTACATATAATCCTGATACAGGTAGAAATCTGAAAAGGGGCATGTTGTTTGGCGGAGCACATACATCGACGACTATATTGATATCGCTTTACAAACATGCGCCGCGCAAGTCGTACAAGCAAAATTGTGTAAAAAGTTGGCTAGTTATGTATGCATTGCAGCATAATCTACCGAAAAATAGCACTCCCTTCTGGACTTTAGTACTCCTTTAAATTTATGTTTACACAGTGCCTGAGTGTGTTAGTAGCGGCGTTACTTAAAATGGCCCCGGGTGTGACCGGCACAGATTCGGAGCGTCGCACGCCCCAGGGCGTGAGTTACAGCACCCTGCCCCACATGGTGAACGCAGAAGGACAGTATCTGTACTGTAGGACATGGGAACCCGCTCTACAGGCTGGGCAGAAACTTAGGTGCGTAATGCCGGCTTACTAAGTTCGACAGTCATTCGGTGGACGAACACTACACTTGCAGGAGATCAAAGGTCATAAGGTCACTAATCACACAATAGCAAATTTCTAGTTCTAATGAACATTTCTAACAAACCTTCGATTATGAAACATACTTGTTCTTACCTTTTCACCATTACTAAGAAACGTAATTTACTTAGTTGTAGTTACTTGACAATGTGTATTATAATGTAACAATGTGAAACTACTTCCGGGTACAAAAGAAAGCTCTGTTTGGCCTATCATACATCCCCTGTCCTGTGGAGCCCAAATATATATATGGGTTGCACATACAGTACCATCCATATAGTGCCCTGTATATGTACGATTACATGATTAGGGGGTATTTCTTGTGCAACGCATCACACCGCAGCGAAGCGCAACGAATGCCGAACTAACTACTAGTATGCCACCGCAGGGCAAAAAAGTTCAAGGGTCTATGACCTGATTAAGACATGAAATTGTTTAGAAATACTGTGTAAAAAAACAGTAGGACAATGGTGTTAATATTTGTTAAAGATCATGATTATTTTGCCTTGTTCTAGGGCGTTACTGTTCTTTTCTCATGGACGGGGAAGTCACTGTGGAGTTCTTGGTCCCATACTGGCCCAGCTTCTCAACAGGCATGGGTTCTTAGTCTTCTCACATGACCACGGTAAACATTTCACACTGCTACATGTCACCAAACTGGAACTGATGACTTGCGCATGCCTGAACACCAATGATTAAATGATTAATTGTGGTCTATAGATCCAACAGTTGTATAGTCTTGGACCCACTATTAAGTCAAAGTTCACTAAGATATAGTTCTATAGCTAGCTAACCATATCTCAGTATGGGACCTAACGTTAGTTGACAATAGCACTGCATTAGATATTTCATCACCTCCATCTTACATTGGTTTATAATTATATACTTCGGACATAGATTTATGGTAAACCTATTATTATAATCACTATTACCATATCATTGTTACCAAATATTTTCTTTGATGAATTCCATTATCAATACTAGTATTTGTCAATGATAATTTAACTCCGCTAATATGTAAAGTTTGATAAAGGCTTTGTGTAAGATGCAATGATGAGTGTTTAATGATATCATCAAGATCACATCGGCTAAAACATTTTTATGACTTAATTCGGCTACAAGGTAAAAACCGTAATCATACACATGTAATACTTGCATCCAGTTGGCCATGGTCAGAGTGAAGGAGAGAGGGTTTATGTGGAAAACTTCGACATCCTCGCCAGAGACATACTTCAGCATGTGGACATGATGGGAGCTCGACATCCGGACGTACCGATCTTCCTGCTCGGACATTCCATGGTAAATCAAAACAAAATCACTAAGATTACGTACGAAATAAGTAAACACAATGTAACGTTCACGTTACGGCTTTGACAGACATCACATGATTCACTCAGTGTCCCTGTGGCCTCTGAAGACATCACATGATTCACTCAGTGTTCTTGTATGCAGACTATTATTGGGTCTTCACTTCAGAAGTCGTCAGACCAAGATTTTAACAGTTTTGGTTGATTTGCGTATAGTTGGAGGGATTCAGTTTTATGTTTACGGAAGTAAAAAATATTGATTTTGCTCTGTTTCTTCTTCCGTTCCAAACACTGACCTGGTCAATGACCTGACCAAGACCGTCTGTCACCATGGTAACTGGTGTTGGGTTTCATAATGTTGCAATTTCATAGTAGCTATAGAAGGGATTTAGACTCCTGTCGCCATGTATGTGAATGTGTTTGAGTAAGAATTAACAGAGCAGACCATATGCGAATGTAAACATTAGGTATTTCCTTTGCAAATGTTACCTTTCTAGTTCTATACAAATTCTACCACTCCCAGGGAAGCTGTGCGGGGATCACAGCAGCCTGCAAGCGTCCGGGTCAGTTCGCCGGGATGGTGCTGGCTTCACCCGCTATAGAAAACGTCATCACCAGTTCGTACATATATGTATGTACATATACTTACTGCTCATACATTTTAACGGAAAGATAGTGTTAATTGAAGAAAGTTTAATGTTGTCTACGATATACTTCGTTGGCAATGTTCTCGAAATATATCAGATTTCATACCTCCGTTTTCTTCATACTATGAATAAATACTGTGAACTCTGCCTACTTCTCTATGCGCTTTCTGCCAAAGAAATCAAACTGTACGTGTACGAACACACACACCCAAAACAATACCTCCGTACATGAAGTTAATAACAGTTACATTAAATCCATCATGCCTTTAATTTTTCTTGTTCATCCTTACCAGTGGACCCTGGCGTGGATCACCTACAAGATATATCCAAGCATGGAAATTCCCAAGAACAGACACATACTGACCAAGGACAACGAAAAGGTACATGGCTGAAGAGAAACGTCACACGCACACTGCTACTATAGTATCTTCACTGCTGATAAGGTATACAATGACTGTACATTATTTTGCCGCTGGAATAGTGGAACTTTTTCATGTTTCTAGTTTAGATTTAGTTTAACGCACGCTATGAAAGAGTCGCATGTGTATATGTTATGTACTAATTAACTACTGTATATATTTTTCAGCTAAAGATGTATGTAGAGGATCCCTTGGTATCAGGAGCACCCGAGATTATCCACCTTGGAATGAAATTTTTATATGGTATGAAATTTCTAACATCAATAGAGATACTAAGAAATCGCCAAGCCCTTTTGGATAAGCTTGCTGTCTTCAAATATTTGACATCATATCTACATGAGGCTTTTATTACGACAAATTACTTGCTCTTACTTTGATTTTGGACGTTAAGTTCATCTAACCGCACTTTTCTGAAAATCCGAATGATTTGGTCAATCAGGACTTCACGTTGTGCCATTGCCTTTAACAGCCATGCTGGCGACCCAAAATCTGCTTCCTGAGGTGGACTGTCCCTTTTTGGTGATACATGGAGATGACGACAAAGTTTGTGACGTTTCCGGGGCGTGGAAATTATATCACCAGGCCAGGAGCCGGGACAAGAAAATCAAGGTACAATACAGAGTCAGATGATCATTCACTGTTTATTGTTATGGGTCACTTCTGTGACACAGGGGGGGGGGGGGGGGCAAATCATATACACAGTGCGTTTCTCAATGCAATTCGGTTTTGTTACGCTATGCGGCGTGTACAATAAAAAATATTCGGGAAGTATAGTATCACACGTTGTACAGCAAGAAAACATTTTAGCACATACCCCGTTGTCTTATATTTATGGCTATAGGCTCCATCGAAGCAAACATCATTCATTTGATGCTATAACCGTTCTGCACACAGATATACCCCAACTGTCGCCATGTCCTGTTACTGGAGACACCTGAAGACGTGGAGAAGGTCAAACAAGACATACTGGACTGGTTTTTGGCCAGGGTGACCAGGGATTCAAAGCCCACTTAGTCAGTCTTCGCATGTATGTATAGTATATGCACAGTACAGTCGGACAGTACTGGAGGCATGGGAGAACCAAGTTTTACGGATTGGTTAGAAACTCAGGTAACTTATGAATAAAGTCAAGTTACTTCATGTGACTCCCTAAATCAGCTGGAAACAGTTTGTTACAGAGTAATATTCATAAGGTTTCATGTACTTATGACCTTACAGATGCCTATACATTTGCTTGATGTATGCGAACATGTTGACACTCGTCATTTCTAACAAATATCACTTATAATTATAAGTTCTCGAAATGTGAATTCCTATTTCCAATACCGTAACAGACGATGGTATTTTGAGAAATACTTTATGTCCCAAATTGAATTCGAATCATAATCATCAACGGGAGCTAAATGAAGTTGTATTCAGTGTCTAAAGAATGTTTTGCTGCAATAAAATTAATCCCATAAACAATTTCAAGTCTTTCGGAAGTATCTTACATTTGTGTAACCTTATTAACACAACCAAAGAGATGGACTACTAATGTACTGCGATGGACATAGGACAGGTACCGGAAGTGCATGTCGTAACTAAGCCTTATATAAATTGTGTACCCAGTGACTTGCACTATCTGTGTCTGTCAATCTGTCGTTACAAAATCTACAAGATCTTCCCCTCCCTTCCTGTCACTCAAGTGTTTTCAAATAGCTACGTACACGCTGAGTAAGAAAACACACATAGAGACTCAGCGAACCATATCCGAGGGCAACAACTCCTACGGAGAAAGAGTATTATTTTCTGGATTACACGAGTTAGCACTATAGTAACTTACGTATACTATAGTGAGCTACGGCTACTGGACAGGGACCCACTTGTTGTACATCATACTGTAACTGTAGTAATTATAGTACAACTACTATTCAACCTTCACCTCCATCTTACGGTCAAAGTTCATCCGGGTCGACCGTCCAACGTTGTGAGCATATCCGATCAAACAAAAACTAGTAATGGCGTGCTCCGGTGGTGTGGCGGAGCGCTGCAGCCCCCAGGGGGTCAGCTACAACACCTTACCGCACATGGTGAACGCAGACGGACAATACCTGTTCTGTAAGACATGGGAGCCTAATCTCAAGGAAGGCGAGAAACCCAGGTAACTTCTTTCACTGTGACTTACTTCCGTGGTTCGGTAGGAAAGATTGTATGGGCAAAACACAGGCATATGGCGTAGCCAGATTCCAAATCAACGAACTAGTCTTGACCGCTGAAATTGTGCTTCTATTGTATGAGTACCCGCATTTCGGCATATGGTATCACCCACAGGACAAAAAGATTAAAGACTAAACACTGTATGACTGAGGATATTTCAAGTGTCTTTAGATCTACGTTATGTTTTCTGGTTCCAGGCATTGTTACGCACTCACTACTAAGTCACGCATTGTGTTGCACAAGGATCAAAGGCCGTAGACGCAAACAGTAGAGTGCTTAAACATTATATAAACTTATTTACTTACATTTGTAAAGTTACGTATACACGTAGGCGTGGCGGTGGTATACGGTGGTTTGCCCATATCTAGAAATGTCTCGTACGTGCTGGTCGTTTCCTTCCTCAGAATGCGTCCATGAAATTTTCCCCTCTGTGTCTTATGTCAGGCATCAGGTACTATGAGTATGACCTGGTACGCCGGGCCCTGTGCCAATCGGGTTATAGACTTCCACGTAATTTTCTTCGCAACACTCTCGACCTCTATAAGATTTATTTTATCGACGTGACAACGTTATGGAATATACTTCAGTGATATAGACGATTTAAAACAGATATAATGATACTGAAAGATAAATGCAATTTCAAAGGAATTACTCTGTCTTAAAGGGCCCCGTCAGAAGTACATTTTGAGCTGTCACTAGCTCTCGTACCGTCCATGGAAAGGGTACAGAAGAAAATGGCGCAGAAAAAAAGGTTACCCTTGTCGTAACCTTGTCTTTTCTTCCCCTAGAGCACTGCTGTTCCACGCGCATGGCTTCAGGTGCCACTGTATGCTGATATCTCCCATCCTGGCACGACTTCTCAACAGTCATGGGATACTGGTCTTCTCACATGATCACGGTATGTGTGTGTCGCTTCTTCGCGTTGAGTTTGAGAACTGGCATACATCGGAGACATGCATGTACTGGGTCACACTAGAACATGCGGTTGTTGTAGTGCTAGATAAATCCATCATAAATAGACAAAAGTGCACAATTTAGCTGATTTTCCAGCTATGCCGCTGAACTAAAAGATTCTACCGTCATGCAAGACAGCTCTATCTATCTATCTATAGTGTGTCTTTTTCGTTTGACAGATAATCAGTATGTACCCAGATTCCGTTCCACATTTAGTACTTTTATAATACTGAATAACAGTCTAAAACTGATACTAGTAAACTTACCGTGTACTCAAGTCGGCCATGGTCAGAGCGAGGGGATCCCAGGAGACTACATGGACCTGGCTGTCATGACCAGAGACGCCTTACAGCATATTGACATGATGTCGGCCATGTACCCAGGAGTGCCCATCTTCTTGTCGGGACAGTCCATGGTACGCTTAGATGTTTTGTAGCCTTAGTATCAGCCTTTTTTAGCTTTCGTACGCTCTCCCCCGCTCTCCCCACGACAGAAAGCTAAAAAGGCTGGCACTCAGGATAGATGTTTTGTACAGTAATGTCTACTTTCCTTGTTCTTTTGTTATACTGAATTTGCAAGTTCTCTCTTTCAATGCGACTTGTTATGCGACTCACAATGCGACTTCATCACTAGTGTTCCATCCCTTCGCTGGTGCATGGTTGCAGTACCACTGAATAGTCGTTTTTTTGCAGGGTGGCGTCATTGCAATTCGAGCATCTCTGGAGCGTCCTGGTCAATTTGCTGGGATATTACTGTTTTCGCCTGCAGTACGGGCCGCGCTCCTGGCAATAATGGTAACATTTATCATTATCTACCACCGGTACCCATAACCTGATAAGACCTAAGTTTAACATATCTCAATAAGTAGATTCTTTGGCAGTTCAGTCTATAGTAGACTATCTGGGTCGCGCCTCTGGTGACCTCTCATGTGGCTTGAAAGATTACATATCGTTACGAGTAAATGCAATATTGGTAAGACGCCTCGTCTTTCATGATATTCCGACTTGTATATAATGTTGTGCTTCTGAGAAATGCAGTCTATTCTTATTTCTTCCTACCTACTTTTCGTACCGTTTACGTTACCAGATTGTCGTTGCACAACTCGGCGCCTGGCTCCTCCCAGAGGTCCGGTTGGGAGGGCCCCGTCCGCTACTCATCAGCAAAAACCTGGAAATCGTGAGTTATGTCGGAGATGCTTACTCTCCAAGCTTAAGTAGAGGTTTGGGTTAACTGGTTGGCGCAAAAAAACGATAAGAAGCCTAAAGCACGCCTAAATAATACCCAAACCCAACCCCCTACTTGGGGAGTAGAAGATGCTAAAATGAGATTTCTGGGATTCATGTAGTTTGCGTGTGGTGTAGATGTTTCAATGATATTCCTTAATAGATCTGTGTTTCACCTTGCAGCAAACGATGTACGAAAACGACCCTCTCATCTTTAAAGAAGGGATTAAGTTGCGGGCAGCACACCAGCTGCTTAATGGTAGGATCTGTTCATTGTCCTTTGTCAAATACGAAAAATACCAGAGCGTAAATTAAGATAAGTGTATGGTCTTACCAATAAGTGTTGCTATTGAGATTTTACGAGGGAAGTACGTATACCTTTTCTATTTTGGTTGTACCATTTCTATATTCCTGGTGTGCGATATTTTTAAGTTAAAACTACCTTATCATAAAAAGTGTGTAATCATTCTTAACTAAGTCATCTTCCTTCCCCCATTCTGGTATGATACAGGCATTCAGGAAACACGTCAACGGTTGCACGAAGTCGATTGTCCATTTCTGGTGCTTCACGGAGAGAACGACACCATAACAGACATAGTTGGATCCCGAGAATTGTACGAACAGGCCAGGAGCCAAGACAAACAAATGAAGGTACTTGTGACTACTGCCTGCCTACTGTACTCGTACCGCGTTATGCACTGTTTTCATGACTGTTGACAAGTTGTCCGTTTCCAAAAAAAACTTATTGCAATGTGACACTTCACTCGCACCAGTGCCAACTTTAAGTTAGTTTTACTAAACAAATCATCTAGGCGTTTCGCCATTTAGGAGGGTGTGCTCACTGCGTATTTGTAAACTGCAAAACCGTCCACAAGAATGTATACTATACCGTAGCCTCCTTCGCAGACTTCTGATGCGGCGGCGTTAATTTGTTTAGGGGAGTGACGCGAGTTATGCAGCGGAGGGAAGGTTTTGCTCCCGAGGGACGTCGACTCCCCGGCAAAGTCCCTAGGCAGCAAAACCTTCCCTCCGCTGCATAACTCGCGTCACTCCCCTAAAAAAAATTAACGCCATCGCATCAAAAGTCTGCGAAGGAGGCTAACCATACGGTACACCTTGTCTCTGTGTCTATTCTCCAGACGTATCCCAACTGTCTTCACTCCCTGCTGCTGGAGAGCGCTGAAGACGCCGAGAAAGTTCAGAAGGACGTCCTGGATTGGCTGTTACCCCGCCTGGACCCCCTACACACTTCCTCCTCATGGTTATGAATCCTCGTTATATCCATCAGACTATAACATATCTCCGGTAACAAATAGAATATATATAATAGTCACTTGTTTGACATGTATGAATGTCGTATACACTGTATGTTGCAATTAGCCATCGGGTATGAATTTGTAAATAATCTTAAACTGTTATAGTCTGATGGAAATGTCACTTGTCTAAAAGAAACCAAACTTGAATAGCAAATTTCTTTATTCACAACCACTTGTTTAACAAGAGACGACGTTTCGCATTCGATGACCGTCTGTCATCTTCATCAGGGCAATTATGGTTCTCTGTAATTGCCCTGACGAAGATGACAGACGGTCGACATCAAAACACCGTCTCTTGTGAATAAAGTACTTTGCTAGTCAATTATTTGCCAGCCTGTTGAAATTATTAACGAGAAACCAAACATTCATTTGAGTGTAGATGATAGGTGTGCAAGTATTGTTTACAGGCGCATTGTGACTCTAGCCGTAACTGTATAATGCACATTTTTGTTCCGAAGAAATATACTAGTGAATGTATCAGATAACGTCCCATAAGAATTGAATGATGACACTAAATTTTATTGTGATATCGTCATACATGTAGTATAGTACATATCAGATGTGAAATTCAATGACTACATATTATTGTAATATAGAAATACAGTACAATGTCTGTCATTATGGTTGATTGTACTATTCCATGGCTGCTTTATGTAATATTCATATCACTAGACATTGATCTTTAATCATGAGTATGTATCATATATGACTAGTTTGAATGTAGATATTGCGCTATGTATTGTGTTGAAATCATAGTATTCGATATAAAGACTCCGAATCGTGCATAGCTTATATACAGCGCTCTGATGATTTTATATCCAGTACGGATTGTGTACATACTGATAATATGTGATAGTATACATTATAAACCTTGTGGTAAATGTCGGTTATAGCAGTGTTTGCTTGCATTCCAATATCGTATAATTGACTTGCTCTAATGATAAACGGGTTAAGATAAGCTTGAAACACTGACAACACTACTTTACTCATCTAGGCCTGAATAGAGGTGACGCATCTAGACTCAGGACGTGTTTCCAAGTTTGGCATGTTTGGAATTAATCCTATTCATCCTTCCCGTCGCTAAAATGTGTCCTATGTATAGGGAAAGGCCCTAACACTTGGAGAATGCTCTGAAACCTTTACATAAAGGAAGCAAGTTCAGTCACTTGATGCAGTTGGTAACATGATGGCAACTGCCTCCTAGCGTTCATGATTAGGATAATTTCTTTTCATAGGTGATAGAGCAGGCCTAGATGCACCACCGTTGGCACGGAGGCGGCACGAGCTCAGGGGCACATACTAGTACCATCTACAGCAGCTTGCGTGCAGTTTCACTTTGTATCCTATTCTACAAAGCGCTTTACGCATTCTCTGGTGGGCCGCTGATGTCCTAGCTCCGAGTATACGATTTTTTAATTATTTCCTAGCAGGAAGTTTTCTCTGTTTTACTCTGATTTTTTCTTACCAGCCGACTCCTCAGCGCACCGGCCGTGGAGCCTGTATAGATAGAACAGCCGGGCGAGAAGAATGAGGACAAGAACCAACACCAGCGTCATGAGGGCCATGATGGGGGATTCCGTCAAATAGAAAACAAGGATCGCCAAAGCCCCCACACCGATATAGAATAGAGGGCTAGGCAAAACGGGCATCGTGGAGGGGAGGAACATGTTCTTGACCATAGGAACGTAGCCTTCTTTAGACCACTCCTTAACCTGCTCTTCGGTCCACTCCGTGTTTGCAGCGACGGGTGATTTCTTGGCTTTATCCGCGTCAGCTGTCGGGGCTGCCTCCTCCACCGCCTCAGCCTGAGTCTTCTCTGGTTCTGATGCGTTCTCCGTGATCGTTACTGCCGCTGCTTCTTCAGCCTCCGTTGCCGGCTCTTCAACTTCCGTCGTTGGCTCTTTAGCTTCCGCTGCCGACTCTGTAACTTCCGTCGCCGGTTTCGCTGTCGACTCCGTAACTTCTGCAGCCGCCGGCTCTTTAACTTCTGCCCCTGGCTCTGTTGTAACTTCTGCTGTCGTCTCTTTAACTTCCTTCGCCGGTTTTTCAACTTCCGCTGCCAACTCTGTAACTTCCTTCGCCGTTTTGTCAACTTCAGCTGCTGACTCTGTAACTTCGGTCACCGGTTCTTCAACTACTGCCACTGGTGGCTTTTCCTCAGGCTCAGCCGTCTTCGCCGGCGCGATGTCTTCAACTTCAACCTTTGGTGCTTCTTTTTCTTTGTGTACATCTTCTTGAGCCTGGGGGACTGTCTGAACAGCGGCCAGCTCCTCTTGGTAAACAACTTCTTGAGCCATGTTTACCTCCTCAACGGCAAGCTCTGAGACCTCTTCCAGGTCTACTTCTGCAGCAACTCGACCATCTTCAGCTGCAGCTTCTGTCTTTTGTACTTCAGCCTTGGCTTCCTCTTCTTCAGCCTTGACTGTTGTTGGTGTGACCTAAGAAAAATGTTCATATGATCTGTTTCGGAATATGTTTACTACATGTGATTTTCTTAATTCGACTGTTACAAATAACATGCTCCTAACAGAACCCTGGGCGCCACCCGTTTTGTAACGGGGCTCCTTGCACTCGCTGCCCCGGATACAAAAACGGCTGGCTCCAGGGCTATGGTAACAGAACGGTCCGATCACGCCATTGGTGCCCAACCTACCTTCACAGTCACGTCCACGGCTGGCTGTGTTATCTGAGGCGGTATCTCCTGTCTCGCTGTAGCTGCTTCCTCAGCCATGTCTTGGACAACAACCTCATCAGCTATCTGAGTCACCGGGAAAATACAAAATGCCCAAACATTAATCATGCACATTTAAAACCAATAATCGTATGCCAGAAGATTCCATATGTTGTACTGAAGAACGAAAGACCAGAAAAGCAGAATACCTTTGGTTCAACGCTGGCTGCCGATGAAGCCTGTGGGACACGGTCACGGACTGTGTAACTTGTTGTTACCTGATGTTTGAAAAGGTGAAAAATCATAAGCAAGTCTCCAAGCCAGTTGTAACAGCAAAACGAACTATGTATTCACTTCCTTGTCATTAGGTTGAAGTGCATCATATTTAGCAAGGATCGAATAGCACGGTAAAGGACAGTACACACATGTAATAGCAAATAGCGAGTAATATAAGGATGCGAGGAAAGGGGATAATTAGTTGCGCAGAAGAACACATTGCGAAATGTAGCCAAAGTGCAAGGAGAAATTGATAAGGAGGAAAGGTAGTAGTCTTGTAAACCAGATTAAAAGAAAAGAGTAAAAGAAAAGGTCCGCTTTGATATTACATTAGGCTCAGGAGTGTCTGGTGTTGCGGGTGCCGCCTGTGATCCATCCTCGGTCATCTCTGGTTCCGCCTAACGAAGGAATATCAGCTGGGGTCAAGCGTTGCGTTCACTCGTTCATTAGTTTTCCAACCAACAGTACAGTTTCAAGTCCATCTATGTAACATTAGGTCTCTTGAAAACAGGTACTAGCTTTGGCTTAAGAGTCTTCACAAGTTGAGAGGATTGAGACACAGGCATCTAGATATGTCGTAATAAAAAGCCATTTCAGTTTGTTTTGCTAGAGCGTTTAGCACGTGGCATGCATACAAGTATTCGCTCTTCTTAGGGACACTGAAAGCAATGACTAAGGTTTGTTTGAACATGTATATATATATATTGTCTACACTTTTTATATATTACTGTATATGTCATTTTATTGGTTCCATGCGTATGAACCTATGGGTATAGTAGAATTACTTCCGGGTCAACGTACCACCCCCAATAAAGTCAGATCCAAGAAGTTCAACACTTCCGGTGACAGTCCTACACTCGAAGTGTCTGGTTTTGTAACTGGGGCTTTTTTATGAACTGGCGTTTCCTGTATCATGGTAAAAAGGAATGGACAGTGGGATAATGTGTCAACAGTTAGCAACAGCTCAACAGTTAACACGCGGAAAATGGGTGGGATATGGTAGCAATCATTCTTACGGACTGGAGTTTGTATGAGTACATGTAGTACCGAAATGTGGGCGAATTTTTCGAAGTCATGCTCGACCGTGCGACATTTTCCACAAAACAACACATTGTTATCGGGTAGTCTTTAACGTCGTATTATCATGGTCATGGTCTCTCTTGGTCATAGTCCATGGTTACAATATTTTAAAACCGTAAAACGTTGTTGCCATCGAATCCCTGCATTCTTTTTATCAGATTACCATCACTTTATAAAGTGCATTATGAAATGGAAAAGCGAGCAAAGAAAGTTCACGTATGATTACAATATACACATATAACAATTAAAAGTATTGCATGGGAGTTGAAATGGAATAACTAGACCATATATATCAACCGGCGGAAGGGTCAGACGAACCTGTGTTTCACCTGTGTGTTTCTGTGTTACCTGAGTCTCCACTACTTTAGGAGCGTTGGTCGGTTCTTTCTGTGGTAAATGCACGCGCAAGGAAGGTCAAGGAAGGAACAGTAATGAATAGGAAAGTGGGAGGAAGAAAGGTACGGAAAAATGGAAGGTAGAATTGTGAGAAATAACTGAGGAATTACCGTTATCTGCGATACGACAGATACTGACTCGTTGGCCTCTTGAGTTGCAGTCACTACAGGAGTCCCTCCTGCGGCATCGGCAGGGAACTGCAGAATTTAGTACAATGAGTTTAACTACGAGTATACATCGTCCTGCAAGTATATCAACCACAGCTAGGTGGCGCTGCAATATGGCCTCACTGCTTGATTGCTTGAGCAGCACCAAGGACAGGACAGCGTCGTCCGCTATCTCCATGCATTGCTGCTGTGAAAACTTGATCGCTACGGGAAATCTCCCTACATACCCTCTACAGAGGCTGACCTAGTCATTTTACCTCGATATCTGGTACTACAAACGTGCATGGCAATCGAATAATAATGGAAGGCCGGATGTCAATACACATTACCGCAAAGCTTCAAAGTTAAAGCTGGGTTTTGAAAATTCACGATAGCATCAAACATTAATGTCCCTTTCTTTTACATTTTGAAAGCTTAGCCTGCGAAGCATATAGACAAACCTTTCGTTAACACACCACTCAAGATACGCATAGCTATTACACTTGACATTCGAGGTAGACTGGATGTGAAACTACTAGTATTCGTAGAGAGACAGGGATTGGCGAATGACGATGAATTATAGGAACAGTGTGGAAGGAAAGATAGGGAGGGGGATAGTGAGAATATATGAAGGGTAGCATTAGGAGCTTCGCCAAGTCCACCTCGAAGCTGTCAATATAATAGCTCACGGGTTTTGGGACAGTGGAAAATTCCACCACGAGACTTTTTGCTGACATACCGTTCCTGGCATGGCCACTTCCAGAAAGCCCAATACGTCATTGGGGAGTACTGCAGGTGTGGGGGCGCCATTGTGAAGGGTGTGTCTGTTATCCTGCTAGAGTTATGTGACAAAGTCGGGAAGACAGCGTTTACCTCTCTGTTAACGGAAAGTTTACTGTGTGAGTTGTTAAGATCAAAGACACAGGTCAAGTTGAAGAGCTAACACGTACCTACCCGATACATGCTTAGTTCAACTGTGTTATCTTTGAAAGATGCACAGAAGTAAATTAACAGAAAAGTCTCACCCGAGCCAGCAATTTGGAGAATAGTATAGTCAAATATATTCTGAGAGCGGTTAAGTTCTACATATTCAAATGGCTGCAATTCTTCTCTTTAGGTAATAGCCTATTCATAGGTAAACACGGAATATATTACACTACCTACATTTTATCGACACGAAATGACCTCATGTTAATCACGCAAAATTGAGGTTTGTGCACACACACAAATTAAAAATGCCAAATTGCACGTAAAATACATCATTATAAATACACTTGAACATAGGAAAATTTACAAGAGTAAATACTGCCTTTCTTATACATTTTGGTATTTCAATGTCTAATACAAATTTGATAAACACCCAACGATTCAAGACAATATCGGATTGTATGGAGTACTACAAATGGTGTAATATATAGGCTACTCCAGGGTTCAAACGTATCACAGAAAGACATTTGACCCTGATCTACATTTCAGCGGAATGCTGCCAGACATAGGCTGAACGTGTCACTGCGCACGGCCGAGTCGGTAAACATGAACGCAAGCAGACAAGTATGCCGACCGCCCTGACCTGCCCTACTTCAGGCGTACTTGGGTACTTAACAATGGTGGCAGTGTGTAGATCTATGTCAAAGCAATATAGTAGTAGACACGCTGAAAAGTATAATATTAAATTTTAAAAGTACATTATTTTCTCCCTCTATTCAACATGCATGATGCAAATGAGAACACGCTTATGTATATGTTTTCAACTACGTAGAAGATGCTTAGAAAATTAGATTTGAAAATTAAAATTGATTTTTTTAATATTCTGAATACGTTACGAGATACATACGTGACTTTAGTTTGATTATGATGCCACCAACGCAAAAGTTCCGTAAACTTCTGCTAATTACATACTAGTAAGTAAATGGGAAAATATTATTCTTATGGTCTGTTTTTCTTTCTTATATCATTTTTCTTGAGCTTTCTGTCTTTTCCTTTTCTGGCATACCTTTGGTCGTTTCTCCAGAGCGTCCTTCCCCCTAGCGGCCACCTCCCCAGGCTCCCCCGCGGGTGCAGATGTCACGGCTTCTGTCACGGAGTCTGCCATAGCCAGGCTATTCACACTTCCACCTGTGCAGATACAAAATTGATACACCTGTACACCCCGTATGAACAGCGTTCAAGGTTAGCAAGTATGCTGCCCAACATAGACTGAAATATACTAGTGTAGTATAGTATAATAGTACACTGTATAGTGTAGTGTAGTGTAGAGGAGTATAGTACAATGCAGTATAGTTTAGTATAGTATAATATAGTGTAGTGTAGTGTACTAGTAGTGTAGTGCAGTATAGTATAGTATAGTATAGTATAGTATAGTATAGTATAGTATAGTATAGTATAGTATAGTATAGTATAGTATAGCATAGCATAGCATAGTATAGTATATAGTATAGTACAGTATAGCATAGCATAGCATAGCATAGCATAGTTTAGTATAGTATAGTATAGTATAGTATAGTATAGTATAGTATAGTATAGTATAGTATAGTATAGTATAGTATAGTATAGTATAGTATAGTAGTATATTTGGCATCAGTTTGATGGCGGTCTGCCAAAGCCTAGCTTGTGATCCACACACCCCAACATTCTCCCACCCCTAATGACTCATGTAGCACGTAGCCGAAAATGCTGAGCCGGTGTGAGCTGGATTGAGCCGGTAACACACCGATATCAGCGCCAGGATGATTTACTGCAACCGAGACCAATATATACTCACGCCAGTTCGATAAGCTTAGAACAAATTATTGAGCATATACCGTTTGCCTTGGACGGGATACAAGAATTAAGTTGCCGTAATTATGAACATTCGAAAAATGTGGTCAATATTTCAGGGACTGTCGTGGGGGATCAAGCCTTGGCATACATACTGGAAGCCTTTCCAGGCATCGTCTTTCTTTGAGTGCCCGGAAGAGATCACGACTACAAACAAGTGTTAGCACAAGACGGATTATGTTAACGTTGGGTTTAGAAAGGAGTCCTTGTGTTAAAAGAAGGATGGCTGACACAGGAATGTGCCGATGTTCCAAAGATTAGGTGTTGGAGACCGTTTTGTCATGGGGAGTTGAAGAAAACAGAACGCGGCTAAGAAATAGATCAATAGCCGGGTCTGTCTGTCCAAAGGCCGCTGTCCTCCTGACCTACATGTGCTACCGGTGACCGTAGGTAACCTCCCACGGGCCTCACGTAGAGGTGTGCCATGAATACTATATAGCTAATATGACCTACATGTATATTGCCGCAGCTCTTGAAAAGTTTCTGGCGCACAAAACTCGACTTTCATAACTACCGAGTGTTGTCGAATACGATGTCACAAGCACATAGAATGATAGGCTATGATACAGCGTCGGCAACGAAAATAACGTGGCCGATCTGGACTAATATTCAAGTAGCATCACGTATTAACTATTTCACTCCTTAGCCATAGCTTCTATGCTGTTTTCTTGATCTTGGGATCAGGAATCAATCAATCTAACAACTGGTTAGGAACGAAATTTCAAATAGGCGAACAGTACTATATAACGACGCTAATGTCTACACCATGTATTAAAGTGAACAAGGACTCCATACCAGAATTATTCACAGGAGATACTTTGTACATTACAAGTTTGTGTCTGAGAGAATACAGTCTCTTTTCCGTAGAGTTGTAAATATATTGTAAGTGCGATGTGGATTGGTACATGTCGGCTGTACGAAACATGATACCCGCAGTGGGGCATGGCGGCCAGCTGATGTACAGTCTATATGATATATAGAACAGCGTAACTGAGAATCGTGTACGTGATCAATGAAGTCCAGTCGTGGCTCTGACAGGAATCGATAGTTGTTATGTTGGCTATGTGCTCCAGGCTTGCAGAATATCATAACGAAATGGCCAGACCATGATTCATATACTGCACGGTGTGTGCCTCTCCCAGGCACCCACCCACCCTGAGGCCGACAACTGGTGTTATTTTTGGCAGGGGCAATGCCTGGTCAATGCAGTTGCCAGCGGCTATATCCGGAAACACTCATTCCGGCAATATCACCTTCAACACACACACTGCTAAACGCCGACCACAATATGTAAGAGATACAAGTCATTATGACTTGTTATCAGAATGTATGCTCAACCCACGAGTCCACAATTTATTTCCCCCAGACCACACAGTTTGCGGCAATGACATTGTCCCAACAGAAACAGCACTGCATTTGACAAGGGTTGACTTCCTTGATATACATATCCTAATCCTCGACCAGGACAACTAGACTAAGCCGAGGTTTAATGTTTATCCTTACGGTATTGCGATGACGTGCGACAATGCAAGGAACATTCTTCGGTACTTCTTCAACCCGTTTTGGCGAGGCCCTATTTCCTGTGCCATTCAACTGTGCAAGCAGAACATGTCTGGTATACACAGCGGATTTTTCTCTAAATCAAAGATTTCCCGTCTACAACACAAACAGTATGTCTTTAAACTATCTTGTCAGTTGTAGTAAAGGTATTATACGAGGTATCGATCATGTACCAAATACACATGCATGGGTGTTTACATACTGCATGGCATATGGATCATAGCGCGCTCGGCGTGGGCCAAGTATCATCGTTCACTGATAATTACACTATATCATCCCCGTCATGCATGCTCTGGATGAACACAACAGCGATGGTAAAGACTAAGGATTGTAGATAACAGACCTACCTATCCAGCGGGCGCACAAGATGACGGGCAGCTACACGGCACCAGGCACTACAGCAGCACAGCACTGAAGTGACGTCAGGTCCCGGAGAAGGCTATCCGCAAGTGCGAAGTGCGCAGCTCTGTGCCGAGAGGTCTGACGGCCCAGTAGCGATCGGCGTGCCCAGTTTAAAGAGTGACTGACAGCTGACGTTTTCAGAGCGAAACGGCGCGCCAAAACAAACCAGCATGCAGCCCCGCGGTCCCCGTATAAACATTTGGGGGCTCTGTCAGAATTGGGTCAACATGAGATTGACATACATGTATGATGAAAAAGCACGTTATCTTATTATAGATCTACTAGATATTTAACATTGTAGACAAATATATGCTTAAAGTAAATCTTAGTCCGTCATTTCATATTTAACTTAGAAATACCAGTAGCGAGAACACCCCCCTCAAAGTACAAACCCCTCCCTCATAGCGCAAACACCACCACCCCCTTATAGCGCAAACACCACCCACCAAAAATTACCATTCACCCATTCTAGGAAACAGAAAGAAATGGAACGGGCAGAATAAGTAGTTATTACATCCTAGTGTGCAAGAACGCTGTCCTATTGCGATTGCACTGAAAACCATTTTATGTTCTTCAAATGGTTTCCGTTTATCTGATAGTACTTAGCCAATATCGATGAAGGAAAAACTAGGTCCAGGTCAAACACACATAGGATCGATGTGCACTGGCGTGGTTATACCTGTGGAAGTCATTATTCTTGTATGATTATAAGAATCTGTCCTAAATCTATAGGCGTTGACAAGACAGCACTTCGTAACCAGGGTGTGAAGGAGGGATTGAATGATGTAAACTTTACCTCGTAATTATATAATGTAACTCAGAAGACCAATGCCTTTTAGACAGATTATGTTAGGGAATTTATTGGTAAATCTAGTCTGTGTTTGCCACCACATTGGACCATTGCGTGATATACATGGGATGTTGACATTTCCAGAGAATTGCATCAATGGCGGCATGACATAAAGGGGAAGAGGAAGGAAGGCACTAGGAATGGAGGAAGGAAGGAAGGAAGGAATGGACAGAAGAAAGAATGGGGTGGATAGCATTTTAGACTAGAGTCCACCCTAATGTCTATAGCAATATATCATGGCCCAGAGGCCCCTTTTGGATTGATTGCTACACAAACCTTTTCTGCTATAGCACTGCCTCCTACATGTACCAATGAATATCATACACAGACCATTCAAATTCCACCTTGACAACACCGATATACAAGTGTGTTTACATCGCTTTATATTGTATCTCACGTTCTGGAACATCCTTAAAGCATCACGCCTGTCGGACGCGTCACAATGGTTTCCAAGGTTCTTGTGAAAACTGACCTGGACAACAGGTCGTACACGCAAACATATCAGATTGGCGGCAAGTGTTTGATTAAAAAATCTTTATACGATGCCGAATTCAGACGAAGCTGACAAAAATGCTCCAGAAAGAGCGAAGAGCACCACCAGCCGGCAGATGACGGTACTGGAGTCGCATGGCTTCCTCCTGGGTCCCACGCTGGGTCACGGTTCGTACGCAGCGGTCAAGGCCGCCTACTCCAACAGACATAAGTGCAAGGTAGCGATCAAGATCGTCTCCAAGAAACGAGCTCCTAACGACTACATCCAGAAGTTCTTACCCAGGGAGATCGACGTCATCAAGATTTTGAAACATCGCAGCCTGATCTGTTTCCTACAGTCCATCGAGACGACAAGGTGAGAGCCAAGTCAGGTCAGGGCATTCAGCGAGACATTGTCGCGGGTGTTTTTTTTTTCAAATGCTGTAATTTTGCGACCTTGGACAAAGTAGCGTTGTAGTTGAAATCATCCGCCCTCTCCCAAGTCTCCTAACAAACGCTTGTTTAAATGGTGGAAAGTTCGACAGGTTGCAATTTTTCAATTGCTTTTCATTTCTTCCCTACAACATCTATTACCCAGTACTACTAATTAATGCACATTCTTACCTTCCAGGTGAAATTTTCCGCTATCCAATTTGGTTTTGTACTTTCCTCTGTGCAGAATGATAGTACTGAGACGTATACGCATTAAATAAATTGGAGATATGTTTTGAGTTATACAAACCTGAAATCTCCGTCTGGCCTCTTAACCAGTCGCGTCTACCTGGTGATGGAGGTAGCGGACAACGGTGATCTCTTGGACCGCATCAAATCCAAATCCTTCATCCCTGAACCCCAGGCCGGCGTCTGGTTCCACCAACTCTTAGACGGGATAGACTACTGCCACCGCAAGGGCGTGGCTCATCGGGATCTCAAATGCGAGAACATCCTCCTCGACGCTAAGGACCACATCAAGATCACGGACTTCGGCTTCGCCAGGGGAGACCTGGAGGCCGTGGACGGTCGGGCGAAGCTGAGTGAGACGTACTGCGGGAGCTACGCGTACGCACCGCCGGAGATCCTGAAGGGCGTGCCGTACGATCCGTTCGTCGCTGACATCTGGAGCATGGGCGTGGTCCTGTTCACTATGATGTACGGGAGACTGCCATACGACGACTCCAACCACAGAACTCTCCTACATCAGGTTTTGTCCTCTAGAAATTTCCTCTATCTGTACCAGGAAGAGTAGTGGTTGTCACTAATTGTCCTTAATAAACAAACAAACAAACAAACGAATCTGTACAAAAGGGGTGATTTTGGAAATCTCGTGCTAATGCTTTTAGTTTATTTTAAAGTAAGTACAATTCTCGAGCCTATCACACTGACATATACTATGAGAGATCAAATATTGAACAACCCATGGTATTACAAATGTACATGGAACGTTTAGCCGGAAAGAGCACAAAATAACTGTTAAATACTCCTTGTTATAGGTCCAAAATCCAGTCGTCTTTCCCAACGCGAAACACACCGTGTCGGAAGACTGCAAAACGATGATCAACAAGATCCTGACCAACGCCAAACGTCGCCTGTACATTGACGGGATCCGCAGAACAGGCTGGTGCCGCAGGGTGGCGCCCGTGCACCAAAACACCCGCAGGTGACATCATACAGTACATAGAGCGTCCTTGGTACAACCATTTCATTATCCTTCTTTATTGGTCACCGACACATAATGTACGTTATTCATAAAAAGCGTATTTCGCCGTAATGGTTGTAACATTTATTCATTGAGATATTGTGTCCACTACTTAAATATGCTACTAGTATGCCATTAACATTCATTTCGAATGCTATTTTCGATACTGATCCTGAGTCTTTCTCTCACCAGAGCCAGCAAAGCAGAAAGTGGCAAAGGAGGGACAAAAGAAGCAGTCAAAGTGTAGTAGATACTGCTGAACAAAATAAAACTGGATCAAAGATGGAAAGAGCATTTGCTAAAACATCAAATAAAAGATCAATAAACTATTTCAGACAGCAACCAGGGCCTACTTTACAGAGCCTTTCCTTTTATCTATGAGTAAGTAAGGTTGGAAAAGCTGATATGGTGTGAAGTTCACTGTTCACCCTTGTATTATTGCATGTCCCTGGGTGCTAGGTTGGGCATCTCCATTTTGTATGAGAGAAGGGGACAATTAAATACAAACTTCTTACAGACTTTTTCATGTAGATTTGTGAAGCATTACCATACAAGTTATGGAACTGATTGCAAGTTTACCACCAGAATATTTTGGTTATGTCTGAAGTGACACACTCCAAAGTTGCTTACCTATACAAACACGAGCCACAAGTCCAGTACCAGATCAGACTTCAGACTTTATTGCTACCAGCCACGAAAAGAAGAATGTTCAATGAAAGCAGTCTCATTATTTCAAAACATGTCACAGTGTTCAGTATTTACATCTGCTGCTTCGAGCACAAAATATGTCTCTAAACTCTAAGCAATATCAATAAATTTCTTGAATGACATCTTTGCCAATAAAAACCCAGGGTCGTACAGACATAACTTTTATAGTAAAGATTGAATTAATACATAGAAAGGACAACCTGTTATTCTGCTCTACTATCATTCCAGTATTCATACATGTGCTTGAGTATACTTGATTAACAAATGTTTCGTTTTTCACTAATGTTTGACACAGATTGCCTTTTCTCCTTTTTTTCATACTTATATTTATGTATTCGTTGCCAAAAAAATAACAATGGGACTTCTTGAAGCTTCTGTATGGAGGCTACTATGTTATAATGTTATAATGTGTTCCTTTGTACTAGACAGACAGTGGGTAAACTGTGTGACAGTGTAGCATCTAGTTTAATCAATCAAGACAAGTTTTACGAGTATGTTCAGTGGCATTTTGTACATTCTGAGTGTCCATAGTTACAACCACGCAAGTCACAGTGTTAATTTCAGTGTATTTCCAGAAATGCACTGTGTCTATATATGTAAAATGTACATAATGTTCTTTGCCCCAGTCTTTAAAAAATTTCTTTGTATCATTCTCATCTATTACCTTCAATATTACACCACTATCAAAAACACCAACCAAAGCCAGGCAGTAGGTTACAGGGCAAGCTGCAATAAAGTATACATATCCAAATACACTTAACTTAAATCACACATCTACATATTCTCTAGTCTGTGTTCCTCAAACTTATCTACACCATACTGAAATTACCAAAAACCAATAGTGATACTTCTGTTTTAGGAAAGGCCTTGAATAAATGCAAATCTGATAGAAATGCAGTGCATAATAATACATATTGTTTTCAATAGATTACATTAGCCCATATGTCACCATTCTGTCTAACCCCTACTAGTATGTCCATGCATCACTCAATGTAAAGTACAGACGGATATAAGATTGGCGCTGACACTTCTATGTTGACAGTGTACATGTATTATAATATTTACAGTGCCTGCCACCATGAATCACAAAGAACTGCAAAAATTCAAAAACACTGAAGAAAAATACTCCAATGTCACGACAGCTAAAAAAAAGTCACACATCATTATGCCAATAAAAAAATCACATGAGACTGAAGGCAATTTGATGGCGATGATTTCTGTGTTGGAATTTGATATCATACATTTACATAAACATGACAGTAGGGGAGAGGAGTTGATATAAGAAACTGAACCAGTGACTATTCAAGCCAAATCCATCTGTTGAGGGTAGTACTGTCCAAATCCATGATACAATTACAGTACTACCAAAGAAGTCAGAAGAGTCATCAAAATTTCCCTACAATAGTAAGTACTGATCATTCTAATTTCTTCCATTAACCAAAGACTTAACAACATCCAAATCACTCCTCAAAAATGACAAGGATTTTGTTCAAAGAAAAGAGATACAATGAAGTTTAAATCATTCAAGTTGTAAGTTTTGGGCACCGTTAAATCTTCTTCACAAGGGGTGGTTTTGCTTTACACTATGCAACCTCACACCAGTAGAGTTTCTGGTATCAACTTTCCTCTGCATCTCTCGAGGGTTGTGACATGGGGCAGGGGGTAAGTTTGTAGGTGCTCATGAGGCCCAGGCCGCCAACTCTTTCATCTCATCATCCTCATCAGCAACTGCTGCTTGTGCTGCGAAGAGGACAAAATACATCAGTCAATTTGAGGTTTACTGCACAACGATTGTAACAGGTACAAAGTATGGCAGATAATAAGATTATTAGCTGGTATGGGTCTAGCAAAATTCTACATATAGATTCAACAGGTATGGCAGAATGTTGAATGGAACTACTGACTAAGAACTACATGTAGTACACCTCTACAAGTACGTGCTAAGCTACACTATACTTTATTTATAAAGAGTAGTTGTATATATACTATTTAGGTTCTATGAGTACTATGCCTTACAGTGTCAACTAAATTACTGGTTAAGATGCATCTAAACTGTCTAAACTACATGACACAGAAGGGGGAACAGGTAATTTTGTTTGCTGACCTGCAGGGATCTTGTGACCAGGCACGGAGGGTAGCTCTTCTGTTGGTGCGTTGATGTCCAGGAGTTTCTCATCCAGGTCTTCCTGTTCAAGCTCCTCCAGTTCTGCCAGGAGGTCATCCTACAGAACACACACATTTCTCAAAGTGCTCTCATTGTCTCTAAACAGTGATCATGCCAAAAGGGAGTCTCTTTAGCATACTTACTAGTACTTACAAGTTTATTGCTCTGATACCTTGCTCTGATATAATTACACAGCTGTGCCAAAAATTTATAGATCTTGTCAAAGTCAAAAGGTATCAAACATGGTGTGTGTGTGTGTGTGTGTGTTAAATGGTTTTGAAGTGTTCCATGTAGTCAGCTGAGCTTGTTGCCTCCACAGTGTTGTACATGTACATGATGTCTATTCCATTCATGTGTGTTTCTGCAACAAACCAAACCAAAGCAGGACAAACTGTCCACATGGCAGCAAGGAATTTGTGATAAAAGAAGCGAGCAAACTAAGATAATTGTTTATTGCAAACATTGGAGTATGGCTAACACAATTGGCACAGTCAACTTGGAGTTAAATCAAAAACAGATGCATGTTAATACATTTTGTACTTATACAATATCACAGCTAAAAGAATTGTCCTGTGATTTGTGTTGGTTGCCCTTGCATGTAGAAATTGCACATGGATTGCAGCAGTGCTTCTGGTTAACATTGTGCACCTCACCTCATCCACATCTTCCCCAAATCCCACCGGTTTTGAGATTGCGTCTGAGATTTCCTGAGCCAGATCTTGCTGTTCCTGGATGTCTGCCATGAGGTCATCCACTGTATCTATGTCTCTGTTAGGAAGAAACAAAAAATGGCACGAGGCCATCTAACTACACTGTCTCTAGCGAGGTATGTGTCCCCATACAACATGGAAGGCAGTCTCAACCATTCAGGGCATGTCAGAGTCTCAATTTCAAGGATTTTGATGATCACTGTAAAAAGTGTCATGTATTATAACCTTTGCAACAAACACTTTTGAGCCAATATAGTTGGAATGAATGACATGTCCTGTAATGCTTTTGAGCAGGGGTTGAGCCTTCCACGTTTTCACAGGGAAAACACCTCTACAACATGGCCTCACCTCATCAACATCCTCCCCAAAGCCTACAGGTTTGGAGATGGCATCAGAGATCTCCTGTGCAATGTCCTGCTGTTCCTGTATGTCTGCCATCAGGTCGTCGACCTGGTCCACATCCCTGTGGGTGGGCGCAGGGGTCAGAGGTCGAAGCAACACAGGGGATCATGGGAGGACATGGGGGTGACAGTTCACAGAAGGTGGATGGAGAGGGAGGGAGGCACAAAGATGAATGATGAGCAGACAACATTGGTGGGATATGCATGACAAACATGGGGTTGGCACTCTTGCCTTTGGCTGAAGATTAGTGGTGCAATAACTCATAATTAGTATTGAAATCTTTGCAACAACAATCTGTTGACAGTTATTTTGGAAAACATGACATGCAAGCTTGGTACCTGTTATTATTACAGTATCATGTGACCTTGTCCCTTAGTAAATCAATAAATCTGAAAAAGTCAATACAGTATTGTGTGTGTGTGTGCTGATAACTGTTCAAAGTATGATTAGGATTATTGCACCATCATCTTTAGCTGGCAACTGAGTAAATATATACCACCACCACTCACACTTCTGATAGGTATGTACAGTTGTATTCAGACATAAAATCATCTTGCAAATTGGTACCCCTGATTTTACTTTGCAACAATTCAATTTACCATTAGATATTTTAGACAAAGGAATGGAGAATGATGATTCAGCAAATGTTAGCTTCAAAGCAGGAGAAATTGTCTACTAATTTTTTCCCAAAACACCACAAAGGTAAGCGTTACACAGACATGCACAAAAGCACTTGTGATTAGTGGCATCACAGTTGTAATCATGGCAATGTTGAGACAGACACAGACACAAACACAGAGGCAGCGGCAGCAGATGACAGGGCAGAAGTGTTGGCGTGAGTTTGCATGGAGCTTAAGGGTTTCGGACATTGCACAGGAGAGGTTCTATATTGTATGCCACTGTTGTGGACTATAGACCCACCCCAAAGGAAAATGCTTGTATTAGTATCCAAGTTCCAACACAATGGTTGAAACTACAAGTGTATATGAGCATGTGAGATCTAGTACGGGCTGGAAAATAGGTGCTTACTGCCACCCACAAAAACTATTTTTCTAATGTTACTAGTCTACAAAAACTTGGACAGGCAAGATTTAACTCCAAGGCAGCTAGAGCATCACAAAGATATTAGATGTCTTAGATAAAGATTGAATGATAAGTGCATATCTAAAAACTGTATTAATATTTAAATCCCATGTCATGTAAATACCATTTATATGACATAAGAAACAAGCAAATGTTACGAGCATCACGTGTATAAAAAAGTTACCGGTAATAATTTCAATCATAAAACACAAACGTTTTGTAATATCAAACAGAAACTATGTAAAGACTGTTAACTGTCTCTGAATGCATGTGAACTCACAAGTGTTGGTGAGCCGCTTTCAGAGCCTTTGCTGCATAGCCCATTGTCTTCAGCACTTCTGTGTTGGTGTTGGCATTCTCCAGTGCTTCCCTCTGGAACTCGATGGTGGACAGTGTACCGTCGATCTGAGTCAACTGCTTCTCGTAACGCTTCTTCCTCTTCAGAGCCTGCAGTGCAACTGGTACAAGGACAGTACATTGTATTTCTATTAAATGTCGACTGTGACGATCTCGAAAAGAGAAGGGCTTGCCACAGCATGTGCGAAGTTACTGCGAACCATGTCCCAATGCAACCTGCACTGATCCATTCGATTGATGACTTATCTAAAGACTAGTGTAACTGACTGTTGGCTTATTTTATGTGATTCAGGTTTTGCAGTCTTGGTCTTTGCAGATGGGCCCTTGACAAGTGAAAGTGGTGGCACAAAAAGACAGTGTTTGTAATTCCCATGAATTGAACTGCAGAAATAACAAGTTGTTTTTGGAGATGATGAAATTGAATTTTCACCAATATATTTTCCACCATGGATGTCATTAAGCACCCCCCCCCCCAAATGTCGGACCATCAACATTTAATACGTCATCGTTATCCCATCATGTGATGTTGAACCAGGGTTCACCTAACTCAAAGCAAACACCGCAGTGGGAGGGGCGGCAGACTACAGATTCCTCAGGACACGCTAAAATCTATATCAAGTCTGACTGTACGTGATCGGACTGCTACTCGAAGATGAATTTATTGTTGTCTTGCCTCTAAATTCAGATAAATAGACAGATGTGCTGCTAAAACTAGAAAATTACTCTGGAATGTTGGGCTTGTTCCTCAAAACAACAAAGAAGACAACAGATCTGGTTCACTTCCGTGTTTGTGACACGTAGTTAGCAGCTTCGTCACAACACCTTTAATCATTTCCAACGTTAACATTTTCTATCGTCGATCGAAATATGATTTATGCAGTTGTTTATAAATTATTATTTTTGGACGTAAATATATAGGCGTATCTACTGGAAGACGGCCAGGACCAGGACACACTCCTATCACTAGTCAAGACCAAAACAACCAGCAAAAGTCGATATAAATAGCGATCAGAGATTTTTTGAAAATAACAACATATGGCCTAAGAGCAATGGCATCATATAGAATAAACACTAAAACATAAAATATTACCTCTCTTGTTCTTTGTGCCGTTCTTTTTTGCTATCGCTAACTCCTTTTGGACCTTAGACTCCAAAAATTCCGATTTCTTTTCTAACATCTCCTCGGTCTCCCTCAACTTCTGGATGGCTTCTCCCGGCGTCGGCTGGGCCTGCTTCTTGCCACCGCCAAACATCTTCGCTATGAGACTCATGTTGCCTGTCTATTGTGTGAAAACTTCCTTAGAGTGAGTAGAAGTCGTTGATTCTTGCGTAAAACCTGAGGAAGCTTGTCCAGCTGAGTCTTCAGCAAAAAATAGTCAATGGCATCATCAGTGTAAAGCGCATGCGCACGATGTGTTTAAATCCCATGATGCTTTGCGCGAAGTGAGTCACTTCCGGGTTTGACTCAGAAAGTTTTTGGACTGATCAGCTGATCTTCATTATTTTCTTGTGCTTAAAAAATAATATTTCGTCTTCAAGCGACAGAACACAGGGCACAGGAATGGCTCATGGTAAGCTGCATATGTTAGTGTCTATCTGATTCGTCAATCAAATGCAACATGAACCGTTGGTTCAAATCTTTGTCACTCACTATAGTCCTGTCATGAAACTTATGAAAATTTGATAGCAGTTAACTTTTATTCAACAAAATACATTATGGATAAACCACCATGTTAACATGATTTATTAACCATTTTTGGATTCCTTCAGCCGTAGTTAGGTTTAGATACATGGTAGAGTGCTCTGTTTCATGTAGATTAATTGACAGCTAAGCCATACTACTGTACAGCATATAGGCAATTAATTTTTCAAGGTTCAATAGATGTTGTATTCCCCTAAGAATATTTTAGGTCCTGTACAAAATTTCATGTTGGCAATGGTGTCAAGAACATTTTAAACTTGCCTCCCAAGCCCAGCCAGTCCAGGACCTTCCCTATGTCTCCTGGACTGATATTAAACTGGACAGGAAGATAGGAGAGGGGACCTTTGGTACAGTACACCTGGGGACACTAGGGAAGGAGACAGTTGCAATCAAGGTGCTGGCCTTCGAAGAATATCCTCCAGACCTCAGGTAACAATACTATACCCCTGCCACCTGGAATACTTTGATTTTTATATTAATAGGAAAATATCCTTGCTGTGATTATCATGTTACTTTTCTCCATAATAATATATCTGACTTTCTTCCTGCCCTGCTGTATTCCTGTCCATAGATGCACATATCTATCATTCATTCCATATATAGCACAATTTAGAGCCTTGAGGTAATGATGATGTTGTAAGCCCACATTCATACGTAGCCCTTTTTGTGAATTACAGTGAACCATCTAATCTTCTGGCTGAGAACCTGAGAGAGGAGGCACAAGTCATGCTGCAGATACAAACAGAAAATGTGGTGAAGTTGAAAGGAGTATGCATGGACAAAGGTACATACTAGTACAGGGGCTCCTCTAGAGATCTTGTAACATGTCAAATTTGAATTGGAACTTTACAGAAGGAAGGACAGACCTTCTCAAATGAACTATTCTAGACTGGTAGATCCTCAACATTCCTCTTTGTTTTCTCTCAACAACTCCCATTTGCCTTTTTTTTCCACTTAGGACATTACTCCATAATCATGGAGTACATGCCTAGAGGAACACTTCCAGATGTCCTACAGAATTTAGACAGACAGCTGTCCTGGCCAGAACGTCTCCTGATGTGTCTGGACGCTGCCCGCGGTCTCAGGACCATCCACCATCCTCATGGCAACATTCCGGCCAGGCTACACGGTCATCTCAGCTCGGACGCCTTCCTGGTCAACAATGAGCTCAGGGTCAAGGTTTGTGCCTTACTACAGAGCTGTATACTAGAGCATAGATGTATCTGCCATGAACATGTGTACAAGGGCCAAGTATATTTGTTCTAGCCTCCACCAGGCACTCCGAAGGGTTGTACATACATTTGTAGAATAAATCAGCAAAAAGACTAGGAAAGACTATATCGATAATTGCCAGAGGAGCAAGCTGTGATAAGAGTAACATGACTGCACAGCCAAATATGAAGTCCCCTGGAAAATTCTCCAAATAACCATAGAAGTTAGCCTGGGTGCCATCCGGTTGCTGTTACAAATTGGATGGCACCAAGGCTACTCATTTCAAGGATTACGACATACCTGGTACAACCTGTAGGGCTATTGGTTTTAAGATATCTTCTTTTTTTTAATGACTTTGTAGCTGTCTGACTTCTGCACAACCAAGACAAGGTCATCTATCAAGAGGAAAGGTCGGCGTGGTCGCAGGAGCACAGTCGCCTACCTGGCTCCAGAACACCTGAAGGAGATCCACGAAGCTCCAGATTATTCCTCAGAAGTGTACAGGTAGGTCATCAGGAAATATCATGTTTGTACGAACTGAAAGCAAGAATATTGGTATAGCTTTTGGCTTTAATGAAGTCTTTTTAGACCATTGATAACCAAGGTCAGTACCAAGTTTTTAGTTGTATGCTACTAAGTTACATTCTAAATCTCAAATCACTTCTTTACAGTTTTGGTGTCATCATGTGGGAGATAGTATCCCAGAGAATAGCACATCAAGGTAGGAACTTTTGTTGCATTCTACTTTCTGATAATCTGATTCAAGTTCATGCTTCAACCTGAAGTATAAAGTTGTTGAATGAAACATGAAGAAAAGGTAAGTTTTAAAAATTTCAATGAGTTACCTGTCTTTGTTGTCACTCAATAGAAAGACGAGGAACAAATGAGTCATCAATCCGCAGATTTGTGTTGGAAGAAGAAGGAAGTGAAGATTTGCCAGCTGACTGCAGTCCACAGCTGAAAGACATCATAGACAAATGCAGGAGCCATGAACCAGCGAATAGACCACAGATGACAGGTAAATAGACTCAAGCTAACACATCATTATCACTAATATTTGTCTGAAAGATTGATTGCACCCAAGGTAAAACAACCTCGAAAGTGTATAAAGTATATCTAGGATAGTACATGTACCAATAAGAATAGTACCAGTATCATTAAGTGCAGTAATACCTATCGGTAGCATTTTCTGCTATAGCACAACTTTGCATATATGTAAAGGTTAACTTCACTATTGGTATGAAATTTTATCTGTGTTAGCAAATAACATTATGAGATGCTATATACATAAAAGGTGAAATATTTTGCCCATGTTATGCCATTATTCTGAGAGTGTACTGTTTTTATTTTGCAGTTGTAGTGACCATCTTGGAGGCCCTCAGTGGGACTTGTAGATCTTCTGAATGACTTCATTGAACCAGGAGCAATTAATAATGTATCAGTAGTGAAGCAGACTTCCTCATCTACTCTATCAGAAGATCATTATAAAACTCGCAGAAAACTATTTTAGTAGTTTAAAGTTGCATATTGTAAATACACAAGAGGGTCAGGGTATTATCATTTTTAATGTTGTATGTTGTAAATATGTGTAGTTAGAAGTGTTATTCTTGTTTGCAAATCATCCTCACAAAAGTATTCTCATCAGTTACATTCCCAGTATGAAGTCTATTTTGAATTTATATTTATAAGTTACATTAAGTGTTATGATCAGGATATCAAATTGTGACCTTAATCATGAAGAAGGTTACTGGGAGATTGACAATATTGCCAATAAGTTTGTCATTGTGATGCTTGTACAATAAATATATTGTAAGGCATGGACTATTGAGAATGATGAGTGTGTTTGTTTGTTTGTTTATTTGTTTGAATTATTGCATCAATGCTATGAGTGCTGTTAGTTAATTAGCTGTAATTGATAGCTCAACTAATTGGACATTATATGTTTTTGTATGCCCTTTTCTTAAAGTGCCTTTAGGTACCCTACAATGACATTCTGTATATTTATGTATAGTTGTCTACTTCTCTCTAGTCCTGGGTGTGACCAAGGAGGTTCAAAAAGGAAGACATAAAAGATACCTTGAGAAAGCTGTGTCAAAATGTGAAATTCCAACCTTGCATATAGAAAAAGACGTGTTCTGTCGAAAAATATCAAGTAAAAGTTATTGTAAATTGTTAATGTCAATAAAAAATGTATTTCATGATGCCCATCTGAATTTATTTCGTCATCAATGCAAGGAAAGAGCTGTCATCATGAAATTGATATTTCATTAATTGCAAAGAAAACTTTTTTGTAGGACAGAATTTTAATAGTGTCCGATCCAGTTGTAAACATACGTGTAACGTGCTGATTTAGTTTGCAAACCGCGGTGTATTTCCCGAGATCCTTTGCGGGACAACCTCAGTCATAGCTCTTCCGGGTTTATAGTAGTAACAGCCCGGACGCCTAGTACATAGGGTCGTGACAGAAGTAAAACAGAAGTGAATTCGAACTGATACAGCAACTATATACGCGCTACTCTGACGGGCTACGCACACGGAAATGGCCACTAGAGGTAGGGGAAGTATAACAGGTGCATCGATTCGGATTTGTGATAGCCTTACTTCACACTGAACGATATGCCTGTGGTGTAAAATCTTACTTTCGTTTTCAGTTGTTTTGATCAGAACAAGGGGGTTTAAAATGCCTTCAGGCTCCTTGATCAGAACCAACATTATCGAACCATTCACGGATACACTAGATTTCAGGTATTATACCTCAAATGGCGAAATAATATGTTAAGGCCTAGGAAAAAAAATGTTGTGTTTCCGGTTACCCGACCGACCCTATGAAAAACCCCCCGACCCTAGCCTTTTTTGGGCCGACCAAAAATTTCGAGCGGCTAGCGGTCGGTTTTCAAAATTGGGGGTTTTATCCCCGATAAATGTGCTCGTCATTACAATTTTCTTCGGTCGGGCGGCGTGGATCGAGCGCTAATTGCACGGGTCGGGCCGCTATTCATAATTTCCATTGTTGGCACAATCCTGTGAATTGACGATGAATTGTCGATCTCGCCATGACGCCGCAAAGAAAACGTTGTCATTGGTAGAAAATCTGACACCCCGCTGGCGTTTCACAACAAAATTTTCTGTAAACAACTCCGACTGTCTTTGTTTACATCGCGAAAGCTCACCGATACAAAGTAAAACTCCCGCCGGCCGGCCGCGCCCGACCACATGGTTGCGGCATGGCGCTAAGTTTTCGGCAGCTCGACGGAAAAATAATCCATCCCCAGAAGAAATGTTACGCATGAAAATAGCAACTACAACTTGTTTTCCTCGTTATATGAGTTTTTGAGGCCGTAAAATGTTTAAAACGGTTGAAATTTGCTCGAAAAAACGGCTCGAAAATTGACGGCGAGAAAGACAACATGGCCGACCTGTTTTCACAATAACAATGGTCAAAGGTCAAGATAGCATCCAAATGTATAGATACATGTAATAAGTACATATTACAGTGCTAAAACGATACTTTAAACAATGAAAAATATTTTTTTCGGCTACAACTGAAATAAAATTCACTTATATTTTAGTAAGGTTAATTTTTAAACATTACTGAGAAATTTTCCGAATTTATTGGTTTATTGTGTAATATTTTTGTTTCTATGTATGTGCGGTTGGATGCTGTCATTGTAAAGACCCTTACATAATTGGGAGAATCAGATGAGATATTAGAGATTATCACGCTTAGTACCGTGACCCGAGTGTCTCTCAAAAATTGTTTTTGAGTGGAGTTTATAAACATGATCACATTTTTATTTGTTCAGCTGTGTCAATATGTGATTTGTTTGAGAAATAGGATTTGGTTTAGTTTTTAATATATTAATGTCAGTTAACATCTTTGGAATAAATTGCTCCAAGTTCCAGGTAGTAAATACATGTACATTTTGTATCATGTATTTTTCACTTGTTGAACTTGTGGAAGCACCGTTGGCCCCCGGTTTGGGGTCATCCGGGGAACCTATGCCCAATTTTTTAAAAATTAAGGGTGATAATAGAATTTTTTTGAACATGAGGATAATTAAGTACAGATCTTGAACCTTTCTACTGCCTTATACATCTGCAGTTGTACAGAAAATGTAGAACTGAAGTTGCAGGAAATGACCTCCATTTGTGTTTGGAAAAGACAAAATGCGGAGGGGGGGGAAAAACCCCGTCCAGACCTCCCCTTCGCACCCTCCTCCACCCTGCTCTGAATTCCTGGGGGAGATCCCTGTATATACAAACTCTTTTGTTGAAGAATTTTACGATCTGTTTTGTACTGCCCAATTTTCTGTGTAGTACAAAGAGATCATACGTTCATTGTCCCGGCTTTCACTAAAAAAAAAAAAAAAAAAAAAAAAAAGGGAAATCCCTACCTACCGACCTAATTTTTCTGGACTGTAATAGGAAACACAACATTTATTTTGTTAGGCCTAAGATACAAGTACCAAAAGTCGTTGGATTTCCCTGCTAACTGCACTATGAGGCCAAATTGAATATCATATAATATAGCCTCGACGTTTGGTATGTTTTGTTTTTCTAGCATGTCTAAGTTCATAATACATCTGTACTGTGATTGATGTTAACTTTCCTCGACTCTCATAGATCAGTTCAAACATAACCGGATAAACATTTAATGGTATTTTAAGGCCCCGTCTGCGCACCCTCCGACGACGTAACCCACATCAACAGCAACGATATACGTGTGCTGAAAGATATAGGACCAGGGACGTTTGGGACCGTGCACCTGGCTGATTACAATGGTCAACAGGTGGCTATCAAGAAGCTGGGGTTCGAAGACTACCCATGGCACCTCCCGTAAGTCTGGATTTACAGCTTGGTTCGTTTTGACGCACGTATTGAGCTATCCCACGTTTATGTGTACGTTTATCTATCAGTAGTGCCTTATTGTTTGTGGGTAGAACAATATTTGTACGGCAAGGTCAGAGGTTGTTTGTACTGGCACTCACGTCACTTTACAAAACTGTACTCCACTCCAATGTTAAGTTAAACATAAATTTAGTTGTAACTTGTCGCTACTGCAGCACGCAGACATTTATGTTGGACTGTTTATACATTACCATAAAACAACCAGCATGATGTTAATAAATGACCATCATGATGTTGTACAGTGAGCCGACGAGGTATTTGCGGAAGAGCTTACTGGAAGAAGCGGCGGTCATGCAGCAGATACAGACCGAGAACGTGGTTCGGCTGTTCGGCGTGTGTTTAGAACCCGGTAGGTAACCTTAAATATTGAACAACAATGACATTGTGATATATCCTGCTGCTATCATGTCCTTAACTTGCTGCAAAGTTGCGAAGAGCAAACAACATGAAACCAAGTTACCCGTGTTGTATCTAAAATAAATATGTACGTCTTTACACAGCAAACTATTTTATCATCATGGAGTACATGCCGAGAGGATCACTGCTCGTCCTTCTCCTCAGCAACACCCCCTTATCATGGCCACAGCTCCTGCAGTTCAGCACAGATGCCGCCAGGGGTCTCTGTGCCCTCCATCACCCAAGCAACTGTCCACAGAGAGTTCACGGTAACTTGACGACATCAACATATCTCCTTGATGCCAACATGCGAGTTAAGGTACATATTGCTGGTTATACTACTCTCCATAAACATGTAGAGCCACTTCTATGTATATTGTCACGTTCCTAAAGTCAAAGTCCTCTTTAGCATAGTGTACAGTTTCAAACATACTGGTACACCATTTTGTCTTCGGACAGCTTTCAGACTTCTGTGCTACGAAGACGAAGTCGTCGGTCAAAAGATACACCAAGTTCAGGCGAGGAAGAAGCACAGTCGCTTACGTCGCGCCGGAGAATCTTAGAGATATCAACGCAACGCAGACTGCGGCTTCAGAGGTGTTCAGGTTAGTGATTTGTATTGCAGGAGTTGTTGTGTAAATAGCTCTCTCGACTCGTGCATTATAAATTAATTCTGTCCCAGTCTATAGGCTTTGTCATTTTAGTCATTTATTCCAAACTTTGTGACTTGATGTCGATTATCTGCCTTAAGACTTAAATCTTAATTCTGTCTTCTGTTCTATTTTCAGCTTCGGTATTGTTCTGTGGGAGATAGCATGCAGGAAAATTGCACATGAAGGTAATCAACGTTGCATCTACAATCATTTTCTCATAATTTGCACACATGCAGGTACATGCATGGATATACATGGTTTTAACCCTTGGTGGTGATAGTCGTTATGTTGTTGTAATGTCTATTTTTACATTTTTAGATATAAGGTACGATGAGAAACAGATTCACAAGTTCGTCCTGGAGGAGAGAAGAACACAGGCTATACCCGCCAACTGTAACAGCTCTCTCGCCGCTATCATAGAAAGATGTAGGAATTTTGAAGAAACAAAGCGACCGACAATGCAGGGTAAAAAGTTTTCTGTTACCACATCCTTTACTGAAAAATCACGTACATAATATTGTTCACTCTACAATCAGAAATACTTTAATAGGCTTGTGTCTTTTCAGAAGTCAAAATTAGTGTGATCAAGGAGCTTTCATCAATGTCCTTGGTGTGATGATGTTAATTGGCAATAGTAATATTTGTCATGTGTAACGTCATGACATATGTCATATTCCTTGTCCTATGTGTAACGTCGTATGTCATATTCCTTGTTCTAAATTCCACTTTAAATTTAGTAAATTTCGTGCTCAGAATTATTTATTCCACGATTTCCCTTGACGTGTTTTATTGAATGAATGAATGAAAGACCTTTATTGCACATTTATGCTCTTTCGAGCTAAGTACAGGTCATGAAGACAAACTAAATAATACTATTGTTTACAGGATCGACTTCTTCTCGCTTCTTAAAACAATTGTAGATGAATGAACATATAGAACTTACAAAACACGGCTTGTCTAATTTCATAAGATATATATATTTATTTGCAGAGGTGGTCAAGCTGTTGGAAAGTGCCCTGCTGACCTGTCCATCGTCATGACTGGCTCTCTTCTTCCCATTAAACTAAAGCCTGAATGGAGGGAGGGGTGGTCAGTCCAAGCTTGACACGCGTGGCAGCTAGTGTAGTCAGGTGTTGACATCTTATACTGATCGTTAGAGACTAAATAATGTGTATTGTGTAACGTTATGTCTGCCCAAGAGCTTGTTTGTGACAATCTTTCTGATGTAAGTATATGTTTTGTGTATAATTAAAGTCTGACACATATCCAGTATCAAAAAACATTTTCAAAAGCGATATGTACATGTAGTACTCAAAGTACGACATGTGTAAACGAAAGATGTTAATAATGTTTAATGAATGAAGACGTAGGCCTTAAGAACACGATACGAGAATGCGCGTCTTTAGTCTATCTTTAAAAAAAGGGTTCACTTAGGACTGGAGTAGCCTGACTGAACCTCGCTTTTCGCCGGCTCCCTAGTAGTCCGCCACCCACTTGGGTGGCGAACTATGTAGGGAGCGCCCCGGAGCTTGGGTTTCACAGGCTAGGACTGGAGTTTTATTGAGTCGATCTGTAAAAAACAAACAATTAAAACAAATGGTATGTAAAACACTAGAGTTCCACGATCTCATACTCTCGCAAATACATCACCCTGGACTGTTATTTTATTATGACGTTATTTATAGTCTTTGCGTCAGGTCAGCTGTCAACCCGTTCTTAAACATCATAGCACACTGTAAAAGTATCAAACAGATGTCAACGTCGCGACTGGCACACCTGCAATGAGCTTACTTTAATCAATTAAAACAGCATGTATCAATCTTTTGAAGTGCAAGTTATAGGTTTCTCCTAGTCGTAAGGCCATCCTCACTTCCAGTGAACAGAAAATGTTATTGCGTTTGGGGGTCACAAGTTAATTCGTAATGTAAACATTGATAGTTACACGCTTCCCAAGATCCTTTGCTCGTCGCGGAACGAATAGTAGGTCACTGGACACATTTCAGCACCAAGGGCAGGGATAGTACTGTCACTGAACACATTTCAGCACCAAGGGCAGGGATAGTACTGTCACTGAACACATTTCAGCACCAAGGACAGGGATAGTACTGTCACTGAACACATTTCAGCACATAGGACAGGGATAGTACTGTCACAGAACACATTTCAGCACCAAGGACATGGATAGTATATCCAAGTTTCTTGCCCCCGTTGAAACGTTTATTCAGTTTTAATGACGGCGTATTGTCCGGAAGGAAGTTTAATCGGCAACGAAACCTACACGTACCGTACTGTCCGACCTATATCTGGTTCTGAAAATAAGAACATTGATGTTGCAATAGCGGATGCCCTGTCCCATTTCCTAAACCGCCGGGGGGCGCTTCACCATTTGGGACCTCGAACCCACCCAGAAGCGAGGATTTTCAGACCAAAACTCACAACAACAAGAATTCGGAGATCTCATACCTCCATGACATACATGAGGTTTTGTAAATGTTTATGATTTGTCTCACTGACTATGGAAATAAGGTCGTAATTAGCGTAATCTAGTTCAATTTATGGTTTTCGAAATTCAAATGACAACATTTTTCGTGTAAAATTCCTCAACATGTCTTCATTGATTATGCAAATTTGGGCGCAAGGATACCCGAAAGTGAGAATCCAGGCCAAAATCAATCATCAACCGAAAAAAACACCACTACTGTTATTACTTTTCAGCCATACTAGTATCTAATATCATTTCAAAGCAGATTAAGAGAAATGCTCTTCCCCACACCCCACTGGTAGACCTCCCTGCTCTTCCCCACACCCCACTGGTAGACCTCCCTGCTCTTCCCCACACCCCACTGGTAGACCTCCCTGCTCTTCCCCACACCCCACTGGTAGACCTCCCTGCTCTTCCCCACACCCCACTGGTAGACCTCCCTGCTCTTCCCCACACCCCACTGGTAGACCTCCCTGCCCTTCCCAACACCCCACTGGTAGACCTCCCTGCTCTTCTGTGTAAACAAAACAGATTATTCGAAAACATGTTTCTGCAAGGAGTCAAAGATAAATCTTATCCTGACATAAATTGAACGTTAACGTTATGAAAAGAAACATTATGGGCATGAATCAATGTTACGCCTTCAAGTATATCGGTAAATATATAACTGCGATCGCCAAGTTAGATATTTGCAACTTTGACACCTCTTCCCTCCTGTGTGAAAATGATGGAAAAAAGTCCTGAATCGTCTGCTACCTTCCTCATTGACGGGACTGACTGCTAAAAAGTTAGAGCCGGAGAGCGCATGCTTGTATTGTGAAGGTAGGTGAGCTGAATTATGCTTGTAATTCATCGCCTTGTCCTCTGGAACACCTCCGTATGCTGCAGGTTTACTGTTGATAGCTAAATGCAGTTGCCGTTGTGGAAATGTTACGTGCCAGACGACGTCCACATCGCAGTCAGGAAAGGGGGAGGGGGGCTCACATGTGGGGAAAGTTTTGACGCGGGCTGAGTTAACCCAGAATAGTGTCGAATTTCAAGTAACGTATGTTGGGGATAACATCTTCTGGTGTTGACAAATTTGTGTCCTAACGTTGTACATGCATGCGCATGTCATGTCAACAAAACAAAACAAACAAACAAAACATGGTTTTGAGAGCGCTGCATAATTTGCACGTGAATGTGAGCCACAGTGTAGGGTTGGGGTTTTGAATTTATTTTATTAATTTTCCTCTTCCCATTCTTCATTTTGACAAGGCAGTGTGGGTTAAGATTTCCCCCCTATTTTTTGTGTCTCCTTTCTAACCTGATACACTAAATACTTTATCTATAGCTTTATTGGAGAGTTGACAACTACCTGCCACATCTTGGATTCTATACAGCTAGTTTACAGAATATGCAAATTGATTTTTAGATACGCTATAGTCATATAGTCTGTGTAGTGCAAACTCTGCCGTCTGCGGCTTTAGTGGCCCTCCCCGCGTTTTCCGTGGCCAACTGAATGTTGTACAGGCCGCCAACCGTAAAGCGATTTAATCAGGGATCTAAGACGAATACAACATTTCAGATACAGCTATGGAGTCGTCGGATGTTGAGATGGACTGGGCAGAGGAGACTGGCTGTGTGGAATGGGTCAGCATCAGTTGTGGACGTGGGACATGGGAGCGGGTGGAGGTAAAACAACACCAGTCATACAAAAGTTCCTCGGCAACAACTGGAAAGAGATCATCAAAGAAGGAGAGGAAAAAAGATAAAAGCAAGAGAGTAGCTGAGGATGGGAGTGAGCTTGACATGTCACACAGTTTGGGCTTTGGACAAGAACAAATTAAAGGTGCTAGCGTTGATCTGCATTCTGAAGTTACGAGCAGTGCACATAGTAGCCACAGAAAAAAGAGAGTAAAGATACAGGATGACAAACAGGATGAATCTATTCCAGACCGCTACATCACAGAGCATTCAGATAAACACAGCAAGCGTGAAGGAAAGAGACGACACAGGGAAAGAACAGAGCAGCGATGGAGGGATGAAAGGAGAAGGACAGGGAAATTACCAGTTAATTATTTGCATAGTGGAAAGAAAAGTAGAGGAGACAGTGAATTACGGCGGCACAATAACAGAGGAAGAGGGAGTTTAGATGATAATAGAGATAAAGAAAAGCATGCAAAGCATCGTAAACATAGGCTAAGCATTAGTCATCCCAAGAGAAAAGAGGTATCAAAGACAAAGACTAAAAATTACGAAGGGAAAGAGCACAAGAATGACGACCACAATGAGCTGGAAATCGATGGTTTTGTAATGGGAGAAAACAGTGTAAGCAACTCTAACCTTGAGGAGAAACAGTGTGCTTTCACTGAGGCATGTAGTAAAAAGGAAGATGAGAAAGACATTCTCCCAGGAAAATACGAAGATGGACTTGACGTAGAAGTTGCTAAAAGGCCTAGAAGTCTCCAGAGCACCCCCGACTATTCCAAGCATAGCAATGAAGCATTTAAGCAAGAACCACAGTGTAACAATGTATCTGTAGCTGTGCAGGCTGACGGCGATGAAATGATACAGATGGGAGAGATAAAAGAAACGTCTTCAGCTGGAACTCAAACAGAATTGAACAGTGAATGGTCCGCGGATGTTTCCATACAGACTAATCAAACGGAGTGGCTGAGAGACTTCTCGGTACAAGCATCTTCTGTTGTACACTCAATGCACACCCAGACAAGTGCGGATGAACAGAAGTCCCATTCAACAAGTGAACCTCAAGTGCAAGTTGTAGGGTGTCAAACTGATCTGCCTGCTCTGGTTGGAACTCCTGCAGCGTCCCGTAATGCAGGCGTACAGGTGAAGAATGACTATTGGTCCAGTGAACAAGGAACGCAGACTACGCCACAGACAGTACATTCCGTACCCTGTCAGACGGCTTTCATGGACACGGATACTAAAGACACAGGTCGTACATCAAGCGATACTGACATCGGGCCGGCGCCGCCACATTCACAAGTAGCAGATCCGCGGATGTTCACCGCAGCTGGTGCTGAACAGCCTTCCGTTGGCAAACGCGAGGAAAATCACACTGTATGTTGTTACGACAGGCGAGCCGACGAAATACTATCGCAACATTCCGACCGAAATTCGGAATCTAACAGGAATATTGACCCAGACGGAGAAACATCGGAGCTCCATCAACCCCGGGTTAACCCGATTGTGTCTCCACCTCCGGCTGGATGGCCCGTAGATGGTTCAGACCTCCCGAGGCTGCTGGAAGCTTACCGGATTCTCTACAATCATTATGTCGCTTTCCCCACAGAAGGTTCTTCTAGTGGCACACGTACCGTCTTGCCAGTGGGACATGCTGCCGTGACTACCGCTGATACGAAAGAAGTTACTAGCACCGCAAAACCGCTTCTAGTCTCCACGACTGAAATGTCTTACATTAATGGTATCGGAGAGACTGTTGGTGTGTGCAAATCCTCAAGAAAGGAACGCTGTGATGGGATTGAAGGTAATCTGGTACCTGACACCGAGGATGGATGGGACGGCGCACCCATACCAGCAAATGAAGAACTGGCACGAAAAGAAGCCGACTGCACTATGGTGAATGATTCTGAAGTAAGCGAAGATCCTGTAGATTTGTTCTGCGTGAGAGATGCTCTTCACGAAAAAAAGTGTGCAACAAACGTCCTTCATTCTGGAGATAATCAAGTGGACAGCAAAACTACTAAGCTGCTACTGAAAGACGGGAATGAGTCTCCTGGAATCAGTTCACTGGATGCAGCCGAAGTGTTATTTGCGATGTCCAAAAATGTACCGAAGAGCAGCAGTAAAGACCCATACAATGATATGATGGAAGACGACGGTGGCTGCGAAGGTGTGAAGTTCCTTGGGTGTTGTCAACCCGAGTATCCAGCTGGAGATTGTAGCCGTCCAGATTCATACATCCAAGGAAATACTGAACCGTATGTAGAGATCCCGCATTCATCTGGTCAAAGTAAAGAGTCTGGCAATGTAGACACGGCGATTTGTAAAGCCTCGGTGTCTTCAATGGAGTTCGCGCCTGAAGAGGAGGTGTTTGGTACAGTGTGCGGTGTGACACCCTCGCTGTCTCCCAGGACTCCAGTGCGAGACAAACCGCTGTGTCTCCAACCAGAAGGGAACCAGGCTCTGTGCCGTGCACCTGTCAGTGAACCGGACACTGACGCGGAAATGACGCCAGAGAAAGAGTACGACCAGTCTTTCACCGTCACCACCAGACAACAATGGAAGAACTTCGTGTCTGCGATGCAAGTTCAGACGCGACTAAAGAAAGAATCTGTCGAAGCAGACCGTACAAAACTCCGTGATTCACTCAAACAAAGGAAGGAGGAAGAGGAGACAGAGTCACTAGAATCGAAGGAGAAATCGTCATATCAATCGGAAAGAAACATTCAACCCAGTTCTAAGAACTCACGACCCTTAAGTGACAATAAACTACAGACGGGCAAAGCAGGCCCAACCGGAGTGAGATCTTCATACACCTGCCAGATATGCAAAAAGAAGTTTAAAAGTTACGCCAGGTTCTTCTACCACTTACGGCACTCTGTAAAGTGCGCCAAGGCTGGGAAACAGAGGCTCGGTCAGACAAAGTACGTCTGCAGAATGTGCGAAGGGCAGTACGCCACCAACAAGGGATATGAGAAGCATGGTTGTTTCAAAGAGAGGATGCTCAGGCCAAGGATCAGAAGAGTGTCTTACAACGAAGACAGCTATGCTGAAAGTGACGTAAACACCTCGGCAAGTCAGGACAATCAATGTGCTGATGGAGAAGACGTGAAGTTTGAAACAGAATTTCCTTTAACGGAAGTTGCAGAGATCTCCAAGGCATTACAAACACACGATGAGAGCTGTGAAAGTAAGGCACGAGCGAGTGAATGCATGACCAACCTTATAGATTCAGCCGATGGTATCGGGAAAGAACAAAGCTCTGACCGTAATCTTAAAACGGAGATAGTGAGTACAATAGTTAAGATGTTTGTTGATGACCCTCAACCAGACTGTCCCAGTAAGACCGGGGATATAGACAATATTCAGCTGGAAACTTTACCTAGGGGTGTTCACTCGGACCCTAATCAGAACACAGATGGTCTAATCACAAAGGAGAGGTCAAGAGAACCGTATGCAGCAGCCCAAACCGTGCAAGAGTATAGCGATGAGATGTTCCGAAGGGAGCTACAAGTGCTGGCAGATGGGTTGGTTGACTCGTGGTTGGGAGAAACAACCTGTGCCACACACCAGTGTAGCCCGGGAGGGTCCGTCTATGGAAACGTGTCTTTAGTCGGGATGGACCATACCTACTCCGCACAGGTCACAGCTGTGACGCCTACACAAGTCCTCCCGCCTACTGTAGCCATGGACATGCTCACAGCTGCTGTCACTGTTCCCAAGGAGTAGAAGGGAGTAGACTTTTTGGACCCCTACTTTCAGGAAAGTGTTTTTGGACTTTTCCATGTTGCCTATTGCTTTCAAAACATCAACGGAAAAAGATGAGGACGTTAAGCGTGCAAAATTAGAATGTTGGGCGACTGACTTGTGGTGACTTGGTTTGTGTTTCATGATTTCTCAAATATTTATTTGATTCTACATATTTATTTTCAATGCTAACTTCAAGCATATTATTGTGAGATAATTTATACATATGCATCTTTCTCAGAGAAAGTAAATGAAAGAAGATAGCTTATTTATGTTTCCAACTGGCAAAAATGTATTTGATAAAAGTTGAAATTGAAAAATAGCAGAATCATATATTTGCCCGTGAATGATTTGGTAAAGAAAAAGACCCATTGCTTATTCATGCTAATTTCGTTGTGTTTCTTATATCTATCTATACTACATAAAGGCATTATTAGCCGTTGATAGTGAAATACAGTGATATAAACAGAAGAATGTTTTGCATTACCAGGGTTTATGTTAGCAATATCAATTCTGTTACGTTTGTTGTCCTGTAAGGTGGGCATTCTTTAGCCAGTTATCAGCTGATTGTGTGTAACAACTCTGTTTTGCTATACGGACTGGACTTCCCAATGAATGTAACGTTACCGCTGACAAATTAAGTTAGGGCCGACGTCAATGTACGACTACAGAAATAAAGCACCATTCCGTACTCCAGGTATATTTTGTTCGTTCCTTTGAAACACGTACGCCATTTGTGTGAGTGACCTTTCTCTGTGTGGTTTAGGTGTTTAGCATGTATCATTGGATACAGATTAACTCATTATTACAACGTTGTACTGGTAATCTAGAACTACACACGATGATAGTCCCTATGTAACGTAATAGTTGTCTAAAATCTAAAACGCATGAAAGTGGGGCAGAGGTTAAAGTTTGCGATCACCAACGTGTCCGAAAGTTAGGCCAGTACTATTTATATACACACCTAGATGCGCGCGCGCGCTCACCAGTTGGACGACCTGATTTTGCAGAAGAACGGGTTTCACAATGATCAGACCATCTCATCAGCGCACGCTTCAGGCTTGATTTCGTCCATTCTGTTCAGTCACGCAGGTAAGAATATCTTTACTGTATAAATTGTTTTGTTTTTTTCCTTCAACGAACTTTGTGCATATAGATAATGTCGTTGCCAATGGCGGCCGAATTCGAATATGAACTTTGTTTGAAAGATTATATCTTTAACGAAAATGTTGCCTAGACCTCGTCGCTTTATAGGTGGACATGCGTTTATTGTTACCTAAACTAAATACGTGCTTACATGTACGTCCCTGTCGTTTTTGATGACTTTTTCGGCAGAGGAGTTTTCGATGATAAGTCTTCAAACTTAAGTGGGCGTTATGCAGTTTCTCGCCTCAGTAAAGCAACCAGACTTACCTAACAGCTATTGTCATTCGTAAACGCCATTTTTGTGTGCAACCTGTCGGGTAGACTAATAGTTGTGACCTCTGGGCCGACCTCTGGGCCGTACTTGTGAAAAAAAGTCCGTATTTTGAATCATTACAGCTGAAAGACCATGGAAGACACGAACGGGTACATCCAAATGATCGACTTCTCGGCGTACAGCCTGGGTACGACAGACATCGACGAAGCAGGCGTCGAAGCTCTGTCTGAGAAACTGATGCATTCCTTCACGACGTCCGGATTTGCCTACCTGAAAAACACTGGGATTTCTACTGAGGAGGTGAGGCTTGGTGCACCATGCAACGTTACGCTCGGTTATTTTGTCAATCATTAATAATATCTGTTTTGTTGATTGTACATAGATGTAGAGACGGTATATATCGTTTTATACTACCAGTGGTATGAATGTGACCAGACGCCGCCATTTTGGGGCATTTCTATGTGTGCCCTATTTACTCAGCTCACTGTGACTAAGTCTGGGACAATCTACGCCCCCTTTCTGTCAAGCAAAAATCCCTCCTCTCCATTATTCGCATCGAAATTTGAGCAATTAGCAATTGCGCATATGTTTTGACAAAAAAATTCACAATGACTCTTGACCACACTTTCGACTGCAGTTTCATTACATAACATGTTTTTTCCCATCAAATTCACATAATGGTCTCGTTTACACACCTGGTAGCGAAGAAGTAAAATTTTCTACAACTTTCTCAATCTGCTCATTCACCATCGTGTTTCTCTGTCGATAACAAGATGAAAAGCATAAAGGAGGAAAGGCATTTACTGTTTCTTTTGTGTCGCATCTCTTTTTGAATCTGTCTTTCTTACGGCGGCTTTAACATTGCCTTCCCTCCAGGTGACCACTGTGTTTGACATTGCGGACCAGTTCTACTCTCTGCCGGTGGAAGTGAAGCAGAAGTACAGGAGGAACGAGACAGACTTCCACGAACGGCATGGTTGGGTCTGCATGGAAGGAGAGAAGTAGGCAAATTCCCTGCGGGGCGTGGGATGGGGTTTTGTGCGCGTGAAAAATTTGCGACTAAAAAACGTTTTGCTGTTTTAAGTTTAATAGTTGAAAAAAGACATAAAACAGAATTGAATATCATTTAGTTGAATTCTGGACTACATATATCCTAAACCTTATACTAGTATCTTTTCCATGTATTTCTTCCAAATTTAAGTGATTTTGAAATGTTCAGATTTCATGAAAAATATGCAAATTAACCTATTCCCAAGGGACTTGAAATTTCCAACAAAAATTTTGAGTTACAGATGGAAAATTATACCACAGGATCACATTTTGCTGCATAAGAATTTGGCACTGTATATTTTCCGACATATTTAAGGGACTAATTTTTCACCGCGGCGCAAATTTTTCACGCGCAGAAACTCGTTCCCCACGGTGTCTGTCTCACTTGGCCGCTTTTTTTTTGTACGTAGATTTGTAGAAATTGCAGAAAAGAGATGCTAATATTGACTGATCGTACTGTTATACATTTGTGGATTAGTAACAGTTTGTCGGAATCATTGTCTATCTCTTACCAGTTTGGGCAAGCTGGATGGTTTGGATCGACCCGCAGACCTGAAGGAGGCCTTCAACTTCAAACCCCCGCTCACAGGTGGAGATGTAAGTTTTGTCGTACCTTTTGCTTTAACGTTAGTACGGTAGTTTTAGTACTAATATGAAATGTCGACGTCTTGAAAAAATCCATGCATTTCGTTAAAGGTGTCAGGTCCTTGTTTTTATTTCTATTTCTAATGAACTCAGACAACCTTTCTATTCTGAAACATGCCCGTTCTTACCTTTTTACCATTACTAAGAAACGAGACGATAAGAAACCGAATTTACTAATAAATAGATAACCTTTATTGTACATTCATGCCCTATCGGGCTAAGTACATGTCGACAGATGGAAAGGTATATGTATGTTTGTAGTACAAACAGGACTACTGATACTAATCTAACTACATCAGCTCTAAAAGTACTCTGTACTTAACCCAACGGGTATGTGTGTGAAATAAAGGCCTTCATTCAATCATTTAATATTACATGTATATGTTTTGTACAAATTTAAAGAGTTGGCCAAGCGAAGTTCCAGACTTTGAAGAAACGATTATGGACTTCTTCAACAAATGTCACGACCTGGCCAAGAGGCTGCTTGAGCTGGTAGCCAGGGGTCTGGGAACAGAGGTAAGGAATGAAACAAAGAAACACATCGGGGAAATCTGAAATGATACGTGAGTAATGCTTTAGTGGGCCATAATCGGGTGTATTTGGGCATGAAGAGAGTAACGGGCTTTTCGATTTGGTAGTGACAATAAATAACATTGTAACTTTATGTTATGATATCAACTACTGGTCATAATAATGTGTATTACGCAAATCTTTACATCCATACTTATTACTTGCCACGTTTGTCTTGTTTGGATTGCAATTGGATTAAGCCTGTTTATTTGCGATCAACTGTGATTTCCCTTTATGCCAAAGCCTGCAGATTTCTTGGACATGTTTAAGAACATCGGGAAGGGTCGGAACTCCAGCCACCTGAGGTCCATCCACTACCCGCCTGTACCGGAGGTCATCAAGGAGAATCAGATGCGGTGTGGCGAGCACACGGACTTCGGCTGTATGACTCTGCTGTTTCAGGACAACGACGGACTAGAGGTATGAGCGCGCGCACACAAACAACAAACACACACACACACACACACACACACACACACACACACACACACACACACACACCACACAATCACACACACACATACACAAACACAGTAACGTTCACTCTGCGCCAAAACATACTTAGATGTACATTTATCCATTTATACCCTGCTCGAGCGTTGCGTAGCGAAAATCCGGATGGTACCCAGGCTAGCTCTGATACGGTTGAACATTTTATGAGGTTTAATTTATCTATCAGCGCAGTCCGTCTGTGGGGCGACTTTTTCGACGATTTAATATTGGACCCTTCTCAGTGGAAGGCTTTTTAATATTGGAGGAATTCAAAGTGTGTTCCCCGTGTGTTTGTTTTAGTTAGCGGGAGGTGGCAGCCATATGGGAAATCTGTTCATCTTCTTGTTCTAAAGTCAGGGTCTTTCTTTACTTTTGAGACTTTCAAGTTAACGTTGACAACGTTTCAACTTAAAATGCTCATCTTCCCTTTGTTAACTCTCCAGGTTGCTAAGGCTGACGGTGAGTTTGTAGCAGCTCCGCCTATCCCGGGTACTGTTGTCATCAACATTGCAGACACCTTACAGAGGTGGTCAGCAGACAAGGTGGTGTCTACGGTGAGTCCACTGTATAGCACAGTCCTTAATGATAATTACACCAAACGTTTCAAAAAGTAAGCGAAACAGCCTTATAAGCTTTTGGACAGGGAAAGAATCGTGGTAACATTATAGGTCCTGTGGTGCCTTTACTGTTTCCTTTACAATATCAACTTATACATAAATTCTACATACATTGTCAAACAGTTTCAATTACTTCTCATCATTATGATTAAGGAAAACATATTGTTTTTGCTCTGTTTCTTCTTCCTTTTCTCCAATTAAGGTCAATGACCTGAACCAGACGTCTGTCACCATGGTAACTGCTATTGGGTTACATCATGTTGCAATTTTATAGCAGGAGGGATTTAGACTCCTGTCACCATATATATGAATGTGTTTAAGTAAGAATTAACAGAGTAGACGATATGCGGAAGTAGATATTATGCATTTGCTTTGCAAATGTTGCCTTTCTAGTTTTAATTACATCTCATCATTAATATTTTGATTTGTAGAAACACCGAGTTGTACTGCCCTACACGCCCGAGACCCGGGGCACCTCCCGCCGATCTGTGACATTCTTCACCCACCCTGACTTCGACGCTGTGATGACCTGTCTGGACGGCTCCAACAAGTACCCGCCTGTACGGGCCGAGGATTACGTCGCCTCCAGGCTGCGTAAGATGTACCTGTGATCATGGGCACAGCTAAAGCCTCTGTCACACACACACACACAAAAAGATTCTGGTTCTGAATCAGCTCAAAGATGCTTATATTTTGCCCCCAACTGTTGAGGAAAGTCGTTTTCAGTAAAATTCAATAAAATGAGAGGCTACCGTATTTTGCTACACTTTTCCTTAAACTATGCAAAATTTAGTTTATCAGCTATGCAGTGTGGTTTCACTATTACAAAGATTTACACGTATGCATGAATTGTTTTGTAAAATAGAACATCTCAATAGTTGTTCGGGGTAAGGTTACACAAGTCTCAAATGTGATTGCATGAAAATCTGTCTACACGTACATTGCATGTATCCATGGAGCATAGTATGAGGAGATTGTATCCATCTTTCATAGTTCTTGATGTGGCAAAGTCTCTTATTTGATGACATAGACATGGCAATATATTGGCAATTTTTTTTTCATTTTCTAAGGAATGTGCACCAGGACTTTGTAATAACAGTTATGAAGGTGAAGGTGTGAGTAAGGTATAGTTTAAAATGTAGCTTTAGTAGGCACAAGGAAACATAGCCATTAAAATAGCAGGGAGAAGCTTTGTTGTGTTTCTAGCAATTCTTACCTGCCCTGCGCAAGAACGCGAATGCGGGTACATGCACACACACATGCATGCACACACACACGCACACACACATACACAAACACAGACATACACAACACACACACACCACATGCACAGAGAGAGAGAAAGTCATAAATCAACATTATACACTTTTTGCAACAACTTTTTTATTTGAAAGAATATAGCTTACAAGTCTATCCTGCTGTATTTACACTAATGTCTAGACTAAAGGTCCTATGACTTAGGCCACACCAATTTAATTTCTTGGTTAACGGATTCGCCTCTTCATTTTTTTCTGATTTGCAAATAAAAATAAAAATTCAGAATCAACTGCAAAATGCTCATATTTTGCCCTGAACAGTTGAAAACAGTCCTTTTCTTACTACCTTGTTACAGTCATTCCATCTATCAATGCAGTGCTACCATTAAAAGTTCAAAATTCATTGTTTAAATTTTGAACCAGCCTGGTGTGTTGACTTCATGGCTCCTATCGTACCATTTTGGGCCATAATAGGATGCCTAGGCCTGTTTTTATTTTTATTTTTTTTTCGCCCGCCCGCTCCATTATTTTTCTAGAAAAATCCGTTAACCAAGAAATTAAATTGGTGTGGCCTTAAATCAAGATTTTACATCAACAAAGGATGGGCATAATAATCATTCAATGACATATAGTTTCAACTTTTAAATGGACGGCCTGCAAAGTCTACTTGCACAAGTTTGAAATCAATGAGAAATGCATGAATGAGAATGAATGTTTCTATACAGATAGACATGAGAAGTGTTGAAGTTGTACAGAGTGATCAGGACTCCTCCAGGGCTGGTAGTTCCTTTTGTACTGCCCTCAGTGCGGCCAGTGCCTCCACACTGACATTCAGGGCACCGATCACCTCCCTCTCATCATTCACATCAACAACTGCAACAAAAAAATGGCAGCTTGTAGAACCAACAGTCTATTGTTGGAACAAAGTATATAAAATCTGGTAACTGATGACGACATGTATGTTTTAACTCTACAGGGTCTTTTAACAACTTAACTGTTATCTGTTTGACTTATTGATAGATTATATTGAATGATGTTGAATTGACCATGCATGAAGCCAAGGGCTAAAGTCACCCTTGGATTTTTACAGATGCAAAAGTCTGCAGTTATATTTGAATCACTTATTTATGTACTTAAAATGTGTTTCTGATGAAGGTCTGACCTACCATCTATGTCCTGTTCCACCACATCCTCTCCCTTCTCCAAGATCTGAAAAGGCACAAACTTGTCATCATCTGTACACCTTCCTCAATAACAACAAAACAACTAAATATCACCTCAAAGCAGTGTAAGTTGCTAAGCAGACAATAGGTTTCAACTATTTAAGACCATCTTTTATTAATCTAATCTTGAGGAGATGCGTGAAACTCATGTGCTGAGTTATCAGTTTTCATTTTTCGTATCACACTTCAGAGACAAGTGACCCCACCTGTTTGAGGTCCACGTAGGCATGTCCAATGTCAGCACACTCTCCCTCCTCATCCTCAGGCTCATTCACCACTGTGAACTTGATCCTGACGACACACACAAATATTGTTCAACAGATTTAACATTTTCAAAAATGTTTCCCATTGAAAGCAACTGTTACATTTTCAAAAAAAAATCAGTATACAAAATGTACTACACCCCACAAAAAACTAACCTTCCGAACAACTTGTCTTCAATGTGTCAGACATGAAGTTGTGAGGTCATTACAACCTTAAAGTTAAAGAAAGGAACTAGCCTGCAGTACCCACCTTCCCTGAGAGGGGTCCCCAGGCAGCAGCATGCTGATGAGATAATCCCTGGTCAGCTCATTGTTCTCAGGGTCTACATGGAACACTGCAATACATAGGACAAACAACAGGGTTAGAGGGGTACAACAATCAAGTTACAACAGGCTGTATGGTTATGAAGTAAATAATAAAGTTAACTTAATCTCCAACACTGGAATGAGTAGACAAGTCTGTACTTCATAATGACTTGTCAGACACAGATGAACTTTCATGCTAGGCTATATGGTTGCTATGTTTCGTACAGTGGGTTTGGTATATGTATTGGCCTTAGACTATGCTATATTTTAGTTCTTCTTGGATTGAAATAAAATGTTGAGCTGGAAGACCAACATGAAAACTGACTCTAAGGGGAAAGTCACTCTGTACAGGTTTTTTAGTGCTATAAGTAACTAAATGTTATTGGAGTGCCATAATGGATTAAACTTTTAAGTTAAAAAGGCAAAAACAGTCAGGAAAAGGTACATCATGTTTTCCTACATACCTCTCCTGAAGTTGTACTTGATGGGTTGGTTTGCCCGAGAAGGTTTGGGCAGGGAAAACGGGGTCTCTGTCTCCTCCGGGGGCCTGCCCAGAAAACGATACTCCACAAACAGCATACGCACATTCCCATCATGCAACACTGCTGCGTCGCCATTCAGTTGGAATTCAAAGATGGTGACTGTCACCATGTTATTGGCCTGTGAGCGACAGACGGACACATTACCAATAATTCTCTTGTCAGCGCTAAATAAGCAAGGAACAGATTAGAAACACCTTGTATGCAGTTTCCTGTCAGGATGTTGATGCTGGAGAATATTACATTCATATTATGAATCCAGAAATAATCAGTAGAGTAGCGTTTCTGTAAAATAAACACTTCTCAGGTCACATTAGATTAGTACATACAATACCACATATAAAGCATGCACTTTCCCACTACAGTTGTTCCGAAAATTAAGCTGTAGCACTATGAGGGTACTGCTACAGTAGATTAGTATTAAGTATTTTGGGACGCTAGACTACTAAAAGTCAAAGGAGATACATTTTGTAGTAACCATGCTCTTCATGGTACCCATCCACCATATAAACATATTCACAGCTGTCCACATATAGAGTTCACCATAAACCTTTACCCTAAGATATATAAGGTTGACTACATAAAGGCACAAACCCCTAGGCTTTGTCCAAGTGAATGTGTCACAGACATGACAACATCACTGTCAGATTCCATCTCATCAGTATCTTCACCATCCTTCTGTGTAAGGTCCTGATTCCAAATGTCATATTGTCAGAAAATACAGCTGCTGCAGCTCTGACTTTGGAAGCCAAGAAATGTCCTTGCTCCAAAATGCTTATCAACCCAAGGCACCATAGCCTGGGTACCATCCGGATTTTTGCTACGCAACGCTTGAAAAAATCAAGCGTTGAATAGCGAAAATCCGGATGGTACCCAGGCTAAGGCACCAAGGAATGAACAATGTGCAAAGTGCAATTTGGTGTAACTTGGCTGAAGTTGTGTTAGTAGGTTTACTCCCATTACTTTGACTAGTCTATTTCCCAAGATCTAACACACCTCGTCAAGCTAAATAATCTCTTAGTAAACAACCTTAGTATCACATTGTGCTGCTTACATTACCAAAAAATGTGCCATGATCAATTCAAATCCCACACACAATTGTGTACACCCATTAATACATTAAATTTTGTGAATCTAGATATGAACACCCCTTCCCACCAGCACATCAGAACAAACAGGAAAATCTCAATACTGCAAAACAGACTTGTTTATCTGTTGACCAACTTGAAGATGCACCAAAGATCACGTCATCGTCCGGATCTGTTTCCTAAAAGTTTAGACGGCATGCACTGATACTAGTACTAGTATCACACAGGTTCATCTCATGTACTAGACGTGTCTGATGGTATTGTTTCATAAAAAGTCACCTCAACATTTAATAAAATGGTTATCAAATAACACAAGTCATTGAGAGGTATAACACTAACAATGTTTTACAATGGAGCAGTTCTACAGCTTTCTGTAAATTCAAGCAGTTGTTGTCACAGAAATGTCACATTTACTTACTACAATACAGGTTGCACCATTTTCTGTAGGACAGTTTTGTACTTACATCTGCCTGTGCACTGGTTTGTCTGGAGGCCAGTGGTTTGGACATCACCACGTCACTATCTGACTCCAGACTCTCGCTAACGTCTGTGTCCGCCTTCTCATCTTCCTTCTTCTTAGGAGCTGCAGGCATGACGACATCATCTTCCTCTGAGCTGGGCTCCTCTGTGGGTATATATGTAACATATTAAGTTCATAAGTTCGCAGTTGTACATAAGTTCCTCTTAAGTTCTACTAGTGGTAAGTTCATCTTGAGTTGATTGTGGAACTATCACATGTAACAGATGGGAATGGCTGTTTGCCCTTTGAACAGCCAATCCCGTTACAAAGCATTTGAATAAAGTCAGTTGAGTAAAAGCTATGCAGACGTGTGGACAAGTTGTGTGGACATCCCTTTGTGTCTTCCCTAACAGATAGTTCTGTTACGCACACAGATACTTTTGGTACACCAGAACATCTATGTAAATGAACAGAATATTGGTTACTTTGTGACAGTTTCGTTTCTTGATAAGAAGTACTCACCTATGTCCTCTTCTATGTCACTGCTGGGCTTCTCCTCAAACATTGTGTCCTCAATCGGTTCTGTGTCCCCAAGCTGCAGTGCACAGAAAAAACAACACATGAAACAGTTTGACAAGGTTCTACTATCTGAAATATTGGGTTTCAATGACAGAGAAGTGACAAATGCAAAAAAATGTTGATGATAAAAATGTAAAATGTTGATGACAACATATGAAATGTTGATGATGAACATGTACAATATTGATGACAAGCTTAGTTCAAAGATACTTATGGATTATAGCTGAAACAAAAGAATGTTTGAGGAAGAAAACCGGCACACAGAAAAACATTGCACAAAAGGGGATTGTCTTAAGCTGCAAAAGCTGCTACTACTTGTAACAGTTCTCAAATCAAACCACATAGAGGCTATGCTACTTAGCAGACAAATAGAGAAAAAAAAGGTTCAAATAAGAATTGAAGTACAATCAACAAGCGAACTGTGATCTATGATAGGTTTGCCTAATTTAGAGAGCTAGTAAGTCTATATTAGTCTTGAAGACCTGTAGAAGGAAGAGGCACAGTTATACAAGTGCATGTACCTGTTCCTCTTTCTCTGGCTCTGGTTTTGTGGTCTCATCAAGTTCCTCTCGTTTCATTTCCTCCGAGACAGACTGTGAAAGTTTAACATTGACAAACAACAGCTGACAGCTTATACAATGGACATGATGCCGTAGAATATGACAAAGTGCAAACAATGTATGTGAAATATCATGAATGTGTGCAGCAACAAAAGGAAGACATCCATACAGGTTGTCTACCACTATCTCTGAGACCTGTACATGGCAAAGTGCTAAGAGCATGATAAAATAGAAGAAGAAAAAATAAGAAAAAACATGCTTTACAAGTCTGTACAGAGCAAAATGTTTCAAGATGTTTCAAGCATTGTTTTGGACTTGCACAATGATATGGCACACATATAGCTATGGTGGGTGTCACCACAAAAAAATAGTGAGTGACAAACAACTGTTGTTTATATGTAGTACACACCTCTTCCTCCTCTGCGGCTGACTCAGGAGTAACAGATACAGTAGAGCTGCTCTCCTCTGCCTCGTCCACCACAGGTTCAGGCTCAGGTTTAGGTTCAGGCACCACAGGCTGTCGAGCCCTCGGCACAGGTTTGGGAGCCTCTGTTCTTGGAGATGGTGGAGGTTTGGCCTCCTGGACAGACTGGAGACACACAAAAAATTAACAGTCCAGAAACCAAGTAGGAACTTACACAATCAACTTTTAACATGCTATAGGCTGCATTTGCAGCTCAATGGGACAAATTCAACTAACAATGTGACAAATGTGATGAACAATTTTCAGTGTCACCTGCTAAAATTTCCTACAACATAAGTACATAACATTATATACATCTTCCATGCATATATTAAGCAAACTTTCCTGTTCCTGATTACTTTTAGTATATTCTTAGGAGCTACAACAAAAAAACAAGTCATACTTTTGCACTAGATGGTCTGGATACTGTCTTTGCGCTGGATGGGCGTGATGGAGTTTTGGCACTGGTGGGTCGGGAGGGGGGTTTGGAGCCAGGTGGAGAGACAACCACAGATGGGGGGTGTTCTGGTGACAAGGTACGGGGTGTAGAGGCCGCTGATGGAACCTGAAATATATGTACACTACAGAAATGATTCAGAATTCCCAATACATTGCATGGCAATCATAATGCAGGGCTCAAATTACATTTTTGGGTCAATTTGCACTGGTGTAGATGACAAAAAAACAACTTGTACCAAAAAATTATATGCACAATCAAAAGTATGAAAGTCAACCTCTTTGCAATGACAAAATGCAAGTAAAAAGAAGACAACACACTTGAAACTTTTTTATCATTTATATAATTGCTGGATACTTCTAAGTTGGCCCGGGTGTAATAAATGGTAAAGCTACTTGCACTGGTTTAAGTACATTGTACTACATGTACATACGAAAATTACATCCAATTTTATTCATGAGGTAATTAGAGCTGTATAATGTTAAGAGAATCTAGAAAAGTGAAAATTGCCATACCTTTGGAGTAGGGACAGTGGGTGGTGTGACATGTCCAGGTGTGGATGCGGGTGTGATAGGGGGAGGGATGGGTCGTATGGCGGCAGGGGGGACCGCAGCAGCCAGCTTCTCCTCCTTGCCTGGCAGCAACTGGGGTTTCTCAGGGACAACACCAGGGGCAGCAGCAGCCTGGGGAGGGGGGAAGATGAGTTCTGCTCAATCATGGAATTAGACAACCCAACACTAAAGCTTCATTATCATCACATCTTTTTAATCTGATACAGTTCTTCATTCTTTGCAAAAGAAGACAATAATACACGCAGTCCAATTTTCTAGTCACTAGAGCTTCAACAATAAAGAAAAATAATTCTTCCTGCTCTACTGTCATAGTGATTTTCTATTTCCATTCTGTCTTGCAAATGCCATGATTTCTGAGACTATGTACTGACCTGCTCTGGTGTCATACTGGCCATGGGTGGTGGCAGGTAGGCATACTGCCATCTCAGGTGAACTTCCACATTACCATTCACACTGGTGTCAGCCTAGCAGAACAACATACATATAAATAATTAAAGGTATATGATCAGACACATCAGACTGTCTAAGTTACAAATGTATGCTTACCAGTATAATGTTTGAAAGACCAAGAATTATAAAAATAAGGACCAACAAATTACAAAGCAGTTCAGCAGAAATTCCCCTGTAGCTCTCACCCTTTTGAGTTCAAAGACCCCCTTGATGGCTTTGTCGTGTGCTAGTGAGATGAGAGGCACGTTGGCTCTGCCCAGGTAGGCTGTTTCCTCAGGGTCTGTGTCATCAAATACATACAGCTCCAGATGCTGGGGGAAAACGCATAAAATAAATATAGCAATAAAGCAACTTGCAGGAATATTGGAAAAACTCTAATCAATCAACAGAAAATAATTGTTGCAAAGTTCTGAGATTAGAAACTTGTGTGATTAAAAGATCCCAAGCTCCCTGTAAGGTCAGTTGGAGGATATAACCTAAAGTTGTGTAGCTTCATAAAATGTTTATGTACATGTATATCATGGCAGAGCATTCAGCTCAAAACCAAGAGGTCCTAGGTTCGCTTGGGAAAGGCAGTTTACACGACTTTCCTCACTTTGCTTGGGTGAAAATGAGTATGCCAAAATGATCATTATCATGATCGTGGGCATTAAAAGAAAAATCATATCACAACATGAAAAGACAGAAAAACCCTCAGGTCCTGAGGTGCCACAAAACTTACAGCAGACTTGAGGTAAGTGTCCAGCTGCATGTCCATGGGGACAGGGTACGTCTTGTGGTCATTGAACTGTGGTGAACTACTGGACATGACGATGTCAGTGTCATGGTCAGGGAAGTCAAAGAACTTGTACACCACATAGGGGCTGGGCTGGACTCCTGGGGGAAAGAGGAACGACAAAATAATCAGTTTTGCTGAACTCACAAAAGCATAATATTATTACTTTCACTTCAAACAATACAGCCACTAAGAGCAGGAATTTTGACGTAAGTTTATCTAACATACCGTCTCTTCTTGCAGTAAGGTCGGAACACCTGACGACCCTGATGTGAAGGTCATTGACATTGTCTTTGGCACGAGGAGCAGTGGACTCATCCAGAACCTGCAACGCCTGCTGGGTAGCCCTCTCATTGGCTGCTATGTACCCAAGAGCCTTTGTCCGCTCCTTCAATATTTTAGAGGATAATTTGTCAGAGAATTTGTTAGACAAGCATAATCTATTGTCACACTAGCTCACAATACACATGGAACAAGACATGTAACACTTATGAAACTACAGAGACCCATCATGAGAAATATAGAGAATTGGTCACTTGAGCAACAAGAAAAATGTGAAACTTTCTGGAGAAACCTGAAAGTGCCACAGTGACAGGGCTAGCAAGACAACAAAGTTCAACCCTGACCTTGAATAGTCTGAGTGCCTGGTCCATAGGCACCCTCAGTCGGACCCAGTATTCCACTGTTCCAAAGTTAACCCCCTCAGGACCTAAAACAAATTTAGGAAATATTCAAACACACTGTTTTAACAATTCATTAGTCTATTCTTTTCTATAAATCTTCACATTTCTGTACCTGTGACTGGAACTTTGTGTCACTTTTACTATAGACACACTTTGAAAGAGTGATTTTTTTCTTACTAGTTAGATACGTTGTGCTGAATATCCTCCCCTGTGGCTTGTCCAGCAAGTCCCTAAACTTGAGCTGGCAGACGGCTAACGTTGTGTAGTCCAGACCCATAGCTTGGTGTACTTCTAGAGTAGTAGACTCCTGCAGATCAAGGAGGATGTAAGACTTAGTACAAACAGATGTATTCAGGCGGTATTGACATGCTTTTTAAATTTAATGTACACTTTTTTTTGACAAGAATCATGATGCTAAATTTTGAATCTTCCATTTCAACAGTTAAGAGTACAGCCTTGCTGAATATATGTAAGTGTAACAGAGATATGGAGAAGTAAGTTCTATTCATCAATGATGGAGAATCTGTACTGACAAAATTCTACAATGTTGTTACTTGCCTTCTGCAGATAGTGTAAGAAGAAATCATCCACTTTCACAACGTACTTCGACGTAAACTTGAATTCTGGCCTGAAAACAAAAGAGTATCTACATTATAGCATCTCATTCTTTGGACCCTCAAGATGATTTAAATGTGAGATAAAACATCTTCAGGTAGCCAAATGATTATAGGATACACAATGATATTCAAAAATAAGTAATTGAGAACAAACCATGAATACCAGCTTTTCAAAATTGTACTCACTTAGCACCTCTGACAACAGGGGTTGTCTGCAGCTCAAAGTCATAAAACTCGTATGTACAGAACAGGGACGGCTCCGCATCTCCAAGGTGGTCAAGGGCTTCCTGTGATAGCACCACCTAGTGAAGGTAAAGGGAGTTGCAGCTCTTTGTACATGTACCGGTATATTCTAAAGAATATTGCTGACCAGATAAAGATATTTCCAATTCTTGATGTTAACTTGAGGCAATTTTCATCTGACGATTGATTAAACCGTAGTTGCCAATCTGTACTCCTATTTCTGTACCTCTATCACAGAATCCAAAGAGCAAGCATTTTGGGATTAAAATCAGGGCAAGTTGTAACGTAGCTCTCACTTTGATGATATGAATCTCAAACAGGTTTTCTCCTCTCTCCAGGTGTACTGTTTCATCTATCTCCTCTACATCCTCCTCCTCTTCCTCCTCTGTGGGCTTCAGTTTGTACTGCTTGGTCCCATAGGCAACATCCCTCAGTTGTCTCTCTAGTTTCTGTAAAAACAAATAGGACAGGCTTAAAGACAATACCATCTCAGCAGATTTCAGCTTCTACATGTACAGCAGAGTGCCATTCCTACATCTCTTTACTGTCCCTCAGGTTTCTTAGCCAATGAGTAATATAGAGTGACAAACATCACTTAACTACACCAAAGTTTAGTTTTTTACTACTCTGAATTACAAGAACATATTTCATTGTTTTCCAAATTATGGATTACTGTTGTGGGAAACTTAAAGGCTTAAATTCATATAGCTCTAATATAGATTATACACATGTACTGATTTCTTTGTACAGCACTAATATTAAAGAACCTTTATCCTTGCAGCTCTGATGTCCAGTAGCTTGGCATACTCCTCCAGTTTGGTCTCATATTCCTTTCTCAAATCCTCCATCCTCTTGGACACACTCTCCACCTGAACACAAAAGGCAACAGATGAAGGTTTCTGATTTTGAAACCAATGCCATATTGTCCAGACGTAAACATGCATGTGTGCACAAACATGTATTGGAATGTTAGAGAACAGTGGTGAGTGTTAATGTACCTCAGTCTGGTAGTCCTTGTTGATCCTGTGCTGAATGATGAGCATGTTGCGTGTTTTCTCCAGCTCATTTACTGTGTCTGCGTGCTCTGCCTGTAGACGCACCATTCTCTGTTGCAGGTCTGCAATATTCAATGCAAAGAACCAATAAGCATCAACAATACAAAGTTCATTATTTAACACTTTACAGGCTGTTTCACGTTGTCTACAAAGCCTGCAATGTAAAAAAGATGCAAATACTAAATATATCCTGCATTTCTACATGGTAGATTTTGTCACACCAACTTTTTAAGGCTCTCAGGAAGCATTTATCTTTTTTCCGAAGTATGAAAAGCAACAGACAGCAAGCAACTACACAAACTGCTCAAGTAGGACTGTACAGATTCTGAGAATTTTAGTCTTACCTCTGCTTTTTTCCTCTTCCACCTTCTCCAAGAAGTCCAGGTTCTGACTTCCTCTCTCTTTTCTTGTCTACATACATGTGAAGCGTAGGCACAGGAAATATATGTCAAATATCCCATACAACAGGCCTAAACATATCAAGGCCTGGTAAGATAAATGTTGACATGAAAGGTACATGTATTGGCAGAATTATAGCCATATGTATTGTCCAAGATCCTAAACATAACAACAATACCAACCTTAATCAAAACTAATGCCTCTTCCAGCTCCTGAAAGTCTACAGCACTTTCCTGAAAAAGACCAAAGCATACGAGACATTTTGGTGTGAATGAAGACTCTCCACATTGACTTTCTATAATGAATTATATTATGCTTTCCATTGTTTGTAGATGATCTATTCTTTTTACCAGTAATGCACATGTACATGTAAGTAATTTTAGTTATACATGTAGAACCAAGCATTTTCATGCAAGAGTCAAAAAAGGAAATACTAAATGTTTTCTGAATAAAATTATGGCTACCTTTGTGAAGAACTGCATCTTCTGTTTGAGTTCGTCAAGCTCCTGTTTGGTGCTGTAGTACTGGATCTGGAGGTTCTTCTGTTCCTCACGCATTTTGTCATTCTGACCTGGTCATGGCAGGAATGAGGGAGAGGATCATATGACACATCCCACGTCCTGCCAATTTTTGGTTAATGATACTGTACATGTACTTAGAATTCCACTTAATTGTGAAATGAGGCATAGAATCCTGTGTGTAAACTGACCAGTACTAGACTACTTCTTTCACAATACATAGTTTCATTGAAAATGGCTGTTCCAGAAGGAAACATCAGACTGTAACTTACGTGTAAGCCACTGACAGACTGTCTCATACAGCTATATTGTACAAATGTGTTTTATACTGATAACAGGTAAAGGCTTAGGCAAAATGAGAATTTTTCTTGCTTCTTGTTTTGCCCCTTCAACAACATATTGACTGTAATACATGTACATTCTCAGCTATGAATAATGTAAAATCTAATTCTTTCCTTGAACATGTATCTGTGATATCATATATCAATCAAAAGCTACATATGACTGGCTAAAACTAATCTAATGCAATACCTTGGAAATAAATGAACACAAAACTAAATTCTAGTACCTACTTATGTCACAAAAAGCAAAGCATGTGCTAGTACTATGATCAAACACCACCACAACAAGATGAAAGAGACAGAAATGAAAGAAAGCCATCCATTGAGAGTCTTCAAGCCTGCAGGCAGTATACCTTTAACAACTGACTGTGCCGGTATCTCTGGCACATTATCCTGTGCAACAAAGCCAGCAGGTGAGAGGCTACCAAAGATAGAGGGGCTAGCACCTGAAGTGTGAAGGGAAGAAACAGTAGAGGAAGAGCAGGTTACAAGTTTATAGAATTTAGTGAATGATATTGGTTGGCATCATGGAAGTCACCACCTTAGGAGAAATGTGCAGCAATTATAAAGCTCCAGCATGCAGGGAATTTAGTAGAGATAGGTTTGCTTATGAATATGAGAGAAAGTTATGAATCAGACAAACAATCATGTAGCTCCAATATGTCAGTGAGCAAATACAATGGGTAACTATAACAATACATTTCTTACAGAATTTTGTAGTCATGGTAATATTTTGTCACATCACCTGCCCAGCACTATTTGTATACTGATTCTATAATCAAAAGTGACATTCTTGACTTGCACTGGCTTACTTCGTTCTAAGGTAACCCTGTCCAGTACTTCATTCTTCTCATGCAGGTCAGACCTAAGAGTGGCCTCCAGCTGAGCTATCTGTACCCTCAGTTTGGTCTCTGTGGCTCTGTGCTGCCTCTCTCTCTCAGCATCAAAAGCACTGGCAGGAAAAATAGACAGTTAAAATCAACAAGACATATACATCTTTGGAGCATTTGTTTCTCTTCTTAATACCATTAAGTACATGTTGTGATAATCACAACATACAAAAGTAATGCTGACTAACATAAACAACAAGTTCAACATACCTCATCTGTAGCTGTGTGTTGGCCTCCTTAATGATATCATTCTCTTTTTCTAAGTCTACTACTCTCTCTTGGAGCTGAAAAGATAAGGAAAGTGTAGTGTCAGTTATATTTCAGGTTGATAGAGATGCTGCTATATCTACACATATTTTATATATATTGTCTACAAGGTTTTTCTTTTGAACTTCCTGCAAGAAAAACATTCTGCAGAATAAATTTCTTTCTGTAGAAATTTCTGCAAGAAAGATCTTATTGTGTATACAAGGACTTTGAATTTTGACATGTACTAAAGAAATTCCATTTTACTTAGTTGTTTCTTGGACTTGCTCCTTTGAAAACACACCTCCTGCCAAAATTATACATGTACATGTATAGACAGTAACCTCTATGATTGTCCTGTGTGCTGTTGCTCCCTGCTTCAGGTCGTTCTGTAGTCTGAGGACACGGTTCTGCTCAGCCTTCAGGTGTTCCCGCAGTCCATCCATCTCTCGCAGGACCTGGTCGTGACTGCCCTTCACTGTTCTCAAATTCTGTAAGGTTCAAGTCAATAGTTTACTCCTTTTGACAGGTTACTGATGCAATGATCAAGTGGGTAGAATACTCGTCTTGCATTCAGTATGTCGTGAGTTTGATCCCCGACTGAGTCATACCAAAGAATGGTACATACATGTACTGCTTTCTCTGATTAGTACTTAGCATTTGGGAAAGAGTATGGTAGTGCCGTATGGGAACACACGACAAATACTTACTAGAGAAAACAGTTGTCAACAATAAAGCAAAATTTCATATGGGTCAAAGATAAATTACAGAACTAACCTCCTCCAAGTTGGTGTACTTGGCCTGCATGGCTGTAAGCTTTGTGGCCTTCTCTTTCAGTTCTCGTTGTAGCCTGATCATGTCCACATTCTCCTGAATGTTTCCTCTGGAAATATGTAGTGTAGAATATAAACTTCATGTACTATATCATGAAGGACCACAGTATACGTGGTGTGAATAGTGGGGGTGTGGTTTTTCATATAACACTGTTAGGAAACACTAGGCACAGAGAAGGACCGTCACAGGCAAGCAACTGAGAAACCGTAGTGCCTTCACAAGCCTATGGAACGGAATGACTCCAGTGGCCCCGGTTTCGGTATCATAGTTTATTGTACATAGTTATGTGAAAAAATACTGTTGTGACAAACTCACGTAATTCAGGGAAGGCACATCTGTTCATATTTGTGAGAAACAATAAAGAACCCGCACTATATTGCTACAGATGCAAGGATAGGCCTGGAACAGTATCACCAATGCTGTATTTTCCTCACCTCTGCCCAGCTGCCATCAGTTCCCTCATCCTCAGCAGCTCCTCCTCATGTTCAGCGTCCTTCAGTCTCATCTGTTCCCTCAGCATGTCTGCCTCCCCCTCCAGGTCCCTGATCTGGTCCTGCAGGTTGGACACCAGGTCCTCCAGGCTGCGGATCTCCCCCCGAGCCTCCTCCAGCAGGCTGTGACCGTACCGCGGCAGGACGCTGGGCTGGGCAGACCGCGAGGTCGTCCTGAAAACAGGAGGACATAAATTATCAACCTGAGTTCTGATGCTGCAACAGACATTCATGAACATGATAATCATTGTTAGCCCCGTTGAGAGCAAAAACACATTGTAAACTAGAAATATAAGTTACATTAGCCTTACTCAAACACATTTCATATACTAGTACATATGAGAAGCCCCTTCAACTCTGTTGTGCTACATAATGATCAGCTAGATGGAGGACTGACCTGACATCCTCTGGTCCCTGCACTCTCATGCCTGGCTTCAGCCTCTGTTGTACAGCAACCATCTGGCCTACTTTCTTGATGCCCTATGTATACAATACACACAGACAGTTGGAAACTACATAATGAGACAATTTGTGCATCATTGGATCTGCAAATGTTTTCCATATAGTACTGAGACATTACATACGGTAACAATAGTGAGGAATAGTGGATACTCATACTTACAGTGTTGATTCTTGACTGTACACCTGTATAAGGTGTATGCCTCTTGCCTTGGGAAGACAGCTGTTGTTTAGCTACCATCACCTGAAAAGTACAAATACATATTTGTAAAACTTTCTAATAAGTCTAGCTCTTTTAATCCTATCCACACTATCTACAGGTTCTATAGTAGAAAAAAGTTTGTGAAATGTTTTAATTTGCTCACCTTTTCCTTAAGCAGTCTATTTTCTTTTTCCAGGTCCCTTATTTTCCCATGCAGCTCCTCAAGCATTTCTTCTGTCTCTATGTCTCTGCCACCACGTTTTGCAGGACCACCTACATCAGGAAGACATGCCAGAAAGTCAACTAACAGCTGGTAGACTATTGGAAAGACCCCAACATGTAGCAACAGCATAACAATTACATAATGACAAAAACAACTACAGAACGATGACGAAATTCAAAATTAGTGATCCATGAGTTAGGTTCTTATTTTTTTCTTAAGATTTTTATACCTTTGCAAACAACTTCAATCTGATACAGACATCTTTGCAAACATCTGAACAAACCTGGCCTAGCAGCACCACGACCAGCTCCTTGCTGATCTGCTTTTTTCTTGTCGTTGACAAGTCGGAGAAGCTTGGTTGCCATCCTGTAGACAGGGGGAAAGTGACAGACAATGAAGCATTTCATGTCTACAATGTCTACAATCATGAAGGATTTCATGTCTACACAACCTACCAGTGCCACCTGGATAATCAACACCAGCTGCTTTTCTGAGGAAATTCTATTCAACAAAGATTATCATACACATTCTTTAATGTTGTATCAACATGCATAACTTCTTAAGACTTCACAGCATACCTTTTAATCTTGTCTTCCTGCTTGCGTCCATGTCTCTTCAGGATGATGTTTTCTTCGTACAGCCTCAGGTACCGATCTTCCAGCTCATCACGGGTCAACTGGGCAACTATCTGTCGCTGTTTCACCTGGATCTGACCAGGGGGTTCTGCAAAAGATTTCACAGATTGCTCAACAGATGTCATAGATAAAAAATTAAGTTTTGTGTGTTTTCTTGTAGGATACTATCCTACATCATATTCTAATTATGAAATCCAGGGTCACAAGTAACTATAATTAATGGCTTTTTGTTTTCCATATGAATCCCTGCTACAGGTAAATTGACCATAGCAGCAGGATGTTAGCATATTTAACACCCATATACTGTCTGTAAGTAATCCAACATGGCACATGTGAAACGAGGCCTGACTGTAATGACCTATCTCTTGTCTTGCGGATATTACATGGCATATGGCAAAAAGAAAGCACATCTGAGACTCACCGTTTTCCATCCCCCCTGCCCTCTGGAACTGTGGTCCATCCCTCACAGGGATGTGGTCAAACCTGTCGTCAGTCATGATGATCGCTGTTGTGACGACATCGGCATGTTTTTCTCCAACTTGTGAGGTTCTTTGCCTTCTTCTGCTATTTTAGAACCAGATGCTGCAAAAAAGATGATTAAAAACAGGTCAGAATAGATCAACATTTTATGTCAACAGGAGAATCACTAATCAGAACTTGAGCTAGTGATTTTCATGATATAGTTGAGGTGTTGTTGTCTTCAAATTCAACGTGCTTCAACAAAAGCGTTGAGATTTAGCTCGTCTAAATCTGGTACCATTCTGTTGTTTAGGACACCTTTCTACAGTGTCCAAGAATGTGTCTACTGAACTACTTTTCATGCAAAGATATCACACTTACGGCGTATAAATTATTTATGTTAGAACAACAACCTGTTACTGTGAAAGTTGAGAGCTTTTCTTTCCCTGCTGAAGACCAAAACATACTCCGATCGTGTATGTGTAAAGCGACCATACGAACTGCCAGTCACAGAAAGGTTGGAAACCTCATTAGAAATTACACAAAAGGCCTCATAATTTGTTGACAACATTTGGTAACACCTGCTCATAGCGTCCCTAACATCGGTGTCTTATGGGGAGGGGGGCAAAACTTTCTAATGTTCAAACAGCAAATATTCTGATTCAGATGCATAATAAGACTAATTGCGTACATACCTGTAGGATTCTATTAAACGGGCACCTACCTTTCATCAAAATCGCTGCGGTATATGCACGGGTTTTGTTGTTATTTGTACAAATACAAGGTCTTTACAACGCGGAAGTCGGCATCAAAACAATATTGTGGAATTTTGAATTTTAAACCATTTGCGCATGCGTACTGCTGCATGACGGGAAATCAACATGGCGGTAAGTTTGGATGTGGTGTTACCTCCCTGGTCCTGTTTGTGTCACAAATTCGTTTTTCTCACCGTTTTTTCTTCATCGGTGAAATTAACATGTAGAAAGCCAATGACAGTTAGTAATTATGCATGCATATCTTCTTTTTCTGGCACATTTTTGCCAGAAATTCGCCCTGTATTTGGAGATAGAGAGTACTAGTGCTCTCCAAGCAGAGGTTTGGGTAGCCGTGGACGACTCTGGTAATCCTTTTTGCATGATAATGCCGGATAACGAAGGATACTAACGTTGATGTCAATCTCGGTAAAAAAAATGGATGAAAATATAGCTACAGGGCACCTTTAAATTCGTATTTCTATCTTCACAAATAAACAGAATAAGCTGTTATGTGGCCACACCAATTTAATTCGTTGGTTCTAGGATTTTTTCAGAAAAAATATGAAGCGACAGGGCGAAAAAAAATTAAAAGTAAAAACAGGTCTATGCATCCTATTATACCCCCAAAATGCTATAGTAGGAGCCATGAAGTCAACACAAAAGGCTGGACTAATTTTGAACTTTTTGAAAGGTAACATTTGCGAAGCAAATGCATAATGTAAACCTTTGCATATGGTCTGCTCTGTTAATTCTCACTCAACACATTC